GACGGCCATGCTAACTACCACCCGTCCCGTCATTGACAGTCGTCGGGTTGCTGGAAATCTCTCAGGTCCGCGTACTCGGAACCGGGGCAGCTGCCCTAACTCGGAAGTCCTCCCGAAGCCTTGATGGCTTGTCGCAACTCGACGATAGTGAAGCCGTAGCGTAGTTCAGGCGACCTTTGACCTAACAATAGGAACGGCTAAAGCCTTTTCTTGCCGTTTCTTTCCTCAGCGGAATAATGAGATCTTCAAGCTCAGAGTCGAAAGTGGGGACAAAAGCCGGCATGGCCCATTCGTCATTGAGGCGGTCAAGTGGAGGTCGCAGTCCAGGTGGTCCGGGGCATGGATTGCAACGCTGGGACTGGGAAATGTGGAGGGCAATGTTAGCAATGCTACCTTACAGTTGGATCTGATGATCAAGAAGAAAGAAAAAAAATTATGGATCTTGATGAGCCCCGGTCCGTTTTGCGTCTGGGGTCCGGGGTCTGGGGAAGGTTCCATTTCGTGAATTTCCCGCCATCCTCTGCCACACTTGTTTGACTGAATCTTTTGGACCCCAGCATGAACGCCAACATCTGAGGTAATGAATTGGATTGCCTGGAGGAAAAAGGGAACAGAAAACCGGCTTGCTGATAATGCCATTGATATCGACCATAATGCTGGCGATATTGGCTGTCCTGGTCAAGGCTGGAATGGACTCACCTCAGCCCTTTTCGTGCCATGTATCCATTTTCATCCGTCGTTTAACAAACGCGATACTAAACCCCTCGTTCTCCTCTCCCTCCTCCCCGGCAAGGCTAGCGCACGTCAAATTTCTCAGGACATCGTCGTGCAGAAGCGAGAGATATCACTCGAGAATGTGCGAGGTGCTAAGCCCACCGCCGCTCGTTCATGCCTCGAAACAGCATCTCGTCCGTCTTCCCTCTCATCGGCTCTGTCCAGCATCTCCATTTCCCCGGGTTTTCGAGGCGGGAGGATTCGCGGGACAGAGCGAGCAAGCACGAGGAAGTGGAGAGCACGGGACGAGGGGCGTGCTTCTCTTGGGACAGGACAGAATCTGGGGTCGGCGGGGGGCGTGTTCAGGCTACCGTCTGCAGACGAGCAGGGTAGCATGGCCTGGTCGAACTCGAAGAGGAGGACGATAAGATGGAGAGTGAGAATGAGAAAAGCACATGAAGATTGTTTAAAGTTTTGGAACCCTGCCGGAGCCGAGGCATCCTTCTTATATCCAAAGGCCCCTCCATTTCTCCGAGCTGCAACAGCAGCGCAAACAAGCGCTAAACTGGATTCTACCGAATCTTGACCAAGAAAATGGCCTGCAGGTCGTTGACCCTCAGAAATAAGCAGCAGAGTGACGATCCAAGGCGTGGTGGAGGTGCGATGTCACACCCCGCTCCCTTGGTCCAGCCTCTGAGTCCTCATCGCAAAACGAGGGATCCGAAAATGGACGGGCTCAGTAAGCCCGGATTTCTGTCCGCCTTGAGCCTTAACGGAAATGATGATATGCCTTTGCACACATCACATCGCATCATATACCTACCGTCCATGTTACCCCCCGCACATTCTTCAACCTAGTGAACGTGCTTCCCCAGCTCGTGGAGTGTGGGTTTGTGCTGTTCTTCCCCCGGTTCCCCACCGTAACCGCTCCCTCTTCCGCATCGATGTAAGACCCTGGACCCCTGTCCGGCTCCCACGCTTACCCACTTCCCGAGAAAAGCCCATTGAGAATTGAACTTTTTTGTTTCTTTCTTGACCTTTTTCTGCTCTTTACCATCTCATCGTCGAGAAACACCTCAATGTTCCCGTCCCACCCCAATGCCAAACAAGGAAGCTCCTCCGCCCCTGATTACATCGGCGCTAAGTCCGGAAGCCCAGTATTGATCAGGTGGGCCGTTCTCAGTTGACATCACTCGGCTCTTTTTTTGGGACCCTAATATTTCCCCGAACAAGGGATCATCACTTTGTTAGTCCCCAGCCTTGAAAGCCCAACTCTAGCAATGTGCCCATCGTGAGAAACATTGGGCAAGGCACGAGAAAGGGGAAAGAACCGCGGGGTAGTGCATCTCCGATGCTCCCGAGAGTGAAGAAAAATGAAGTCTGGAAGCGAGTGATGTGCGGTGAAGGGCCAAGCCTGGTCGTTTTGGTTCGAGATGGGCTGCTGGCGGGGAAAAACCGCAACACGCACCCCCGCAACCTCACGATGTTGCTGAGAGCAGGAGATGAAAAGCTGGAGTTGATCTCCATCTTTACAACTATAAGATGGGGCCCACTTCCCGCTCCCCATCGTGTCTTCAATCTTATCTCCAGACTCGTGGATACCCTCATCCCCACTCCGCCCCTCTTCCCTTGCCCATCGTAATAAGACCCTGGCCCACCCGATCTGCAGCATTGGGTAGGATATTGGTTCGCTTCTTAAACCTCCACGAAGCCCTCCGCTCTCTTTCTCCCCTCTTGCTTCTTCTTCTCTCCACGTCCCCTTCAGTGTGAACTGTGCCAGCCATGATGAAGCCAGTTGCCCTCCTCCTGTCCCTCTTCGGCGCTGCCGCGGCCCTTCCCGCAGCGGAGCCCATCGCGCTCCCCATCGCGCTCCCTCACCCGGCGCCCGACCGGGTTCTAGAGGACCGCGCCGCCAAGGTGACCGTCACCCTCCCCTATGCCACCGTCGTGGGTCGCGGCGGTTCCGTAGAGACCTTCAACGGTATCCCCTTCGCCAAGCCGCCCACGGGCCAGTTGCGCCTGAAGCCCCCGCAGAAGCTCACGAGCAACATCGGCACTGTCGACGCGACGGGGCTCGCGGCGTCGTGTCCGCAGATGTTCCTCACCACTAACAACGATAACCCGTTTCTTGACCTGCTCGGCGACATCTTGACGCTGCCGCTGTTCAAGATCGTTAACGGCCAGGAGGACTGCTTGACTGTTAGCGTGCAGAGGCCTGAGGGCACGACGAAGGATTCTAAGCTTCCCGTGCTCTTCTGGATCTTCGGCGGCGGTTTCGAGCTCGGTTCGACGGCCATGTATGACGGTACGGGCCTCATCAAGGCTGGTATCGACATGGGCCAGCCCTTCATCTTCGTTGCCGTTAACTACCGTACGGGTGCCTTCGGATTCATGCCAGGCAAGGAGGTCCTCGCCGATGGCTCCGCCAACCTCGGTCTGCTCGACCAGCGCATGGGCCTCGAGTGGGTTGCCGACTACGTCTCCACTTTCGGTGGCGATCCGGACAAGGTCACCATCTGGGGCGAGTCTGCCGGTGCCATCTCCGTCCTCGACCAGATGGTCCTCTACGGCGGCAACAACACGTACAACGGCAAGAAGCTCTTCCGCGGCGCCATCATGAACTCGGGCAGCATCGTACCCGCCGATCCCGTCGACTGCCCCAAGGGCCAGGCCACCTACGACACCGTCGTGGCGGCGGCCGGCTGCAAGGGCGCGAGCGACACCCTCGCCTGCCTCCGCGGTGTCGACTACACCAAGTTCCTCCAGGCGGCTAACTCCGTGCCGGGCGTCCTCTCGTACCACTCCGTCGCCCTCCAGTACCTCCCCAGGCCCGATGGCAAGACCCTACCCATGAGCCCCGACATGCTCGTCGTGACGAACCAGTACGCGGCTGTGCCCATGATCATCGGCGACCAGGAGGACGAAGGTACCCTTTTCGCGCTCTTCCAGCCCAACATCACTAGTACATCCAAGCTCGTCGGATACCTCAACGACCTCTTCTTCAACCGTGCCAGCAAGGCGCAGCTCGAAGGCCTCGTCAACACGTACCCCGCGTCCATCACGGCGGGCAGCCCGTTCCGCACCAGCATCTTCAATGAACTATACCCGGGCTTCAAGCGTCTTGCTGCCATCCTCGGCGATCTCGTCTTCACGCTGACACGCCGCGTGTTCCTCGAGGTCGCGACCACGGTGAACCCCAAGGTGCCGGCGTGGTCGTACCTCGCTAGCTACGACTACGGCACGCCCATCCTCGGCACGTTCCACGGGTCGGATCTCCTGCAGGTGTTTTACGGCATTTTGCCAAACTATGCGAGCAGGAGCATCCACACGTACTACATCAACTTTGTGCATAACCTCGACCCCAACGTCGGCGTTACCAAGTATGCCAAGTGGCCCAAGTGGAGTGAGGGGAGGAAGCTGGTGCAGTTCTTTAATGATAAGTCGGCGCTTTTGGATGATAACTTTAGGTCGGAGAGTTATGACTATATCCTGAAGAACGCGAATGCTTTGTACATTTGAAGGATTGGGCCGGGGAGAGCTTGACCTGCACTTGGGTGGGACATTAAGAGGGATGGGCAGGAGTCGGGCTCAAGGCTGGAGTTGAGCGGGGAGAATATGGGACCGATCAAACGAGACATGACTTTGTACATACATTTATTCAACGTATATATAAAGAGCTTGAATAGCGAGATGCTTGAACATAATGAACGACCAGAAGTCAGTCCCAAGGTTCGGTGTTATGTAGCCACGAGTATCTACATAGGCCGTAGTACACGACTTGGCATGGCAGATGACTCGAGCTGATTGAATAATTTGACGAGGCGAGGATAGAGAACCAGAGAAGGTCTCTTCGACTTTTAAATTATTATCTTGCTGTATTGTTGAGGGGATCGAGGTTATCGCTCTCGGTGTTGATGGCATGATCGAGACATTGAGAAGCTGCAATGAGAGGTGGATTCAGTGGAACCTGGCTCTGATTGGCTGCTGACGAAAAGGGCTAAATGGGCTGGGATCCTAAGGCTGCACCTTCCAAACACGTCTCGACGCGTCTTCTCGAACTTCGTCACTTTTTGGGGAATCTTGAAAGCCCCACGGAAATTTGTCACATCTTCAACCAAGACATCCCTGAACATCAATCGATCACTTTCCCTACTGCAAAGCACCATCACAGAGCACCATCTTCAATCAATTATTTATTCCTCTTGCTCTTCCCATCAAAAGCGACAACCTCTCGCAATCTAACCCAGCTTCCATCACCGCACACAATATCCCACTGCAGTTTGAAGATGTCTGACTACGGTGACGACATGGACGTGGACGGTCCCCCCGCCGTGTCCGTCATTCCGGAGTCCACGAAAGGCAAGCGGAGCGCTGCCAATCTCCCCGTCGAAGCCGAAGACAGTCTCCCATGGTTCGTCAATCAAATTCAAATGAATTCCAGCTTGCTCCAGGCCTCCCGCAAACTAACTCCTTCTATTACAGGGTCGAGAAATACAGACCAGCAACCCTATCAGACGTCTCCGGCCACCAGGACATCCTCGCAACCCTAAACAAATTCATCGAAACCAACCGCCTCCCCCACCTCCTCCTCTACGGACCCCCCGGCACGGGTAAAACCTCCACCATCCTCGCCCTCGCCCGCCACATCTACGGCCACGACAACATGCGCCAGATGGTCCTCGAGCTCAACGCCTCCGACGACCGAGGTATCGACGTCGTGCGCGAACAAATCAAGACTTTCGCCTCGACGAAGCAAATCTTTTCCGTCGCGCCGACTTCGAAACCCGGCGGCGGCGGTGCGGCGGCGGGGTTCAAGCTCATCATCCTCGACGAGGCGGACGCCATGACGAACACGGCGCAGATGGCGCTGAGGAGGATCATGGAGAAGTACACGGTCAACACGAGGTTTTGCATCATCGCCAACTACTCGCACAAGCTGTCGCCGGCGCTACTGTCGAGGTGTACGCGGTTCAGGTTTAGTCCGTTGAAGGAGGCGGATATCAAGGTGTTGGTGGATAAGGTGATCGAGGAGGAGAACGTCAAGATTCTTCCCGAGGCTACGGATGCGCTTGTGAAGCTTAGTAGGGGAGATATGAGAAGGGCGCTCAACGTGTTACAAGCCTGCCACGCTTCGAGTAAGTTTGGCACTACACCTCAGGACCTCTCTGTAGCATTTACTAATCGCACTCGTTGTGACAGGCACACCCCTACGGCCCAAAAACGCCCCCAAAATCCCCGAAAGCGAAATCGTCCGAGAAACCATCACGACCGAGACGATATACAACTGCATCGCCGCCCCAGCGCCCGACGCCATCCGCGAAATCCTCGACACCCTCCTAAGCAACCCGGATGTCACGTCGTGCCTGAGCACCATCAACACGCTCAAGACGGCGCAAGGGCTCGCGCTCGCAGACATCATCACGGCGCTGTCGGAGGAGATTGCGAAGCTGGAGGTCAAGCCCGAGGTCATGATTCATTGGCTTAGCGGGCTGGCGGATATCGAGCATAGGGTTGCTGGAGGAGGGGCGGAGGGAGTGCAGACGGGGGCGGTTGTGGGAGTGATTAGGAATGGCGTTGAGTTGTCGCAGAGGTAGCGTTGGGTGAGGAGGCATTGCTGCGGTTGAATGTAGTTAGGTGGACAATATGTTTGTCGCTCTGGATGAGGGATTGATGGAAGGTGAGATGGTCTAGAACAAAAAAAAAAGAAAAAAAAAAAAAAAAAAAAAAGAAGGGGGGGGGGGGGGGGGGGAGTCGTGGACGGAAAGAGGGTGAAGTGATACATTTACATGAGCCGGTCGGGATTCCGATGTCGAGATGGTTGGCAGCGAACGCAGAGGGACAAACTGACTTTCTCTCCATATTTCTTACCAAGTTCTCGCCGGTTTTTGCGCGACAGGAGCCATTGATCGACGGCACGTAGTCATTTTTCCAGCAGCCTCGGCGCCGGGATGGTTACGATACCTTCTTGACGAGTCCAAGCTCGCGTGTAATCTCGCACGCGATGTACACAGGTATGCACTCGGACATAGCGCATTCCCTTTAATTGAACTGTTTTGAAGGGTCCAGTCTCACGACTCTGGTTACTTGTTCAGGAATTGGAATCGGCTAGAATTGACTGGTGATCGCTTGCCGATGCATCTCCAAGCTGGATTGTCGGTGAAAGCTAGTCAGCCTCTGAGATTGCTACTTTACGCGCTTTTTTTTTCTTGGCCCATATCATTCTGCATATTTCAATGCTCCTGCAGAACAAATGTTCAAACTTCCTGAGTATAGACGCAAAAGGTAAGACGAGGGCAATGATGAAATGTCTCACTTTCTCGATCATAGGGCGAGATTGAGGTCACTTTGGCGTGCTATCAGAGTGGTTCTTGGCAGCACGTGGGAGCGTTGACAGGGTCCACGGAGCCGTTTTTTTCTGACATTGCAGATCAAATTTTCGATAGGGGGCTGGCTGGAAGGTTTATCTGCGCTGGATCCTGGATCATAAGTCTGGATCATCTCATGATGTATTAAACTTCGAGGCAATACTTCGGATGTTCAGTTTCAGGATTCGGCGGGTTCAGTGGGAAGTATTCAGTGTGCCGACTGGGGTCAAGCGAGCCAACAAAGCAGAGGAAAGGAAAGGGGAGAAAACAGACTGTACTTCGTACGAAGTACCTAATTAGGTCATTTCCAGGATCATGTCCAGGATCAGCCCAGGCTAGCAACAGTGAATCAACTGGGCTGTGCCATTAATAGAACACGAACGTTCTTCTGGAAGTACAATTTACTAGTGTTTACATTAATCTTACTACCTCTAAGTACTTTTGCACTTTGCAGGGGCATCACAGACCACGTCACTGGAACCGCAACCGCAAACTCGGAGCTCGGGCAGATAAGCACCAGAGACCAGGTTCTGGTCCAGTGGGTACGAAGTAGCCGGCTCCAAGAATGAGGTGCTTGCTGATCGGATCAAAGGGGAAAGGTGGGAAGGGAGCAACATTTCGCTCTGCATTCCACTTCAGAAAACAATAAGCGGGCTTCTAGGGTAAAGTCTTAATGTTTTGGATACTACAGTGCCACTCTCAAACACCAAACCGAGCACACATTCACCTGATGCTAGTGACGGACAAAACTTCGATTGGGGGGAATTTGGGGGTTGTCAGGAGGTGTGGCTGGGCAATACTTCCTAATCCAGCTAATCCAGCTGGCTATCGGTAACATCAGAGACCAAAAGAGAGAAGAGGGAAGAGGAAAGTTAAGATTTTTTCCACGGACATGGACCCCATGCCGCAGATACGGGGACTTGGAAGGCGGGCGGGGGAATTTGGAAATTAAACGCCTCGTATGGAAAACTGTGGGTGTGGAGTGAGACGGAGTGCAGGTCAGAAACTCATCGTACAGGATGCAGGTTCATGCTTCATGCTCAATGAATCCTGACCTTGCCTGGGTTGAAGCAAACCACGAATCAGGTCGAAAAAATCCCTACTTCTAGTGGTCAAACGAGCTGCAACTTGTCGAAACTGACGAGTTTTGCCGCCCTCTCCTCCATTATGATTGATGGAAGCTGCTGCAAGTACAACTAGACCTTTCGGCGGTCAAGTCAGGTCGATACCGGGGACAATCGCAGAGCATGTTCGAAGGGCTTCTGAATTTCGTACTTCGTATCACTCTGGCATTTTCGAGTGACTAGCCCATTCTGGTTACTTCGTTACCACCAAAAGGCTCAATCTTCTCCCGAGAAGGGCAATGGCACTCGATAACATATCAGAAATATCAGAATTGATGGATCCATCGTCTGACATGGGGGACTGTTTGCTTGTTGCATGTCTTGCCTTATTCATGCCACGGAATTCAAGCCCATCAGCGTTGAGTGCACGTGTGCAAGCCCTCATGCGGTGGGACAGGGGCCGAATAATTGGCCATGGGAATGTCTTAGGTCTTCTCAGCGCCTTGGAAACTCCAGTAAAAGTACCGGGGACGGTACCGGGGCGCTGTCAAATCGCTCGTCCCAAGAGCGCTTACTTACATAAATTAGCGACTTTGTACCTCGTGGTTGCAGCTCGGCGAGTTCCCGTGGCTGGTTCCTGGTGGCCGGGACGGTTTTGGCGGTTTGACGGATTCAGCCACCTTCGACGGTGGCTGAAGGACAAAGGCAGAGGAGAATTCCCGGCCTCTTTTCTCTCGACAACAAGAGCACGAAAGACGAGGAAATAACCAGATCAATCCTATTTGTCTAACCTTTGTATTGTTCCGATGATTCAATGTTCGGTCGAGTGACGAGTTGCCAAAAGTATCTATTGCAGGATCAGGGGCAGGCCATGTACAGCCCAGGTACATCAATGCATCTTGATACATCAGTTGCTAGTGGGCAATGGACGCACAACATTGGATGGACTCTCCCACATCCACGCTACTTCGGACCCAGAGGAGCACCTCAGGCTTCTTATTGGAAGTCTCAAGACCCTCCCAGCCCAGCGAGCGTCCGAGCCTTTCCCATCCCTGCCGTTGATGCCAATCTTTCCGCCATGTTCCGTCCTATCGGCACCCCCAGCTGCCATTTTCAGAGGCCAGTCGAGTGTTTGGCACCACACACACCAGGAGGCAGAGGAATTTCCTTAACGGCTGCATCCAGGCCAGCTCCACCCCTGTCTCCACCTCCAACCAGAAGCTAAGAATTGTTCTATCAAGTCGAACCCAAATACGAGATGAGACGCAAGATGGAGACCGCCTTGGAAGGGCTGGCGGCAGCTCTTGCCGCCACCACCCTCGCCCCGTGTAAGACGTAAGAAGATATGACTTGCTCCATACCCACCATGTGTGGTGTGAACCTCGTTCTTCCCCGTATTCCCTCCTCTCTCCCACGAAGTTGGGTTCCCATGAATCTGGGTGCCGAAGCCTAACATCTGGATCGGAGCCCTCGCCTTGCTTAAGCTACATCCCACTTGAACCCGCTCCGAGCTCGGTCCAGTTCAGGGCCTGCTCTGCTCTCCCTCCTTCCCCAGAACCGAACCTGCCCTGGTCGGGATTGTCATCCAAATCTGCTGTCTTGGCGGAATGGGGTTCTTACAGTCCCGCCGGAACGTCGCGGGGTTCCTTTCCATCCCTCATACCGTGCTCTCTCGCCGCGCGATACTCGTGCTCTCCATCGGGTCGCTCGTCTTCCTCATCACCTTATGGAACCAGTTCGCCGTATACTCTCCATACCATCATAGATACCCACCTCCTCCGCCTGGCCATCACGGTCCTCCCGCCGGACACCCACCTCACCTCCATGGCCCTCCGCCGCCGCCTCCACCCCCGCATCCTGCTCACCCCGACGCTCCTCACCTCGATGGCACTCACCCCGATGGCGCTCACCCCGACCCTCAAAGACCAGCGCCCTCCCAGGAGGAGGAATCAATCGCATCCCTCAGCAACTCCGCTGGCCCCAGTGTTTCTCTCGTTCAGGAGGACCCATTGTGCGCTCACCACCCTGACACGAGCAACATCGCCGTCGTCATGAAGACCGGCGCAACGGAATCCTTCGCCCGGCTCCCAACCCAGTTCATGACTGTGCTCCGCTGCATCGACGACTTCCTCGTCTTCTCCGACATGAACCAGACCATCGCCGGCGTCGAGGTCCTCGACGCCCTAGATGAGGTTCTTGAGTCCGCCAAGAAAGACAACCGCGACTTCGACCTCTACCGGACCCAGCTCGCCTGCGACGTCGACCAGAAGCCGTGCACGAGCGCCCTCAACGCCGCCGAAGCGGGATGGAATCTTGATAAGTACAAGAACATCCACATGGCCGCGAAGACGTGGAAGCGCCTGCCCGACAAGGATTGGTATCTTTTCATCGACGCCGACACCTACGTTACGTGGAATACTCTTGTCATGTGGCTCAAGACGCTCGACCCCAAAAAGAAGATCTATCTAGGAAGCGTGGCTCTCATTCGTGATTATCCCTTTGCGCACGGTGGGAGCGGGTATATTCTTTCTCGTGCGGCGATGGAGGCTTTCGTTGGTGAGCATCCGCGCGTCGCGAATGAGTACGATGAGGATGTTCACAATCACTGCTGTGGCGACTTTCTTCTTGCCAAGGCTCTCAACGAGACGGCTGGCGTACCAGTCACTCAAGTGGTACGGGTTCCCTCTAATTATTCTTCAGAATCAACGTAGAGTTGTGATGCTGACTACCGACACAAGTGGCCCACCATCAACGGCGAAAAGCCCTTTACCCTCCCTTATAGCAACTCGCACTGGTGCCAACCCATCGCCACAATGCACCACATGAGCCCCGAGGAAATCTCCTCCTTCTGGGAATATGAAACCGCCCGCTACGCCGCCGCCCTCAACTCGACACCCCGGTCGTCGTCCAAATCGTCCGCCAAGCCCGAACTCGAGCCGATTCTCGCTAGAGACATCTACCACGAGTTCTTCGCCCGCCGCCTCGTGGCCCGCCGAGACGACTGGGACAACGCTAGTGGCGAGCGTCTCTACCTTAACAGCTCCGCCAAGGAGTACTCGGAGTCGCAGCTCAAGAAGGCCTACAACGACGCCAAGAAGACCGAGGTCGAGAAGAAGGCGCATATGTCGTTTGAGAACTGTAGGGCTGCTTGTCGTGAGACGAAGAGGTGTTTCCAGTTTTCTTTCAAGGATGGAGTCTGCGGGTTCTCGTTCTCCATTCGCCTCGGTAAGCCCGTGCCGCCTAAGGAGAACACGAAGGCCCACGATAGGATGGCTTCGGGGTGGGATGTTGAGAAGATTGAAGAATGGGTCGAGAAGAATAAGGTGTGCAAAAAGGTGTTTTGGCCAAATATTTAAGGCCATGTTTGTGCCATTCACATCGACCTTTTCTCGCCTTTCGACCTCTTCATTTTCTTTGCTTCATTTCTTTCCTCTTTTTCCCTGCATATTCTTTGAGGATACCCTTTTTGCTGGCGTTTATGCCAGCGCAGCTCGCGGCTGTACATTAAGAACCCCGGGCCCAGGTATTGTACGAAACCGGAATCACATTTGTCCAATTTACTCGAGGAGGAAGACGTTGGCGGGTTGGCTCACGAGGCGTTACGAGCAAGGATACGGAGATCGGCGTTTTGTATACGGCGCAAAACGGGAAACATTTCGGAATTAAAAATGTGTTTGATCCAAGATAGATGGAGTGTGTTCGTTTTCTTGTTGAATTAGGATTTGTACTAATATCAAGTTCAATCATGTGTGTATCTTGTTTCTGGTGGAGGAGTGTGGAATGGTGAGATCCTCGCAATTATCCGCATCATGAGGCGGACAGAACACAGGCTTGGGATTTGGCAGGCGCAAAGACGGACTCTACCGTTTCTCTAGATATATCCTAGCCAGAATGTCCTTCTAAATACGGTCGCAATCCCGCAACCTGCCTCCATAACGCTGGGACTAGCATTGAAGCTCTCCCCACCCCCGACGTCCTCTCGACAAGCCGCCGCCATCAATCACCAAGAACGTCTGGCATAAAGCTGTGTCTTATTCCGAGGGTGGTCCTCGAGTAAAGTCGAGCCAGGCGATGACTCCTTTTTACTCACTCCATGTTTCGAATGATCTCGCGGCCATCAATGGATGTCGGCAAACGATTTTTGACCAAGAGACTTCCCTCGTCTCCGATCACGGATGGCTCGCGGTAAACCATTGACTTGCCCAATTCGATGGTCGAGATACCCCCTGGGCGCTTAACTACCTCACCGAGAAACCGGACAAGCTTATCCGGACGTGCCGTGCATCTGCAGCTGCTGTGTTGCCGTGAACGTAGGCACGTGGACGTTGAGCCTAGCCCATGCGTCTTTCTCGTCCTCCCCCGTTACCAGAAATAGTACAGCACCCGATTCTCCCCAAAATTCTCGATCGATGAGGTGCATCTCGGATATCTGTTGGTCGAGAGGTGCCCTCCCTGGAACCTACAGCAGGCTACGTTTCCAGGTTTGCGAGAGCATCGTCGCCCCCAAGGCCTCAAGCACATATTGGAAGAGCTTAAGCGAAGGTAGTACAGAAGGAGGGGGTTAAACGGCGCACGACACTAAATCAGGACCATCAGGGTCAGAGGGTCAGAAGACGACTCTCAATTAGCATCCGCATTCATCTCACTGCATAGCTCACATTTTCCGCGGACGAGCCAATCCTGGTTCCGTGCCTGAGACCTAAAGTCTACTTCAAGGACAGGAACAATCCAAGATCTCGCGCCTACACTACACCCACTTCCACGGTGGCATTTGTACCGCATGTAACGTCCCGCAGATGAGGAGTGATCGGTCCAGTCTACGGACGAACCTTTCCCGAAAGGAGTGTAAAGGCGGGGAAGACTACTTAAACAAAGCCATCGTAATGAACGATCAGTTGTAAAACTACAACTGTCTTAGTGGCTAGAGCGGGAGTGGCGGCTGGCCTGCTCGTGAGGGGGAAGATAGAGAGAAGGGACATGCTCTACTACGACATTCTTGTCTAGTCAGGTTGCAAGAAGCGGTTTTGATCTTGCAGCTAGCCGGCGAGTACCTGCTGTTTCATTCGCCAGTTTGTGTTTGCTCTCCCTCTTCATTTGGTCCATTGATGGTCGTTGACGCTGAATGTCTGTTTCCATAACCCAGATGTTCACCGGCGACCGCCAAGATGATGGCAGCAAAGATCTAGTATTCGTCGAGCATGGTATCAGTTACCGCCGCCCTGCTTCAATATCCCCTCCAATCGGAGGTACGGTGCTGGGTGGATGTCCTCCTTGGCTTGTCCTACGTGGAAGAAGTACGAAAATGTACCCTGGTCCCATATTGAAATTTCTCGTCATCGGATAAGGCCGACCCATTCTAAGTCTATTGGATATTGGGAGCATTAGGCTCTGTTCAGATTGTTCGCATCGGGTTCCTGTTAATCTTCCGGGGTTCTGTTCCTGTGTCTCGGTGCCGAATGGAATTTCACATCCATGTCTTTCTCCACGTCTCTTGCAGCGTGATTGCGGATGAAGGTGTGCCGAATCATCTCTCTACGTGCAGATCCAAGCTCGCGCTCGTCTTTCACGTCTGCTCTGTTTCCCGGATAGCTAGCCGCGCAAGGTATCGGAGCTCTCGAATCACTTCCACCCACTACGTTTTGAATCTGAGCTGCACTAGCACCAATGTCGCGCTGCATCTCGGCGAACGCTTCTAACAATAGAACAGATCAGGGATGGTGGCGCTCATGGCTGCATTGACTTGCATCTTGCATGCTGTATAAGGTGCAACGACACCCACTCGTCTTCGCCCATCTCGCCCATCTCGTCTATCCCGTTCCATCAGGTCACATACTCAAATACTCCGCCATCCAATACGCAGTCAGCCCTTTTAGTATATCCAATCCCTCTTGTTGTATTCCCTTTCCAAACTGCCCCGACGTTCAATCTCACCTCACCATTGGACCATATGAGCAAACAACATTGCCAATACATACACATATACACGTAAACACATGACCAGTTTCTGCCAGGTCCCGTTTCTAGTCATACGCAAGATCTGGTTCATTTCGCCCTTCCAGGCCCATTCCTGGACTGGTACTCTAAGATTCGGGGTACGTCTCTACGATCCATCCGACCTTTCGATTGTTCGGACTCGACGGCGCCTTTTCGCCCGCGAAGGATTCTAGCCGCTAACGATTGCATACTATATACCTCGGCAGACAGACACATGTTGAGAACAAAGTAGGAAATGGAGCCTCCTTGCCAGCTTTTGTAGCTAATCCCTCTATTACAAGGTTAAGCACTTACACAGGGAGGAAGTAACGAACCTCGAAGCGAGGTCACCGTCGAAAGAGGATGTAGAAAAGTGAAACGAGGAGAAGAAAAAGATAAAAATAACAAATAAAAGAGAACTGGGAAAGGGTTTGGTGTCGGCTACAAGCATGTCCGTCCTGCATTGATGAATTGTCTTTTCTGGCCACTCACTCCGTTCCTCTCCTTTCTGCCTCAATTTTATCCGCTCCGCCCGCCAGCCCAAGATTGCAAGACGCATATTGGGCTTCATATATCAATTGATGATCCTTCCTGCCCTTGTTCTTGCTATAATTAAAGGGTATTATTGACATCTGTGGCTTGTAATACGCCAGATATTCTTTTTATTTCTTTTCCCCCGCTTTCTTCGAGATAGATACCTGGTCTTCTTTGGACTTGGAAATCCCTTCATCACTGGCCCCGATGAAGAATACGTGAATGTGGGAAGGCCGGGGAGAATCAGAGGCAGCTGAGGCCAGCGAATTTCTAGAGTGAGGTTGAGGGATAACAAGGAAAGCGTGAAATCTAGATAGGTATACGCAGCACTTATTTTCGTGGGTCTGGTTGGACATATAGAGGCGACTTTGATGAAGCGAGGAGGATTCACGAACCCGACTCGGACTCGGCGGCATACGAAGAGTAGAATGATGCCTTGAGCTCCTTCATCTTGCATTGGCGAGATTACACCCATCCGCTGCTCACCTCCTTTGCTCTCGATCTCGCTCGCTTCTCGCCCTTTCCACTCTCTCTTCCCCTTCGTCCACCTCCCGTCTCATCTAATTCAAGGCTATGTTGAGATGTGGGTGACTCTGGGTGTGCTTTTTCCATGCGCGCACTCTTCTTCTGCTTCGCCTTCTCCTGGTAATCTTCCCCTCGAGGTTTATGTCCAGGTCCAAGCTGGAATCGTCCTTGGTCTCATGCATAGAATAGAGTACGGGGCTTCCCTTGCTTAAGATGCGCCGCCTATTGGGTTTAATTGAAGCTATAGTATGAGGCACTCTCCGCTTCCATCCAGGCAGGCCATTCCCTTCTTGGCAGCTTCTATCTCTTATCCGTTCCCCGTTCGAACATTGGCTTGGCCTTTAAGGAACCGGTGCCGGGAACAGAGAGGGCCATGGTTCTCTGGTTCCACGGTTGTTAACATATAATTCTTTTCCCCCTTCTACTCTCTCGTGTTATTTTTTCTTACCGGGACTAGGACGGGGAGACGAAGTGAAGCGAAGGAAAACGCTTCATGTTCTAATTGCTTGTGTGGTCCTTGGTTCTCCGAATCTTGACCCGTGCCGGTCAGAGACGCTTTAAGTGTCTAGTCTTTTGCATTTCTCCTCTTTTCCCATGGCCATTTACCCATGGCTATGTGGCGCGGGTAACGGTTTTTCTTCTTTATAATTTTTTGCTGTCCTTTCTTGCCCGTCTTTTTAATTACTTCAACGTACCTGCAACCTTGATTTTCCTCGCCAACTCCAAAGTAGTGGAACAACAGTCGCAGCAGGTGTTGGTTCAAGCCTGTTAGTCGAGGATGTGATATCTTTCTTGTCACTTACATAGTCGACGCCGCTCTGCCCCCTTCCCACCATCCATCTCGCTTCTTGGACCAACGCGCTACGAACCAACTTGCTTTCCCACTCGCCACACACCCCCAATACCGCCGCGAGCCACCAACACTCAGAAAAGAGACAAGAGTGAGAACCGTGTACCCGGTATCTCCCAAGGCGGATGAAAACCAACAGCATCTACGACCAACATCTCGAAGCTGCACGACTGCTTGATTATACCCTCCACCATCGAGACGGAAGTACACGCAGGGAGGGGGGTGGGAAACTGTCTAGGGAGCTTGAAGCCCATGGAGGGGAGCTGTGTGATTCCATGACGTACTGGAGACTGAGACATTCGCGTTGCTTGCGAGACGAGAAATGATCGTGCTTGAAGCTGTCGACGACGAAAACGACTGCCCTCATCTTTTGTATATAAAAAGGGCATTCCTCACATCATAACTCGACTTAAACCCCCTTCGACGAATTACGCTCAACCATTCCTTTTTTAATTTTCCTATTCGAATATAATCCGGACAATATGATCTTAACGAAATCGACACTAATCCTCCTCCTCGCCACTCTCTCACTCGCCGAGCCCTCACCATCCTCCGCAAATCTCCGTCCATTACGCCCACACGACCCTCTTGCAGAAGCCATATCCAGCAGCCTCAAACGGAATGACGCCGGAAACACCACCACCACCAATTCCTCAACAGACGGAGCAGACAGGGTACTACGGTATTCCCTGCAGCAGAAACAATTCAACGGCACCGCAGCAACAACGGCTCGGAGAAGACGACAACAACACAAGGCGCGGAGGAGGGATGCGATGTTTGAGAGCGACGAGGAGGCGAGGCTCGTGAGGAGGGAGAAGTGGAATTGGAAGCATTTGGAGGATTACAGGGGATATCTGTACTTTATGGAGAGTAAGTTCTCTTCCCAATCTCCCAGCTAAGCTAAGCGAAGAGGAGAGATAGCTGATAACGAAACCAAAACAACTAGTCGAGATCGGAGACCCTCCGCAGCTAGTCGGTCTTACGCCCGATACGGGGTCATTCGAGACGTGGGTGAATCCCAATTGCGCCAACGCCGCAAGCGCCTATCTATGTGCCAAGAACGGCATGTATCATCCCGAGCAGTCAGAATTGGCAGTCACACAGAATGAGCGGTTCGATTTCGGGTATGGCAGTGGATGGGTGAACGGGTTATACTACGAGGATAGGATATACTTTCGGAGTAAGTATCAACAGAGTTGAGGCTTGGGGAAACAGCCCAAGCTTGGGAACGCCGTCTTTGGTTCATATGCTGATCGGTCTTGTCCTGGGTTTTGTAGACGAAGATGTCGGCATACGGCAAAAGTTTGGGCTGGCCACCGACTCGAGCTACGCGGTCTCCGGGATTCTAGGCCTAGGATACGGCATCGGCTACACAATAAACTACGCCAACGTCCTCGATTCGCTCGTCAAGTTCGACCTCATCAACGCGCCCATCTACAGTGTGTCTCTTGGCGGACAGGGCCAGGGAACAAGTAAGCACAAAAATAAAAACCTACGAAAAAGGTGCGAGAGTACGGGGTCTCGGTCCAGCTAACTCGGAGCCTTTTCATGACAACAGGTGAGATTGTCTTTGGTGGAGTCAACCAGGCGAGATATAGCGGCTACCTTCAAGCCGTTCCCATATGGCCTTCAGTCTATGAGCAGGCGCAGGATTGGGTCCAGTAAGTCCTTACAGAGTCTTCTCCTTCCATTCTCCTAACTGTTGAAGAAATCAGACCTCTTCTAACATCTGGCGAACTTCTCTCCTTTTCAGCTACCGTGTTAATGTCAGTTCAATGGGTTACACGACTCCATTCGGCAAAAAAACAAGCTTCTTCAACCCCGGTACCTCGTCGGATCTAAACGTCCTCGTCGATACAGGTGTGACATACACCGTTTTACCTCCGGCAATGGTAGACGCCATAGCGGAACAGTTCGGAGCCAAGTGGGACGTCGGCGAGTACACGGTCGACTGCGCCATGCGGGACCAGCCGGGGACTTTCGACTTTGGGTTTAACAATGACAAGTTGATTATCAGGGTTCGATACTTTGATTTCATTCTTAAGATTCAGGAAGGGAGGTGTACATTTGGGCTGCAGCAGGGTACGGATTCGGACGCGATCCTTGGGAACACCTTTTTGCGGGGCGCATACGGTGAGTTATTGTGAGACGATGTGCTCTTATTCCGTGGATGCTGGTTGCTAACTTGGTTTTCAAAGTCGTTTATGATCAGTCGACGCATGCCTTGTGGATGGAGAACTATGACGAGTGTGGATCGCAGGTGGCGGCGGTAGGGAGGAGTGCTGGAGATGTCGGGAGGACGAGGGGGTTGTGTTGAGAGCAGATGGAAAGATGTTTTCACTCTTCCTGTTTCTCCTCTCTCCCTCCCTTTATCCAACCTGCATCTTTCGTTTCGTTTCGTTTCGGTATGGCATAGATACGGTTATTCTTACTCAAGGCATGGTTCGCATTTGGGGGGAACATGGAATATGGTGGGCGGGTTTTCCCTCGTGAGTATTTCTGCGAGATATCGTGAACATTGCATGTACTGTTAGGCGGATGGTTTGGCAGCAATCGTCTTTATATATTCAAGTTTACACTGGTGATAACACATACAGCAATCTTGTCACTTCTTGACGGACATCTCCCTTCCTCAGTAGCCCAGTGGCCCTCATGCCCACTCACCGCGAACATCTTCTCCCAACGGTCCCTCCCTCGTCCAGATATTCATGCCCACCTTCCACCCAGATGTCACCGGCAACCCGGCATGCAAAGTCCTCTCATCCCCCTTCCCATCCTCACCAACGTTCTGCCAATACACCACATTCCCCTCAATAGGCTTAAACGTAACCCCACGCTCATACTCCTCGTCGCAGTCAATAAACCTACACCACCTCTCATCGGCCGGCGCGTTCAAAATGGGGAAATTAGTCCCGCCGCCCGTCGTGCCCTCGCCGACACCCACGTACCCGAAGAACGAGCTCACGCGCTGGCCGCCGTGGCGCGCCGTGCTGTGCGCCGGGTCGATGAACCAGTCGGTATGGAAGTGGTAGTGTTCGCCCGAGGCATAGCGCACGAGCTGGATGGGCTCGACGTGGTTGGCGGGCGTGTCGAAGCCTTGGAAGGAGGTGGCGCGGGATTCGATACAGCGGACGACGGGGTCGTCGAGGGGGACGGTGGTGGATGAGGAGGTGCGGATGTTGTTGTCGATGGAGGAGCCGTTGGAGGAGATGATGGCTGAGTGTTTGAAGTGGTCTTTTCTGTTGAAGAGGTGAGCGGCCCGAATGGATTGAGAAATTGGATGAGAAAGATCTAGTTTCCCCGAGCATAGATAGAAACAAAAATAGCGGAAACTTACGCCAAGTCGAGGAGATGGGCGCGCTCTTTGGCGGTTACAAAGTTGGTGAGGTAAAGGACGAGGGGCGATTGCGAGAAGAGATGCACTTTGTAAGGCGGATGAGTGCACTTGTAGGGAGCTTCAGTCTCGCTTCCTGAAAGCGGCTTCTGCTCTTCGGACAAGACACTAGTGGCGAGGAAGACAGCTGCGGCAATGAGGTCTCTTAGTCGTAAGCGCGCCATGGTTCCGTGGGGATGAGAGCGTCAATTGACGGATACGAGTCGAATTGATATTATTTTCTTATGAGTCCTTTGCACCAAGCAGCGTGTGTGGATCGTGAGACAGGTCAATTAATCGAGCATTTGGTGTTCAACTCGAGCTTCAGCTCCCTCCGCGATGCTTCCGGCCCCGGATGAGGGGAGCTTAGAAACTTTTTATTCCATCACCTTCAACCAACCCTTGGTTGCTTGGATCGCTCTGTCCTTCAAACGGTATCGGACGATTGGCAGCGCCATCAACCGGGACCTGGAAACCCTGAAGCGCTGGGAGAAGGGGGATGAAACATCTCAGGAGGTTCGCGGGGACGTTTCGCGCACGGAGGCGTCCGGGCTCTAGTGCCGAACTGGCGATGATCGCAGCGCATGGAACCTCGAGCTCTCGTTTGAACTAGTACCCCTGATCCACAAAATCCTGGGTAGGTGTGAATGTGATGGAGGGGACGCGAGAGAGTTTCGAGAGCTTCGGTCTGGAAGCTTTTTAACTTCAATTCGTGATTTTAGTTCTGACTTCTTCCCAAAATATCCTCTTGTGGGCGGATTACAACTAGCTGAACGACGAGAGCCGACATACAAACGGCTCTAATTTTCGCTATCCTTGAAATTTCCGAACGTCGGAAATGATGACGAGCAACAACTATCGGCGACTGCTGTTTTGCGCCGGCGCGATTGCGGTTTCGCCGACCTTGGGATGGACGTTTACGAAGCCACACGACCTCGACATCGCCATCAGCCGTGACGAAAGCACATTAATAGCTTGTATGTTGACATCCATGTGGATTCGATGGTCGCTTGGCCTGGAAAGAAGAATATGACCTTGCTAACGTGATGGGCAGTTGTAATGGTAAGCTTAGCCATTTGATCGCAGACTAACAACTGGACGGCTAACACAAGCGATTGCGACCACATCCAGCCCGAGTTGTAAGCTCCCCAGGCCTCTTTCCACGCTACCGAGGAGAATGAGTCTTGTACTGATAAAATGATCTCATTAGAGCATCGTGCAAAAAACTAGAATCAGAATGGGAGCTCGTCGAAAAGAAGCACCCCCGGACTGCGGTGGTAGACTGTGGCGAAAACGCCGAATACTGCTTCAAACAAGACGTCCTCACACATCCCACCGTCCGAGTCTACTTCCCCGACAACACCATGGAGAGATACCGGGGACCGCGAAAAGCTGATCCGTACGGAAATTCCCAACTTGGTTTCCTTGGGGTTTTGAACCTGAGAACCAGATGCTCTTCTACTTCAGCGCTAACGTAAGACGTTACTTGGGAGCACAGGATACTCTCGTTCGTCAAACGCATCCACCGACCAATTCTGCCCGTGACAGACAAGAACGAAACTGCCTTCCTAAACTCCGACGAGGTCGTCATCATAGGACGCCTGCCACCGCTCACCGAAGAGCCTGAATCAGAGCTCCTGCACAAGCGTTTCGCCGCCGTTGCACACCGTTATCGAGATCGCTACACCTTTGGCATCCAGACCATCACCGGCGACAGTTCCTCCGCCAGCCTCAAGTGCCAGAACAACATCGACGGTCTCGGCCACGACACGCCGGATCTCACCCGGGTCCCGGCCATGGAGAGCTTCGTAAAAATATGCGGCACCCCCTTGGTAGGTGAGCTGTCGCGGAGAACAGAGCTTAGTCTCGTCAAGGTAACGAACCCATTCATCTTCAAGTTGTTACACCTGTTTGTTCCTCTTCCGGCTAACAAGCGCACCCACGCATTGACAGGCAAGCAAATCTATGGTTCACTACTTCACCGACTCCGAAGAAGACAAAGAAGCCTACATAGCGGCCATCCGACCGCTCGCTCAGAAATACCGCGAATACCTCAACTTCGTCACCATCGACGTGAACGAGTATCCCGACATGACCACCAGTGTGGGTCATCGGAAGGGCGCCTCGCGCGTCGTCGCCGTGCAGAACCCGCATACTTGGCAGGCTTACCCGCTCGAGGAGGGATCGGAGGTGTCGGCAGCGAGCGTGGAGCAGTTCATACTCGCCATTACGCAGAATAAGGTGGCCCCGTGGGATGGGACGCCCAAGGAGGATAAGCTGGTGGAGACTGCGGATGAGGGGGTTGGGGAGGTTGAGGAACAGGAAGAGGGAGAGACAAATGCTAGTCACGACGAGCTGTAGAATTACTGTAAATCAAGGTGTTCGGGAATTACTCATGGGGATATATGAGCCAATTGATATTGAATTTATTTATTTTCGCCAATTACTGGAACAGGTCAAAGTAAAGATTGTTCATGAGGAGAGAGCTCCGAAATTTGTTGGTGTCTGGTGAGAAATTTGGTGATATTTTAAAACACTGGGGCTAGATTCTTATCAGAAGTTAGCTAATTTTACTTCAACTTCTCCAGGGCGCATGGTTTAGTGGTATAATTCCTCTTTAGCATAGAGGCGGTCCCCGGTTCGATTCCGGGTGCGTCCATCTATTTTCGTCATACGATTGATTGAACTTTTTTTTTTTTTTTCTCCTTTCGCTCTTGTCTACTTGCTTCTTTACCCCATTTCTCTTTTCAGCACGATCGAGTCCTTTCTTCCTTCTCCTTTCCTTCTCTTTTCCTTCCCTTTTTAATTATTAGTTTAGTAGCTCTATCATCCGAATATCAATTGATACGTTTCTGCTCGACCGTAACCACTTGTTTAACACCCGATACCCATTTCATCAAGGAAGACTCATGAACACCTCCAGCAGCTTTGGATATTTCGGCGTCCTAAGATACTCGTTGTCAGTTTGTCCTCTGCCTCTGCCTCTACCATTCTCTTCTTCGTTGAAACAGATCACCTACCCGAGTCCCGTCACTGGATCCCAGCCCTTGACCGCCGGGAACCCCCTTGATAGGCAGTTGGGATTCTCCCCTTTGGTGATATCTTCAAATATCTCAGGGTGCGAGTACTGTCCTCTAAGTTAGCCCGCCGAGTTCAAGGGTCGGGAGACCGTTCCGTCTACCAAAACTTACAATGACTGGATGAACCCATCCTACTGTACTCTTCCCCACCGCCAACCTCTCCTCGTTCACCAAATTCAACATCGACGCCACGATCGGCGCCGAAGCCGACGTTCCCATCATGAGAACCGGGTGTCCGCGGTGCACCACGTAGATGTTGTCCCCGATGGCTGACAGGTCAGGGTATCCTCTCCCCTCCAGATTAAAATTCAGGCCGTCGGATCCGATGGTCTCGTAGTCCGTGCGACCGCCGTGGTAACCTTCGACGTCGAGGGTGATGTTTGAAGCGGCCAGGGTTGAGAAGTAGGCTTTTTGGTGGGCGAGTTGGTATTCTGGGACGGGGTAGACGTTGGAAAAGCCGCCTCCCGAGGAGAAGAAGGTCGTGGCGGTTTCTTCGTAGGGGCCGGTGAAGCGCTGGAGTTGGTCGAGGTTTGGCTTCTTCGTGCCCCTGTCGTCATCGTCGTCGCCGCCGCCGCCGCCTCTTCCCTCTTCCTCGCCTCTCCCATCGTCTCCTCCCCGTCCTCCGCGGCCGGTCCTTTCATCGCCCTCATCGCCTTCATCGTCCTCGCTCTCTACCCTCCTCCACTCTGTCGACCCAACGGTCAAAACGTAGGGACAATTCCCCGGGAAATTCGGGTTAAACACATCGTAATTCTCCCCGAGACATCCCACCGGTGGAGGATCCCTCCTATTGCTCCCCACTCCATAATCTCCCGACGAGACCACCACCGTAACACCCTGCAGGGCCAATTTCATAATCTCGGCACACTGCCTCCTCAGGTACGATGCGGGGAGACTCGCTTCGGAGCCGCTGTAAGATATCGAAATGATGTTTGTCGGCTCGAACGTTCCGCATGCCAGGGGGCCGTCGTAGCCGCCTGGATTGGAATTGGGATAGGTTGGGTCGAGACATTCGGGGTCGAGGCAGTTGCCCGTTTGATTGTAGGCTGTGAAATCACAATAGCTTCCGTCTATGGCATTGAATAGATCTAAGCGGCGCTTCTTTTTAGCAGGAAATGCAAACCTGGATAGAGGGAGAAGGGGAACCAACTGTTAAAGTAGCCCTTGTAAATGAGTGGCTCTTGGGTATGTTGCTCTTCGTACCACGGATCATCGACGTGCCAGAGGACGGTTTCTTGAGGCCACACAAGAGACATGCCTAGTTGGAAATCCATCACGGCCTCGGCCCCGGATTCAGACCGATTGCTGGTTTCGCCGATGGCCCCGTTGACGAGATTGTTCTGCGGATGTGACCCCTTCGGCACCCACCTTTTTACCAGATACGGTATCTCGGTCAATGTTATGTTTCTCACGGGCAGAAGAAAGGAGAAATAATCGGAGGGAATTGGACTTACGGTGCCACAGCATGAAAGTACCGGTCCAAATCTCCCTGCCAATACCGAATGTTGAGCCCTTGGAATATGCCAAGCTTGTTATCGCTTCGGTTCTTGGTTCCCTCAGGAATGTCATACTGGGCTAGTGACTTGCAATTAGCATCGAAAATGCTCGCAAATGTCTAGCCTAGTTCACCTCCTTTACCTCTAATGCATTCAGGGGTGACACTGTAAATACAGTCATTATAAGGCGGTATGACCTCCGGCTCCTCTACCTCTGGTTCGGCGCCGTCGCGCTGATTCGTGCCTTCACTGCCGGCGACCGCCTTGGATTTGCCGCTCCATGACTTCCCCGGCGATTTATTTGCAAAGGGCAAACGGCCCTTTATTAAAACATCTGATCCGAGATGCCGACGCCAGCGAGACTGTTTGTCCTTAGGGCTAACCTCCCGTTCGTAAGTCCTCTTCTGCTGGGGCTGTACCAAGCTATCCTCCGGCATAAGCCTAATTCCAGGCGTTATGTAGTCAATATGATCGCGGACACTCTCCGGGAGGTAGTATCTATGAGCTCCCGTGTTAGGAAGCAAGGGTCTAACATCTTGCAGACCTGCAGGAAGGAGCCTTACCCAGAACAGGCAACATTCACGGTCCCAGTATCCTCATGCTCGTAAATATGAAAGTCCGCGTAAAAAAGAGCCTCAATCTCCTCCACCGTTGCATCGAATTGGATCCACTGGTTAACATGTTAGTCCTTTTATCCTCACCAAATGACACCAGTTAGGTCTCAATTCACCTGCTTATTGCGCGACCTTGATATCCTCGACGCAGAGATGCCCTCCGATACTAACCACTCCGTCACAGCCTTGACCCTATCCTCGCTCGGCTCGAAGAACTGGAGGACTTCTTCCGGGGAAAGATGGTTTCCATAGTTTGGAGAGTTCGGATCTGATCTGATCATCGGAAGCTCAAATGTTAGCGTGAATGTTCTCTTCCCGTGTCTCATTCCGTACCCAATTCATCAATCCACTTACATATCCCGTAAAATCCTATGCCCCTCGTCAAGATTATCTTGCATCAGTCCCACCCGCACAGGAAGTAGAGTCTTCGCATCAGCTCTATTCCTCTTAGTCCATAACTTGGCATGATCCGGCAAATGCCTCTCGTGTAGGATATGTGATCGCGGAATAAGCCTCGATGTGTATGGATTCGAAATCCTCTCCGGAAGGGCCGTGGATACGGCCTGCGAGGAGAGGAGGCAGACAGCTCCTAGATAAAAAATTTTCATTGTGTTTCTCCAAGACGACCCGCGGAGTTGGATGCCCCTGTGTGACGGTGAGATTCCCTCCCAACCGAGGATTTTTATAACGGACACGGCGTCAGGTTCTTTCCTCAAGATATCACCTAGTAGAGGAAGCTGTATGAATTCATACATAGAAACGAGAGAGTCGAGTATTGTGAGTTCTCTTTTTAACACCTACGCCCCAGTCTTGCCGTGCCGTCTGTAAGCCGACGACATGGCCCGAAATGGGCATGCAATTGATTAAAAGGAAGCCAAGTAAGAACGGATCACGGCCTTTAGTACCGCAATGCTGGGTATGTCCATAGCTGTAAATCTAATAGATTTCCCGCCGGTTAATATAATGAAATCACACCAATGCCTTGGGGGATATGTGTCCGCTTGACCTTCTTCCCGACGAAGGAGAAACAGACATCGCAAACCGCATGGCACAGCAATCTTTGTCCGTCGACTTAATCTTTGTAAATCTGAAATGAGTTAGGTTTCGTGAGGAAATCCTTCCTCGCCACTGCGTGTATTCCACAATTAGTGCCCTCGGAAATAGAAAGGCCATAAAGGGTCGCATTATAGCCACAGAAAATATGTTCTATTTAATTTCCGTCGCCTACCGGGTCTTCAGATCATGGTTCAGGTAATCTTCGGCGTCCGGAGCATGGCCGAGTATGGCTCCTCAATTTTGATATGTAGTCATTAAGAGAGAATAGTGTCCAAGACCTTACAATCGAGATACTTCCCTGTCGTGCTGGAAAGACAAAAGCAGGATTTTCAATTAGACGTCCTGACTGATCTGGATACGGCATCCTGTGCAATATCTTTCTGAATCTGGACGAAAAGAAACTTGGGTATTCGTTTTATTCCTCTGCGATTTACCACGGTCCCTTACCCTCATCCGGCCATTGATCCGCCAAACCCTCGATATGCGCCAGCCCAGCATCCGTCCTTCTCGCCACTAGTTTTCTCAGATTCAACATGACACTATACCTAATATACGTGGATCCCGACTTCTTAAAATAGCCACCTCCAATACCATGAATATCACTCCCGCCCTTCGAATAATACTGGCTCATCAAAGGCGGCTGCGTCGTAATACAAACTGGCCTCTCGCCCTCATACGCCCCATCACACCAGTCTCTCAACATCAAATCGTAACTACTCGTAAATTCCTCCAGACCGAACTTCAGCAGCAGCTTCCTGGCTCCGCGCCTGCTGACGGCATACGCTTGTATTCCCGCAGTGCCCCTCGCTTCGTGGACTACGCGCGTATGGGGCTCGAACCGCGCGGCGAAGTCGTCGATACGATCTGCGAACGGATGACGTTTAAGATGCCTCTTGTCCGCTACGGTCTCGTCATTGGGAATGAGGATGGTGAGGAGGGACAGCGGGGCGTGGTTCGAGTTTAGTTCGCGCGATGTCCAGTCGGAGGGGAGGTGGCTTCCTACGTGGCCTAGCCAGATGACGTCCCAGTCGTCTCCGTAGGGAGAAGATGTTGTGCTCGGTTTCTTGGTCGCCGGTGTGTTTTGGAGTTCTTGGACGTAGGCGTCTTCTTGGAGGGTTTTCGAGAGCGCCGGGAAAAGGCTCGCGAGGTTGTGGGAGGGATCGTTTTGTAAGGGTTGGAGGTAGGCTTGGGAGGCGAGAGCAAAAGCTTGGGCTTGGGATTTTAGACGGATGTCCCAGTCGGCGTCGTCTTCCATGATCAGTGCAGAGGTTAAATTCTCTTGGACGATTCTGGGACGGAGGGGAGCACGGTCAGTTTCGGTAACATCGAGGAAAATCGTCGCCGGAGCTAGACCCACCTTTGTAGCACATTCATGTGTGCCCTCCAACTCCCCGTCTTACCAGACCAGTTCACATTCTTCTCCCGTGGGCTTGGCGGGAGCACTTTCTCGGGGATATTGGCGCCGCGGACACCGTCGATGTAGGTGAAATCGAGGCCAGTGACGGCAGCGGCGAGGGTCATGAGGTCCCGCCGATCGGTTCGTTCTGGGAGGTTTACAACGAAGATTTTGCCGAACTGTTGGAGAAGGTAAGAATGTGGGATTCGAGTGACTGGGAATTTATCACTTCTTAAGCTTGTGTCGAGGCATTTACCCCGTTGGGCGACTTACACCGAGAGTTGAATTGAGGACTTCCTCAGGTCCATCGCTCAACCTCCGCTCAGGAATACCATGATCGCGAGAGAATAGAATTATGAGTCCGATAATAAGAAGAACAGCGATTAGCAGGCGCCGCGCCCGACAGATGTGGATCAGCATGTCAACATGTTGCCACAACCTGGCAGAAGAGAGATGGTGATGTATCTCCAACTCAGGTGGTCTTGCTTGCTCGCAAAGAGCCGTCGGAATCGAAGCTCTCTTCCTTTGTAGAGAAGATGTACTTCAAAAGAAAGAAAATTACGAAATCGATAAGATTGAAGAGAAGAATCCCATGATGTCAAGGACAGATCAGTCGCTCTCAAACGTGATACACGAGAGCTTCTGCGGGTTGGCTAAAAACGGGTAATATAACACGAGGCACACCCAAGATATTCGAACAATCGATATTGATATTACTTCGCAGGCCCTGATCTTTCAATTTCGGGTCTTTAGTATCTCCAATTTGCGTGAGATGATCCCGACAGCCCGTTGCGAGGTCCATTTCTTAAACAAAAGCTCAATCCTACTTCTGCTTTTCTCAAGTCGCGCACGATCCTCACCGTTACAAACAAGGCGTAATCGCCGAGTCACTACAGGGCTCCATCAAACCGGAGTTTTTCAAAAAGGAACATCTAAATGCAAGAATAGGGGCCGAGGGGCCAATTACAAGTTCAGACAAAGAAGTCGGTTCCCAGGTGGGTTCACTAAGACTTTGCTGTTTTGACTGGTAAGATAGGGTTAGGATGGTGGGTTTGGTGCGGGGCCAAGTGATGAGGAGCAAGGTCCGCCTCTCGGAGCAGGAAACGGGTCAAGCATCTGTAAAAGATCGGACAGGATGGGGCGCGGGATGAGCCTTATTCTCGGGGGAGCTGATTAGCTCCCGCGACACTGCCATCATTAGGGCGTACTTTCAGAGCTGATGGTCTGTACATCAAAATCAGGCAACAACAGCGAGGATTCTAGATCTGGGGAGCCAGGCCGCACCGGGGATTCTATGCTGGCAGGGCGAATCTGATAAGCAGCGCGGGGGCGAGCTGGTGAATCGAGCAAATGCAACAGGGATTCTATCTCGTTGGATTCCGTCCCTTTGTGGGCAGGCCACATATGGCAAACGTGAAAAGGGCGATGTCGCACAATGGGATCTACGAACTCCTTGTAATAGGATGTCATCGGCGATCAAGCCTTGACAGTTTGCGAAAGATGGACCGTAACACTCATGTCGAGGGCCTTTGCTACGATGCATTTGGGATCTGGTCAGGCCCAGACCAAAATCAGGCTGCCACGAGCAACATGAGCAATGTGATGAACCTGAATCCGAGCTCGCCTACTTCGTACATGATTGGAATACCAGGCCAGTTCCACAACAATCGAGCCTCAGACTGTTTTTAACCCTCAGCCACTGGTGCAGAAGTTCCTTCACACACTCCACAGTCAAAGAGGCTTAACCCTGAGATTATGGCAGAGAGCCAGCCTTCAACCTGCCGGTGGGCATCCACTCCGGAGATGGGCATGACAGCGCTTCAAAAAATAATGAAATAAACAAATAAAATTCATAATCTGAGCGGGGGGATTTCTTTTAGGACCATTTTACAGAAGGTCTTATCGGTCATGTCATCGGTATTCAACACGACGTTCGGCAGGTTAACTGCAAACCGCCCAACATCACTCCGTACTTCCATGTGTGGCTTGGACCAAGGCGACCTGATGCTTCCTCCCCGTTGAGCACTGGTGCGTCCCGATAGTCTGGGGCTGCCGTGCCACGGGAGGTCAGCATCGCCAGCGGCATGGCTGTCTTCATTTATGCACCGCATGTTATGAGTGGGGTGGGTGAGGCTCACCGAGGTGGGAGTGGGAATGCAATTTTCGGTCTTGAGACTCGGAGGGAGCCGGGAGGTCATCAATGCAGACTCTCTTTGTCCCACCCAAAAATATCCATCCCTGATAAATCGGTCGTGGGGCTGGCGAGAAGGCGAACAGTGAACTGTCTGCCAGAGTCGTCTGCCCCGAAGCCTACGCAATAGGCATTTTTTTGAGAAGCCCGAAAAGTGAGCAGAATTGATAGAATACGAACGTGAGACGAAGAGGGAGATTCCTTCGTAAAGCAGGCACATTGACATGACCTCCTGTGGAGCATGTCGTGCAGCAATTGTGGCTCTCTCCCGAGCCTTCTCGTTTCAAATACGGATACCCGGCATCTCATCATCGCTGCCGAGAATCATCTCGGACTTGGGGAGGGTAATGGACGATAGTTTGGGGAGGCTTCCAGGCATGGATAACATTTGATGTCACCTCCACTAGGGCGGATTGACGGCATCAATAGCGTTCTGGTGTGTTGTGTGTGCAGGTTACCCCGTTTATCGACATTTGACAAGGCGCAGCAAGTTCCTGTCGCATTTGAACCCTAGTCAATTGATGAGGCAATTCACAAGAAGGAGCGAAGCCGACAGGCGGGGAGAGCACCCGAGAACCAATACTATTTTGTACAAAGTAGAAGTCAATGTGGGCATTCTCAATCCGTGACCATTTCTCGATTTACGGGCTTCCTTGGGCTTCTTCCTTCCTCTTCTTAAGCTGGGTCTGATTGTGGCAGGTGTTGGCCCGCGGGACAAACCGACTTTTAGCCAAAGGGCAGGCGCGAGGAGCAACGAAATTGACGTCCCGAACGTGCTAGCGGGGCGGCCTGCGAGGAGACCTTCCTGACTTCTGAGGTTGGTGTGGCTGAAGTCGGACCCCAAAATGTGGCCGATGCGAATCCAATCAGACGTCAGAGAACTCGAAATGTATTAATATTTCCATTTGGTCCATTCTTAGACTTCCTTCATAAAAGGACTACCAAAATATTCAACTTCGCACAATGGCCCTGGCAGGATCGGTATGTGGTGCACAGCTTGTGCACAGCCTCAGTGCTCTCATTCTCCGAGTGGTGTAAGTACACCAAGGTACTAGCGTATTGTATGGCGGGGATCATCTATTAGCACTGTATATTTGCAACTAAGAAGCAGAAGTTGACTCGGTCACCTTCGTCGTTAAACACTGTGGCCAAGTCCGGGGTACAAATCACTACTCGAAATATTGTTAGTCACCGCTCCCTCCGCCCTGTCGATGTGGTGCGCGAACAACAAAGTCGTACTTCGTACACAGGTACTTGGTGGTGTGCTTGTACCTGGGACCCTCTTCTTGTGAATGCATCCATTGATGTGTCTCGCCCTAGCCGCCGGGTCGTGTCGCTTGTCGTTTGCACAATTGAAGATGGTCGGTCTCGTCCACGCCGCCCCAGTCCAAAAATACCTTGAACAGGCTCGAGTCGTATAAAACATGACCTTGTATCTCACTGCATTGCTGCATCCATCTCCCTTTGCCCTTCGGTGATGTTACCACCCAGAGCCTTCATGCGGGAACTTTCCACAGCGGCTGCCTCTTGAAGATCAGCAAAGAGAGAGACGACAGCACAATCTCACCCTCGTTTGTTCCCTCCTTTCTTCATCGCTCCCTGTCTCACTTGACAGTCCACATTTGAAGTCGATCGCTCCAGTCTAAAGCTCTCGATCTCAGCTGAACCCCCACCTGAAAGTAATTTGATCACTCCCAAGCGCCGAGTCCATCCTTAGCGTTCTAGTGTCCAAGCTTCGTTCGATTGATTCCTTTACCCCGTTTGTGTCTTCTGTCTTGTCTCTCCCTCTTCAATAGACGCGTGAGCTTCAATCGCCTCCACCGGGTTTCTGTGTCCCTTCGCGAACATCCCGCTCGCCCTTTGAAGAATTAGCCGCCCAGTTTTTTTCTTCCCTTTCCGTTCCAGTCCGCCCACCCACAAAAGGGGACGTCGCGATGGAGTCGTCCGCTTCTCCTTCGGGAGCAAGCTCGCACGCGACGCAAACCGGCCGGCCTTCGCTCTGGACAGACTCGGACCAGCGCAAGCTTGGCCGTCTCTACGTCTATACGACTCTGCCCCTCAAGAAGATCCTTGATGTCATCCGAGCTTCCTCTCCTACCTCTGGACCTGGGTAAGTGAGACGCCTCTCTTTGCCCTCCCCACCTGCTATGGGTAACATGGCTAACATCGTCGACGCAGAAAGGATTCGGCCAATAAAAAGCTCAACGCCATGCTCGACAAGGAGCCCCGATGGCTCCGTCCTCGTACCGACACCGATGTGGAGCGCCGCATGACAGCTCTGGCACATTCGCCCACTCGATCGATCAAGCGCGAGCTTCCATCGCCCGGCGGTATGCAACAACACTACGACCAATCCCCCATCTCTCCTGCCGACTACAACAACCACAACCCCTGGAACCTGACGCCTAACAACGGCTTCGTCGCCCCCTCGCAAGCCGCCCATTACGACTACGATCCGACTCTGCTCCGAATACATCCTCCTGATACAAATTACCAAGCCCTATCATGCTCTCCAGAGACTCCCGCCCACTTTGCCAACCAAATCGTCGCTGAACCAGTGACGGAACCACATGCACCGCCCACTGGACTCCCTCACCGCTTTAGCAACTTTTATCGTCGCGGCACAACGATGACGAACTCGACCGAGAGAACGACGACCGAGCTGAGACGCGCGCTCTCGGGTTACTCCTCGAATATTGTGACCCACGTTCGACGGGTCGTAAAACGATACACGATGCCTGTCCAACAAGGGCAGAATAGCTCACCCCTTGCCGAGCACAGTGACAGCGCCTCGGGCTCTAGAAGAGATTCCTGGATCCACGACGAACATGCGCCGCCCGAGAGGACCGGAGAACTCTACTTACCTGGCGATTACCTGCTCATGGACGCCCTTCTGCAAAGACAAGGTCCTTGCCTCGAGGGATCCCCCGAGCACCAAACCCGCAACTGCCTCTGCCGTGCCGCCCTTCAGATCCGCGGAACAGTTTGGGTTGATGAGAACGGAGGACCATCCCCACTCGCTCTGAGCCTGATGCAAAAGGACGTTGCTACTCCGGCAGATTTTAATACCTGCGATGTGTTTGAGAATTTTCTCATGCACATGCTCGTCGCTCGCGACGTCGACCACTTTTACATACTGCAGCTTGTTTCGTCCAACGTCAATTGCCGCCAGAGGAACGTCGCTGGCCAAACCTTTCTGCATCTTCTCCAGCCATCCTGGCTCGACGAACCCAACACTGGTCTTGGGCATCTAACAACTCTTATTCAGTCCTTTCGTCACGACATGTCGTTCCTCCTCGCCAGGGACTGCTACGGTCGCACCTTCCTCCACGTTCTCCGATCCAAGATCCAAGATGCCACTCGCTTCAACCAGCTCCTCCAATCACTCGACTTCACCCTGCGCCGCGACGCCTTCGGGTCCGTTCCTGCCTATGAGCCCGACGCGCTTCACATCCAACCTCTACGGCGCGCCATCACGTCGGTGATGAGCGAAGACGCGCCGATGTCGTCGTATGACCAGCCAACACTCCCCGCAGTGGACCTCGACTTGGTATCCGCACATGCTAGGCTCATCGAGATGATCAAGAGGGCACAGGAAGAGCCCCGCCTCGAAGATGCCCGTGGCCGGAACGGACTTCATTGCCTTGCGGCTGCCATCCTAAGCGACGTGTCTCTTCTTCGACAAGCCGGAATGACAAACAAGCTTGACAAGAGCAACCAATCGGCGCAAGGCGAAGCAGCGTCCAGCAAGAAACGCAAGCGAGAAACTGGCCTCAAACACACCGATTCGTCCAAGGAGCGCCTCACACTCCGCGAAACCATCGCCAACAACCTGATCCTCTCGGGCGTCAACGTAAACCATTACGACGCCGATGGCAACACGGTTCTCATGGCCTTCGTGGCCCAGCTGCCCGAAGACGATGACTACAAGGTGCCTGTGGAAATCCTCAAGCTCCTCATCAAACACGGCGCCGACGTCAACGCTAGAAACCGCCGCGGCGAGACGGCGCTGCACATCGCGGTGCGCCGCGGCAGGAAGCTGGCCATGCGCACGCTTGTCGAGAACGGCGCTAATGTCCATGTGCGCGACGCTGCGGGCCGCGGACTGCTCGACGTGGCTGACGAGATGGCCAGGTGCAGCAATGCCAATAAGCCCTACATGCATTCTGAGGCGTGTAGGGCGTTCTTGTCGGGGCACCACGCTGTCCAAGACCCGTCCATCCTCCAGGAGTGGGGGGTGGCTGACTCGTAAGGAGTTTCGACATTTATTTAGCTTCTTTTTTTCTTTTTTTCTTTTTTTTCTCCTTCTCTTTTTTGGTTCTTTTATTCTTCGTTTTGGATGTAGGGAACTGTCTGGGCATTTGTGTATGAAGGGATGACGGGATTTGGCATTATGCCCCTTTTTTGCCTTTACAAACTTGTTGCTCTACTTGAAGCTTCGGCGTGGATGGAGGTTTTTGATTTTTGTCTTGGCCGATTGAGCCTTTCTTTTTGGGATACCCGTATGTACGACTATGATTAGATTCCTGTCTGTACTGCTTCTTCTTCTTCATCATCTTCTTCAAATTTGGGTTGTTTTGATTCTTCTTGTTATCTAGCTTAGAAACAATAGACGGTGTCTAGTCTTTTTTCTATGGTGGAGGTTATGTGGAAGTGTCCAGCGTGAGAACCTCATTCGCCCAGTATGGGGATCGAAATCTCCTTGAGATATATGATTAGGGATGAAAGTGACATAGTGTTTGGACGGCGCCAGGTATCTCATCTCAACCCGTTGGTCCCCTGGAGCGCCCAGCAGGTGGGAGTCTTAAATCGCTTAAATCGGTATGGGGATCTGTTCCTCTTATTAGATAGTTTTGCCCACCAACCTCGTATTAGCTCTACTCACCTTTACCATCGATGTTCCCCCCCCCTTTCCCCGGAGAAGTCACGCAACAGATCCAATGGATTCCGAGCATCGAGACCATCCACAGATATAGCCTTGGCCGGTCTGAAACGTGACACCCTCGAGAGCTAATAACGAACACGGAACCACATCCGCAACTGGGGACGTGCCTTGCCCGGTCATCCCAATATTATTGGCACTGCTGATGACCAAGAACCAATTACGATGTTGGGCACTCCGGAGACGGGACGTCACACACGGGAGGCTGTCGGTGTGACGCCCGCGATGGAGTAAAGGAAGGTCCCTGAGCTAATCCGCAGACATCCTGGCTGACGCTTCTGTGAAAGATCGATTGGCAGGGTCCACAGTTCGCGCATCGATCCTCATGCCAGAGCGCAAGCTGCGCCTTTCCAGAGCCCCCGATACCCGTAAGGAGGAGGCTCTTACAGCCTAGTCGAGATGAATCGAAATCGAAACTCTCCTGGATTTCAAGCAGTTCCCCTTCTTGGCCGCAGAACGTGGGAATTCTGTCGTTCCGCTACCCAGGATAACGGGCAAGGCTCTGAGGATGCATACTACATGCGAGTACTTGAAGGCATGCAGGAGTGTGGGCGAATCGTGGAAGGGGCCCCGTTTGTCGCAGCTCATGCAGCCGCCCGCGCTTCGCACCCCTGGCGGTTAACACGCTCGAAAATACAGGCAGGGGAGAGTTCCTTGGCCGCCCATAGTCAGGCCACGTCCCTATTCCCATGCCCGTCGTCCGCTTATCAGCACAGCCCTCAGTGTCCTCTTAGCGGTGCAGGGCTTGCTCTGTAAATCAAGGCATGGACGCGCCCGAGAGGATCCAAAAGTGTCTCAGGGTTCAGAAAATAGCACGATTCAGCACTCACCAAAAAGAATCATTGGTCTTGGAATTAAACTAATTTGTTGTTCAGTTGTGCGGAGTGCGAAACGAATATAGGTGCTGCTAGCCTAGTCGCATTCCAAGGTCCAATGGTCTAGTTGGTTAGGACGTCGGATTCTGATGCAATGCAGAGAATTCCGTAAGCCCAGGTTCGAATCCTGGTTGGACCTAGTCATTTATTTTTGGTGATGGGCTTTGATTTTGGACTTAACCTATAACCTCTTTCTTATTCTTCTGCTATTGTAGAATTGATAGTTGGGAATTTCTTTTTACTTGATCAAATAATTAAACCCTCCATCGTGTTACTATTATGGGTTCCATGACAAAGACATGAATCAATCGATCCGAATGGCGGGCATGTCTACGTCTATCTGAGCCTGGGCATGGCCTTTTCAGGAACCCATGTATCTTGCCTGGAGCTCCTCCGAATCCAGAGAATATCGAAGAACGCTCCCAAGTCACCCCGAGATTTTTACTCTGTCTCATTCGCCAATCGAGGAAACCCTCCCCGGCATGTTCCCCATCCTGTCAAACCCCAAACAGGCTGTTGCCGGAACCGAAGACCCGCCCTTCCCTTGCCCCAAATATCCAGGACAGGCACTCTTCCCCATCGTTCTCTTCTTTAAAACGTTTTAACCCCGAACCGTTTTTGGTAACCGGTCCTTTCGTGCTTTGGATTTATAAAGCCCTCTTTGCGATTGGCTTAGATTTCATACCCCTCCCCCATCCCCTCCAATCTACAAGGCATAACACAAGGGTGCTGGGGGCTCAAGCGCTCTCATGATGCGGGAAGACGAAGACGACATGTATTAAGCTTTTTGATGGCTCCGCTCCGAGAGATTGTGCCGCCCTTGACAGATTGAAGAGCGTGCTTTTTGCCCAATCGTCGGGGCGTTACCTTGGGTGGTTTCTCTGAGGAGTTGCTCCCGAAGGCCGAAAACAAAACGGGATCGCCAATCAACGGTTGCTGGCACCATCTGGGACGAGGGTGTGCGTAAGCCTTGTAGGTTTGCGCTTTCCATATCCCCTCTCTCTTTCTGGTCCCCTCTCTTGCGCGCTCGTTCTATGAATTCGGAGACAGGGACAGAGTCCACGTTAGAATGTGTGGTTGCCAGCGAGAAATGTCATCTACTACTGACAGCAGCAGACCGGCCGTCTGTCTTCTCCGTAAATATTACATCGGCGTAGTATACTCTATGAATAGCTCTCAGTTTTAACCGCTTCGGTCTTCCGTGGAAGAGAAAGACAAGCGGCGAATGGGCACTTCCATGCACTGACGCTCTGTCGGTTCTAACATCGCCATGAACGTGCCTAATACCATCCATGGCAGGTCTCATTCCTCCTCTCTCTATCCCCACCTCGTCTAGAGAATGGGCTCTGCCCCATGGCCACGCCATTTGCAAAACTCCGAAACACACTCCCGTAGACATTTGATCTCCCCGGTCCAGTGCCGACATCATCCCGACACCATCATCCCATCCCTCGACACTTCCTCACCTCCACACGCTGCTCTGCAGTCACCACTCCCCTTGCATACTCGCATATACTCTCACACTAGCCACGGGCGTAAACCAAGCTTAATAAAACGTCATCACTCTCTCCCGGCGATATTATCTACCCCTTGACTGCTCTACTCAACTAATACACTCGTCATGCACACAGTTCTCTGTCTCCTCCTTGCCCCTCCCCAATTTCCTCCGACCAAGACCTTGAGCAATATTATATATAAAACATCAATATAAACTTCATCTGTCCCCCTCGTCCACATCCGCCTGAACATTCAGATGCCGTTTATTCATTTCTTGGAAGGACCAATCGACGTGCCTCCAAATCTAATCAACAAACAATGACAAATTTCGAGATTGGACATTGGGTACTTTTCTTTCCAAGCCAAGACCCAGCGTCGACGTGCGTACCTGGTTCCAGAAAAAACAACGACGATACCTCAGAGCACGATATGTCATCCAAGGAGTTGGTCCGGCTAAACCGCCTCGTGCTGGCTAGACAGCGACCGCGAAGGGAGGGAGAATATAATGATACGGATGGGGGCAACGTAAGATGGTATAGAGTCCACGAACGGATATTGAGAGGGGTTGCTAAGAGGAATACCGAGACTGGGGGGTTTCGCTCTGTGCCATACATAAGGATGGAGACTTCCGCCGTCTCCATTCACGGATGATGGACTTTCTGGCACCTGATGCTCGATTCTCTATTCCCCTATTCCCACTAAGCTCCTGAATAGACCTTCTCTCCTCTCATCACGCCTGCAAAAATACCCAACACCTCCACAATGGGTCTCCTTTCCCTCACGACTCTCACCCTCGCCGCCCTTGCCGTCGCGGCCCCGTCTCCGCGACAGGACGCCGGCCTCACTTACAAGGATTTCTCCAGCTCCAATGGTATCGTCTACAGAGTCGCCATCCCCGATGTCACCGCCGCCCCCTTCGATGTCGCTCTCCAGATCGTCGCTCCTAAGGCCGTGGGATGGGCCGGCCTCGCCTGGGGAGGAAGTATGCTGAACAATCCTCTCACTGTCGCCTATCCCAACGGTGATACTGTGACCGTATCTTCCAGGGTTGCCGGGTATGTATAATCCCTCCCTCATCTCCATATGAACCCCCCACGGACACGCACGCAACACATACGAGAGACAAAACATCCTATTACCGGCATCCAATTAACGCCTGCTCTCTCCAGCGGCTACCAAGCCCCCACCCCCTACGCCGGCGCCGAATACACCGTCCGCCCCGGTACAACCGTAAACACAACCCACTGGGTCCTCGACACCCTCTGCAAAGGCTGCAGCCAATGGAACGGCGGAGGTCTCGACCCCAGCGGCGACGTCGTCCTCGCCTGGGCCTTCGCCCCCAACGCAGTCGCCAACCCTTCCAGCAACACGTCCAACATCGCCTTCCACAACCAGGGCAAGGGCGCCGAGAATTTCGACCTCACGGCTGCCAAGGTTAAGGATTTCGAGGCGATCGTTTCGGGTGGGACGGCGGGTGGGGATGAGGCGCCTGCTAGTTCCTCGTCGGCTGCTGCTGCTGCTCCTACTCCTTGAGGTAGTGTTGAAATTATAGAGGAGAGGACAGAAAGAGGGGAGGTGTGGTGATCCCACGATGAAGATTGCGTCATTGAAGTGAGCTGAAGAACGGAAGAAGGAGTAGTCTAAGTTCATGTTCATGTACATTTTCCCCCGTTTCCTCGTTGAGCGTGGTTTGGTACCAATCGCTATATGGACCCGCGACAGTTGCTATGTACATACGCGTTGGAAGACTTTCACAGATGAAAAAGCGCCGGAATTGCTGTGAAGACTATGCATTTTTCTTTTCTTTTGTCTAGCCCTTTTTTTCCTTCTTACAAGTAGTCCTGGATGACCTTCCAGAATGCCTCGGGTGCCTCAGACATTGGCAAATGACCAGTCTCCGGAACAAGTCTCAGCTCCGTCCCAGATGGACCCATCTTGTCCTTAAATCCATCCATCGCCTTCACCAAGGCCCCCTTGGCATCCGCCTCGCCGGCCACAAAGATAGCAGGGACTTTGCAACCGGGCATAAGGGGCTTCAAGTCGTAATCCCACAGGGCCTGACAGCTGTACTTGAAGCCCTCGACGCTGTTAGTCGCGACGATCTTGGTCATCCATTCAGTGACGTCCTTCTTGTTCTCCACGGTATTGGGGTGGAACCACCGCGAGACAGTGACGGGCGCGAGGTTGTCGATGCCCTGCCCGCCGTTCTCCTCAGCCACGGCCGTGCGTTCCTTCCAAGCGACCGTGTTAGCGGGGCTAGACGTAGCGTTGAAATCACAGGCAATAATCTTGGAAACACGCTCGGGATAGTCGATGGCGAACCGCGTCGTCGTTGCGCCGCCCATGGAAACTCCGATGAGAGTGTGGAGCTTTTCTATCCTCAGACCATCGAGGAGGGTCTTGAGATCCCCGGCCAGCATCTCGAGCGTCGCGGGCACGGGCGGGTGGGGGACGTCGTGGCGGCCGCGGGCATCGTAGCGTAGGATGCGCAGGTCGGGACGTTGGGCCTTGAGGATTTCAACGAAGGGATCCCACATGTGCAGAGAGGTGAGGAGGGAATTGCAAAATGCAACGACTGGGGCGTCGGGGGATGGGTTACCCTCCAGTCGGTAAGGAATCGTCAGCGCATCTGGAGTGGGTACGTAGGACTCGATCACGGCATTGGGCCCGGGGGTCGTTATGGTCGTAGTAATAGTCGCAGTTTCGCGGGACCCGGAGGACACGAATTCGCCCTTGTCCGCGGGCAATCTCGACAGGGAAGACAAATCCCTAGATCCCGAGCCGAACACGTAAAATAGAGAAAACGTCCTCCGGCTCGCCGCCTCCACATACTTGGACATGACCTCGGTTCGCCAAGTCGTAGACGTAGACGCCTTGTGCTCAGGCCCGCCGAGACCGTTTTGCTTCGTGTAATCGTGAATGGCGAGATACGTTACTTTCCCAACATCCTCGATACTTGACGTCCTGAACCACCGCGTGCGCAGCCAGCCAGGGACGCGAGAAAGCATGTCGATGTGTTCTTCCTCAAACCACTTGCGATAAGCGTCCTCGGCACCCTCGACGGCCTTCAACGTCGTCTCGACGATAACCTGAACAGCTCCCTCGGCCTCGGCTTCGGAAAGCGACTCGATGGGCTTGAAAGAGGGGGACTCCTTGGTTAGAACGAGATCATAAAATCGCCTATCAACCTGGACTTGTCCGATGGTGGCGGCCTCGCGCGGCGTGCGGTTCTCGCGAAGGCTGGTGTAAATGGGGGTGAGGAGGTGGGACATGTCAGTCACGTCGTAGAGGGCGACGTAAGGGGGGTCCTGGGCGTCGGTGGCTCGGTAACGGAGGCCGTTGGTGAAGATGTGGGGTAGTCGGAGGCGGTTGGGGCCATGCTCGTTGTTATACCAGTCGTGGAACTGGTCGAGGGAGAGACCCTCCTTTGGGCGCATAAACACGATGAGAAGGCCGGGCGTTGTCATGTTGGACAGCGGTTTACGATGATGCTGAGAAGAACACAAGGGAGAGAGAAGAAGAAGAAGAAGAGGAAGAAAAGAAAATAAGAAAGAAGAAAGATCACAGAAGATGAGAGTGCTTAAAGATGAGGCGGGCTAGAGATTATTAAATTCCCAGCTCTAAGGCGGGGGATAGCAATAAATATGGACACGCGGAAAAGCCGCGATGTGATGTCAAGATCAATGTGTGGGAATGAGGGGCACCGGCTACTAAGTGGGGGAGGCCAAGACGAACAACAAGAGAATAAGCTGAACTGAGATTCAGAGATGGCGAAAGCTGTATTTAATACTTCGTAGCATCGGTTGATCTAGAGGAACTCATGCAACTCGAACTTGGATGGGTCTACTGAAATGGAGCTTGACGAGGGTTTAATAGCAGAAGAATCGTCAGAATTCCCTCGATTTACCAGAACAATTTGAAGCCCTCGACACTGATCAGAATATCTAAGTAGGAAAAGGCAGGGAAGGTCCCACCGGCCTAGCGACTGCCGAAATGCACGGTCTCGGCATCGAGTTCGGCAGGGCAGACTGACAAACGGGTGGCCAAAGGCAGGAGGTGCGGAGGAGGTGGGGGGGAGAGGACAAGGAAGGAAGCATGGCGACAGAGTTAAATTGTCTTAAGCCTTGACCTGAGGCTTAGCAGCATTTCAGTGGTCAAGGTTGGCCTGCGGCAGCGCCAGTTGGTCGCCAGGTGACTTCTCGAGCTTGATGACAGCGGAAGTATTAGTACATTTTTGTGATCTTGATATGAAATTCGGGAAAACTCGCAAAGTCGCAAAGCCAACGTGTGACTCTCCACCTCAAGCCCTTCCACACTTGAAGGCCAGTGCTCTCTCTCTGTCATTTACCTCAGAAGGCGTCAATAATATGAACCCATTGATCTCTTGCCGATTCAATTGTTTGCTTCCTGCGAAGCATGGCCCCCAATTCGACGTGTTTGGCTTCATTTGATGTTGCTACTTCGTATTGATCTGCGACATCAAGTATACACTTTTAGCTCGGGGCCACATGTAAGTATCAGTTACTCTCTACGAAGCGTCTCTTCTTTGCCAGTTCTCCAAGATGATCTGGATCGTTGATGTGCCGCAGCGCTCTGGGAAGCCTGGGACACAGAGGCCCCACTACTGATCATTCACGCTCCAGTTGTACCAGGTACTCGTGGAGCCCCCACTAAGAACTGACCTATCAAATTCGTCTCCCAAAAGTTACTTGGAAGCTTGGAAGGAACGAGCAAACTGACAAGCAAGTGCGCTGCACGACAATCGGAGAAACTAGACAAGCTTGTCGAGAGCCTGGCGGAGTGAAGAGAGCGAGCTATCGAATTCCAAACTTCGATTCACTCCTTTTTCTTGTTTCTTGCTTCTCTCGGCTCGTGGTTGAGGCGCGATTCCACATCGCCAAAACCGCCGGGAGACTGCCCCTCACCCAAGACTTGTTCCGGGTGTCTTGAGCCTGCTCTCGCCAGAGCATTGAAATCAGCTGGGGCTGTTATCTGCAAGCATCCATTTTGGCTTCTTGCGTCAACAAAGGTCGTGTCGATATGTTCATAGCTTTCCGAGTCCTCGCCTAGACCTGCGGATACGTGCCGCCCACCGAGACGACCTTGTTATCAACTCTCCAACCATTCGAATCTCTCCCATCACGAGTCCAGACCTGAGAGGCCCGGCAGGGCCCCTCCCGCTTCTGATTTGATCCTTACTCATTCTGTTTGCTGGCTGGGTTACACAGCTTCGTCCGCCACTTGCCATTCGCCATACACCATTCCACCCTCGACCACCTGCACTCGTCGATTCGGATGCCCACCGTCTCAGCCTGGATGCCTACGCTCCTTCGAAATGCCATGCTCACCTCTTGCTTTTTAAATCCCCATTCACCCTGGCTACTCCGAGGCTCCCCTCTCTCGTTTTCTCCCCTCTTCGTTGCACACGCCGAGTTGTTGCTGGGTTCATGCTCTCCCTACGCCCGACTCTAGACACCCTCGTCACTCTTTCTTCCGCGTATTTTCTATCTACACTAGACTTAGAGCCCACAGCTTGATGAGTGCAGTCGACAAAATCACCCTCTATTCGGATATCCTTTCGAGTAAAATAGTGACAATAAATACTGATCCACGGCTCCCCTGAGCCACCACGCATCAATGGAAGTCTACTTCCAGGGACTGCCGCAGGGCTTGTCCCAAGCCAGTTTTCAGAACGGCCTCCAGGGGTTCATGAACGTCTTGGGAATCGTCGATTGGTCTTGTCAAGTTCACGGACGCAAGGACTTCGGCTTTGCCACATTTCTCCACGTCTCGGACGCCAACAAGTTCTTGCAAGCCCATGGCGCCGTTAAGCCTCACAAGGCGAGGCTGCGCATTTTCAACCGTCCCGTTTACGCTTCCAAGGGCAAGAGGACCCCTGATAAGTTGGCAATTCAACATCTCCGATACCACATGGAACAAAGAGCTACCACCGTAGCCAAGCCCGTCTCCAATCATGCACCAGTTCTGGACAATATGCGGTCCATAGACTGCGGCCATCTCACAATCGACCCCGACGGAGATGATCTCGTATTCGTCCCGCAGTGTACTCTCTCGTGCAATCTCAGCATTAGTTCATGTACCGCCAAGTTTGCAAAGAGGACGCTCATTCTTAAGTACAACAACGGTTCCCGTGTGGATATCCCCTACGAAAGCGTGTCGGAGATGGTTATCGATAAAATCAGCCCTCAAATCACCTTAATCCTGACCGCGACCCCAAGGTTCTTCGCCCCAGGCAACCAAATCGATCGATCGATGGGAAAATTGGATCTTGAGGCATTTGGATGGAACAATGCCTCAAGGGTCCCGGATCGGATGAGGACCACACATCTCCACGGTTGCGACGAGCACTCTAAGTACGTCGCGCACTGCCTCGTCTATCGCCTCACCTTCTGGCAAAATTACAATGTGTTTGACCATCACATGTCTGCAGTCGAGCACATAGACGTCGTAGCTTGCTCTCGATTCTCGTTCCGGCAGCTCGCACCAATGCCTGGCAGTACCGATTTCCCTTCCGCTTTCCAAGCCTTCACTCGTAGAACGAATGAAATCCAGGCCGTCAATGCTGTCCCGTTCGACATCCTCTTCCAGGTCCAAGCACTTGTCAGGAACATCTACGTGACTCCGAAGGTTGGGATCGAGATTCTGGATTATATGGAAGCCTCCTTCACTGACGCCAAACGAAGACGCTTACCTCCGCCCTTCTCCGTCAAGTCTTTCAAACAACTCTTCCAGAAAATCCCGTACCCGTCCCCGGATATGGATCTCGACCGACTCACCTCTAGATATATTTTAGACGATCTTGTGGGGATCGAAACTAGTGGGCGAAGCCACTCTCCTTTTTTTTCCAGATTAGAAAAGGAACGCTCGGCGCGCCAGTCGTGGGTGTTCAAAGCTGTCGTGACGCCGACGCGTATTATTCTGCAAGGTCCTGACCTCGAGACGAACAATCGAATCCTTCGCAAGTTCCCCGATTTCACGGACAATTTCTTGCGAGTCCAGTTTAGCGAGGAGGACGAAGAAGACCTCTTCTTCAATCCAAATGTGTCCAACGACATGATTTTGAAGCGGTTTGAAAACGTCTTCCGCACTGGAATTCAAATCGCTGGTCGAGTGTATGGTTTCTTGGGATTTTCCCACTCCTCTCTACGGTCCCACTCTGCGTGGTTCTCGGCGTCCTTCTTCGACAAAGATCACAAATTCCAGACCTACATTAGCATCATAAAGGATCTGGGAGATTTTGAACACATTCGTATCCCCGCGCGTTGCGCCGCAAGGATTGGCCAGGCATTCAGCGAAACACCTTTCTCGATTCACCTACCCGATCATGGCATAACGCAGTCCTACATTGCCGACGTCAAGTCTCCCGACGGCAAGCGAATCTTTAGCGACGGTGTAGGGACCATCTCCCGCGCTGCCGCGCTATCTATCTGGGGCGTGTTGCCTAAGAGCAGCAATAGAGCTACGTGCTTCCAGATCAGGTGGGCCGGGGCTAAGGGCATGCTTTCGCTTGACACCCGACTACCCGGGAAGCAGTTTTGCATCCGAAAGGAAACGATGGAGAAGTTTCCGAGTCCCGACAGCGCAGACCTCGAAATCTGCGACATGTCGTCTAGACCACACCGATTCCTCCTGAACCTGCAAATCATTAAAATCCTCGAGGATCTAGGAGTCGACGAGAGCTGGTTTCTCCGCCTCCAGAAGACGGAACTTGACCGGTTGAAGGCCGTGACGAAGACTGCCGAGAGCACAGCGGCATTCCTTCACTGTCACGATGTCGGCACGGAAGCAGACCTACCGAAGTTCATCAAGCGGCTGAACAAGCGCAAGATTGACTACCGCCAGGACCCCTTCATCCGGTCTTTGGTAGAGTCCGTCATACTCAGAGAACTGCGGCTGCTGAAGCACAAGGCCCGGATTCCCGTTAGAAAAGGCGTGACTCTCTTCGGCGTCATGGACGAGACGGGATATCTTGAGGCGGACGAGGTCTACGTCACCTTTGAGAAGACGTACCAGGGGATAGAGGTCCCGATTGACCATTCGATAAGGGACGGCCCGGTTACTGTGACCAGGTCGCCGGCGCTGCATCCTGGGGATATTCAAATAGCCTATCAGAAGACTCCACCCTCGGGTCATGCGCTTAGAGCATTGAGGAACTGCATAGTGTTCAGCCAGAAGGGAATTCGGGACCTCCCCAGCAAGCTGAGCGGTGGAGACCTGGACGGCGACAAATACAACATCATATGGGATCCGGACTTGAAGATAGAGCGGCTCTTTGAGCCAGCCGATTACCCTCGCGTGATGGCGAAGGGCCTTGACCAACCAGTTGAAAAGTCGCACATGGCCAATTTCTTTGTCAATTTCATGAAGACGGATCAGCTTGGTATCATTGCGAATCGGCACCAGATTATCGCTGATAAGAAGCCTGAGGGGACCCTGGACTCGGACTGCATCAAGCTCGCGGAATTGCACTCGAACGCGGTGGACTTTTCTAAGACGGGAGTCCCCGTTGACGTTGCCCTCATGCCGAACTTCAAACCGAGATTCCGGCCAGATTTGTAAGTCCGCCAGTGTATTCCGAGATTTGGTTTTCTTACTCCTCTCTTCCCTTGCTATCGGACTCACCTTGTTCTTTGGAGCATCTAGCTAACGACTAGCGCATTGCGCTGGCCCCCCTCTTCAGCCTTTCGCCAGCCCCTCTAACCAAAGTTTATGACCTCGGAACAATTGAATTCATGGACGATCCTGCCAACTCCAAGGAAGACGAGGAAGACGCCGCCCCGAATTACCAGTACTACAAGTCGGAAAAGATCCTGGGTAAGCTGTATAGGGAGGTGGATGAGAAGAAGGTGTGGTCTAGCATACAAAGGTCTGCGTCGGCAGATGGTCCGTCTATATGGGACCAGCTCCTCGGCGTTGTAGACAAGGAGCTTCGCGATCTCAGGCTGTACTTTGCGATCAATTGGGAAAGCCAGGTAGAAATGGCTCTAACGCTCAAGGAAGGGTAAGCCTTTTTTTTTTTTTTTTTTTTTTTTTTTTTTTTGCCTCTATCCCCCATTCTCCTTCTTTCATTTTCAGAGAGGCCCTTTTTGTTAACATTTAGCGTCAACTCTCAGATACGAAACGATTGTTAGGGACCTGCAGAACATACACAACCCAAACACCACCTCGGGTCTCTCCGAGCTCGAGGTCTTCTGCGGCACAGTCTTCCACAGATCCTGCAAGCCCACCCGCCGCCAGCGCGAATGCTCCATCAAGATCCGCGAAAAGATCAGCGAGGTCCTAACCTGGTTCGTCGGCGAGCTCCGCAGCGGCGGCGTAGGCCTCGCCGCCCAAGCCGACGACGACACCGCCAGCGTCTCGAACAGCAGCACCCTCAACGGCGCGGCGACGACGTCGGCCGACAAGATGGCCGCTCGTCTGCGGGCCATAGAGCTCTGCCTCGCGTGCGTGCGCGTGGCGTGCGAGAAGTCGCATGCCATCGGCGGGCCAGAGAGGAGGGGGAGGAGGGGGAGGAGGGGCGGGGAGCAGATGAAGAGTTTTTTGGTGGTGAGTGCTGCGACGCTTTTGAGGGAGTTGGATCGGTATCGGTTTGATGCGGAGGAAGCGGCGAGGAGGCAGATGCTGAGGGAGGGTGGCGGTGGTGGTGGGTATACTGGGGTGAGGGGGCGGCGGAGGTAAGGTGTTTTGATGTGTGTCTTCTTTCTTGTCTACAAGGTTTTTTTTTTTTTGGCTCTGGTGAACTGGAAGTTGGCTGGGGATGCATGTAGTCGTCGGTTTCTACTTCCAAAGTGAGTTTGATAATAATGAACTTGAGCGAACGAGTTTACCCCTTGACTGAAATAAGGGATGAAAGGACTCCCGATCCCTGGTATCTATTCATTGAGTCCATTCCATTTATTCCGTTCCGTTCATTCCTACCCTTTACAACGCCGATATAATCCGAAATCATGACATTCCCTGGATCCTCGAGAGATCCTTAATTTCCCCCATTTCTTTATCCGTCTCCATATTTTCCCTTTTTTTCCCAAAATTTCCATAAAATACATTACAATACATAAACGCATCAATCACATTTCCCTTTCTTCCCCGCCCCCTCACCAAGTCCACCCCCACCCTCTGGGCACCCCACGGAGAGTAGCCAACGTAACGAAATCCTACTTCGAACCGGACGACCGGGGCCGCAAGGGTGGATACGACTGCTCGACGGCGCGGGGGTAGGTCCAGAAGACGAGGGCGACGACGAAGAAGTTGAAGAGGCGGTGGGGGAGGGGCAGGTCTGGTTTCTTGCGGCGCCAGAATTTGAATTCGGAGAGGAGGATGAGGTTGCCGAGGGTGTTGAAGAGGCGGAAGATGCTTGAAACACGACGGGCGTTAGCGGTTATGGACATGGAGGAGCGAGCTAGAAAGGGGGGGGGATCTGTTAGGCAACACGTACAGGTTAAGGGCGCAGAAGATGAGGGTCGCGATGGTTGCTTTGGTCATGGTAAAGCCTGGAGAGGCGACGATTCTGCCTATCGCGTAGGTTGGCAGGATCCAGAGACTGAGGAGGAAGAATTCGAGCATGAGAGACCAGCCATATGTTCGGTCTGTCATGGGCCGTCGGAGGTTAATGATGATGAGAGGTATGCCCGATATGACGACGGAGATCTAGACGGATCGCAATTAGCGAGAGCTCAAAGAGAACCGCGCAAGGAAACGGGGGAGCTCGGAGGAAGCCAAGGTTTGGTGGCGGAACTCACAATAGATGGGATGAGCACGAGTTTATCACTCCGGAAATACCTAAAACACAACGCAAACCCCACAAACACGATACAAAACTGGATCCACCCCAGCACAAGGTAAGCTAGCAGCGTGGTTCCATACCACGAATAACACCGCTTATGGAAATGCGGATGATTCCACGCCGAGGACACCAGCACGGGATACCCGCACCATCGACAAACCCAGGCGCTCCTAAAATTACCCATGGAAACGCGACAGCCGGGGACTAGCTCGTTGCGGCGCACGGCGCAGTCGACGCAGCGGCTGCAAAAGGGATACTTGGGGTGGGTAATGTCGGCGTAGAGGAGGGCGTTTCGAGCCGGGTCGCGGCGCAGGCAGAGGTGGCAGTGGGAAAGGATAACGCCCTCGAGGGTGGCGCCGTAGATGTCCTTGAGGAGGGACTTGGTGATGAGAGAGTGGTAGAAGTGGTTGGCGAGGCGGAGTTGTTGGATGTCGGCGAAGTCGAGCTCGCTAATGATGAGGACTTGGAGCTCGGTGGGGAGGTCGGTGATGTTGAGCGTGGCGGGTCTTCCTTGTGCGGTGCCGGTCGCATTCCTGGTGTTCGGGTGAAGACCGAGTCTGGGTCCGTATTTTTGTAATCCGGAGTTGGCAAACGAGGGTAAGGCCGGTAGTAACTTGGATTTTGTACGTCGCGACCGTCGCCGGGCACCGCCAGAGTGCGTCCTACGCGGTGGATCTGGCAGAACGGGCACGGATAACGACTCCTCACTAGAGGACGATAGGGATGAAGAGGAGACGGAGGTGATATCATCGTCGTCGTCTTCACCAATTTCATCATCGTCACTCGAATCCTCCGCAGCTGCATCAATGACATCGTCATCCTCCTCCTCGTCATCGTCGTCGTCGTCAGAGCCCTCGTGGTTGCCGCGGCGGAAGGAGCCCAGCACTGACTGGAAAAGGGCAGCTAGTCGCTCCCGCGCCGGCCGCAGGGCTAGATCGGACGGCATAGTTTATGTGCGTATGGAGGCTTTAAGAAAGCATGAGGATGGAACCGTTAAAATGAAAGAGAAAGGCGCCAGGCCAGGTCCAGGAAGAACAGAAGGACCTGGATGGGTGGGTGGGAGAACACTGCACCAACAAGAATAGTCGATGAAGATGCAGGGATAGAAGAAAAGGGAAACTCAAAGTCGTCCCTTCTAGGCGATGAAGAATGAACAGACACAAGCTTAAAAAATGGACGTTTCTTCCAGGTATGACGCTCCAACATTCAGCGGGCCTTGCCCACCATTTCCCGTCGGGGTGTGTGAGGGACAGGCCGAGCTGGACTGACGAAAGTTCAGGTTAAAAGACGCTAGGCTGAGGTGAGAACGAGTTCAAGTCGAATTTGGTAGGTGGGGTGCGGGAGAGAATTAAGATCGATTTGGAATCCTGGTAAACGCCTGCTGCTAACGACGAGCAAGGGAGGGCGGTGGCTCTGTCGAACCGAACGAGCTTGGAAAAAGAGGCAGGTTTGATTAGACCGAGTGGCGGGCAGGAGACTGGGCCAAGACAATCCAGTCCGATGCGCGAGGGCCAGAGGGTGGCATGGCTCGTTGTAGTGGGTGTGGAGAGAAGTCGAGGTTTTGAGATTTCGGGAGGAGAAAGAAATCACAGATGGACTTGTTCTGTCTTGATGATAATCATGATGGATTCGATTGGAAGTTGGAAGTAAAATAAACAAAGGCGGGGGGCGGAGAGTTGGAGACTAGAGAGTTTGAAGAGTCTGGGGTGCACCTTCTCTCTCAACTCTGCAGGGCTTTTCGAGTGCAGGAGTCCTTGAGAAGTGTGCTTCAAGCTTGATCTTCAGGCAAAGGCAAAAAGTAACGTCTGGCATGGGCTGGTCTGCGCTGGCTGGGCAGACCCCACCATTCCACTGCCCAAGTTGAGCCAGCTCCACCGCTCCACTGTTCCACCGGCTGGTTCCCTTGCCAGGAAATTCCCCCAGCCGTTGCCGTTTCCACTGGTTCCAGGCTTCCACGAAGATCATAACCCGCCACATTTCCCCTTCTAGACCGCTACGAGCCAGTAAGAACGACGCTCGTAAGCGAGGCGGGTCCGACTGCAGCATGGGAGGCAGGAGGGCGCACGTCCCCGCGTAGGAACGGCAATGCAGCTGTTCCCGGCCCGATTAAGCTGCTGTCAGATGACAAGGCTAGATGAACCCCAAATCCCGCCTAGCAAATCCACGTGACCTTATCGTTATGTGCAGATCTACCGACCCGAAGCACAAGGCACAAAGTACTTCGTTCAAGTGCAAGCTCGAGCGGTTTGCGACGTGGATCCCAAGGCGACCCCGAACCGACTGCAACTCGATGGATGCTGTTTGAAGATATTCAGTTTGGGCACGACTCTGCTGAGACTTTCGTCCTGATACCCACACGAGATGAGACGTACGAAGTAGCATTGAATTATCCCGGTGCTCAAGCACCCCATCGTTCGGCCAAATGCGGAAAGAGGTAATGATAATCTTCGCTGCAAGAGACTGCACTACTTCTTTGAACAAGCGCTTCAAAAAAACAAATATCTCGGCACTTGACCCCTGCAGCGAAGGGGAGCATCAGACGCTACCGTATTACACTACTTCGTACTTCGTGTACGAAGTAGAGATCCACGATTCTTTGATCAAATGATGGGTTAGAACGAAGTAAGCGAGAGACGAAATGTAACCTAGTAGGCCATTGATACCTTCCCAAACACGGCTGGTCTCGATCTCTCCGTCGATTCTGACACGCTTCAGTCCCAGGTTAGTATTCTCTCTAACCAAGACTGGACGAAACAATGGCATCTAACCCCTTCGCAGTAATACTTTCATGAAGCCTTCAATGTTGTCTTAATTACTCTCTCTCCAACGCCTTGTCATGCCCTTGGCGCCCTGCCGCTGTTCCCGAGAAGCTCTCATGCTTCAATGTAACCACACTTCACGGTAATGTCCGACGGGATAGGGTTCATCACTAGTTCCTCCTGAACCCGAGTCTAAATCCATTACTTTGAATGTTACCGTTCAGATTCCTATCTCTGTCCTCCATGTTCTCATCTTGGCTCGTCCTGGCCTCGTCGTCGACGTCGGCTGAAGACCCGCCCATTCCCATATCTTCTTCTGCGCGGCGCCGAGCTGGCGGATTCCCCTCTGAACTATCGGGAACGGTAATGGTGACAGTAATTGTAACGGCTTCTTGGTGATTCCTGGCGTTGTCTTCCTCCTCTTCTTGACCATGGCCATCATGGTCATCATACTCTCCCCCTTCTACAGGAGTTTCGGCGTCACTGAAGTTCTCTAGGCTGGCCTCATTGGAGTCGTTGTTGAATTCCCCTCCCCTACTCCCATTCCTCAAGCCAAGAGGCTGAAGCATGGGCATATCGCTAGACTCGTCATCAACCACCTCAAGTCTATCATACTCCCCACCATTGACCAAACGGCTTCTACCGTCGTGTAAGTAGCGCACTCGGGGGCTCGTATACCGTCCCATATGTTGCCAGTTATAGAACGAATGACGCAGTTCTCCTCCGCAGAATAGGCAGCTCCGCAGAGCCGATGGCCAGCCAGCGCTGCAGGACCGGCAGATATATCTCGCGCGACGCACGGCAGCAGGTCGGCGGAATGCTGGCGTATGGTGGACCCCGTTGACGGGAGTTGGTGTTGGAGCCGGAGGGCTGTGTTCTTGTTCGGCCAGGATTCTTGCTTCGGCCGGATGAAGATTGAAATGAGGGACGCCGTTAGGAATCCCGTGGGGAATCCCATTGGTCCTGGCTTCGCCTAGGTGTTGGGGTGTTCGGGTGAGGTCCATCGCTAGAATGGGCTAGAGAGATGGCTGAGGATTCTAGTTTCAGGCCGTGAAAGGTGTTGCTGAGACGCGAGAAACTGCCGGATATGTTTACAACAACCAAACGGCGTGAAGGAGAAAATGGTTTGCGGATTTGGAAGTTTCCATCACCGTTCCAATAATCTTTGCTCCTTTCCCGTATCCTATTATACCTGGCATTCCTCCCCCGTGATTCTAAATTTGGCGGCCATCACCGCTGTCCCCTTTTCAATATTGAAAGCTTGGAACAGATTCTTGAAGCTAAGGTCGGCAGGAAGCCTCCAGTTCCCCCGGAACTGGGAGCTCTGGCACATGATTTTCGCACTTCGCACTCACTGGAGGTTCTTAGCCTCTGCATTTCTAAGATCGTGACCTGTACTGTTTAACCAAAGACATAGATCTATAGCATGTGCGCCTAGTTATCAAGCCTGACGCCTAAGACGAGCGTTTTTTTTTTTTTTTTTTTTTTTTTTTTTTTTTTCTTTTCTTTTTTTTCTCTTGTGCCTTCGTGACTTTAGCGTCCTTTGACTTCACATGCATTTTGAATAATCCTTTGCCACGTCGAGTAATTTAGACACTAATTCTAGATTTCTCTAGTCCAGTGGCCAAGCATCATGGACTTCCGGCCTGGAAACCGAAAGAGATAGGTGACCCTGTTGACAATCCTTGTAGTGTCAGACTGATATGAAGTCTATATTCTTAACCTCTCCCACGGCTTTCCAACCTTGGGATCTTGAAAGTAGACATTAGCTTCAGGATCCTACACTCGCTCAACTAACGGGGATGGAAGAAAAGCCGGGGTGGCAGGAGGATGTCCCTCACGAAAGAGAAGCAAACCGGCAGCTATAATGCTACCTCCAGTCTATTTCAAGCGAGATGGAAGCATTTCAGGATAATTCCGGATGGCCTCAGGTGTCTGCGAATTGCTGAAATCAGATCCTCAACTTCTCAAAGTATACAGTACTTCTCTCTTCGCCAGCACCGTGTTCCTCCCTTCCATTCCATCGATTTGCCTCACAGAATCAGGCAAAATGCACGTTCGTTCCCTCTGCCGAAAGCCCATGCAGCAGTTCCTTCACGTACAGTGGAAGGAAAGCCAAGAAAAAAGTTCGGTAAGCGTGGGGGTGGAGGATCGATGCCGGGTGCCTGCCACTTGGCCGTCGATGATCGGATCTGTGTGTGGGGTTTAGCCCATTTGGGGCTCTTCTCGCTCCATTGTCATGATCCGTCTCTTCACACAACCTACAGTTTTAGGATGTGGGAGTGGCTATCCTACCACCGACGACTTCTGAAGCCTCAGCTAGGATGGAGAATGGAAGAGCGCATTTTCCGGTGATGGAAAACGTCATTCTTCCTCCCACCCGCCTTATCTCGGTGAGTCTACTCCTACAGAACAAACACAGAATAGACCATTCATATGTGGGAAAGCCGCCATCAACAAACACGACATGCCGTCTTCTCAAAATGGTTTGACGAATCTTGAAACACACTGCAAAGCTACTGAAATCGATGGTCTACAACGAATGGCCCACGGCATACTCACAAATCGGCTGTGGAGGTGCTGGACCTAGCAAGCCTGCAATAAAGTCCGTCGAGCTGCGATACGTCCCGAGTTTGACTAGCAACACGGCTTAGGTCTTTCGCATTCCGAGGTCACAGGAAACAAAGTGGCGACATGAGGTACGCAGGTTGCAGAACAGCACACGGAGAGCGTCAGACGGTCAAACCACCCGAGTCTTCTTCCTCCCAATGCCCAATATAGATTCACCGATACCCCCAGGGAAAAAAAAAGAGTAACCCTCTCCACCTGCGCTAACTTTCCTAATCCTACAAGAAAACGAGAAAAAGACGCAACGAGACCCCGAAACTCCTCCCCCCTTCCCTTGCCCGAAATCAAAACGAAGAAAATGAAGTGCAGCAGCGAGGCTTATCGAGACGAGCAGGCGGGGAGAAGGGGGAGGTGACTAGAAGGCAAGACTAGGAGGGCAGCACATCCTGCCCGCCCCGATACTTCCATCGTCCAGAACGATCCTCGATCCCGTCGGCCTTTTTTGCGACATGCCGACCTCCTTTAGGATTCTCCCGTCTTTTCTCTTGTCTCGATCCCGCAAGAAGAAAACAAATGAAACCGATCTTTCAAGGACATCACACACAAAAGCATGTCTCGCCAGTCCCAGGCCTTGATTACCAACCGACCGCGGCCCGAACCCGACCGATATGTCATACACTAGTCATACCGATCGAACTCACACCCACACTCATGCGAGAAGTACAAGAAGGGTATAATGAGGTCACGGAAGGTTGGCCCAAAAAATAACGCGCCAACACGTGTTCCTAACTCGCCATACAACTCTTTATACCGCCTGCGCCGCCTTCTTCTTCTTCTGCTCTACCTTGAGAAGAAGAGCGCGGTTAATGTGTGGCAGTACACCACCGAAGGCGATGGTGGCACGAATGAGAGTATCGAGCTCCTCATCACCACGGATGGCGAGCTGGAGATGGCGGGGAGTGATACGCTTGACCTTGAGATCCTTGGCAGCGTTCTATCATGATGAGGTCAGCAAGTCTGATCCTGTGAAATGAGGGTGTGGTGATGCAAAAGTAAGGGGAAAGAACATACGCCAGCGAGCTCGAGCACTTCGGCAGTAAGGTATTCTAGCACGGCCGTAACGTAGACCGCCGCCTTGGCGCCAACGCGCATCTTGTTTTGGGTGTTCTGCTTGAGGAACCTCTTGACACGACCACAGGGGAACTACATCATCAAGGACGACAGGTTAGTAAACGTATTCCCCATCATTACGCGCGTAGACATCAGCGACAGCGACAGAGATAACGAGAGGGGTTGGGTGAGGGGTATGGTAGGCGGTGAAGGATCGGATCGTCGATTGGTGGTATCAGCAGCCTGGTGCAAATGCGCGAGATGACGACGATAGCGACAATGATGATGGAAACGACCGGTATCGACGCGTTTGTGATGATAACGCGATGCAGAAGTGATGACCATCAACGGTAGCAATCGCCATTCGTGTGGCCAGTTTGACGTCGCGGGCATATCGGTCGCAACGCGTCATAAACGTCGACGGACTGTTGGGGAAACGTGATGGGGCTGCGATCGAAAATGGAGGGGGTGTCGCGATGCGAAAAACAAATCGAAGTCGCGTCGCATGATGCTCTAAAAGAAGATGATGTTGATCTTACCTGGAGTCCAGCCCTCGCGGAGTGGCTTTGCTGCTTCTTGGGGCCCTCGACGGAGGTCTTGCCACCAGAGCTCTTTCCGCCCGAAGACTTTCCTTTGCCGCCGGCCATTGTTTACGTGTTTTTTAGGATTTTGAAGAGGGGAAAATTGGGGTTTTCCTGCGCCGATAAAAAATTAGATGGTAATTGTTTTGATGGATGGATGCGCGATGCGATGCTGTTGAGAAAGGCGGGAGAAGGCTGCGTTTGTGATGGAGGGGGATGTGGTGGTATCGTGTCGAGCGGTGATTTAAAAGATTTTTGATGGGAAGTTGTTGATGTTTGTCGCGCGGAAGTGGAGGGGAAGGGAGAAAAATTGTTATGGTCCAAGATAATATGCGTGGTGCAGCACAGGTAGGCAGAAGCCCAGCTGGCAATGTTTTTCCATATTTTTCGGGCCCTATTTTACTCCTTCCTCCTCTCGCCGCTGCTGCGTACTACCTTCCACAGCTCTGACACTGCAGCTCTATTAACTTTTTCCTTCCACTCTATTTTCTGGCAAGGAGAGCCAGTTTTGGCCAATCAGAGGACGCCAAGGAGTGGTCGTTGGCTCTCCATCCGCCGCCAGCCGCCTGGCTCCTCCCGCCCCATATCAATGTACCTTTATGTACTCGAATAGCTTCGAGTCACGCAAGGCGCCCCTAACTCATCCTCTATTGACCTTTTGAATACTTAACATTTGTGATATTGGATGAAGGATTTCAAATATTGAATATTAGTGTTGATGTAACCGAATGACAACAGAGAGAAAATCGCCGATTTTTGGCTCGTAATAGTGCACAAGTCCACGAGGATGGAAAAATCGGCGGTGAGGATAGGGAAGAAAATGTTGTCGACTCCCTTTTTGTCATTGAGGAAGGGGGAAAGGGACGTCGAGGTAAAATACCTTTGGAGCTACACTACTTCGTACATCCAGCAGTAATCGGAAGACCTGAGATGCACCTGCACATCTTTGCCGGGGAAGCTGAATTCGAGTCGATGAGGGCCAGTCATCCATCAAATATAGCCTCAGCTAGTATAAGCCATCTTTCATGGACCCAGTCCCTCGGGAACCCTGGGGCCAGTCAGAAGGGAGGGAGAAACGGACTCGTCCTGCAAAATTGGAGATGGAACCAAACTACTGGATGATGGAGTATGGAGTGTTGTTCCTCCCAAGCTGACTTGTTAGCCATCGACCATCAATCATTGCCCACCAGCGGTCAACTGGAGTGCCAATCATCCCCTAATGTACGCATATACGGGAGGGACGGAAATTCCTGTATCTGTGATATGCGTCCGGTAGCGGCCATCATTATGTCGGCAGATCCAATGGTTCAGAGAAGATGTGAGCGGGTCCGTTTCTAGTGTATCTATCCTCCTTGTTGCACCTCCACCAGTCCAGCATCGCATTGCCAATGGACGGCTAAGTTCACGATGGGCGAAAAAAAAATTGGGGGGGGGGGGGGGGGGGGGGGGGGGGGGGAACTACTCAGCAGTGAATGACGGTCTGCAAGCCCCTTTCCACCCACGTCCTCTCATCAAGGACCGCTTCCTTTACTTGAAAAGTGCAGCATTGATGCATCCGGGACGAAGAGTCTCACTTTAGCGAGAATAGAGATTCCGCGATTGGCTATATGTTATACGACATCAAACTGAGGAACCGTCATAAACTGCAGAGCGATCACCAGCACAATGACTCGTCAGAGAGCACAGGCCAAAGAATCGATCCGTGAATATGCAAACCAAGTCCTTGGTTCAAGGCTCGCGTCTCAACATCCTGCAGTACGAAGTACGTCCTGTAGGTCTTGGAGACCTTTGCGACTCGAGTCGGCGCAGAGATCAGATGCTGGCATTCCTCATCCCAGTGCTTTGAAACGAGTGATGTCGTGGTGGACGATTATTTCTTCAGGGCCTCAGTGGAGCATTGTCGAAATCAATTTAATTCAATGCTGTTTTCACAGGTTCTCAGAGCACTTGATCTCAAGTGTCTCGACCGAGTGGAGCGGGTTCTAGCGCACAGTGAAAATTGCGTAATTGAACTTTTCCGGGGGTGATAACGACCTTACCCGGGATGTCTTTTGAGGAAATGAGGTATTCCGTGTGTCTTCCAAATTATTAACACTGTTAAAACCAACCTGGCAACCAGCATCCTTGCCCTAGTGATCAGGCATCAAAATGGAGTCTGGAGTCCTCCAACCCAAAGGGTAGTGATGGAGCTGAGGGAATCTGTTCAAGCATGGTCGGATCAGCGTCGCCGGATGTGTGCCCCGTAGACTCGATGCAGTAGTTTGAAGAGGGTACGTGCACTATTGCGACAGCTGGAAGGACAGGTGAATGAAGGAGAAACTGCTATCTCAATCCATTCGATTGATGTGGTCTAAGAACTAATGCTCCGGCCTCATCGACACCCATGAAGCAAGACTTCAATGCTGGTAACTGGGGCTCCAAGTACTAACGCTGTCTTGGGTCTAGTAGGCTCCAACTTCCCGCTGGCGGGGACCCCCTTTTAGCCTTTTTCACCTTCTCCTGCTTCTGCGGCTGCAATAATTCCCCTTCTTTGATCGAAGATCGAAGACGACTTGCTGGAATTTTTTTTTCCCTCGTCATTCCAAAACAGAAACCCGCTTGCTCGACGGCAACGCCTCCGTTGCCTTTCCCTTTGATTGATCCGTCCCGTTTATCATAGATCATAACAAAAACAAACCACCGGAACCAACGGGGTTGTTGGCAGAGAGAGACTCAAACTTGACGACTTCATGGCTTTTTATTGTAACTTGTTTTGGTCCTTTTCTTCCTTCTGATTTTCTTTCCCCATAATCTTCTTTCTTTTCTTTTTCGTCACGAGACGACATTCGTTGGGACACTTGCACCTTGAAGATACACGAGCGAGTACGGAGTACTTGGAGTACCCAGAGAAGGGCCTGCCCTCAGAGAGCAAACCGTAAAAAAAAAAAAAAAAAAAAAGCAACGGCCAGGCGCAGAAAAAAATACGTTAAAAGTACTCCGTAACAGTCATATGCCCGCAGGAGCAGAAGGGCGACTTGAAGGTTCCGCTTTCCCTTTTCCCCTTCCTCCACCCAGGCCTCCACAATTGCACCCAGTTGCCTCCTGCCTCCTGCCTCCTGCCTCCACCTCCACTTCCAACGCCCACCAAGGAGGAAACCGCCTGGCCTACGAAGTAATTTACGCCTGCGAAGTACTCACCTGGCACGCACCTGCCCTGCACAAGCAGCACGAGGCCCAGTCAGGGTCACAATAATTCCAGGCTAGAAGGAACACCGCACCCGCACCCGCACCAGCACTGGCGAAAATTTGCCTTCCAAGCCCCCCAATAATTCCATCCAATTTCAACCGTCTTTTCTCCAATCCCCTTCAACAACAAACGCTCTTCCTTCGTCCCTCGAGTCGGCCATCGACACATCTGATTCTCATCCCCCCTTTTTTACCCTTTTCTCTCGGGTGCCTGCACTGGATCCTCTTTTCTTCTTGGGATCCAACCTCGGAGAGCACAGCATTGCTTTCCACACCATCTCCCCTGCAGTCAGCTGTGTCCTGTGTCCTTGCAGTGGTCGCTGCGACGCAGAGCCTCCTTGCTCCTCGGAACACTTCTTCTTGTTCGACTCATCTTTTCGTTCTCTCATTAATTTCTTTCTCGCTCCGCCCGACCATCTTGGCTGGCCCTTCCGATTCCCGACACTGAGGAAAATCGACCCCCTCTAAGCCTCCCGCCTATCGCGAGCGCCCTTGGGATCGACGCCGATTTTTTTTTTCCCTTCATCACAGCGCTATTCACCTCAAGTCGAACTGACTATATGCAAATCGGCGACTTGGTCCTCTGACATCTGACCGCGTCGGTTCTCCTTCCGACCTCATTTCCCCCTTCCCCACCATTTTCTTTTGCATCCTCCCCCCCTCGCACACATCTCAAGAAAAAAAATATTACCGCCATGAGCCAACAACATCCAAACGAGATGTACATGGACTTCCCTCACCCTACGAGCCGGTCTCCGAGCTCGTCAAGGGCGCCTTACACCCATCAAGCATTTCCCACTGGCTTCTCCCTCCCCCGTCACTCGCAGCGGCCCTTCGACTCGCCCCTCGGGTCTTCTGCCCTATACTCTACCGACCGCATAGCTCCTGGCGGCTATACTCTGAGGGCCGGTATGGATCAAATGTCCTCGGTTCCCGGCCTCGCTGGCGGCTACATGCTGGATAACAACCAGTCGTGGGCCTACAACGCCGGCAACGTTGCCACTATCAACGGACCGTTGAATGGCGGCGGCGCGCGTCAACGAGCTAGCAACCGAAGGACTGCGCTTCCCTCTGTCAGTCAGGTCCCTTGATCCTCCGCAAATATCAATGCCCTTGTTCTTTGTCGCACTAACATTGCGAGTCTCTTAACAGACGTGGACCGACGCCAATTCCATGGGCATGCACCCACCCATGCCCACCTTCCAGCCCCCTGGCTTGTCATCGAACCCCTTATCGTCTGGCCTTCGCATGGATCAGGTTTCCCCCGATGCTCGCAGCCCGAATCCCCAACCCGGCGAATCCGACCAGTTGATCCCCACGGCAATCGTGATAAAGAATATCCCATTCGCCATCAGGAAGGAGACTCTGGCCCAGCTGATGACCGACCTTCATTTGCCTCAGCCCTATGCGTTTAACTACCATTTTGACGGTGGCATTTTCCGCGGTCTCGCTTTCGCCAACTTCCAGTCCCCTGAGGATACTCGGCTCGTGATAGAGACGATGAATGGTCTGGAGGTTCATGGTCGGAAACTGCGAGTTGAGTACAAAAAGATGCTCCCTGAGGCCGAGCGGGAACGGATCGAGCGGGAGAAGCGGGAGCGCCGTGGCCAGTTGGAAGAACAGCATCGTGGTCCCGTTCTCCACCAGCAGCCTTCGCTCCAGACTCTCACCAGCATGGCGAACAGCCAGCAGCAGCCCAGGCATGCTCATTTGAGTAGGTTTATCCCTATACCCTGAGCTGATACTAGTCCCAGCATACGGGATTAGGGCATGTTCGCAATATTTCCTGTCCTTTGCGGGCACTTGCCACTTTTCTCTATCCCTCGCCTTTGTAGAGCGGTAAAACTGACTATAAATGACTTGTGTGAAGGGGACCTCGACTTGAACGATCCGATCACGCTACAGTATTACACAGAGTTGACTCTGTTCCGACGCGATGAGAGCCGAGAGATTCTCATCTTCCCCTCGAGCGTTAGCCCCGAAGAACGCCGCCAAATCCACATCCTCGCACATTACATGGGATTGGAGCACCGCTCCGTTGGTGATGCGGACTCCAGGCAGATCCAGGTCATCAAGCCGCACGTCCCATCTCCCACCGGCCAGGCACACACGAGCACCGCCGTTAGTCTTGACTTGCACCGCCGGGGACTAAGCCGTGCTGCCACTTTTGACTTTGCAGCGGACCGGGAATCGCGCGGCATTACCGGCGGCTATCCCCATGCCATCGGCCGTCAAGGTCCCACGCTGGAGCTTCCGGGCAGCCCCGACGGGGTCGCCATTCCCAACAATCTCAGGACGGCTAAGAGTTTTGCGGATCTGAGGTCTTTTAGTCCTAGCCCGTCGCACTCCTCTTCGAGCTATCTAAACCCGGCTACAGGAATTGGTGGTTTACCGGCCTCCTCATTGGCGCGTCTCGGTGACTACACAGGTAGCCTCAGCCAAGCTGGTTCCCTCGCGACTCCCACTCTAACCTCAAGTGCTCCAGGTACCGCTGTAAGCCAGGGCTCCTCAAACGAGGCGACAGTGCTTGCTAGTACTCTCAGCAGCCTGAACCTCGGTTCGTTCGAGTCTAGCTCCGTGTCTTCCCAGAACCGAAGCACGCCAGGCGCTATTGGCAGCCACCGACCGAGCGCGAACGGATCGTCGTCGAACCGCGCCGCCCCAGATAGGCAGCCTCGAGGGCCAGAGTGGGAGGCCGCCTCGGGATTCTCTGGCCGCAACCGTGTCAATGGGCATATGCAGAGGGGAAGTGGTGAGTTGGTCCCGAGTGACCTGATCGATGAGTAGACTCGGTCAAACAAGTTCCTGTGGCTCATCGCTTGGTGTCCTTGTATCTCAGACTCCTCAGACGACGGAACTCGAACGGGGACTAGCTCCAGCGTTTCGAGGTTCCACTAAACTTCGCCAACACTATTGAAGGACTCGCTATCTCGGAAACCCATTCAGCCCTGCCAAGTATACGAAGATATCGGAATTTGCGGGCCTGCAATTCCAATGTCTCCGCGCTGCTTGGTTAACTCGGGTGTTTTGGGGCGGTGAAACATCTCTCCCAAACATGTCCGGTCCTTTCAAATTTGTGTATTCCATCCAGCAACAATCCTAGCGCCATTGAGTTGGCTGCCCGAGGCCAGAACCTGCCTCTCACGAAAGTTACGACAACAATGATCAATGCACGAAACGCCTCCCTGAAGAGAAAGCCCCACCCAAAGAGAAATACGACGACGCTATACGACGCTTTCAAGAGTTACAGTACACCTACGATGGGCAACCATTGCTTGTAACGATCCTACTCGATCCTACTCATGAATTTCCACTTTTCCACTTCTCTTCTGTCCTTTTGCGCGTCTTATGGCCTGGCGTGTCAGGCATAGACGCGGACGCCGCCGACGACAGGAGAGGTCACGACGTCCCATCATATTATGAATATTCACGCAGTTACGATGTTATGTCTAGACAGCTGTCTCGGCCTACTACACTACGAGGCAATATCAGATTGACGAACTTACCGCCTCCAAAGAAATGATCAATGATCAAAACTTATTGTTTGTGTAAAACATTGACGAACGAACACCCCCCTTTTATTTTGCTCATCCTAATACACGACCCGCGATCTCCACTTTCGGCACCCGCTTGGATTACGGGTTACGTTACAGTCGTCGATTTTATACTCGTTCTGATGGGGTCTGCGTCGTTCGATATAGGGATGACATCCATCCGACCTCAGCATACGGGAAAACCACTTGATATGAGGGAGTGGTTAATGACGATAGACGAGGTGTTCTCGAAGATGCTCTTGCTTTTTGGACGATTCTGTCTGGCCCACGGGGAGAAGTTGGAGGGGTATGTATCCCCAGCGCTTGAAAAGTTTGGCTATTCTGTTATCTCAATGCTTTTAATGTTTTGCCATGGGCTTTGATTCCATGCTGTTTTCACTATGGTTCAAGTTTGACCCATTTGCGCCGACCTTGTTTAATCATCTTTTTATCCTTTTTTGTTTATTCCCCTTGGCCAAGGCTTCATACAATGGGGTCTCTGAGCCCTGCATGGAACCGGGTAAGGGGATCATTCGCTTTTCTTTGGATAGCCACGAAGGGCTCACGATTTATTGTTTTTTTCATGTTTTCCTCTGGCGGCAGTCGGTGACCGAGCGAAGAGTAGTTGAATCATGCACTTGTTTTCGAGGCGTTATTGGATAGCATATATTAGTTGCGCTTGGTTGCTTTTCTGTTTGATTCTGCGCAGGTTTCGATGGATGTTGCAATAAGACTCGTTTCATGCTTTTGCGCTCTTTTCTTGCATTCATTCTCAGTTTATGGTTTCCTGCTTTGGGTTGCGAACAATCATGCATGTATCAAGGCTCTCCAATTCGTCTTGCAGTTTCGATGGTCCGTCTTTAACGGTCACTTCCTGTACACCAACCACTTTCGTTCTTTTCGAGACGTGTAGGTGCCAAGGCTGGACAGTTCTTTCCATCTGACTGTTGCGCTCTGACTTTGCCTTCACCAAACTCCGCTCCCTTGCCGCACTTGGTTTTACAGTTATGTCGTCATACTCTGTTCGGAGTTTAATGGATAAGGGGAAAATGGATCAAGGAGAAGAAGAAGCTGGGTTGCAATGATAAGCTACGATGGATGGAACATGATTGATGCGGAGACAAAATGGTATGTATGTATGCTAAATGTAGAAGATGAGCTGGGGAGAGCTTGGTTTTGCGGATGCGTTTACGCAAAGCCTTTGCTTGCTTAGCCGGAAGAGCGGAGGGTGTACGCGAGGTAATGGCTGTTTGGTCGAGGCTCTTGATTTGGAGCGGAAATGGTCGCATTTCCTTGATCGGCTCTGGATTGGCTTCGTTTCGACGAGGAGGATTGGAGTTCTTCTCCTCGGTGAATCCTGTTGAAGGCTAGCGTTGAATTCAGTACAATGTTTTAATGCATCGTTGATTCTTTTTTCTTCTTGCATCCCATCTCGCCTTGTCAAGCAGAGAATACGATTGAAACTTGGTCTCGTAAAATGGGGTATTATATTCACCGAGAAATGTAATTATTTTGCTACACTTCGAAATAAACGCACGAGGGGTCCTCTTTCCTCTGCTTTTCCGAGACGAACTGCTCCTCTCAAGCCCGTCCCCTTTACCTCCTCCTCGACCTCGTCGTCTTCGCAACAGGCTCAAACGAATCGTCATCAGAAATCTCATCATCACTAATCTCAAGAGCATTCTGCTGCGAAGTCCCCGCCTGCTGCTGCGTCTGCTGCGAGAAGTTCAACCTCGTCTGGCGCGTAGCACGACCAGTCGCCGTCGTCGCCGCAGCAGACCGCGCAGGCTGTCTCCTTGCGGAAGAAGCCGTGGTCCGTTGCGATGCGGTGGTAGTGCGGCGGGTGGGGGGAGGGGGAGGGACGTCGTCGTCCATGATGTCGTCTTCGGACGGGGGCGAGGTTTGTTTCCTGCCGCGGGTGGTGGTGGTGCGGGATGTTGCTGTTGTTGTGGTTTTGCGGGCGGGTGCTTTTCTTGTTGTGGTTGTTTTTGTGGCACGGGTGGTTGCTGTGCGGCGGCCGCGGGTTGTCGGGGGAGGTTCCTCTTCGTCCTCGTCAATATCGGGCATATCTTCGTCCTCGCGAGCGGATCTCGCTCGCGCCGTCCTACCGCCTCGTCCCGCGGTGGCACGAGAAGTAGTCGTTCCCTGCGTAGCATTCCCCACATCCTCAAACGCATCGGGCTGCTGGTCCCAATGCCCATCAAGATCCGAATCCCACGTAACAGGCTTCGGCTTCAACCTTCTCGACCCAAACGACAACTTGCCCGCAGCGAACTGCTCCTCGAGCTTGGCCCGATACGTCTCCATGGCATTGTCCAGATCCTCCTCGTCCGAATCGAGATCGAGCATCTGGCGCACCTGGCCGGCGAGGGACTCGCTGACGAAGGTCTCCATGGCGTGCTTGTCGTCCTTTGTGACGAACTGGTTGACGGCGTCGCCGAAGGGGGCTTGCGGGAGGATCTTGAGGGATTGCGCGGCGAGGAACTCGTGCACGAGGCGGTCGACTTTGATGTTGTCTGGGCCGAGGTTCTCGAGGGCTTCCTCGGGGAGATCGGCGGCTCCGTTGTCGCGTTCTGGGGAGGTGGGGGGCAATATGTTAGCTTGGGGCTGTTGTTCAAAGATGGGGATTTCGAGAAGCGAGTGGGAGATGTTGTGGGCACTTACTTGAGCTGCTCGATTTCTTTCTGTAAAAGTAGACGACATCGTTCGTATTAGCCACCTTGCCAACAAACCTGTTGGAGAAGCGCTGAGGGTTCTCGCAGTCAAACTTGCCGCCTTCACTAGAGGGGGTATATTCGACTTTTAACCTCACGAGCGGGAGAGGAGGATCGCCCGCGTCTTCCACGTCCTCGTGCAGGGCGTACCAGTCCGCATTCGCCTCTTCAATCATTTCTTCCACGACTTCCATTAACCTTCTCGTGACTTCCTGGCGGTTGTCCTTCTTCGTCTCGAGTCCCTTGAACCTCTTGTCGGTTGCGAGGACGAGCTCCCGCGTGACAAAGGGCCTTACGGTCTTCAGTGGGAGTTTATCGACGGTGAATTCCTTGCCCGTGATGTTGACCACAGCCACATGTTTGGGGACAGCCTCTCCGGGGATCAGTGAGGTGGCGACCGATGAGCCGGGCTGCATGACGTGGAAACCCGTCTCTGGGTTCTGTCTGGGGTCAATCTCGCACTCATGCTCGTGGCCCCAGACGACGAGGTTCATCCAATCGGGAAGGACGTTCTCGGGTAGGTAAGACGTGGCCGTGTGAGCGTGATGGTTTTGGTGAACCGTCAACAAATTAAACCAATCGGCTGTCTCGACGTTGGGCCGGAACCATTTCACTTTATGGTCCCTAAAAGTGCGGAACATGCGCTCGTCACGAACATTCCCTAACCCGTACATCGCCAGCCTCGTCTGTCCCTTTTGCAAAAGTATAGGCTTTGCCTCGATGTTATCCGCCTCGGGTACGCGACCAAAGTAGTTGACGAGACCGGCGACCTGCAGGAGGTCGAGGGAGCAAAAGTGGCCTTCGCCGCTGGGGTCGTCGTGGTTCCCGTGGATGGAGAAGACAGGGATGGAGATGTTGATGTCCGGGTCCTCGTAGTTGACGTGGTTGAAGGCGCCCTCGAAGATCTCGTTGGCGTCGCTGAGGAACTCGAGCTCGCAGGGTTTGGGGCCGAGGCAGTTCTTGCGCAGGCTGCGCATGACTTGGTACATGGATTTTCGGGAGGGTTTGTTGTCGTGGAAGAGATCGCCGCCAAGGAGGACCATGTCGACCTTTTATAATCGGCGGGCTTTGGTTAGCATCATGGTCGGTTGTGGAAGAGGGAGGAAGTGAGGCAGAATTGAAGCTCTGCATGTTGAAGTTCTGCGTACATCCTGTGTGCGGGCGAGGTTCATGATCTCGTCAAAGGTCTTCCAGCTGTCATCCTTCCGGATGGGGTCGCGCTCCTCGTATCCTACATGATTGTCGGTTGCCACCAGGATGCGAATAGTATCGGCTTCTGGTGGCAGTGGCGGCTATGGTCAGTGTTCTAAGCTCCAAGCCGTCTGTAGTGCTGATGGGATGGTGGGGTTAGCATTGGCTTGATGCTCGACGATTTGACGCACCCGTGAGACGAGGCATGGCGCCTTTTTCTCGGAACGAAGAAGAGAGACAACCTTGAGCTCTCTGCTTTTCGGGAGCAAATCCGAGATGAGAAGGGTTAATAGCGGCGATCCTGGTAGAGCCTAATCGGAATGTCGCAAAATGCCTGAAAGAGCGGCTTCAGCCCTGTGAGAAGTCGCGTTCGACGCCGACCGGCTTTACGCGTTGCACAGCAGGCAGCTCCCTCCCCAGAACCCGAACTCACGTGACCACCTACACTGTGCACCATCCCCGTTAAAACCATCACTAACACCGTCGTGATTCTTGATCAACTCTCCTCAATGGGATCGATGCTAAATGCTTGCTCAGGAGCTGAGTTTCATGCGCGAAACGATTTCTTTGGACGGATATACTTGACTGGATTTAAATGTAGTCAGTATATGTCGTTTAGATTAAAACTAGTCTCTAGGAAGGCTTAGGAAGTAAGGCTTCTTCCACAGACCCGCGTATGTTAACGCACATCAATTCTCACATCGTTGATATCATTCCCAAGTCGTCCACTCTCTCTGTTAATTACTTCTCGACGACAGAGCGTAGCCAAGTATCTCACTCCTCGCATTCTCACACCCCACCCTCTTACATCCGACCTCATATCGCCCTCGCCATGGCAAGGTCCGACGAGGCGCAAGCCTTTTTCGACGCTGTCTATGCTGCCATCCAGGAGATTCCGTATGGGCGAGTGACTACCTACGGCCACATCGCTGCTCTCATTGGCACCCGTGAGTCCGAATCCGATTTCTCCGTTCATCGAGTTCGCCCAGGCATTATAATTGATAGATATTACTCGGGAGGGCCGAGTGAATGATGTTAACTCTTCCGAATCTAAGCCGAACGGCCCCGACAGGTTGGAGTCTGTCTTAAACACCTTCCTACGAATCCCGATCTTGAGTTTAATTCGGATACTGTCCCCTGGCAAAGAGTTATCAATTCAAAGGGCACCGTCTCTCCAAGGTCAATCAATCTCCTTTACATCCCCACAGCGTGCATTCAATCCTTCAATGCCCAGGCATCGGACGCCTAACCGCTCATACCCCAAAGAACAGATCTCATCCATCCGGAGCTCGCAACCAAGCAGCCGCCCTCCAGGCCGAAGGAGTTGAGGTCACAACCTCCGCTCTCGGCGAGCATTGCGTAGATCTTGCGAAATATGGCTGGTTTCCTTCTGAGCTCCCGTCAGAGAGCGCAGCTGCGAACACGGTCCAGGAGGCCTCGGAAGAAGTCAACAATCAAGATGATGCCGAGAAGCAAGACTTAGATGATGATGATGACGATGATGACGACGACGACGACGACGACGACGACGAGACAGCTGAAAATTCGAGGTCAAGACGGCGGTGAAGAGGGGTGATCCGTTTTCCGTGAGGAGACGGATATTGTTTCTGCCGCCTCTAGATAGATCATGAGGCTCCAGCTCGGCGGCACTATACAGAAATCACGAAACCGGACTTCGTACGCCTTGATATTAATTTCAGCCAACTCTTTTTCTGTTTACGAACTCCCTATCGGATTTCATCCACTCCACGTTTCGGATCCACCACCCTTTCTCCCATCTGATTCTGCTTTTCTTGCGGCTCCCTTCTCGTGGATACCCCTCCCTCGCATTCTACTGCACACAACCACTTGCAATGGGTTGGGCCGACACTAGCCTCCGTATTGAGTGATGAAAAGTCATCCAAGGGCCTCGTCGAGCTCGGTTTCAAGGCTTTCCGAGTTCTTAAAGGTTCACTATACGCTGAAGGTGCGGCCTTGCCAGATCTCATCCAGGCCGAGTCGTTGTAGTAGAGGTTGAGTTAATCCTGCCCGTCTTGGAAGCGTTTACGAAGGGCCTTGTCTGGTTGGGTGACTCTGCATCTCTCATCATGATGCCCTTTGGTTAGTGCAAGTTTAGCTGGTGCGCAATATTCTGAGGACTAGTATATATCTCTCTGTCCCGACTCTTCGTGAGCCCCCCTCGTGAGACGAAATCCATCGTTTATTGTGTTGCCTGCATAAAATGGGTATTTCGACTGCACAACTCGGCCGCTGCTGAATTGCCTTGTCAAGTACGGAGTACAAAGCTGTAACTGTAGTGGGAACTCAAACAGCGGCTCTCACGTGACGAGCAGCAAAATGAGATCCAGCACCAAATAAATTTTCGAAACTTTGTTCCTCAATTTCTCTCTCCTTCAACCTTTCTCTTCACACTTCAAAGTTCGCTGGCGCCTTCGAGTTGAGGCACGCTTTCTCTACTCCAGGTCAAGCGCTGAACTAAAAGAGACAAAAGGGATGCGAAGTGGCATCAGACTGCTTCTTGTCCGCCACGGCGAGTCAGTCGACAACGTCGCTGGCCTCTAGTATGCCCGCTCCTCGCCCCTTTGGCCGTCGTCCGCGCGTCTAACAGCCCTCCATTGCCGGGTCTCGAGACTCTTCCCTATCCTCCCATGGAGTCCTTCAAGCAAAGGCCCTAGCCAAGCACCTAGCAGAGAGACCTGACATACAGGACGCAGCTTCAACACACTTCTTCGCTTCCCCTCTGGACAGGGCATTTCATACTGCCAAGGTAGTTCGGGATGCTTTGGCGATAGAGGGTAGTCACCCCGTCTCCGAGGTTGTCCGATCGGAGCATCTTCGAGAGAAGCATTTCGGCTCTCTGGAGGGCGTCAAGTTTGGTAAACTAGGCCCCTATGCCTCCAGCCAGAAGCCGGAGGATACTCCAGAGTCCTCCGACTCGATGATGATCCGGGCGAACTCGTTCGTCGTCTCTCACCTTCTTCCCGTCATTCAGCAGTTTCGCAGTGGCATTAGCGGGCCCCGTGTTGAGACAGTCATTATTGTCTCGCACGGCATCTTGCTCAACCACTTGACGAGGGCATTGCTGGGGACGTTTCAGTCACAAGGACGGCCTATCCTAGGTCTCACCATCAACCATGGCCCAGGAGAAGCACATTTGCATCTGCCCTGGCGCAATACAGGGTATTGCGAGTGCTTGATTGACCTGGAAGATGCTTCAGTTCTGAGCCTCACCGAGTTCGACACGGCGGCGGTTCTAGCTGACATGAAGCTAACCATACAGGCTATCAACCGGACCGAACACCTAGTCGGCCTGAAGAGGACTAGGGGCGGTATCGGCAGTGCTCAGTTTGACACGAGCCAGAAAACTCTTGATTCGTTCTTGGCGAAGACTTGATTTCCGGCCTTTCATAAATGGTATGTACTCTCTGGTTCTGTTTCCTACCTGCCTGCACCCGCCCGGAGTACATGATGAGGCAATACAATATTCACAGACCTGTTCTGAACATTTCTTGTTGATAAAGTTGTTTTCTCTTCTGATATCACTCCATAACCCCACATTCCGTGTTTTCTTCCTCTCTTGATGAGGTCGAAGCTAACTCGAACCCTAAGACAGGCGGCGTACGGCGTCAACAGCCATGGTTTTTTCCACTGTTTGCTAGTATTGGGGTACAGTCGCACCTAGCGATAAAGCAAGCGATAGTTAATAGTAATAAAATCATATTGATACCCAAACTCCGATCTCTACCCATGCCCCATGCCCTGATAATCCGGTGATTCCCAATGCAATGCTTTTCCCAAGTGATAATGCTGCTATCCTATACATCCGTGCTAGTCTCATCCCTTCCCGTAAAAACTTTATGCATCCTCTTACTCAACGCCTGCCCAATAGTCCTATCCGACAAATCCCCATCCCTGTTCGTACTCTTCCTACAATCCTGCAAAACCAACGGCCCCCCCAACTCAAGCTGCCGAACAAGCTGGCTCACCGACGGACACTCCGCGGCAATACCATACGCCACCGGCGCCGTAACACGCGTAATCTCCTGCAGCATGCGCACGTACGTGTCGGCCGCGTCCTCGCCGCTCCTGACCTGTCCGACATCCATGCAGAAAGCGGCAGCGGAGGCGTTGGCCTCGTCGCGGCGACGGCGGTAGGGGACCGTTGAGATGTGCTGCGTGAAGGTGACGATCCACCGGGCTGTTTCGATGGGAACGTTGGTGTGGTGGATCATGACGCCGTGGGTGACCTGGAGGGCGAGGAGGCCGTCTTCGATGAGGTCTTCGTCGACGTACTCGGTTCGGGCGGCGGGTTTCTTTCGGCGCGAGGGTCCGGAAGCGGATTGCGTTGAGGTGGAATTGCTCGCTGAAGCAGTGCCCACGTTGCGCACGGCGGCTGCGAATTGGCGGTTCCGTAGACTGCGGTTCCTGCGCATCCAGGGATCGAGGCCCTGGATAAGGTAGAGGAGTGTATGGTCCGGAAAATGGCGCTTCATCAAGCCGACGTGCCAGTGTAAATCCTTCCGATCCTCTTCCAGACACAGGCCGATGAACTCCTCCGACGCCATCACGACGAGCGCAAACGTTTCTCTCTCGACGCGCTCGGGCACGGGTTCATAGTGGCCCTTTTCCTCATCATACCTAGCCCTCACCCGACGCCTCCACCGAACGACGTGATCCACGGGGCTTTGCCACGACATGTCCTGGATCTCCAGCTCCTTGAGCAGAGTCTGCGTCTGGAGAGTGAGGGATTCGTCCAGCGTCGAGGGTATGTCGACGATCATTTCCCGCGCCGAGATCTTCTTGTCGGTTCGGGCTTTGTTCACCTCTGCGAGGGCGGCGGCGCGGGCCTTTTCTCTGGCTTTTTGCGCCTTAGCTTCTTCGCGAGCTTGTTTCTTCTTTTCTTTTTCGGCTTCGCGGAGTCGTTTTTCTCGCGCTCGTTCCTCGGCCGTTCTTTTGGTGGTAGTGGCGGTAGTGGTGGTAGTGGTGGTGGCAGTAGAGAGGCTGGTGGTTCGTGAGGTGGTCGAGGTCCTCCTCGAGGCAGTTCTTAATGTAGAGTAGGAAATAGTCTTGGTTCGTGCGGGATTGGGAAGGAGGCTACGGTACAAGGCTCCAGGGCGCAGATTAGCGATATCGGGGAAATAATCATCTGATGATGCCAGTCGGTTCTCGATATCCGATCCGGAGTCAATGTTGATGACGTCTTTTCGAGGAGGGGGCAGTTCAGGCGCGGAGCTTGATATGGGGTCCCAGTCTTTGGGAGGACGGGGAGGTGAGAGATCGCTGATCGGACTCGGCGTGTCTAACAGGTTTGTGGAGTGTGTATCTCCTCCCGAAATGGTTGCCAAACGATGGAGAGACTTTTCGTTGTCCCGAAGTTGAGCTGGGCGACGGTTTGGTGAAGGGGTCTTACGCTCCGGTGAGGGTGAGAATGTGAATGGGTCATGGCTAGCGGATAGCCCACCGCTCTGGGCTGTGGTTCCTGTAGGTTGGATCTTCGAAGTAAAATCTGGCGTGCTCGACAACTCAATAGGATCGTCGAAAGCTCGGCTCCTAACCCCAGGCGGCTTCTTCGTAGTAGCCCGACTCGAGGAATCGCCCGTGTACGAAGCCGTTCTATTAAATATACGACGAGGATCCTTCCTCAAAGGGCCCTGCCGAGATTTCACCTTCGCGAGTTCGGGGACATCGGACGAGTCCGAAAGATCGGAAAGGGCCAGCACGTTCGCTCTCCTCGGGGGAGGGCTACTGCTGGCGTCGCGGCAGATACGCTTGCCTGACTGTGACTGCGAGTTCGTGACATGGTCGGTGATGTCGTTGAATACGCCGTCGTCCGACCTTCGCTTTCGGGCGTTCGGTTCTTTGGTTGTCCTTCGAGGACTGGGGGGCGGGATCCTGGGAGCGGGTGGGCTCGAGGATAGGAGGCTTATGACTTCGCCAATCATGAGGCGAATCGTGTGATACTTGCCCGTGAAGACAATGGATGCATGAGGAGGTCCTCTCGCAGTCTAAAAGAGGGGGTTTCGTCGTAGAAATCGTATGGCAATGGGCGGCACATCGATCGAATACACGCAAAACACGAAACGTTCGTGGTGACACCAAATTCACCAAAGTTCAAGACTTCACGAAATCAACACAAAACCACGTGATCCACAGGCCATGTTCTCCACTGGAAAGTTCCGTTGGACAGCACCACTAGCGCGCAGGAGGGCGCTAACACAATCCTCCTTCCAGGAGGCTTTATCATTTTCCACGGCCTGCGTTAGTGTAGTGCCAGGTGCTACCGGACCGGGTGCAAGTGCTGAGGCGCGAGTTACGGTCTCCATTCATTGCTCCTGCCTTCCAAATCTCTTCGTGTTAGAACACGGGTACGAAATAGGACGTACAAATCCGGCATTTACTATGAAAAAGAACGCCTGTGCAATGTTTGGCAGGATTCTACACTACTTGGTACTTCATGTGGTCTCTGGCAAAGGCTCGGCGATCGCAGTCGAGGTCCATGGTTGATCTTCAACGAGGTCAATGCTTCAAGCTTCTGGAGAATCTAGTGCACTTCGTAGAGACAAGGATGAAATAGAGAATAAACAAATTGGAATCAAGCCAGCCCTGTTTCCCCATTAGGGTAGGATAAGCAGGTTTCAGAAGTCAAGGATGAGGTTACGAGGAACAGCTTCTGCCGAGAAGGAGGGAGGATGAATTGCGATCGACCCTCCTGGGCTGGGGGAGGGGAACTTTTTCGTCTGATTCTAGATTCTGGGCAAAAAGTGGTGGCGGCCTCCCTCCCCCCAGGAAAGAAAAGGGATGGAAAGGAGGAAGAAAAAAGCACAAACAAATGTGGCGGGCGGGGAGGGAGGAAGATCTGCATGTCTCAAACACTCTGGTTGTCGCTCTTCGGGTGACTTTACGATTGGGTGGCTGGGCGATGCCGCGATATTGGACGGATCTTGAACGTCCAAGCACAAGATCCACATGTTTGCCAACTCTGGCCCATGTTTGGTCTGCATAAGGACTGTTATGCAACAGTTTATGGAGTGTGTCAAAGCGTGCATATCGAGTGGCCAGGTCCACGATTGTTGTGACGGCTCCATTTGCGATTCCTCGGACTGTTACGGAATATTTCTTCTGGCAAACCATGGAGGGAGACGCTTGGTTCGCCCGGGCCGCGCCTCTTCCTATCGATTGTCGATTGGAGGTAGAAATGGCGAGGGTTCAGAATGTGTTTGGGTCTACTTACTTTGTACATCTTTAACAAGAAGGCCGGAGGGCTGGAAGACTAGACTGGGGAAAACAGATTTGGCGAAAAGTGATTCCGAACTGAGGTTTACCGACCTTCCTCTGCATTACACTAGCCCACTTCGAAGTCTCGAAGAATGCAAGCATTGTTAACTGTCATCAGAGTGGGAGTGCTTTGCAGTGTAGTGTGTAGTGCAGTGTACTTCCTACTCCATACGTCGCATGCAAGTTATCCTGTGGGGAGATCAAAACGGGCACTTTGTATCCTGCTTAGCTCTAGCTTGAGCACGGGCTCACCGCACTTGGAAGCGGCTCACGACTTGACTGGCTATGTTGTCAAGTTGACGAGCATGAGGCTGCTTGATGTCGATCACGTTCGACGCACATGTGCGAGACAAAATGCAAAGAGAATGGGGTCGTAGCCATAGTGTATGGACGGTCAAAGGGAATTCAAAAAAACAAGAGCTTCATCGATTACGAGCGGAGGTCGTAGCGGGATATGCTTCATCAACGGAATGGAGATGTGGGCACTGCTTCTTCAGCTTTCTGCCGAGTCACCGCGCTACTGAAAGAGCTGATATGCCTCACCAGGCGAGAGCCGCTAATTGAATTCGCCGATGTTCGTTTTGGGGAAGAAGGCCGTCTAAAGTACTAACTCGATATAGTGAGCTCCGAACTTATGTCTGATGTGCAAGCCTTACTTTATCGGGCTCGGCTTCATCATCGAGGAAACTAGGAGGAACCACAGTAGCTACGAATATACGGAGTACCTGGTGGTGTAGTAGTGTAGTTCAGCTTTCAAATCTGGACAAGATAAACGTCAAAAACGTCAAAAGTAGTGCATGAAACGAGCAGGCACATGGCATGTGGATCAGAAATAGGATCAAGGCTATGCCAGGATCGGAGAGTCTGATGCCGATCTGGTGCAATGAATTAAGCCACAGAAAAAAAAAGGAACGAAATATGCTTTACAAAAGTCTCATGGGGAAGCGGGCGATGAAGATACCTACTTCTTTTGTTCTTACCTAGATCTGCTTCCGGCAAAGCATCACTTTACACGGGCCAATCGACAAATGCCCCCGGTGTAAGCCGCAATGAGGGCTGTTTAATCTGTGAGGCCAGGTTCCCCGCTGTGGTCGATCTTGAAATCGTGAAAATGACGCTATCGTTGAGTACGTAAAAGACCCGCTGTTCCGAGTAGCTTTTAGATACTCTTCCGGTTCATCACGAGACGCCGTACAGGACATTGCGGTAAATCCTCATGGACAGAGCGAGGTCCGACTCTGCATGCCCATGCTTTGGGAAGGTGGCGTCCCGCGCCGTTCCACTCGTACAACCTCCTCGGCGAGTACCGACCGACCGCCGGATGCACGCAGACTACCTGCGGCTCTTACTTCGTACTTGCAAAAGCAGTCCTGCCAGAATAGTCGGTGGGAGATATTATACAGGCGGTGGGTATGGCGCACCAAAGACCTACTGCGGGGTAGGATTGGCCGGATCGGGTTTCACCGTCCCTCCCCAAGAATAATGTCTTTCGACGCAGTGATCAACATTTCCATGCTTGCCGGGTCTTACCCACCCATTTACTTCGTGAACGCGAACTGGCCTTCTCCGATTCCTGATCTTGCTTCAGGACGTGTCCATCCCATTGACCGCATTGACCCCGGACAGCAGAGCCTACGGCGGTGATGTGCCGGCTGGGGTATTCTCATAGATCCGTGGTTCGGACGAGCCGCCTTAGGTTCGTTTCCTTTACTGGTTTGACAAATGATGGTTGGCTGGAGGACCTCAACCTCCTCGAACTAAGTCTTAGCCCCGCTACATCCAGGATTCTGACAGTACTTGCCCTCCGGACTCAGGAGCTCTTCTCGCGGTAGCGGGTGGGTAGTTGCTGTGACTTCCGAAGCAAGCTACTTCGTAGATCAGTGCCATTAGTAGATGCTCCCAACATTCCCTATGTGGGTGCTAGGTATTCCTTACTGGTTCGTAGGCTTACATCCATCACCCATGCTTATGACGGAGAAGACTCATAGATGATGGCCTCGACATGGGAAGAGGGTATCTTCAGAAGGAAAATCACCCCGCACTGCAGAGCCCGTGCCACGCTCCGGCACACGGCACACGTGCAGGATAGCATCGCCGATTCAAGGATGCAGAAAAGAAAAGAGGGCCGACCCCGCACATCTCGAGTCAAGCAGGGGCCTCCCTTGAGTCCTCGGCGTGTGCGCATGAAGGGTGACCTTGGGCGCTTCTCCTTCTCAAGGAGCTTTTGAGGGACGGATTCTGGTAGAGGTGGCGGGGTGGAGGATGAAACGAAACGGCATTCTGAAGGACAGCCTCGCATTTGTGGCTGGTAGGCGGGGCTTGGCCATATCGAAGTTCATGCGTGAGGGTATGCTTGATTTGGAGCCATGTAACCTTCCGACTAGATCCATCAATTAGCTGGGAGGGGCATCACAAGGTCGTTCTGTTAGAGGGAGAGCAAGAAAATGTCGTCCATGTCTCTTCGGACCGATGAGGTCCCCACTAATACGGAGGGGTAGAAGAAACAGGCATTATTGTGTTTCGAGCATAGACCCAAGGAGATGAAGGAACCCCGGGTTAGCGATAAATCAGTCTTGGATATCTGGTTGTAATGCTTGAAGGACTACCGTATTTTCTTGCTCTTCGCGGGAGTCCCATCCCCGGCCGGGAGTTCGAGTGCGCCACAAGGAAACATCTGGACCGGGCTGGGCCGGCTCGCGGCTGCAGCTGCAACGCTGCGCTAGATAGAGGCAACAGAGTTTAGGACCAACGATATCGATGAACCGCCCGGAGGACCCATTGACAGCTTCCGCGACACTAGTCAGTACCACTAGCCCCGCAAAAGTACTTGATCCAATGCCTCAAGGATGAGATGGGATTCTCTCAGGATCGAGGAGCAGCCTGGCATGTAGGCGCCTGGTCGACGAATGGGGCTGACGGGAAGGAACGGGCGCCGTGCGCTGGGCGTTACAACGACCGGACTAAGATGTTCTTCAATTTCCGTCTCGGGCGTTAAGAGGAAACAGACAAGGGAATCGGAGAAATCCCCCGCCTTGCTGTAATCACGAACAAATCCCTGGAGAATATGTACTGTTTCTGAAGCGGCTTCTGGAATTTCTGGGGCGACAGACGCACTCTGGAGTCTGTAGCCACCAGGTGGCGATAATTTTGTGGAGATGTGGTTGACTTGACGTCGGACTGAACAAAGATTTACTCCATCTCGTTAGAAAGCCGTGAAACAGTGGGGAGTCCTGTTTCTAGCAGTAATCAATCAGTGTTGGAATGCTGAGAGATGATTGATGGCAGTCACTGTGCAGTCGTCTCAGGACAAGATGAATATCAACCCTCATGGCAAGGGTGCTGGGAGCGGCTGGTACATATTACTGAGTACAGTACGAACAAGCCGACGAGGCAAGGGAGGAGCAATGCGTGGAGGAGTACGAAGTAAAGGAGTGTGGATGGTTCGATTCCAGGGTTGTACTTGTGCTCTGCGCGGATTCTTGAGAAGGAAAGCGGGCCGGACACAGGTATTTGGGGCAGTGTTTGATCACTTTTTACTTCGCCGAACATCTGTGCTCTCTAACAAAGGTACGGAGTAGTTTGCTCTTGTTCCTTACCCCCTCCTTCTAATACAATTCAGGGCATTTCGAGAACAGCACGCGTAAATAAGCCAGCTGAAGAGCCTGGCGATGAAGCTGCCAAAAGAGGAATACCAATTCTGGCTATTCCTGTCCAGAAGTGTTTGGTCGACCTGAGCGTTCACTCAATGGCTCAGGGCTAAGGTGACGGGATATTATGCATGTACAAAGTATGGTTGGCATTGGTCTCGAATGGTCCAGTTTCCACTTTCTAGGCTGGCAAGGGTCTTCCTGCGCACTGTGCACCTACTGCTTGTACTTCGTACTTGTACGAACGAGACAGGTGGGCGTGGGACGTGGAGTCGTGGAGACATGCCTATGTACCCTTGTGGAGTGTGAAGAGAAAGAGTAACCGTCCAGGTGGTCTCTGCGAACAATAAGTCGGTTGAGGTCCTCCTCGGTCTCTCTCCTTACTTCCTAGGACCCTCCGCACAAGCACGACCAAGTTCGGTCGGTCAGATATTTTGGATCACATTGATCCTGCCCCACTCAGCAAACTTTCATCATTGATTGATTTTATGTCACGTCCTCATCGTGACAGCGGGAAGGTAGCGAATTAGTGGTGGCTGGATATGTGGCAGTTAAGTACGGAGTACATACTACAAGCACATGCAACATACAAAAGAGGCATGGGTTTCGCGTGGGAAGTGGTGTATGAAGTACTTCGTACATGTCCTTACCATAAGTCCACCCACATGTTGGGAGGAGTGACACTGCGATCTCCAGGAGGTTGTTCCTGAATATTTGGAGTAACTTATCTCAGTACTGTATTCGATACTTTCTGCGTAAGTACCTACCATCGAGACCCACCTCCACCTGGAAATGGATACCAAAGAGGTTAAGAGGGAAAACCACAAACCACTTGATGACAAGGCAAGCCAAAAGGCAAGCGAGGGCAAGGGGCATTTTGAGTTCTGAGCACTCATCAGTCCCCCAATCATGGGCGCAACCGTTCGAGGGTATTATCGCGTTGCGTTTAATTTGAAGCGGTGCTTCGCTGAAGCCACCAAACGTGAAGGGAACACCCCTTCGCAGTGAGGCCAGACGATACCTCGGACTTGAGTACTTCGCACACCAGGACGTGAAGACGTCGACAAAAACAGCCCGGACCCTGGCTCCTGGCTCCTGGCTCGCTCCTTGCTCGCTTGGCCTCGCCTGGTCCTTGGTCTTCATGTCCCTGGTCTCCTCTGATTGTTGCATCGCACGCTGATAAACATCAATGACCACCTCGACCTTCACAAACCAAGCACTGTCCTCTGAACTATTCCTTACACGAGATTTCCTTTCTTTTTCCCGGATCGCCTGGAACATATGACGGCGTGATCTTCGCTTTCCTCCCGCGTCATCGACTTCTTTGTTTCTTCTTTTTGTGTTCTTTTTGCGGGACCAAACGAATGATACCCGTTGTGAGGGCCAACGGAAGGCATCATTTCAAATTACACTGACCTGACGGGAGTCTACGAGCGGCGAACTTGATGGAACAGAGCTCAGTATAAGTCTGAAAACCTCATTTGCACTTGACCGCCGGTGTTGGGAACTAGTTAGCGTCGGCTCATTCCCCAGTGAGAGTTGTCGTGGAGTGTACATCATTGATACTGATTGTACACCCAAAAGCGAAGTATCCCGTACCGAATACCTCAGAAAACCCCTATTACCATTGGCGTCTCGCACGCCGTTGTGGAGTAGCGTGGATTGTGGATTGAGGATTGTGGACTGTGGATTGACTTCAGGTACCACGCCTGCCACGCCTGGCGGGACAAGTTTGATTCGAGGCCAGACCACCCGTTGCCCTTACACCCTTACTTCGTACAGCGGAAGTAACACCTGCCGCGAGCAAGGCACTCCCACGCCCCTTTCCGCCTCTCCTTCTACTCCTTGTTTTTTTCTTTTTTTTGACCTCTTACTTTTTATCCTACCCCCTACTGGCCTGGTACTACTCTTTTTATCCAATTGTCCTAATCCCTATTATCCGGGCCGACACAAACACATTCCACTCATAAGTGTAGAGGTCTTCCTCTTTTGACCTCGCGCCGTCATGGCATCCTCACCACCGGCATCCCCTGGATCGTTGCCTCCTAGGCCGTTGAGTGCAATGGTTCGCCCGACGCCCCGAAGTAACAGCCGGCTGAGCATGACAAGCAAAGCCGGCGGTGGAAGTCGAGCATCTGACGATGAGAGTCGCACAGCAGTCAAAGTCGGTAAGTTATAACAAGTCGTCGTGGTCGGGTCATCCACGCGTCTACTCCTACTTGACCTTTCCGCTGGCCATGGGAATGAAATTGGTTGGTGATGGGCGATTTTCCACACCGCGTCGACGAACATCGATCCTTCGCGCCACGACCCCTATTCTTGCCTTTGCGCGCCTTGTTGTCGGCGCCGCCTCTCTTTTTTCCCTTTCGTTTCGAGCGTTGTTCTAACAAGAATGTCGCGTCGAAATAGCTGTACGAGTGCGACCACCGTTGAAAGCTACCGATCCCGGTTTCGAACTCATCCCCCAGCGATTCCAGCGATCTATGGTACACGTCACGTCGAATACCAGCCTAGCGATAGATTCACCACAAGGAAGGAAACTCTTCGTCTTCGACCGCGTTTTTGGACCCGACATTGGCCAGGATGGCATCTGGGAATATGTATCCGACTGTGTCAATGCTTTCATCCAAGGTTATAACGTATCTTTGTTGGCCTACGGCCAGTCAGGCGCAGGAAAGTCGTACACAATGGGAACGGCCGGTCCTGTTGAGCAAGGCGATATCGAGTTGAAGGGTATGTTAACCTTCCCGCACACCAACTTTTGGCTTTGACTGTATTCGGGTACCGAGAGAAGAGGTCCATTTCCGGGCAACCAACATTAGCTAACGGGTGTCGTGTGTTTTTCCTCTTCGCAACAGGTGTTATTCCTCGAGCTGCAATAGCGCTCTTCGAAAGATTAGACACGTCCAAAGCCGCGGCAACGAAGTCTAACCGACATTCCATGTCGCAACTCCGATCTCCCCAAAGATATTCCACACATGGCCAAGTGGGTCTGGGCGAACGAGGCTGGGCCATGAAGGCAACATATGTTGAAATTTACAACGAGCAGCTTCGCGACCTTCTCGTCGAGGATCACGTACCATCGAACGAACGGAGTCCCGTCACGATTCGCGAAGATGTCAAGGGAAACATTCTTCTTACTGGCTTGAGACAAGTGGATATTAATTCCATCGAAGATCTGATGAACGCGCTGAGCTTCGGTTCGTCTATAAGGCAGACGGACGCGACTGCTATAAACGCAAAGTCCTCTCGATCCCATGCCGTTTTCAGTTTAAATTTGGTGCAGCGGAAGAATGGCCCGCAGGCGGCCCAGGGCGCAGAAAAACGGTTCTCGATGCCCGTCGATTCCATGTCAGGGTCTGAATCCTGGGTCACCACCGACAGCAAATTGCATTTCGTCGATTTAGCCGGCAGTGAGCGTCTGAAGAATACTGGGGCTCAAGGCGAGCGTGCGAAGGAAGGCATCTCCATCAACGCCGGTCTCGCCGCCCTTGGAAAAGTTATCTCGCAGCTATCTTCCCGACAGGCGGGATCCCACGTCTCTTATCGTGATTCCAAGCTCACTCGTCTCCTTCAGGACTCGCTGGGAGGCAATGCCATCACCTACATGATTGCTTGCGTGACCCCCGCCGAATTCCATCTGAGCGAGACCCTCAATACGGTGCAATATGCGCAGAGGGCCCGAGCTATCCAGAGTAAGCCGCGGATACAACAAGTGGATGAGGGTGACAAGCAAGCCCTCGTTGATCGTCTGAAGGCCGAAGTAGCTTTCCTTAGGGAGCAGATTCGCAGCGCAGACCGTGTCGGCGGGGAGCGACGCACCCTCACCACAAGCGAGAGGTCCGAGCGGCCCAACGAAAGGGAGGTTGAACTGCAGAACCAGCTTCTTGACATCCAAGAAAATTACACCACTCTAAGCCAGCGCCATGCACGGCTTATTGCCGAAATGGCAAAGGCGCGGGATAACGAGATAGCGGAAAACCAGCAATTGGAAGAATCCTTGGACGACAGCGCCACCGAGCGGTTAAATCGCTCCAACTCTTTCGCTCAAGCCGTCGAGCAGGTTGTGCTCGAGTATGAAAAGACAATCCAAACCCTCGAACAATCTCTCTCTAGCACCCGTACCACCCTGTCCAACACCGAAGCGTCGCTCCTGGAGAAGGAGACCAAGTATGCCTATGTCGAGACAATCAACACCCAGCTGCAGGCTCGACTTCAGAAACTCATGGATCGTGAGGCCAGCACGGAAAATTATTTGCACGACCTCGAGGCTAAGCTCGACGGCCACACATCCGGCGAGGAAAAGAATGCCACCATCATTTTAGAATTACGCAAAGAAATTGCCCGTGTCCGCGAGAATGAAGCCGCGTGCGAAGACTACATTTCGACCCTCGAGGAGCGCCTCGCTGAAGCTGACCAAGATGCCGAACTGATGCAGCGTGAAATTGACAGGCTTGAACAAGTCATCGAGCGCCAGAGAAGCCTCGGCAAACTCGACTCTCTCCTTTACGAGCTCGACCACCTCCAGCAGGACGGGCGCCATACGCCTGTCGCCGAGGTTGAAGTGACTAATGGCGTCGCTCGTCGTCGGTCCTCCTCTCTCCCCCATTCCCGGACACTGTCCCATGTCAGCCGGCACAGCCAAAAAGAGGCCGTCATCCCCGAAGGTGAAGAGGAGGAGGAGGAGCTGGCAGAGGCAGAGGCAGAGGAAGAGGAGCGGGAACGGGAACCCCAGGAGACCGAGGACAACCGTGCGGCTACCCCGCCTGTCCATTCAGCCGCGGCCGAGGAACAGCGAGCTGTCGTCGAGGATGCTCCTGCTTCACCCCAGGAGAAATCTGCCGAGAGTCTCGAGGATGGCGGTGCTCTCAAGCCCGCCGCTGAGATATCCGAGTATCCTCCTCAGAGCCCCGCGCAGAGCAAATTTGTTGCCGATAAGCTCGAGGCTGTCACTCAAGAGCTTGTCGATCTCCGTGTGGAGCATGAGACCACCCTCCACGATTATGACAGCTTGCATGCTAAGTATGAGGAGGCCCTCCGCAATCTTGCCGAGCTGCAAGACGTGATCGATGAGTCTCGACATCCTCACCGTGGCGTTCGCGACTCGGTCCTCTCTGTCACTTCTCCAGCCACGACCCGCCCCGATTCCTTCATGTCTGATTCGCGCTCTAGCGACCCCAAGGATAGCGGCCGCTTTTCGGCATCCCGCTCTCTATCATCCGAGCTCTCTTCGGCGATGGAATCCCCCGCGACCGTCGATACATCGGATGCCGAGACTGCGACGGCCAAGCCCGAGCCTCAACAGTCACCTGTCGACCACGATGGCCTCGCCGCTGAATTGGAGCGTCTAAAGGCTCTTGCGGCCGAAAAGGAGGCTGCTGAGCGCGAGCTCGCGAATAAGTACATCGAGCTCGAGTCGAAGCACCACGAGACTCTTGATCTTGTCGAAGAACTCAAGACCGAAGTGTCCAAGGCCAAGGCTGCCGAGGCTTCGTCGCCGAGGACAAACACTCCCGTCATCCGACGCAAGTCTAGCCAGAACGTCATGATCATTGACCGCGCCCATAGGTCGTTCGCATCTCTTCGAAATATCGCTGCCGAAAACTTCGAAAGGGACCCCGACGTCATGCAAAGCTTCGAACTCAACCTTAACGCTGCTATGCATGAGCTCCACGCGAGATCCGAGCGAATCCAAGAGCTTGAAGCTGACGTCGCCTCTGCTCGCAAGGAGATGGAGACCAAGATGGCCATCATCTCCGGTCTCACCAGAGAAAGGTCGAGTTTGCAAGCCACTCCACGAGACATGTCTGTTGTCTCCACACTGAAGGACCAGCTCGAGCAGAGCGAGCTACAACTCAAAGCCCTGCGGGAGGGACATGACGCGCGGGAGAAGGAACTGACTGAAGAGATCGAAGCCCTCCGAGCATCCGTCAATCAGAAGCCATCGAACGAGTCTCCCGATCCCGAGGTCTTCCGTGAGCATGAGGAGAAGATAGCGTTCCTCGAGTCTGAGCTGGCCGGCTGGGAGGAGAAGCACAGGGTCGCCCTTGATAGTCTCAAAACGACCGAGGCACAAATGCAACAATCGATCGCCGATGTTGAGTCGCAGCTCGCTGAGGCCAAGGTTAAGCTTGCCGAGAGCCAAGCCAGGGCTGTCGACGCTGAGGCTTCTAAGGAAATGGAGGAGAAGCATCAACAAATGGTTGGCGCCCTGCAGAATGAGCTCAACGAGTACAAGATTGTTCTTGAGAACAATGCAGCCAAGGTTTCGGAGCTAGAATCGGCACATGCTGCTGTCAGGGCTGAGCTAGATGCGGCTATCGAGGCCCGTGATCTTGCTAACAGTGAAGTTGCCGCTTACAAGGAGCTCGTCTCCAACCTCGAGACTAAGATCAATGATCTCGAGCAGGCCGCCAAGGACCACCAGGAAGCTCTCCTCGTTCTCAATGCAAACCATGCCAAGGAGCTCCAGCAACTGAAGGAATCTGAGCAGAGCAGCTATGAAGAGCAGGTCGCCGTACTCATGAATGAGCACGCTGAGAGCGTGAGGATCCTCGAGGCCGAACTCACCGACGCTAGGGAGGAGCTCATGAAGGTTGCGACCCAGGTTGCCTTTGCCCTAGGCGTACCGACTAGCATTGACAAGATTACCGAGCGAATCGACGACCTTATTGCCGACCAGAACGCGCTCACGGAAGAGCAGAAGAAGCGAGCGGAGATTGAGATGAACGTAGTAGAACTCTCGTCCATCAATGACCAGGTCATGCGCGAGCTGGAGACGGTGAAGAAGGCGCTCGACGAGATGCTTGGCCGCTCCGACGACAAGCAACCCAACGGAACGTCTAAGGGCGTCATTGGACGTCTCGCCGTGCTCAAGAAGAGGATGGACGAGCTTGATATGAAGAACAAGAAGCACTCCCGACTTGTCGAGGAGCTCGAGGAACAACTCCAGCAGAACTTCGACCAGGCTCAGATCACCAGCAACCGCCTCTCGACCCTCCAGACCGAGCGCAACGTCCAGCTCGAGGAGGCCAACGTCGCCAGGGTGAGAGCCCAAGCCGAGCTCGACGCCGTCCGGGAGGAGTACGCTGCACTACAGGTAAGCTTTGCTAATGCCCGTTTACACATCGGTGGTGGTGATGATGCTAACTGCGCAATTCAGGCCAAGTTTGACGAGATTAGCTCTGCTAGTCCTGATCAAGTGAAACGCTCCAATTCGATGAACTCGCAGCTCCGAAAGAGCTCCTCGGTGGCTTCCCTTCCCTCACCCCCGCCTGCCATCCCTCTCCCGCCTCTGCCCGGAATTGCAGGCAGTCCGCCCACAGGTGGCGCACCTGGCAGCCCTACTCAGACTGGTCGACCGATGAGCAAGGACAACATGGCTGCCATTTCCCAGATCCGCGACGACCAGGAGGCTCGCATCAGGACCATCGAGAAGGCCCTTGGTGCCGAGAGGCAGCTCACAGCCACTCTCGAGGAGGCCCTTAGCGATCTCGAGGCCCAATCCAATAAGGTGAAGTCGGATTGCGATGCCTGGAGGAAGCGAGCACAGGAGCTGGAGGCGGAACTTAAGGAACTCCAAAGCCGACCTGCGCCGGCTCCCCAACCCGACAATAGGTGGAGCTTGCAGGCCGTCGAAGAGGAGCGCAAGAAGAGGCAGGCTGCCGAGGCCGCTAGGGCGCACCTGGAGGAGAGAATGAGAGACATCAACAAGAAGAAGAAGAAGAAGGGATCTCTCAACTGCTTCTAAACATGATGATGGACCAACAGGCGCGGGCGACTAGCGAATGTATTTTGGGATGGATGCATGTGCGACGTTTTCTTTTCTTTCTTTTTCCCCCCCTTCTCCTTTTTCTCTTTCGCCTTTATTTTTCCCCCTCCCTTTGCGACCTGCATTTGGCGAAATTTCGGTGGGAGACTGGACTGCGCATCTCATCTCCTGGCCTCCCGGCCTAGGAGATTCGCTGTTTTTCAAGCCGATTCCGAGTTAGCCCTCCTTCGACCCTCCGGGCTTCGCATATACCCCTTTTCCCAGAAGACAACTTCAGCGCGATCATATATACCTTTGATATTTGTTCTCGGCGAGTGTTTTGCTTTTTTATTCCCCGACATGACGAAATCGCATTCAGAGGCCGAAGGCGGCGGAACGGAGTTCAAACGAGCGGATTTAAGGCCTATTCACTTCTTTATTTCTTCTAAATCAAACTCTTTATTCCCTTTTTTCTTCCTCGTTAGCCTTGTTTCATTTGTTTTGTTTTTTTAACATTTATGCTTCTTTTTTTTTCTTTTTTTCTTTTTTTTCGTCACTTCAATGTTCTTTTTGATGCCATGTGTTTTTTTTGGACAAAATACCACCTTTCCGCATGAAATCCAGTCTCGAATAGCCACTTTGATACCTCTTCTATTTTTTTTTTTTACTTTGCCCTGTTACTCTAACCTTTTCTTTTCTTTCTTTCTTTTTTTTTTTTTTTTTTTTTTTTTTTTTTCATTCTGGATATAATTTCGAAACACTCCCGTACTCCCTCTTCTTTCCCCCCTTGGTTTGGTCGTGGTCAAGGAAAGAATGGCCTAGTTTGTGGCGGATGAAGGTCGGAAAATGTGAACAAGGGTTTGAGAATGGACACACATAAAATAATCATGGGAATGTTTATGAGATCTGTCTGGGCCCAAGCCTCGGCGGGGGAAACAACTTAAAGAGGACCAAAGGCAGATGATGACCTTTGGGTGGTGGGGGGAGGGGAAAGGCTGTAGGGATGGAGTATGTAGCTGATTTAGTCTTTTATTTGTTGCTATTATATTGATGTTTATTTCTCCCGTCTTGCCTTGTACGCTGTGTTGGTTTGAAGAGTAAACGGGGACACACTGGCTGCTTGTGCTATGGCTCGAACAGTTTATCACAGGAATCTAGAGGAAAATCCGAAGGCTTTGTGTTCGATCTCGACGGCCTTCCGATTCCGCTCATATCCGAGGAACCTCTCGAATGATTAGGCGCGATGTCAGGGTATGTCACCTGTGGCGTTCTCTTCGCTGAAGATGTCTAACGACATGCGTCCACTCGTAAAAGAGCTGTAGTGCTTGGGAGTTGATTGCGCCTGAAAAGGATGGTTTTTATCGACTCGGGTTAGGATTCGCCCATTGTACACCGCACTCCTCCGTACAGGGTGTTTATTCCGGGCTCAAGTAACCTAGCATCAAGTAGTTTTAGAAGTAAGGCAATGGATATCTAACAATCAACAGAAAGCTCTTCTGGTTTCTCCACTATCGTCTTTCAATTTCTTCCGTTTTGCTGGTTTCCCCCAACCCAACGAACCTTGGGAATAACTGATCTTCCGAGCCCTGAATCCTTGAAGCCCCCTCGTCCAAGTAGGTGCTCCCACCAATATTCGTTTCTTTACACGCAGCGTTGCTGACGAGCTAAGAACCTATAGTTCGAGTATATCCATTGGATACCCGAGGCCGACGGAGTGCTTTTACAAAACTCAAAGGCATCCCACCCGTCGCCCCCACGCTTTCCCTCAAGGGGTCGCCATCTCCCCTATGCCTGTCTTCATGCCCAAGGTGGGCTGGTATATTCATAGCTTTACCAAGTGAAGGGTGACATTTAGGACTTATGCCTTCGCCGCCCCATCAAGACGATAACCACCGGGCCATTCTAGATGGCAATCTCTTCATTTTCCTGGCCAGTTTTGTCGTCCTAGTCAAGGGTCGCCCATCTCCGCGATATTCTAGAGACTTCAGAGTATGAAATTTATTCTCCTCTCGATAGTTTGACAGAGGACTCGGTGTGGGCGGCATGGTTATGTGGCCTGCACCGATCGGTGGCTTGGGGGCGTTTTTTGGTGCCACAAAGTCTACCTCTGTAGCTGATACCAAAGGCTGCATCGATCTCAGCGCATCGTGGTCTTGTTCATTACCCTCATGGATCCTACTTGAGGGCGGCGCGGGCCAAGGTATCGACCTTAGAAAGAGCTGAACAAGTGCGGCTGCATGGGCGGGAAATACGCTCTGCAGCACTTCGACGACGGGTTTCTTGCGCGACAGCGGAGGTGGCGACAGCTGATACCTTTCAGGAATATCGGGGAACCAGGACATTTGCCGAACTTGCGGAACCGGTACATGGAGTCCGACTGCCACCGCCCACATGTCAACACCGTGCATGATGAGCATCTCCGTGACACGATATATGGCTTCCCTGTTGTCGTCCGTGAGCATCCAATCAAGCGCGCCCACGAAACGGGACCACGTGCTATCCCCGAAGTGTGTGTGATTGGGGTTGGCTCCGCTTTCGAGCAATAGCTCCACCGTCTTTGGGTTTACAGTAATAGATGTGTGCGGTGGGATCAGGGCGTAGTCTAGCAAGGGCCGGGACGGATGCGACTCGGGCAATGTGGTCAACCCGTTCTTGTTCTGTTGGATGCTTTCCAAGATGTACGGGGTGTATCCGACCTGCGCACAAAGGCCGATGAAGTGGGTTTCGCTTCTCGACCACTGCTGCTGCGTGCAGATGGTGTTAAAGACATCTTCCGCTACGGTGAGGGTTTTAAGTAATGGGGTGTTGGGAATTCGGTCGTCCGCGGCTCTCGAGACGAAATAGAACAGCACCTCGACTAAGTAGCACATATACCTCCGGCTCATGGCATTTCTGTAAAGTGGCATGGCCTTCATCATGGCCACCGAGGCGTGGCAGGCCCTGAGGTGGATATTGTCCGTATTGACGAGGGCGCGCCGTATATACGTCTGCACCTCCGGGGACTGATGTATGAAGTCGCGGACAGTACGGTGGAGAAAATCAACACTATAACCGAAGAATGGGGATTTGAGGCTTGCGCCGTCATCGGGTGCACCATCGCGGAAGGCCGGGGTTAGCTCGTGCCGCTCAACGATCTCCAGAAGGCCCTTGGATCGGCCGTCCAGCCGCCGGCGTAGCTGGTCCAGCCTCACGTTGATGTCCCGAGGACGGAGCTCCTGGTGCGGTAGCCCGAAGCAAAAGTCAGCATTCTTATCACCGTCGTCGAGGAAGGAGTAAAACATGGCGAGCATGGGCTTGTTGGCATGCATGGCGAGCTGGAGGGTCCGCGCGAGCTGGGCTCTGTACACGCTGGAGACAGAATCGATGAGATGCTGGAAAAAGGCTTCGAGGTCGGGCGGGAATTGTTCGAGCCTCCTCTGTATCGTGACGATGGAGTCGTGGTACGTGAAGCCCTCGAGCAAGTTCCGGACGACGAGGTACACCCAGAGAAAGACACCCTGGGCCCGGGCGACGACCTCGTAGATGAGGTCGGAGTAGTCGGCGTCGAGTTTGGAGAGGGTTTGGAACTGAGAGTGCTCGTTGAACTTGTCAGTCACGTAGCGGGCAATGTCCCCGCGCGTGAGGTCCTCGAGTTTCAAAGTCCACTCGGAATCACCGCCGAACTCATCATCGAACACGGTCCACGGCCGGCTCGAGACGCACAGCTTGATGTTGGGAGAATGCTTCATCTCGCGCAGCGTCTTGATGAGGTCGGTATGGGTCCGCCTCTCCTCCTGGAACTCGTCAAGCCCGTCGATGAAGAAGCAGAACTTCATGGGCAGCACGTCCTGCATCACGATGGCCTCGTACACCCGCAGCAGATTCTCGCTGCTGAACACGTCGTCATCGTCCTCGAGGTCTTCCTGTCCCCCAATCGTCGTTGTCGTCATCAAGCCCCTGACCAGCGGGATCAAGCCCGTGCACTTGCGCAGGATTTCGAAGATGAGGGAGCGGAGGAGGCCTTGATGGGATTTCTGCAGGTCCGTTCCGGCGTTCCAGAAGAAGAACTTGCCGATGACCAGCCTTTCCCCCTGCGCCCACTTCTCGAGATGGTGCCGCGTGTCGCCGGTAAAGCAGAGGAACTTCATCAGCGTCGATTTTCCCGAGCCAGGCTTCCCCTTGATCCAAAAAACACCGTTCTGGGTCTGTAGCCATTCCCGGAACTTGATGCGCCGGCGAGGGGGGCCCGGGACGACATCTTGGAACACCCACCGAAACGTGGCATCATGCGCGGCTTCGATCTTTCGGTGCCGTGTGTACATGCTGCTAAAGTAAAGCCTCTTGAGAAGATCGAGATCGTCCTGGGTTGTTTTGGCCGCTTTTGTGAATTCGTCTACGGTCGATGCCAACCTTCTTGCCTCTGCTAACGGAGCTGGAGGGGCTGGCGATGTCCGGGTGTCATTGAATGTGGCATTTTTGAGCATATTTTGGATATAACGCTCGAATATCGCCTCGGATTTCCGGTTCATATAAACGGCATCTTGGATGCATGTGATTAGATCGGTCTTGAGCTTCGAGAGGTTGACTCGGCTTTCGATCTCGAGTCTTTCGTTGGTCTGTATGAGCGCCTCGATCGATTTCGACAAGCCGGATACCTCATTACTATTATGCATTAGGTTCATACTATAAAGAGCACTCTTTGTAGGAAAGACTTACGTCGCGATATAATGCAGATGGCTATTGATCCGCTCCTGGAGCATCTGCAACCTCTTCAACAACGACTCCGTCTTATCGCGGCCCCAAACTTCCTTCAACGCCACGACGAAACTCTTCCATCTTGACCGGCCCGTCCGCGCCTGCAGCATCGAAAGGCCATTCAAGAGCTCCGACGCAATCGCCCTGGTCTCGTTCGCAAGCTCCCGAAGCTGTCCATCGCCGGGAAACGCTGCGAGGGCGTGGGCGTGTCCATTGACGTCGCGGACAATCTTTTCGAGAAAAGCCGCCTCCTCGCTCGCGCCCGTGGGCGACTTGTAGATCGAGTTCGCCTCAGCCAGGATCTTCCAGCTAAAATCTACAAATGTAATGATGTTCCCCGCCAGCCCCAGAGCGGAGAGGGGATCCATTTGCCCGGGTTTGGGGGGTGCGAAGGTTGCACAGGACCGTGATGGCGGTCAAGGTTGGCGAGGGGAAGGAATTCGCGACTTGCTCATTTCAAGCCAGAGAAAGGGTAACCCATATCCCTCTCTCCCTGAAACCGGTCCGTGATCTAAGATCGCACATGGGGCTTGGGATGAGGGGTATTTGACTGGTTGTCAAGGTTTTGGGCTGAGGTGCTGGCCCCCTTCATGCTTTGCTACCCTGGCCAGGCTCTGCATCGCGGTCGTTACCGGCCAATCATTTACCATGTACGAAGTACACTGAATCATACCATCCCTCTATCATTTGCTATGATATACTCGATTTGGGCGCTGTCGTGGAATGACATCGTCGAATAGAGGGGATAAACTCAGAAACGGAAATGGAAGTCAATGCGGACAAAGATCGACGTCTTCCTCAAGATGAAGGTTTCATTTGGAGCCATCCCTTTTCGCGTATAATATAGCCACGTCTATTGTGCTTGACCTGTTCCATAGCGAGGGGACATGCATCATCACCCTTAATCCAGATGGCGTCAGGCGCATCGTCGCTCTCGCCATGGACCACGACATGCTGATATCCGCCAAGAGGATTGCTGGACTCGCTTCCATTGTTGAGCGTTGTGGAGATGAGATCAGGCTTAGTACTCTGAAGAGGTGGGAAGAAACCCTAAAGGAAGGCAGTCGCAGTATTCAGCAGGATGCCTTCGTCAGGAACACTAGTATTTATCTGCGAGGAAACGTATTTGAACTCGGAAATATCTAGAATACGATGCATCTTGCCGGATGGTTTGGTCTCCTCGATTTCATTGGAGAAGGGGGCTTGATTCTCGGCGCGGAGAAGGAGGGATGGCCAGGCTGTGTTACGGTTATCCAAAAGGGCAGCAACGGGGGCGTCACCGCCATTTACGTGGGAATGGGGCCCCATTGTGTCGGCGCAGCCAAGTTGGGGCAGAAATTGTTGAATCCCCTGGGGTGTGAAGACGAGAACCGGTTTCCCGGATGCCGGATCGGCGGCACCAGCAGCGTATTCCCGCTTTTAGGAGTAATCGCGAAGGCACTGCTTGTACTATACTTTTCTATAGTATCCCCTTATTTGGCCTAAGTAGTCTTACCGCCTTCGTCCCACCCCATATAGCTCAAGACCACTTGCCACATCTTGCCACCAACAACTATATAAATACATTGCTTCCCAATGTACCTGCCCTTACTTTCCTTTCTCTATCTTCCTCTCTCTCCGGCGTTGCCTCATCCTTGTGTCTGTCTGTATGCGCTGGTCCTCCGCTTGCGGTCGCAGCCGTACACGATGCTCTCCGAGAGGAACATCGAAGTCCACGAGCCTATAAAGATTTCGGTGCCATGACCTCCCGCCGCATTGTACTCTAGACCTTGTGCAGACGGGAAAGATGGTAGGGAATCGCACACTTACCGATCAGACAGCCGACGCCTTTGTGGCGGCATCCAGTGACCCAGATTTGGGCCGCCATCCTTAACGTTGCTATTAGGGGCTACGGAGGAAAGTCATGTGGCTTCAAACAGAAGCGATTGACACGTCTCCGGACCGAATTCGCCGGCTATCTCCAATCAAACCAGTCGTATGGTCTCTTTGGCATGATCCTGCGCAAACCATGTGTCAACAACCTCAAGCTGCGTGAAGTGGATTATACCAAGACGCTGGAAAATCTTTGATTCATCGTCGACGGCACGCAGGACCAAGCAGATGTGAAGCCCACCGCCAATGAAGCCTGTCTTCAAGCAGTACACTCGAGAGTTGACAGGCACATAATCCGGGCTTCCGGAGCGTTGAATGTTGCAGTCAAATGTGATGCGCCCGGCCCCGGATGCTGAATGGCTAAAGCCGATGCTCCTCGGCTTGCCGGGCTCCTCCACCCACTCCAGCATTCCCTCGGCAAGATATCCCCTCACCGTCAGCTCGGCCGAAGTGATTGGTCCGTACTCATCCGGCCCGGCAAGCTCAACTCGGAAATCCAAAACCTCCAGGTCGTTCCTTGCTCTTCTAAACGAGCTAAATGTTTGCACCCACCCCGTAACTGAGGCCCAGGACCATGTCGGCCCGCAGTAGGTATTGGGCCGAGGAAGCAGATATCCCTCGTTAATACCCCAGATGAGATCATGTATTAGGGTGTGTTCCCAGAGCCCTGCAACGTATCGACCTAGCGTCGCGGCGTGGGCAGCTCCATACTGTCGTGCGATACCAGCTAGAGCGGGAAGCCGATCCGATTGATAGGACAGGCGTAGCCTTGAGTATGTGTTTACAGTTTGGTGCCAGTAACTGCGAATCTTAGATACGTCGGATTCCACTAGGCTCTGGTCGTAATCTCGTTTATCGAAGAAGAATTCCCGAGCCCCACACTCGCAGAGAGAGAAGTGGTTAGAACACATAAAACTGAGCTCGTAGCGCGAGAAGTGAACCACACGCGGAGAGAGAATTCGCTCTTGGAAGACCCATCCGCGAGTGAAAAGGGGAAAGTCGTTGTCATATTCGCTGATGGGGTTGGTCCGATACTTGATGTGCCTCGAGTGAGTCCGAATAAATAGCACGGGGAGACTGGAGTCATACGGCAGGATTGAAACTGAAGGAACTGTTCGAAAGAGCCCGTCGTCACTGTCTGTCGAGCTTGTCGCTGAAATGGTTATGTGCGAACCCGCGTAGACGTCGCACATCTTTGCGGCCTGGGCTTTCCAATCATCCGCATCATCCTGAATTATGCATAAGGAATCGATCCAGAGGTACTTAAGCCCTAGATAGAGGGTAACCATAATTGCCTCCTGGAAAGTTTTGGGTAATTTGTCCCACGGCAATTCATGAAGATGTTGACTGATTGTGGTCTTCAGTGTTCGACAGTGGACAGTCGATGGGCCCCAACGATGACTGAGGCATGCGTACGGTGCCTGCACTTCAGCGCCATCGTTCTGCAGGAGACGAACGAAGAAGCTACCACTTGGTGTCTGAGACAGCTTCAGGATTCGATCAGGCAAAGTCCTCGGTGCCGCTCGGTCTCGCTTGCAGTAGCGGTGAGAGAGATCACACTCTGTCAGCCACTGCTTTAGGTTCGCGAGGGAAGCAGTCGATCCGGTATGTCCTAGCTCCGCGGCCCTTGAGACCTTTCGGCATGCTGGGTGGTGTTTGCCTCATATCAAGTTTGACGTTAGAAATTGTTTCTTGAGAGGACGGAGCGAAGACCCACTAGATGATCGGCCAGTGTACGCCACCACCAGAGATATAGTTTCCGTCTGACATGTGAAATTACCCCGATCTACTAAGAGCTCAATTTGGACACTGGGGCTATGGGACGGGCGGTCTCCGACGAGCCAGTAAATCTGGCAGCGCCCGTCCTCGCACCGTTCATCCAACGCCAGCCCTCGCCGCGCGATCTCGTCCTTACTCGCCTGCCAAATGGCGGAGCATCCATTGCAGCCTCGATCAATCGAAGCTAGCAGTGCTTTTAGCTTTGTCCTCAATTCAATAATGGAAGCTCTGTAGAGATCTTTGGGGAGCTGGACTAGAGTGTCGAGGGGCACGTCGCAGGTCCAGGTGGTATCGTGTGGCATGCGGCGCCAATCCATGCGAGGTTCGTCGAGGAATGGAGTGCCTGGAGGTAAGCCGCAGTAGCACAGCCCACACCGCCTCGGCTCCTTCGAAGCGGTAGTTCCCATCTCGTAAACAATGCTCCGAGGGTGGGGAAAATAAGGAAGGGCCGTCGCGAGGCAGCCGAGGAGAAGAGAGAACTAACGCGGAGTTCGAGTTGCACCAAATTAGATGCGCACCAAGACGCGCATGGAGTACGCGTCCGAAGATGGGAGGGGCAGCGTAAAGGATAGGTATATAGTACCTGGTGATCAACCTATCAATTGATGCCTATGGCTGCTGTTGCCGCCGACAATAGTGGCAGATTCCGCACGATTTAGCGGCAATAATAGCGACTTTTCTATTTTAAGAGTAATACGTATATCTCTGTTCAGACCCGGTGTTAGTTGGGCGACGTCAAGAGATGCTGGACGTCTTCATCATTAATACATGTAGAAAATATGCTAAGTCTAGGGAGACCTGGCTGATTCACAAGTACGTTGCCTTCTCCTGACCTGAGTCTTGTCAAGCGGATAGCTAGGACGTCGGAATCTACCCGAATTGAATGTTGTACAGATGTATTCTAGGGACGAAAGCAGCCTCGGGATCAAAAGTCCAAATGTTATGAGGCTTGGTTCGATACTCGGCTATGGGAAGTCAAAAGGAGAGATTAGAGGTTAAAGAACAGAGTTTGAGAGTATGGCCTTCGATCACGAGAGTGAAGGGGGGGTTTGAGAACGGAGCGAACCGCAAAGGTCTAGCGGAACCCAGATGAGTCCATACATAAAAGCTAATCTATCTATCTCATTCCGTTTCCATTCCATTGCATCCTAACACATCGAGAACGCACAAAAACTCTTTCAATATCCCTTCCACCTCTACAAAAGCTCAGCCAAACTTGATACCGGAGTTCGGATCCCACGTCCCGGACGGTTGCTTCCCACCCGGCGTATTTCCCCTCACCGGCGCCGCCGAAGGCCCCCCGAATTTGATTGGCATATCCGGAGTCCACATGCCCTGCATGGGCGCCATCGGCCGGGGCTGCTGCGGCGAAACCGTCGAGCCGGCCCAGGATTGGATGGGAGCCTCGGGCGGTGGTTCCTGGACGGCGGAGGGGATCGGTATGGTGTTTTGTGGTTGCTGTTGTGGGACGGGTTGGTGGTGTTGCGGTTGTGTTTGTTGGGGGAAGTAGCTGGTTTCTGAGGTTGGGTATGTTGTGGTTGGGGGAGAGTGGACGGGGCTGCGGCTTATACTAAGAGTTGATAGGGGCGGAAGTGAGAGTTCCCTGGCTGCCGTCAGCGATTGCCCGAGGAAATGAGCGGATCTCAAGAAAAAAAGAAGACGAGGTATGTCGGGGGTTTACACTCACTCCTCTAGGCTTCTCGCCTCCATCCTCCGCTGATTCGCCCACACCCTCGCCTGATCCCTAAAAATCTGCCCAACAATCTTGCTAAGATCATTGTAAAACTTCCTCCCCACCTCCAGGTTGTTTATGATCTCCTTATACTTGAAATAAGCGTTCTCAAGCGTCTGAAGCCGCTGCTCCCTCAACTTCGTGCTCCCATCCCCCATCTTCTTCTGACTCTCAAACTCGCGATTCACTCGCGTCACCTCCGTCAACAACCTCTCCTGCTCCACCTTCTCCTTATCCACGGCCTCGAGTTCCGGCTCATAAAGTTTATCGAGGCGCTTCTCGAAGAAATCCTCAAAATGCGCCGGCACAATCGCCGTCGAGGGGTACGTTCTCTCCAACCTCGCCGCCTCTTTGAGGATATCCGGCCGGATATCGTCGGCGCGACACTTCTCCCTCAGCGCCTCGACCTTCTTCCTTCGCCGAGATTCAAGACGCAGCACGTCGTTGTACGCACCTCGCAGTCTTCCTATGACTGTTTTGAGGTTCTCGGGGATCGTGGCCTGCAGGCTCGACGGCACGTAGCTCATCAGATGCCTGTCGGGGCCCGCAAGGAGGGTCAGGGTTTCCGATACGGCGGCGAACTTTTCCCGCACGACGCCGTCGCTGCTCAGACTCGTGGCGAAATATCCTCCTATTTCGCGGACTTGCTCCCAGAGCCTGCTTCCCTGGGGATCCTCGGGACCGGGGGGACGGGTCCACCTATCCGTGCCGTATTTCAGGCGCAGGCGATTATCTTCCTCCTCCTCGGAGGCTAGGATCTCGAGACCCTCGTCGAATATGGCTTGATCGGCCGCTCGGAGCTTTTCTATGTCCGTGAAACTCTTGTTGATTCGGTTGATGGCGTCAGCTTGCCTTATCTCCTCGGCGTGTTGCGTGAGGCTGTGCGGGAGTCCCAAGGGTTTTTCCAACGCCTGTAGCGATCCGGGGAGACCTAGCGACGTGAGGACGGAGTGCACATCTTCAGTTAGAACCTCGAGGCTCTGGATGATGTTTTGATTGACTAGGCGATCTCTTCTTTCTTCGTAGATGGATGTCGCTTGGTGTACGGAGAATGGCACGAGGCGCGAGAACAGGGCGGGGCCGAATTCTGCCTGGTCGCCGAGATAATCGAGGGGCTTCGCTACCTGCGGCGGGGTCTTGGCAGCGGCCATGTTGGCGCGATCGAGGATCTTCAGTTCGGCTTTGGATGGCACGGCATCTATGGGGAGGAGGGGGGGAAAGGAGTTAGTACAATTCATGCATGGAGAGATGAGTGGGCGCATACTTAGGTATATCATGTCGTTGTCACGCTCTGCTCGCTTCAGATCCTCCTCAACCTTCTTCTTCAGATTCTGGAGGTCGTCGATGATCGTCTTGTTGAGATATCCCTTCTTCGTATCCTTTAGCCCATCAACAACACACTTAACCGAGTCCTTCAGCCTCGCTACCTCCTCCCCAAACTTCCCCCTCTCGAGACACTCCCGCGCAGCGCGATACTGCGCGGCAGCCGCAAAGTGATGATGTTTGGCGCTCATATGATGGATCCAAGCCGCGCTAATGGCGTCGCTTTTGACGGCGGCCTCCCCAGCAAGGTCATACAAATCCGAGACCCTAGCGGCCAGCTTCGCGATGCTCCCATCCCTGTATCCGTCCATAACGGCCTTGAGCCAGAAGCACTCCTGGCTCTGGGCGAGGAGCAGCTGCGTCAGGGACTCGAGGGTATGCGCGTCCATGTCCTCGGGTGGGTCGGACATCCTGAGCTCGGGGACAACCTCCTTGATCATGTGCTGCAGGACGCCGGCGGCGAGGGAGAAGTAGTTCGCGGCGGTCTTGAGGCCTTCGGTTGTGTTTCGGGGGGAGGATATGGCGAGTTGGGAGTAGAGGGCGGCGAGGTTGTAGAGGACGTTGAGGAGTTCGTATTTGAGGTTGTTGCGGACCATGGGGCGGTCGACGTTGTAGCCGAGGGAGGGATACCAGGTGAAGTCGGCGCCGATCTGGGGGAGCGCTAGAGGTTAATCCCGGTGATTCACGAGGAAAAGTATGGAATATTGAACATAGAGGGAGAGCAAAGGCGGCGCATACATCTATCGGGAACTTTCCGCCGATCCAGACCAGCTGGGCGGCGTAGGCCTGGAGCCTCTTGATTCCGCTCTGGTGCGGTTCGCGGACGTTAACAGCGTCGGTCCGGAGCGCATCGATGACCTCGAGGTCCTGGCGAAACATGTCCGGGTGCTGGTCATATTTTACACTGATATACTTCTTGATAGCTGTCGAGAGGGAGAGGTGCACGCCCTTTCGGAACGGGAGGGAGATGATGTTTGCCCTAGACAGGAGGTACGCGGTAAGCAGCAGGCTCTAAGTTAGTGGATGTTGGAAAGAAAATAGGAAACCGTGGGAGAGAACTGTAGACGTGGAGTGCGCGTATTACTTACGCCATCACGGAGGCTCTGTGGATTGCAGTTTTGTCGCAATGCTCAGTAGAGGGCAGGATGTGAAGGGTCGATTCGAGATGTTTGGAAGAATCCGGCATGATGAAGTCATCACGGTGATTTTCTTGGTGACCAAGGCAACCGTAGAGAAACCTCCAAGTACTTCATCTAAGTAAATAGCGGCAAAGGTACAACACCTCGACCAACTGAAGGCGGGGGCGGGGTTGTTCAAAGTTATTCAGGGTCGAGCCTGCTGTTGCTGGCCTGAGGCGAGTTATCAACTCCCTCTGGGCGACGTCATCAATTATTGACATTGCAGCCCAACGCGTCCAGAAGCTAGGAGCATTTGCGTATTGATGGCGTCGCATTTTAGGGGCTTCACTCCCAGGGCTCATCGGGTTCTAAGGTCCCTTATCAATTGAGTTTGGATCTAATTATCATGATTCTCCCTCTTTCCAAATGGTACGAAGTCTCACATTAATTTCGTTTCGTTTTCGGCAACACGTATCTCGTAAATCCAAGAAATGCAAACATAAAATCACACCACTACATGTTATCCATCATGGGTTAAAAACTTCCGACCGTCAAAGAATCCAAAATCCTAGTGATACGTCGGACCCTTCTGATCCCCCGTCCCCGGATATGGCACCGCTGGCTCCTGATAAGCCGGCAACTCATCGCCTCTAGCCGGCTCCGAAGCGGAAGGACCCGCCTCATCTGCCTTGTAGTATCCAACATGTTCATGCTGCACGGGAGGAGGAGCACCCGCAACTGCAGTGCTCGACCCAGCCTGAACTGGCGGGTTAGCGGGAGCAGCCACCGCCGGGGTAGCGACAGCTGGAGGTACGATGACTTCCTCGCCCTCCTCCTTCCGGGCCTCCGCCTTCTTCAGCGCATCTAACAGCACCGCGGTGGCCTTGGGCCAAAGATGCGGGCTCTCCTGCGGCACGAGACCCTCCGCGCGGAGGATATGTTCCGCAGTGACCCTTTGACCGTAGAAAGCATGATTGGCCTCCTTGCGCTCGGTAATGACGGTGCCATCGGCTTGGATGCCCGCCCAGAGGCCGCGTGACTTGATGTACGTGAAGACCGGGGCGAGAGACTTGAAGCTGCTAGCCGTTCGGCGGTGAGAAGAAGTTGGCCTCTCCTTACCGTCTGGTGTGAGTTTGGTCGGGTCTGTCGGCGCGCCGGGCGCGACTCCCGCTGCAGGTTGACCCTGCTGCGCGGGCTCTACGACAGTAGGGGGATGAGCTTCAGCAGCCACAGCCTCCGCAGGCTTCTCCTTTCCATAACCGCTATGCCCATCACCACCCTCATGACCACCCGACCCCGCGCCGATATCAGCCTTCCCACCGGCCCCAAACGGCCCAGCAGTAACCGCAACCGACGAACCCAAACTGACCCGCGTATGCATAAACGCCTCAAGAGCCTCCCGACTATTAATCACGCACACGCAATCGTAAATGTCCACGCCGGCCATGAACCCCGCTCCGAGTGTGTGCACCTGTATGGCCGACGGCGGGCTCCACGAGCCGTCGGGGAGACGCGCGATGAGGATGCCCGAGCCGGTGGCGGCGGAGAATTGGAAGCCAATGCGGGCGGTCGTGAAGATGGCGAGGCCGACGGCGCTGTGGAGGACTTTGCTGGGGATTCGAAGGATGGCTCGGTCGCGGGATCGGGATCTCTTCTTGTCCTTCTTGCTTTCGTCGTTGGGCGTTACTGGGCGCTGGCCTTCGCCGTGAGCTCCGTCCTCTAGTAGGCGAATCAGGTTAGTCTCTAAAAACTCTCTGCCTGCAGTAGGAAGGAAGACAAATAAATAAACAGTCCGGCGCAAAGCTTACTGCAGAAACTCGTAAGAATGGCTGCTGCCTTTTCGCACTCCTTGTCCATAGTACTAGGCAAGAAAGCCTGCGATCCCATCTTATTGGCAAACGCATTAATCGGTGCCGCTGCCTTCGCGCCGAGCGAGTGCATCTTGGCACTCCATGCCTTTGCCTTCGCATGCCTCTTTTCGTCGCTGGTCAACTCTGGCTCGGTGGGCGGAGCGTTGGAGGCGGCGCCGGCGGGATGGGAGCCGGGGTAGTTGGCGGGGTTGTAATCGGGGAGGGGCACCTCATCGGGATGTTGCTGCGGTGGCGGAGGGAACTGGGGCTGGGCTTGGCTCGCGGCTTGGGGTGTCCCGTACGAAGGTTGCTGCTGCGGTGGAGGGGGCCCAGGTGGAGGATTGTAGGATGCCTCGTGGGTGTATTGTGATTGAGCTGGTGGAGGACCGGGAGGCGGGGGTGGGAACTGGGCTTGGGCTAGGTCCGCGGTCTGGTGTGCCTCGTACGCAGGTTGCTGCTGTACAGGAGGAGGGCCGGCTGGAGGATTGTAGGATGCATCGTGAGTGTATTGAGATTGCGCCGGAGGAGGACCAGGAGGAGGGGGCGGGAAGTATTGCTGGTCGCCCTTGGGCTTGTCGCTTGGCGGGGCAGGGTTGTCGGTCATGATGTTTGCGGATCTGGAGTTCTGTGAGTTGGAGTTGGACACTCGAGGCGTTATTTTGATTATTTTGATAGAGGTGAATCGGAAAGAGTTTATACGATCTGATCGGATTGACTGATGGTCCCGAACTCGAGATGTTAAGTGTAGTGATGCTGGGCTGCCTCTTTTATGGGGATGTTGCGATATTATTGTGATCAATTGGTGCTTGAATGGGCTGATGTCATCGCTGGCGTCGTCACTTCCCAAACAGTCCGCGTCATGGGCATTCTACAGAAGTACTTAGGACGCAAGCTGCCTGCTCTTCATCTTCTTAAGGGTTCGCCACAACGCAAAGCCACATCATGACGTTGATAGGTTACGCATCGGGGATCCATGAACGAGCTTGCGATTAAGAGTTCGATGAGAATAAATTTAGAGCGACGCCGAGTCCTGGCGGACTGGTGGACTGTCGGGGGAGATGCGGTGGTGCAGCAATCAATGAGGGGAATATTAGAGACGCTGCATTGACAGTATTTCCAGGATTAATATCTCATCGCCCTACTAGGTGTGCTAATTTCATCTGAAATCCTACAGAGGGGAGTTGAAAACACGAACCGTCCCCGTAAGGAGGCGGCGTGGAAACAGTCTAGCTAACACTGGATCGTGGAGGAAACGGTATTAAAGAGGGAGGGGAGAGCTGGTGACCCCCCTCAGCCTCCGAGGTGACTCGCAGACCGTCGTGCGAAGTCTCGAGGGTGCTCGACCATGTTCCATGATGAAGCTTCATGACGAAGCAGCTGGTGGGAACTGTCTTCAAGATGGTCTTGATTCGATTTGCACCCCGTCCGTCGCTAATTTTTCTCTTTGGATGCTTTAATTGACACGATGCTTAGAGCGAGAATAACCACTTGGCGAGGCCGCCTCATATGCAGGGGCTGTCCTAATGTCATAGGAGGGCTATATCAATAAGGAATAGCCGTCTCTGTCCTGTCTTTACTTCTCCTGCTTTCAGAAGTTGGACTGGACATCGGCTAGCTCTGACTTGGAAAGGCGAATAGGATATCAGGAGTCTTCATACGACATCTTCTGGCTTCTTCTAGATCTTTGTATGGAGTAAGAGTTGAGGTCCTTGGTTTTGAGGCATTCTACTGAGGCGTAGGCCTGCCTGATCGGGGGGACGAAGCGGCATTCTTTCTACGGGTTGCCCAGGCCAGACATGGATTCGCCAGTAAAGTGGAGTGTTAACAGTGGAGAGGGAAGGGTGGCCTGGTACATCAAGGGCTGTATTGATAGAACGGAAACGCTGGTGATATAACATTGAACCTTTACTGGAATTAATACACGCGTGAATGATTCGGGGCTGTTGTGAGTGCATTCGAGGATATTGACTCACTTTTCTCTCCCTCCCCCTAGTTGGCATGTTTGCGGGCATCCTCAAGCCACGCGGCATTTTCATCTTCTCGTCCTTACCCTAACCACCAACCCATATCCGTTCTTACTTTCCCATATACCAAATTCATTCTCTCTCCGAAAAGTAACCTCCTCAGGCCTCACAGTCATGATGACAGCTTCCTCCAGCGGCAGCGTAGACCTCCTCCGCAACCCTTGAAATGGAGCAGGCTTCGGCGCTGGCTCAAGCGGATCGGGCGACTTGAACATGCTCCACCGGCTCTGCTTCGGCGGCTGCTTGGTAAGCACGGAAGGGCCGGGGACCGGAGCGACGGGCGGTGGGGAAGCCTGTCTCGGCGGGGGCGCCCTAGGCTGGAGATGCCTCGCGAGCCTCTTGGCCAACTCCTCGTCCTGCCACCAGAGCCAGTCGGGGGGTTTCCGGCCCCCGGTCAACCCGCCATCGAGATCCTCGCCCCATCGGCCCCAGTCATCGAATTCCTCTCGCGTCTGCCACGGATTCGACCTGTTCATCCCGGAGGTCTCCTCAGCGGCGGCGGTCACGAAGTCGCTGTTCGCCTGATCGAGTCGTAGTTTCTCGGCCGTCTCCTTATCGACCTCCACGCGGACCAGTTCGTGGATTTCCCCATCGGGTCTCGAGGTGCGCGCCGAGGCGTTGGCGTTGGCGAAGAGCCAGTCACCGGGAACCGCGGCGGCGGGCACGATTGTGAGTTCTGCTAGCGGGGGCAGGGAAGGGCGGGTTGCGAACTGGTGGAGCAAGTTTTCGATGTGGGGGATGAGGAGGGAGATGAGGGCCAGATCCGAGGCGGTGCGGGTTGTATGGTGGGCTTCTTGGGATTCGCGGATCAGGCGGGGGAGGTTCGTGAGGTGGGCGGCGAGATGGGATATTGGGTTTGGTTTTTCGCTGGTGAAGGTTTGGGGAGGGGGAAACTGTGATGTGGGCGGGGGACTGGGGACGGACTCGGAGTAGGGGGGCGGCGAGGAGCCGGGAGGTGATGTGGATTTGGACATGTTGGATTTAGACATGTCGCGGGTGTTGAGGTGATGTGTATGTTTGGATCAAGATGGGTTTGCCAAGGTTGTGTTGGCGCGGAAGAGTCAAGGGCGAGAAAGGATCAAGGTGAACTCTAGGCTCCAGAGAGGGCGATAGGGATACGGAAAGTGAATGATATCAAGGGATCAGTTCTAACGAAACAAACAAACAAACTAGCGCGATAAAGCCTGGGTGGGGTTAGAACAATGAGGCTTTGTGTGAATGGAGAAGAGAATCGATACTAGGTTAGGTTCGATCCTTGGGGACCCTGTCCTGTCCTTTGCATTTTCTCTTTCAGTTGGTTCTATTCAGGCCTCAGATCGATGTGATTAGCTGGGCGCAGCACGTTCTAGCGTTCTCTGAGTTGGTCGGACCTGACCTGGTCAGCGGACCGGATCACCACTAAACTTCAATATCAAGTGCCTCTAATGCCGTTTTGATGGCCGGGCTCTGCGAAGAGGATGGGTGTCGTTCAGGAGTGCTTGGAGTACAGCTGATGTAGTGTGGTTTACTTCTTAGACGTTAAAAATTATCGACAGAACAATTCTTGATGGAACAAGATCGGATCAATCCCGACCAGACCAAATTTCTGCCTCACCATCACCCCAGCACGCGATATCGCTCGATGATGTTGAACTGCAGCTTATTGATACTTCCAGATCTAGCATCATCACAGCTTCGGAACTTGAAGCCCGAAGAACTTCCATAAAAGTCGACCGAAGCGATCCGCGATATATCTACGAAGTACATTTTATAAACTACTTGTAAGTCGAACTTGCGAGTTCCGCTCTCGTCGGTCTGTACTTTGAAGTGCCCTTAATCGTGCGGATCAGTGATCACCCCACTCGCCTTTCCAGGAGGCTGTGTTTGGTGTTCCAATTATCGCGTGGGGTACTCAGTCCTCAGTCCTCAGTGAGCAAAGGCCATTGTCCTGCACTGCCCACCCGCCAAGATTCCTGCCTTGGCGCACCTTAGCGATCAGCACATTTTCATTTTTAATGATGCATGCACATGCACCTGCACATGCCGTCTGTCATGGGCGAGTTTGTCTGGAGCTTGAAAACATCGATGAGGCTCCCTCTTAGCGAAAGGCCGAAACATCTCATGCCTCAATCCGGCTCAAAATCACTGTGTTTATCCGTGACTAGGCTTTCTCCCCTTGAAAAATGCTTCCTAGAACGGGCAGCAGCGCGGGCGAACCAAAGATGAACAACTGCGACTGTACGAATATTGGCAACACGACGAATGCTCCTGCAGTCCGTCGCGCGATTGACAGCCGAGAGAGCGAGAGCCGGATTTACCCATTCCTCATCTCGTCGTCGGAGTTGATAGCCACTAATGGCCATGCATTGAATTTGATGCTCGAGATTGGTGTAAAACTGTAAATACGCTAGAGCCTCTCTCCAAGATGAAGATGGGTGGGATGAGGTGGCTGAGCAACGGTGAGCCCAAGACAGCAATTTACTTTGTAGACTGCCGCATTGGTCGGAGCCGGTACATTATTTCGGGGCCTATGCCTGGCTGTTACCTCCTCCATGGCTGCAAGGCTCCACGTCGTCAAGGCCACGCCCTGATATCCCGGAGGGGGGTGCCATGAACTCCACTAGACCCTTGTCCAGGGCTGGCTGCCCGAGCTTCCAACAAGAGGTCCCAGCATGGCGAGGAGTTGTGAATCTGCCAAGCTCTCACATAAACACACACGACTTCCAAACACTTTCCGGCACAAGAAACGAGGAAACTACACAACAGATGCATCAAGACCCTTTGGTACTCTCCAAGACCAATTGCAATCATGGTCTGATCTATCTTGCTTGCGACGGGCACAGCACCACACCAACCAGAGTCCCGTTGCATGTCAGCTTCGGTACAACTTTCTCCCCAGGCAATATGCATGGGTGCTTTTCGCATACTTCGTACAGAGTTTATTTGTACGAAGTAATAATGACAGCCAAACACCGGACCACCACGAGCAGAGGTACCCCCCCACTCTCGAACAGTTCCGCGGGCCTCAAACTCTTTTGCTCTGTAATACGTATGGCCCGGAATAGGCGACCCTGGGGCCTCAAACGGGAAGTCCATTCCTGGGCCTTTCTGCAGCTTTGAATAAAGGAGCCATAATGGGATGATCTTGAGAGCCCGGAGCCTCGGCATGAGAGACAAAAGATGCGTCAAACAAATATCAAACTCCCCTTGTTGACTTGGGCTCACTCAGCCACAGGGCTGCCCAAAGACCTAAAGTTGAAAAATACTAAGCCCAAGTCTGCCTGGTGTGGTGTTTGAGGCCGGTTCTCGGGTCCGGGGGGCGGGCGGAAGGGAACATCAAGGCAGAATCAATCAGTTTGAACCTTGCTGGCCAGCCGCTAAAGCATACCCGCCTGGCGTCTCGCTCCCTCGCTCCTCAGCGTTAGCCGATGTCCCTGGAAATAGTAGTGGGACCTTGTCTCTGTTTTTCCCGCATGACGCCTCCGCCCCCCGAGCTAATTTGGAGCTTCCAGTCTTCCAGAAGCAGCCGAGACCTCAGCTCTGGAGCTAGGTTGTACTACTTGTAGGCTATGCCTTGCGCAGCGCTGGAAGAAATAAGATGAGGACAGCCGTTTGGCCCCAGTAAACTTCGAAGCAAGGGTCGAAAATGCCCCAGACATGGGGCGGAGGGCACCGGTAAAGATCTAGTTCTATGATGTAATTTCCTGGGGACCGTGTTTACCTCCCTTGTCGGTTGTCACTCAAGTACGCCGCCGTTGACCGAGCGAGCAGCATTGCTTCGCCCCCTCAAACGCTGTACGAAGAATGTACCATAGCTCCGGACTAGGTCATGCTAGCTCTTGGCTTGGCGATCTGAACGAAGCCCAAAGATCATACCGATGACCAGGCTGTGTCGTATCAAAGTCAAGTCTCGTCCTTCCAATTGAGGCTCAATCCTTTGGATATATAAATAGGTAGATGCATGTGTAGCTCCCCCAGTTGGAAGCTTTCCTCTGAATCTTTCACATCTCCGTCTGTGATTTGTATCCTGCAAGACATTTTTCTTCGGGTACCCCCAATCTACGCATTCCGTTTTGGTTTCCTCAGCGGTGTCGCAAATCGAAGCAACCGATTTAGAGAATACGATCAAAGCAAATACTGAACCAACACTGACAGCGAGGACGACTATCCTTCGTCCAATTTCTTTTCTCTTGAAATTTCCAATTAATTAGTCCCTTCTTCAAACCGCCAAAATGTCGTACAAGATCGCCGCCCCCGATGAGTACCTGGCCATCACCGGTATGGGCGTCCGGAATGAGGTCAAGATCACCAAAGCCGCCTGGGTCTGGCCCTTCCAGAAATGCATGCGATTCAGGTACGTTTTCGAGCTCTCTTTTTTTGCGCGACTAGTTCTTGCTGCATTTCGTCAATTGCGACATGAGATGGACAAACTAACAAGGCCCCCTTCTACTCTCTAGCGTCCAACCTCAGGACTACGCGATGAACCTACAGGCCATGACTAAGGAGAAGCTCCAATTCCTCCTTCCCGTTGTCTTCACCGTCGGTCCCCACGTCCCCATGTTGAGCGATGAAGTGACGCACCCCGACGACCTCGAGGCCCCCAGGGTCGACCCTGCCGAGGCCCTCATGCGATACGCCATCCTCCTCGCCGAGAGCCGCGACAGCAAGCAGTCGACGCATAGCTACCTCGAGCAGAAGATCAAGAGTATCGTTGAGGGTGAGGTGCGAGTGCTCGTATCGAGCATGACCATTGAGGAAATCTTCAGCGAGAGGGAACTGTTTAAGAGGCGTGTCCACAAGAATATCCAGACGGAATTGGTGAGTTGAGACGATGGCCGATCGATCTATTGGTCTTTTCGTGAATCTAAGGGATAACTTCATTACTAACACGCGAAAACAGAATAAATTCGGTGTTTACATCTTCAACGCAAATCTCAAGGAGTTGGTCGACGCACCCAACTCGATATACTTCGAGTCCCTGAGTCGCAAGGCCCACGAGGGCGCGACCAACCAGGCCAGAATTGATGTACGTGCCTGAATAATCAGAGAGAGGCGAGAATTGAGAGCAAGCTAACCCTAAGTTTCAGGTCGCCGAAGCGCAACTGCGTGGTAATGTCGGCGAGGCAGAGAGGCGAGGTATGCAAGAGCGAGAAATCGCCAAGATCAACGCCACAACAGCAGTTCAAAAGACGGAGCGCGACATCGAGAGGGCCGCGGCCGAAGCTCGCCTCAACACTAGGCAAGCCGAACTCACCAGGGACGTCGACATCGCGCGCATCGAGGCGCAGAGGCAGATCGAGTCGACGGATGAGGATCTCAAGAAGCAGGTCGAGGTGAAGAGGGCGGCGGCCGAGATCGAGAGGCTCAGGGCCACCGACGTCGTCAAGGCCTCGATTGCCCGTGAGGCGAAGCAGCAGGCGGCGGATGCCAAGGCGTACGAGGTCGTCGCCGAGGCTAAGGCCGCGTTCGAGAAGTCGCAGCACTTGACCGATGCGTCGGCGTACAAGACGACCACGGACGCCAAGGCCACCGCCGACGCCGACTTCAGCAGGATCACCAAGCATACCGATGCTGAGGCGTACAGTACCCGCGTGGACGCCGAGGCTAGGAACTATGCCGCTCAGCAGCTCGCCGAGGCCGAGCTTACCAAGAAGCTCAAGGAGGCCGAGGGTATCAGCGCCATGGCCGACGCCTACGGCAAGCTTGCGAATGCCTTCGGTGGCCCTGCTGGTCTGCTCCAGTACATGATGATCGAGAAGGGCACGTACGTGGCCCTCGCCAAGGCCAATGCCCAGGCCGTCCAGGGCATGCAGCCCAAGATTAGCGTCTGGAACACGGGGAGCCAGGGTGAGGGTTCTGGCAACGGTGGCATCGACACTATGCGCAATGTTTACCAGATGTTGCCGCCGTTGATGACTACTATTAATGAGCAGACGGGCATCACTCTTCCCGAGTGGCAGTTTGGCAAGCTCGCTGCCACGACCGGCGAGGTTGCCCGCGCTCAGGGAAAGCCCGTCAACGGCAGCTAAGATTTTGGAGCCGAGTGACCAACTAACTGACTGGGCGACCTTGATCGCAAGTCGGGAAATACACCCGGAGTCGTCCAAGTCCAATCGACTTGGAGCCTCCTAAGAAATGGCACTTATGTGTCAGCCTATCTTTTGCTTTTCTCTTTTTTTTTTCCCCTTCTTTTCTTGTCTTTTATGACTTCTCTTCTGTCTGATGTCGCTATTCAGGGATTGGGGAATCCCTTCAGTTTGAAACCATGTCATGATACCTGGCTCCCGCAAGTCTTTCATTTTCCTTTGTCGGCGTCTGTTGAGGCTTTAACTAATTCTTGGGGGGTTGTTTTCTTTGCTTTTTCTTTTTTTCTTTTCTGTTCTTGGTTTTTCCATTTCGCGATAGTTCAAGTTCAGTTCATCAATACCAACAATGAAAATGCTCGAATCCCGTCTGCCTTTGAAGTAGAAATACCCACTTTGGACCCTTGAAAATGTGGCTGCCAACTCCAAACTAGCGCTTCGCACCTGCTGTCTCAGAATTCCAATTCAATCGAGGTTGCTTGTAGCAAAACAAAGGGAACAATTTGAATCCAGTTCAGCCCAAAGGCGCAGCTTAGGAACAAATTTCATGCTTCTCGATCGGATCTCCGAAACAACCCTTCCCAACCCTTCGCCGTCAGCGAAGCTGTGTCTTACAGTCTAAAAATAGCTTTGAATGACACGATAAGCCAGGTCAACCACCGATTTGATCGCTTCCAATTCAGAGATTCCTCTTTTCTACCTTTTTTTTTGCTTGGGTTATTCCTCATCCTTTTCTCTCATCCGCGTCGACATCGCAGAACCCTCACTCAACTTCCCCGCGCCACGCAAACCCCGCCTCAAGGCTCGAGCAAAACAATGGCCTCGGCAGCGCCCGACCCAAGACTTCAACTCCCCCGCATCCTCTGCCTCCACGGCGGCGGCGTCAACGCCGAAATCTTCGAGCTCCAATGCCGCAGCCTCATCTCCCGCCTCAAAGACACCTTTCGCCTCGTCTTCGTCGACGCCCCCTTCATCTGCCCGCCCCACCCCACCATCATCAAGGTCTATGGCGACCACGGGCCCTTCCGCCGCTGGCTCCGCTGGCAGCCCGAGCACCCCGAGATAGACCCCGAGACGGCCACGGGGCAGATCCGGTACCAGCTTGATTTGGCGATGGAGGAGGATGATCTGCGCGGGGCGACGGGGCCGTGGGTGGGGATTTTGGGGTTCAGTCAGGGGGCGAAGGTTAGTGCGGGTTTGCTGTATACGCAGCAGAAGCTGTTTGGGAAGTTTGGACCGGATGCGTCCGGGTCGTGGGATTTCAAGTTTGGTGTCTTGTTGGCTGGGAGGGCACCTGTGGTCGCGATGGATGCGAGGATAGATATGGTGCCGGGCATTGCTGATGCGGCGACCTTGAGCTCGGGGTTTAAGGATTGGCCGGCGGAGAACAAGGGGGATCATGTTTTTGGGATCCCGACGCTGCATGTACACGGCCTCAGGGACCCAGGATTGAAGGAGCACAGGATTCTGCTGAACTTGTATTGCGAGGAGGGAACGACTACGTTGATTGAATGGGATGGGGAGCATAGAGTTCCGATCAAGACACATGATGTGGAGGCTGTCGCGACGGAGATTATTGCGCTGGGAAAGAAGGTGGGCGTGATTAGCTGAAGCGTTTCAGATGCAGACATTGTCACTTTTCTTTTCTTTTTCCTTCTCCCTTATGATAGACTTTGACGGGTACAATTCACGATTAGAGGGATTATTCACGGATAGTATAGACTCCGGTAGACACTTTATGGTAGCCCTTCTTTCCGACCTTGAATGTGAGGTCACTCCGCCATTCCTCTCCCTTGGATACCTGCTCTACCGCCCTTTCAAAGGTGTGACGAGGCTCCCATCCCAGTTCTCGAACAGCTTTGGACGAATCGTATACTCTATCTATCCTCTGAAGCCATCCCCAGCCAAGCTTCTCGAACGTGGCCACGGAGCCCGGCAAAAAGGATTCAATGACCTCGTGCGCATCCTTGTTCAACAGCGCCAACGTCTCTTCGTCATTTTTAAAGGGACTAGGGGCGCTGATGATATACTTGCCCCAGCGCAGCTCGCTCGCCTTCTTCGTGGCACACACGCAAGCCGAGACAACATCGGCAATATCAGCCCTACGATAACACAACTCCAACACCTTCAAGTTCTCATCGCCGAGGGCATTCCTCCTATCCTCATCGTCATCAGCCTCCGGGAAGAACCGACTTGTCCGGAGCACGAGGACAGGCATGCCCGTTTGCCTATGAATCAAGTGGCACATGTCCTCCGCGGCGACCTTTGTAACCCCGTAAATATTCTTCGGGATAGGCACGACGGACTCGTCAATCCAAACTGCAGGCTTGTCCTTGCCGGGGCTAAGGGCCATGCCAAATGTCGACGTCGTACTGACAAAAACGAAAGATTCGGTACGCGAACCGAGACGACTCGCCTCTTCCAAGAGAGTCAAGGTCCCCGAGATATTAGTGTCGATGAAATCCTGCTTGGAATGAGATTCGACATGAGGTTTGTGAAGAGTTGCCGCGTGGATGACGTGCTTGATTGAAGGATTTTCGGTGAAGATGGATGCAATGAGGGCGCGGTCCGTGATGGAGCCGACGCGGGTGGTAGTCTCGGAGGGGAGGATGTCAATTCCAAAGGGCTGATACCCGAGACTTGGGAGCGAGAGCATGAGAGCACAGCCGAGATGGCCGGCGCTGCCGGTGACGAGGACCGTTGGCTGGGACATGGCGAGATCTGGAGCAATTCTTCTCTCCTTGTAGAAATAAATTGAAGGGAAGTGAGGTGGAGGGGAATAACTACGAAGTAGTTTCGTGATAAGAAAGCTGTCGAAGAGATGGGGTGAGGTGGCTAGACGACCAGAACGAATGCAGAAGGTCGAGAGGAGATGAGTCAATGACGATCGCCCGGCGCTATGCGATATGCAGCAGGCTCCTGGGAAACGTTACATTGGATGATGCGGTGTAGTGCGAGTTCTATCTACAGAATACTCGTTATCTATCATGCTGCAAGAATCTATTTTATTTCACGCTGATGCCTTTTCCAGTTCCTCCAGCACGTCATTCCTCCCAAACTCCCTAAGAGCCTCATGCGTTTTCTTCAAAACTTCCGCATGTAGTCCCTCAACGGCCGCCACGAAGCCAAAGTTCCCATTCATCATCCGCCCAGTGCTTAGATCGATGTCCTTGCCATACACGTCGGTAATCTTTCCTCCCGCCTCTTCAAAGAGGAGCATGGCGCCCGCATGATCCCAAACTTTCCCGCGCCGCGACATCTTGGTGTACACCCAAGACGTCGCATCGCCGAGACCCATGGCGAGAGACGCCCAGCGGACGACCCAGGGGAGTAAATCGCAACCTGGGAATGAGGCGCCGAGGGAGGAAGCGATGGTGCTGTGGAGTTGCCTGTCACCGGAATCCACGGTTGTGCAAGTAACGAAGCGCAGGTCACTAGGGGAGGTGGCGGTGGTGGATTGGCGTGGGCCGAGTCGTCGGGATTGAGATTCAGGAGACGAGTTGTGGAGCGGAAGAAGGTATGCGCCGTGGCCCTTGGCTCCAAAAAGAACGGTTCCCCGTCCCGAGGAATCAATGTCCTTGTCGGAGATGGCAGAAGCGGCATCGGATGAGAGGTTCGGTAGGCCGACGATGCCCAGGACTTGCTTGCCGTCTTCAAGGAGGGCAACGTTGATAGCATAGAGCTCTCCCTGAATGTACGTCTTCGTGCCGTCGATGGGATCGAACACCCAGACCCTTCCTTTCCCTGGGGCTCCTGCGCCGCACTTATCAATCAAATCGCAAGCCCTCTCCTTGGACTCTGGCGTTCTCCATAGACGAGACGTTTCGTCGTGTTGGCCGGCGCGGTCTGCAACGCCTTCGAGCAAGCCCCACACCTCCTCCAGTAGCCTCTCATTCTCCCGCAGCTCATCGGCGGACTCTTCTCCTACGAGTCCGTCCTCGGGAAAGTGATGGTGGAACGTCGCTGAGAGAAGCCCCTGGATCGCGAAGTCCGCGACGGTTACGGGACTCAGATCAGTCTTCTGGACAACGCCCTTGTCGGGGGAGGAGATGACGGATTGGCTGAGGAGGGCAGCCTGTTGGAGGGCCGAGATGGCGATTTGGATTTCTTTGGCGTAGGGCGAGTCCATTTTGGGTGGTGTTGTCAGATGCCGGGGGTGGAAGAGCGATCGATGATCAATGCTAAAGGGACTGATCAGTGAAATTGGAGTTCAAATTCAATTCATGGCTAGCGGGGTTGAGGTCTGGAATTTACCCCGCCAAATCTCTGAATTAATTGTTTCATTCCACGGGCCTGCCTCTGATGTTGTCGGGAAGATTAATTGACCGAGTATGATTTTGGCATCTGATTGACTTTGTGTCCTTGCGGAGTTCATTGTCTTTTGTTCTTTTTTCTTCGCCTTCATTTTCGAGTGTCTCAACTCCAGATCACAGAAAAGCGTCTGTTCATTGCGACAAACCTTGGATACACAGTGAGAGCAAGATGTGCCTCTAAACGCGTCGCGTGCCACCTTTCCTCGCACACCGTGTCCTCATTCATCATCGTCACTGTCTCCTCCCCTGCAGCCGACAGCCACAATCCCCCCCATGTCCATCAACGACCCCCTTGACGATGATCATGATCCCCTGGTCCTCCGACCCCTAATCGCCGACGTAATCCGCACGCGATACTGTGTTCCCAATTCTCTCTTCCTTGTTGAGGGCATCGACGAGCTCCGCCCCACACGCAGCGGGAGATGGCGCGCAATTCGCCTCCTACTCGGGGATGGCGAGCTTTGTATCCAGGCGCTTCTCACCGTTGACATGCATCGCTTTGTTGACGTCGGCGAGGTTATTGTTGGGTCGTTTTTGCGTCTGCACGATTTTGGATTTTGCCAAGAGGCAGTGGTGGAAGAATCGGAGGAGTCACATCTCCAAGACGGCGCAGTCGAGAATGTAAAAGGGAAGAAGAGGCGGAGAAAAGGCGCCATGGTTTACTTGACTGTTGAGGACTTCACGGTGGTGGGATGGCATGAGGAGTATGCTCGTGTTTACTCCAAGCCACGCGTGTCAAAGTCTCATGCTGAGGAGCGAGGGAAACCCAAACGAGCGGCCCAAAAGCCGTCTGTTGAACCCCCGTCTCCTTTGCAAGCGAGAGTCCCTCCCAACCTAGAGGCGAGACGTACGCCTGCCCCGGCGGATAACACCATCGAAGACCTAGAGAAGTACTTCGACACCTCCTCGTCATCGGACGACGGCTTCGAAGAACTCCCCATCCCTGACACCCCTCCCCCACCCCGGCCCAGGCAACTCCCAACGATCCCTTCGGATCCCGTCCCCCTCGCCCGCAACTGGACCAACCCCCTAATCCCCCTCAAGCTCACTACTCTCTCCTCAATTCCCAACCTCCCGTACAAACAAAACTGGTCCATGAACGTCGTGGCTGTGATTTCCTCGCTCTCCCCAGTCGAACCCTCTACGTTTCCACCGTATCGACAACGGACCGCACGCCTAGCTGACCAGAGCACAGCCAAGTTGGTGCACCTGACTGTGTTTCTGGATGCTGAGGGGTTCAAACCGCGCGTCGGGGCCGTGGTGTTGCTGGCGGGAGTGAAAAATCATTTGTTTGACGGTGGGTCGTTGAAGAAGTACGTGAGTGATCGGCCGAGGGAGGGGATGCCGTGGTGGGTGGAGGAGCCGACGTACCCTTGGTGTAGTGAGCGAGTGAACGAGCTTAGGGAGTGGCGGAAGGTAGTGGAGTGTCAGGGTGAGCAGGGCCAGGGAGGAGTCTAGCATTGAGGAGACGATGAGTCGGGGAGGAAGGGTCATGGCTGTAATAGAAGTCGCCTCGAGCATGGTTTGGCTTGCATTGTGTTGGGGCGGAGAAGCATGCTACACGGCTGGAGGTCAGGTGTTTGGCGTCGGAAGGCAACTGCATACTACAAGTGTTTATGAATTATTCAATCAATTTATTATAAGCTGCAAGATTTCTATTCTACTTCTTTGTAAATGAAAGCTGGCCAAGTGTTGGCATCAAGTTCTGTAAGTTCCGGAAACCAGACCTCAGATTACCACGCCCCGCTCCACCCACCCATTCCTCCCCTTCCAAGCCCATAACACTAGCAGGCAGGCTACCCACACACTAATGGTCATAGCCCAGAACGTCGCCGCATAGCACTGGTGACCGTAGCAAAAGATGTCATCCACAACCTCGCCCCCAAGCGACGGGGGATTCTTCGCCCCCTCCTGATACACCGCCGAGTACACGATCCCCCAAAAAGTCGATCCCAGCGCCGGAAACATGGCGACGATGCCCCAGTTCGTAGCAAAGTTCTCCACGCCCCAAATAACCGTGATAATGATCGGCGTAAGACTGAACACAGCGCCGTATCCGGCGCCAATAAGCGAGGAGACGATCCAGAAGCGCTCGCCGTGGTTCTGGATGAAGCCCGATGCGAGGGCTAGGAGACCGCCGGAAAGGATGAGGCCAAAGGCCAAAAGGAAGGCCACGCGGGAGACAGTGAAGTGGCGGGGGGATGGTCGACCTGGCGTCACCTGGACGTATTGGGTCTGCGGGGTCGGGGCGAGAAGGTCAGTTAGTGATCCCGTGAGAAGACGGGCCACAGTGCTGGTTATGCCCAGGATGGATACGTGCGTCGCGGGGGAAGTCGGGGTAACCGTGAGGCTCGACTTTGGCGGGTAAAGGGTGCCGATGACGGTGCCGAGGTTGTTGATGAAGGCTTCGCCTGGCCCAACCATGAGGAGAAATCCGAGGGCGAAGCACCACATGGTGGTATCGGAAAGGAACCGTGATGTCTCTGCATTAAGCACCCAGTTCTTTTTCCACTGCACGTCATCCTCGAGGTCCTTCGCCGGGCTGAGAAGATTGGTAGCCTCATCTTCGCGGTCCGCCGCGGCATGGATCGATCCGTATCCCGCACTTGATCGACTCCCCAACAACGGTCCGCCCTCGAGGAAACCGCTAGTCTCCAGCTCTTCAATTGCTTCGTCGATGATATCCTGCTCATCGACGACTCTCAACGTGAACGCACCCACAACGCCGACAGCCACGAGCAAACAAGCGAGAAAGACGAAGAACCGAAACACGTCAACGTCGCCCCGCGAGCCATCCGGCCTCTGTTCGTAGAACACGCGACTGCCGACCTGGGAGAGCCACATTCCGCTAAGCCCAAAGCCGGCGATGGGCATCGCAAGGGCGAGGCCCCTATGTCGGCCCTTTCCGAAGTTCTTGGCACACGTGGCCACGGCGGTGAGGTACATTGCACAGGTAGCAACGCCGATGAGCACGAAGGATGATACCATTAACGGGTACGTCCAGTCGCTCGGGGAGCCGTCCGGCGGTAAGGGATCTGAATTTCGAGCATTCCGTGAATCGATCTTACGATATATTGTCGCGGCTAGACCGTATCCAATGCCGAAGAGGACGGCGGCGAAGCCGGAGAGGGGCTTCGTACCGAAACGGTCGCAGACGTAGCCCAGGATCGGGACGGGGAGGTATAGGGCGATAGAGCTACCGATGGCCACGCCGTTGACTTGGAGCTGGGTGTAATGGAGACGTTCTTGGAAGATGTGGCCGTAGAGTGAGAAGACGGTGATGGAGCCGGCGCAGAGGGCGGAGACGACGGCGGAAATAAAGGCAATGGTTCGGGCAACGGTCTTTCTGGTTCGGATGGGGCTGCGACGGTCCGATGAAGTGCTGGAGATGGAAGAGGATCGAGCGGCGGAGGACGTCGACATCGAGTCATCGAAGGGTCGCCCGGTGCGATGGTGCGGAGAGGGTTGGGACATGATGGCGGCGTTCGACCCGCGAAGAACTGCGAAGAGCTCCCCGGGAATGGTTGGTTTTATAGACGAGAATCTATCCTCAAAGTTCCCATACTTATTTGGAAGCGGGGATAATATAGTCTGGATTTTGATTTGGGGATTGTCGAACTTCCCTCAATTCAACGTTGTTGAGCTCACTTTGGCTCTGTGTTTGGTGACGCAATAGCTCGTCAACTTAGCTTCCGAAGTCTGGAACAAACAGTGGACCCTGGACTCTGAAGTCACGTGGTAGAGAGTAACCTAGATCAACGCATAGACCTTTTCCACACTGTGTGATTTCGGATTAATAAGCACCAGACGCATAAACACTGATCGAGCCATGGTGCGATCTTAAGATTCATTGTCTCTTTCAGTAACGTGGATCCAACGACTGGACGAAGGTCTGCTGGTTCAGTCCAGGCTCCTCAGGTCCCACTCAGCGAGACCAATGGCTGAATCAGATATTCCGATCCTTTCAACATTGATCCCGAACTCCAAATGGAAGGGAAGAACAATGATGAGCTTCAGAATCTCCGAAGTTAAAAACGCGAAACACTAGGATCCTCAATCGATTTGTTTGTTACTCTAGGAGTCACCGTATTGATAAGTTGATTCGTGAAAGCGACTCCTTTCTTGTGTAACACGACATTGGTGGACGCCTCGCTCAATACGTGCTTTGTCTAAAAACCCCCGACTTGGCTTTGAGGGCCCAGTTCGCATTCACTGGATGACCTCACGGCTTAACCATCGTCCTCAACCTTCGATAGTTCGCTTATTTTTCTTGCCCGTTTTCTTTTTCCATAATGTCGCAGGAACACAGTACCCCGTCATCGCCGCCCCAATACCAGGTTCTGCCTGCTGAATATGCGGATGAAGTAGAGGACGACGATGTGGTAATGGCACAAACAACGACATATCCTCCACCTTCATCTCCCCAGCCCCGACACCAAACTAGAAGCCCTATACCGCCTTTCCGTCCTCTATCACCGCCGCCAGGATCCTACATCCCTCCGGACCTTTACTTAGACTCTTCAGAGATCCCACAAATGGGCGATTCTACCGCGCAGCCAGGGTCCTCCGAGGCTGCTCGACCCCGGAACCATTTTTCTCGCCAAATCCGTCGCTATCCTCAGCCTCCACCGCCGCAGAAGATAGTTCCCGCACTCGAGACCCCGCCAAGCACCCGACCAGATGGGGCACTGGATATTCGAGACTTTCGTGGTAATCCATTCCTCTCCGACCTGCCGCTAGACGATTCCCCGCCGCCTTTGAAGTATGAGGATTTCGTTGCGCCGCTCCTCCGCAAGTTCCCTCAGCATGACCAAAGAATTAATTTTCGGAAGCGTCTCGGTGAGGGTCTCGAAGGGGTCGTCTATAGGGTCTGGTTCGGCCCCGGCCCGCCACATTTCGCGCTTAAGATCGTAAGTTGAATACTCTGGGAGCTGCCTCTAACTTCGAAGAACAGTATATATTAACTTGGTGCTCTTCGTGCCTGTAGTTTTGGAATAGTCGATCGAGCTTAGCTCAGAGCAAACACAACACCAACCGACACTGGCCACTCGTCAACGAATGCCAGACAGTAGCCAGGATTGAAAAGATACGATGGCAACTAGATCACGCCGAAGAGCCGATCATGGTGAAGCGCAAAATCATGAACGGCGATGACATGCGGCATAACATGCGGTGCTTTAGCGAGGGGGGTCGGACGCACCCAAAATGTGCCTTCGAGGACGCTGTGCCAATGCCGCCTGCTGACACCATTGTCCGTTGCCATGGCTGGTTGACAATCCCCCGTGATTCGCTTCCGCCCGATTTCCATCATGCCCGCAGCATTGCCAATCCACCGTATTACGAGGAAACGTCGCACTACTTCGCCTTGGTCTACGATTACGTTCAACGAAGCCCCCGGGATCTTGAGTTCTACGTCATGCAAGAAAATATCGATTTCTTCTACTACGCGGGCTTCACCTACTGGTATCGGAAGCCGAACAATTGGCGAGGCGAGAGGTTGGTAGATTTCGGGGACCTGGCATCACCGTTCCGGTCCCGCCCAGATTGGCACGGTCCACCCACCCATTCAACATCGCTGAACTTCTTTGGGCGGTTACGGGAGGTCCGAGGCCTTGACACTGGTAGGAAAAAAGCAGGTGAGGAAGCCAAGGAGAAGGTGGACGAAGAAGCGAAGGGAAAGGGGGCGGAGGAAAAGGGGGCGGAGGAAAAAGATCGTGGGGAGAAGGATTACGGTGATGGAGAAGACAATGACGATAGTGTTCAGAATGGCAATAGGGAATAGTACGCGGGGGGGGACAATCCTGGGACAGGGACGTTTGCCGAGGCATAGCCTGATGACAACAGGGCGAGTAACACTTGACCGTGACCAATCTGGCTAGTTGGCTGGTACCTCTGTAGATCTGTCACATCTTAGCCCGAATGTGTCGTTTCCCCCTCCCCATCTCGGAGCGTTGGATCCACTGGCTTGGGGACTTGTGCTAATGTTAGACTCTCTGTGGTCCTGACTGGACTCTGTCTACATGGACGGCGGCTGGCGTATGATAATGGTTGGACCGTAGCACGGGCGATGCAGCGATTGGCTCAGCTTAGGTGGGGCTCGAAAAGTGTGACACCATGCGGCGGCTCTTATGAACAAACCGTTGTAGCCCCTGATTCTGCCCACTCGATTCTCACATGAGCCAGTAGCCTTCGCCAATTCACTGACCGGGCCAGCAGCCAAATACGTCCCTAGAGTCTAGACTCATAGAGGTCGCGATTTGAAGCGACCAGATGGAGCCCCGAGTTAATCGAACCTGGGCGCGTCATACGCAACCAAGCCATTTCGTTCACTCGCTCACGCGAGACCTGCACTGCAGACGATCATGGCCAGAGAAGCCGTCTGGGATAAATTTAGAAGGTGTGCGTTCCTTCGCGTGAACAAGCCAAACCAGCCCCAGCCCATAGCGACGGATATGGTCATGTCGACTCGTGTGGACCTAGGCGGTTCGTGAAACGACCCTTTCCCTTCGCCCGCATGTGGGAGGGCAAGAAGACGTCGCGATCAATATTAAAAATAGAGTCACCAAAACGTACACCAGTTGGGCACTAGAACCAACGCACATTTGGCTTTGCATGGGAGGGGTCCAATCTGATGGGACTCTGTCCATTTTGCATATATCAGTCCCCCTAAGACCTCGAGCTCTGCATTTCGGATCTTGTTCAACTCTCCCTCGAAGTCAATTGACTTTATCCCCTCCGAGAGTCATCCACGGTTCAAGAATCACCCAAATAGATTTTCCCGGTTCCAATATTATCTTCAGTTTCTCCATTCCCTGGCTCCTCCCATGATGGCTGATACTTCCATTCTTTCGTCACTTACCCAGCCCAACCCAACTATTGATCACTCCGGCTTGCGAGACGGGACAGTCACAAAAATATCCGAAGCTGTACATGTCGTGAGCACGACGAAATGGACCGAGTTCAATTACCGCAATCTCTACAACAAGTTCCGCCATATCCTGGAGTCCCGACACCCCATTCCAACTCCTTGTACCCTCTCCCCGAGGGAATCCAAAATCTTTGATGAGGACACTTTCGAGCATCAAGTGTTGAGCAGAGTGACAATCCCATCCGTTAACGGTGCTCTTGACGCCGCGGCCAACTTTCTGTCCACGCAGCATAGAAGGCCATTCCCAGTTTGGCAGATCCGTCGCGGCGCAATATGCGTCTACGAGAAAGATGCTAAAGCACGAGCCGACTGGGGCTTGGTCAGTGATGACTTCCTCGACAATCTCCGCTACTTCTATAACTTCATGCCTGGAGATAGCAAGATATCATCCAAGTGGTCCGCAGACGCCATGGAAACCGACGCCGATGATGATCTGGAGGAACATCATTCACTACCAGTTCAACAAGTGGGTGGCTATTGCGACAAGGCCCGATCTCGATACGGTTTCGTAATCACCGATGAAGATCTCGTCGTCATCGAATTCCGCAGAGATCCTATTGGTTCAGGTATCGCTGCCACTTCGACTCGTGCCCGCGTGGCGGCCGCTGCCGCTGCTGCCGCTGCTGGCCCCACTGTCCAACACCACCGCGGTGGCTCAGTGGAGACTGTCAGAAGTTCAATAACCGTCGGCTCAATAGAGTCCGTCAGAACTCGGGTCAGCGCGCTGACCTTGTCTACTACCGCCCAGGGACAGACGTTTTCCTCGAAGCCATATGAGAATGATGATCTGGGTGACCCAGTCCACTTGAGATACATGGTTATCCCCTGGCATGCCGAGGGTGAGGGCAAACTAACCGTTCGATTGGCCCTCTTTTTCTTGGCATTGATGGCCGCATATGGAGATGGACAAATCAGCGAAGAATTCTCGAAACTCGATTCCTGGTCGTTTGATGATTTCCATAAGCGAATGGAAGACAACTCCGACCGATACCGGCTCTCTGAGGTCGATCCCGGGTCCCTGATGCAGAGCACTCGGCAGCGGTCGCGAGCCGACGGCCGGCCCGAGGGTCATCACAATACCGATGATGGTGACAGTGATGATGCTGATGACGATAGCAGTGACGATGATGAGAGACTGCCCCATATGTCTGACCCATATCACGTCCAAGGCAATAAAAAATATGTGAGGCGCAGTGTCATATCTTCCGACGCCCACGGGCCTTTTTACCATGACACCGATGGCAGCCGTCGTTCAATCAGGGAGGACCAGCTTCTCTATGATAGAAGGAACAACGAGTGGGGTTACATCCGCGGTGGTGAGTGGGTGGTAGCAAAAGCGTCGACCCAAGACCACGCGGCACGGTTGCCAGGGGGCGGGGGAGAATCCAGCAGCGGACGGGGGAAGCACGCCAGGAAGGAATCGACTGAGCTAGGCGCAAGTTCGAAGTCTAAGAGGGGCAGAGGCGGCCGCTGAGTGATCAGCCATCTCCTAGCAGACCTCTGGTTTTGTTCTTTTATGTTCTTTTTTTCTTTCCTTTTTGTGTTGTTACTTTGTCACCTTTTGACTCACAACTGAGCTATATGACAACAAAAGATGCTCCAAGCGTTGCGGCCTGCGTCACTTGATTATAAGAGGTCTTGTACAGCCATTACTGCGCCCAGCTGCGTTTACATGTATCCTATATAGTTATCCTTTGCAAGTTCACGGTGCTAAGAGAAGCATGCAGTCTGACCCATTCACCATTGCGACAGCTTAACAGCCGTGCTGGACAGCGACAGCATAGGCGCATCAGCCTTGTTCGATCAGCATGCTACCGAGATACAGCGTGTCTCCCATTGCTCTGGTGTCCGCTACCGCGCTTTTCTCTCGGGGCCGTTTGGGGACCCACCCAACCTGGATATATTATAATCCCGTCGAGGCCCATGCTCAAAGGATTCGTTTCTTATTAATAGGACTGTACAGCTACCATCTACAAAGCTACTTAAGCCCTTTGCCGGGCGTCGTAGTAACGGCCACGTCACATGGATGGGACGTCTCCGTTGGCATCTTCATTTCGTCTACTCTCCAAGAATTACAGCTCTCACGCGGCGGTATTGAAATGGCCTAAACTTGGGAATCATGGCCGAATGGTGCGGAATGTAGGGCGCAGAGTATCACACTCTCCGCGGGTAAATCCTACAATACTGGTCCCCTAGATATTATAACCTACCTGGCTGACACCTTATCTGGTTCTACAGGGGGTGTATCCCCGGTACTCTCTGCGGAAGCACCGAACTTACTGAGTCCGTCCGTAAGGCTGTATCAAGAAGGCCTTTTCTATGATACGAAGCTGTCAGAAGCATGAGCGCCGAGGCCACGAAAAAAGCTTTAAATGCCTGCATGAACGCTGTCACGGTTTGGTTAAGACCTACCCCAGAAAAACAGAGCTCCAGCGCCACCAGCGTAGCGCGCACCGAGGTGGCCACAAGCTTCTTTTGAAGTTGTCTAGGCTCCGCGATCAAAACGCCGACGCTCCGGCAAGCCCTTTCTCTGTATACATGAGGACTACCAAGGCTAAGGCAAGCGTAAGTAATATCGTAGAAAAGGTCTCAAATATAACCTACGGAGTGTCCCTAAGATACTTGGGGGTCCTCCCTTTGCCTGCAAGGCGTGCGGCGGCATCTTGTCCAGCAGTTACAACCTTTAGAAACACGAGATCACTGTACACCAGACGCAAGGGGCCCCTGACCGCTTTAAATGCCTGCATAAACGCTGTCGCGGTTTGAACAAGACCTACACCAAACGACAAGCCATCCAACGCCATCAGAGGAGGGTGCTCCCAGGCAAGCCGCAAGATCATTTTACAGTTGTTGATGCCAACCGGCATGTCGACCGCCTCGTCGTAGGCGACACTAGAAATGACGCCAATCTGGAAGAGCCATTGCCATATGACCCAGCACCACCAATCTCTCCAGCAAGTGATGCCCTCAACACAGAAGGCCGGCTAGAGGAGCAAACTGCAGCTCTTTAGCAATACCTGGAGCCGCCACAGCAGATACCGCGGCAGCAAGCAAACCCCGCAGGTGGCAGGGACTCCAAGCCTGCCATTCCATGGGAGCAGGGCTCCTCCAGCCTGCCAGCACATCCCACCCTTCTCCCTTCTTCCTGGTCTCGCCGATGTCCATAGCAGCAAGCACCGCCAATTCCCCATAGCAAGCGCCACGATAATTGCAACCGCAGAATAGCCGTCCCCGCACCACCCAGCATTGCCAATCCCTCCAGCAAGCAGTACAATCAACACAGACCAGTGGAAGGCTCTCCTTGAAACCGCCCAGGCAGCATTAGGACATCTTTCCATTTTCAGTGCCACAATACCCAGAGGGAGTCCCCACCGGCTCAGACTGTCAAACTCCTCCATCCCTTCACTCCCCCACCCAGTCTGCTTCAAATTCTGCAACCCAGAAAGTATCCTTACTCGACCTATCAGGAAATGCAGAACCCCGAGATACTTCTACCACCCCGCAAATTCGCGTCAAAACAGACCGTGTCTCGAACTTAGAGCGCCATGAGCAGCATCAACAAGTGGCACAGAATTCTCAGCAGCCCAGCCAAGGTAGCAGCGCCGTTCACCGATCGAAGTGTCGACGCTCCAACGCAGTAGTGGAACCCCAGCAATGCAAGGTCAAGAGGCGACGACTCTACAGGAGCCCAAGTCCTCAATGGTAAACTGGAAACCGGAACAAGAGATACTTCTCTTGGAAATGATGGGTCGCGATGAGTCGTGAGGATCCATAAAGAAGGCTTTACCCGGGCGTGCAGAGTGATCTTGCAGAAAACGTACGATGCACTGAACAACGATCCCCTCCGACCAAAACTGCCATGCGAGAATCTTGAAAAATTGCCGAATTGAGGGCTGCGGTTTAAGATGACAAACAAAAGCCAAGTTTTTCCCTGAGCGTTCACCAAGGTCTTGTACGAGGCTGTTTGATGAAGAGAGACAGAAGGGCATGGTCTACTGTACTGTCTGCGAGAGAACCTTTGACTCTGAAACCATAAATAATCACCGTCACTATCTCTTGCGGCCTAATGCCTGTGGGCACTGAGACAAAGTCTTTAACTATCCATTTGCTCTCATGCTCCATGAGAGCAAAGAACACTACCCCCATGCCGATATAAGCCACACGCTACTTATATCCCACGATTCCTTCTAGCCTTGCCTCCGCAATTCATGCGGAGAGGAACTTTGTCAACGGACCCATAGACTTCTTCCCGCCATACTCCGGCTCCTCCAATACATGCTCCCGAGAAAGAGACTTTACCAGCTCAGGTCAAGGTCTCCGGTCCGTCCCGCGACCTGTTCTATCTACTCCACGTTCTACCATGGCCCAGGCTTTGCTTAGTATCTGGAATGGAGCACGCAGAAACGACAGCGGCTGGCCACTGACATCCAATCTCGATAAGCAGCTCTACCACCCTCCGGTCACCCTAAGCGTCTCCACTCCATGGGGCGCAGAGGTACAGGAGCAAAATTAACACAGCAGCGAGTATTGCCAATCCCTCTTGCGAGCCGCACAGTGAGCGGTCTCCAACCCGACCTGTTTACCCAAGACCATATCATTGACTCCACATCTACCCAGAGGAAGGGAATAAAGGCACATCCCCCTCAGAAACGTCATGTCCATCAGCACACTAGTATCTTGATTACCATGTGCTCCGTAGGTCCCTCAGAGAGAGGTAAAGCCCTAGGGCTGTCCCTCTTTCCCTCTCGCCGGCCGCCATCAACGGCAGAGTTGTGATGGGGGCTCATCGCCACACCCCTCAGAGCTATCAAGGTTAGATGTCCTTGAGAGGTAATAGACTCATTCCAAGGACTTTTCTTCCAACGCCGGTTTCCCCTGTACCGTTCCATTGGGTGCCTTTGGACATCTATATTAGCCTATTGACATTATACAATAATTATGTACTGGCCATGTCCCTTTTGTCTTCTTCTTTGATCCTATGTAATGTTTTCTCAACCCGTCCCTCTTCTTGATGCTCTGGAAAGAGTACCGGTCCTCACCGAAAGGGTTTATAGTTCCCTGGGTGTAGAATGATGTTGTAGACTTCAGGTGTGTCTCTGAGCTGATTTTTTGGTCTGCTGCTAGAGAACCTTGATTACTTGGCTTCTTGGTTGCCGGCTTGCGAGATTTCTGGCGCTCTTGCTATGGGGAACGCTTGTATAACTTACGGATTTGACGCTCTTCACATTCCTCTCCGTTCACCTATACAGCATTGCTGTAGTCGAGGGTGAAGAAGTCTTCGCAAGGAAATATTTTTTAAAAAATAAAAACGAGCTGGTCCAGCCATAATGTATCAATTGAAGTGTAAGTGCCTAAGATAGGATATGAGATGTGCTTCTGGAGGTGAGCCATGTTATATGTTCTTGAACCGCTTCTATGGTAGAGTAATGTATGACCGATTTCACGGATTCCTGCACTCAACACACAGAGACTCAATCATGCTGCATATTTACTAACAAGGAAACCCTCACAACTACAGACACAAGATCTCAACTGTTAGCTACCTATTGAGATAGCTGCTTTTTTTAGGTCACAACGCAGTATAAAAGCAACTAACTTGGCAAGCCCGTACTCTGATATATTTAATAATAGTAGCAAGTTTCAACTTGTCTTCAGAGAACCGTACCATTTCCGAGTAGAAGAAACCTATGCCCCTGGGCCAGGAGTAACAGACCACTGCTCTCCTGTGAACAAAAGTCGCCCATCAATCTTCGCCTGTTCTGGATCGAGGTAGACACACACGCCCACCCTATCCCTACCAATTCTAAACACGCGGAAAATGAGATACACATCAGACTTTCCGCCCGAGTTATGAGTATCCCTCATCTGGAGTATAGGCGTCAGTGGTAGATTTTCTTAACATGGAATTCGGGCGCAGCTTACCCGTTGATATTGATGCTTGCTTATATAGAATGGAGTTTCACAAGCACCCGTTGTGGTCTTTACTTCAATAAAGTACCGAGGCCGCGCATTTCCCCATTCCTCCTCATCTAGGTACCCTCTATCGATGAGAAGGGACGTAAAGTCGCCGGCTGTATCCCAATACATAATATCCGCCGTCTCCATTCCGGACCAGGAGGGCATATCGGCATAATCTGGATGGATGGTGACATATTCTCGAATTGTGCTCCGCCAGTTTGCCCGGCTCCAACCAGTTAACGCGGGCTGGAGGCCAGAGAGTAGTTCAAATACCTAAAACCACATCCGCCCCAAGTCAGACTAGGAAAAAGTCCTCATAGATGCTTGCTTAGAGCTTGGGAGTGATCCGCAACTTACGTATAGCTCACCGGCTGCCCCGACCTTCTTATCGCGCTCATGCTGACTACTAGATTGGAACCTATTCATCACCTCAAGGCCATCAAATCTCGCGATGTCACCACCACCTGCGGAAAGGGCACCGAGAAGCGAAGACATGTTGAACGCTCCCTGTGATGGGAACGTAGCTTGTCTGGCAGCGCTGATGACGCGATTGAGGAGTGCAAGGTATCGCCGATCTTCACCGGAAGGTGACGGTTCGGGAATATGGGACGCGGGTGAGAGCCGTGGGGCTCCCACTGTGGATGAGCCCGCGAAGAAAGACATGTTGGCCCGTCGGTTGGCCGTTTGCACTAGCCTAGATGAAGTAATCTGCAGAGGATCGTCTTCGGCGTCTGGAACTTCAGTATTTCCTCCACTGGTCCATGATCCGGGAGTGAGCATTGCCCTCGACGACATACCATCTTCGTCATCGGCTTCCTCATCGAGTGTGAGGGCTTCCTCAATGATCATATCCTCGTTGCGAATAGACACTTGCAGTATACCTTGATAGTCAAGCACTCGATCCAACGCTGAAGTACTACTACAGTTCAATGTAGCACTGAGAGCAATCACCATTGCTTTCGGCGGACTTGAACTCACACCGCCATCCCGCTCTCGCATCAGCCAGTCAGCTAGGCGACTGGGGAGAGGCAGTGAGTAAACATACTCCTGGGAGGCCTTGCTTCTGGGGACGTAGATCTCGAGTCCAATATCCGTTTCATTGATGTGCAAGTCGCATCGCGATTCTTCGACTTCGATAGTTTCACCATCCTGAGCAATCCTGAGGACCGAAGCGATGCCGTCTGTCTCGATGACCTCGGTTTGCTGGAGGAGTTTGTACAATTCAGGTGGTTGATCACTGCAGTAACGTGGACTCTTAAAGGTGGCGGCGATTCTGAGAAGAACCATCATTAGCAGGGTGGTCTTAATTTTATGAATCCTTAACACCGCTTACCGTAGTATGTAATAGGCTTTGTGTTTTAGATCGCGACCCGGACTGGAAATAGCCCGGCTATTCTCACTCGAAACACGTGTGACTTCCTCGACAGAAGCGGAGATGTATCGGTCCTCCATACCCATCCAAGTAAAGAAACTCTTCAGTTGCCATACCTCCTCCAAGGTGAAGTCGACAACCTTGATTCTGCCGTTGAAGCGTGCCGCTAGGGACTTTCTGTCGACGATGACAAAGCTAGCCTCGGATGTTTCGAGACCGGTATCTCCTGTTGGGAGTTTCACCGGAAAGACGGGCGCTTTCAAAAGTGCACCCGGTGCGAGTTCGGGGTCCCTGGCCGATTGAAGGAGAGCGCCAAAGGAGAGGAGTAGGTTCTTGGCGTCGCCGACCGGAGTCATTGAGTTAACTTGCAACAGTTCGTCGTGTATTATCCTAAGCGTGACCGTCTTGACCCCGAGTTTGTCGACGAAGAAGCTCCTCAAGTCGGCGTACTGCTCACTAAGAGGAACTTTTCTGCCGATGTCTGCAGTGTTTGACCACAGGCACTCCGATGACTTCCACCAGCCGGGTGTGCCACGGTACGTAGCGAAGATTAAGGCATTGTCTTCGAAGGTTTTTCTGTTATGAAGAAAGCAGTGGATGTTAAAAAGTGCCCAAGACGGATTGTTACCTGAAAGGTGAGGAAACACAGGTCAATGGGAACCTACCGGAACTCGGGAATCGAAGATCCAAAATCCATTTTGTCTAAATATTCATAAAGGGCCTTGGAAGGGCTAGAGAGCGTGAGCCGCTTGTTCCCCAACGACTTTAAATCTTCGACAACATCTTTCCAGGACGCGTCTTCGATGGCCAGTGTATCCTGGAAGAAACGTTCAAGAACCCCTAGCTGAGCTGACGAGACACCTGGAGCATCCGCGAAAGACCTTTTAAGACACCTCATCATGCTGTGATCTACTCTTGGGCCTTCCCACCGACAATCCGATGGCCGCAACCAGGAGCAGAGACCATCCGCCCCTGGAGGGTCTAAAACAAGAGATTCGCTGGAAATTTTTGACCTGTATATATGAGGCGCCAGTGTTATTGTGTTATCTGGGTCTGACGGGGTATGTCGTGTAAAGAACTACGTACCTCATTATCCAATCGCGTCTTACCTCATTCGCCATCCCAACATATCTCTCATGAATGGCGGCATAAAGACCGCACACTTTTAGAAACTCCTTATTCGAGATACGGTTTTGTTTATAGAATGAGGTCCAAGAGAGCATATCAAGCAAGAATTCGAGGTCATCAGACACCCGTACGCCAAGAGAGTCATGGAGAAAGATCCATTTCCTACCAAGTTCTTTCATAGACACCAAGCCCTCAAGCTCGAGAAATGGGAAAGGCCTGTCTTCGACAAAGTGCTTACCACACTGCCTCAGGAGGTGCGGGTATGGAAGGTATGTCTGTTCAAGCGATAGATTCTTGTCGCAATCGGTCATACCACACAGCGCATTCGCGGGAAGCTCGCTTTTAAGAGTCTGCAGAAGTCCAGGCTTCCGTTTAACCTGTGGTCCTTCGTATTCCCAGAGGTACTCCAGAAGACCCAAAGCTTTTCCTGGGTGTTGCGTCCAAACGTAGAGAAACATGTTCGAAAATCCATCGCCGGTAGTATTGAGGAGACGCATCCGTTCTCGGATGCCGATGGTGTCGCAGAGCCACTCCTTCCAGGTAGGATGTGACAGCGCCGGCCTGTTTGGGATATCCTCAGAGTATGTTGAATGGAGAAATAGGACTTCATACCCCGGTGCTTCCTCGTTCTTGGCCAGAAGAGTGTCAGGGCTGTACTGATGGCCAGACATTAAGTAGATGTCGGTCTGTCTCGGTTTCATCATGGAATTTTTGCCGCAATAGACGTGTAAATTAGGAAATGCTTGAAGGTGATAAGATGCTACGCTTGTTCCATGGGTAGTGTAGAGGAAGTGTAGGTGAGCCTTGGAGGCATCGAGTGGTATAGATAATGGAGAGGATGTGTAAGATCTCAGTATCGCAGCACGCACGTCATCACGCGTCGCCTCCTTGACACCCAAACCCTCAAACAGCGCCTTTCTTTGTGGTACGTCTAGTGCTGTCTGGTCAAGGACCTGCAAATCGATATGTGGCGGAATAGGGATCGAATGTGTGGTCGGCCAGTAACTCTGGCCTCTCTCGGCAGATACCCATTCCCCTGTTACGAGAGGTAGGAGCGGCAGTTTCTTAATATCAGATGTTGTTTTCGAGTACTTGTTTCCCGAAAGCCTGCACAGGAGAGAAGCCAGCCTCGAATGCCAGTCCTGGGTCATCGAGGGCGACTTTGTCCTCGAGGAGTCGCTTTTGAGGTCGGATTCGAGGTGTCGAAGAAACTCGCCTGAATAGAGACGAGCCAGCCCGTATTCAGCCAGCACCTGCACGGAAGCGGTGTAATGTTTTGAGATAAATGGGTCCTCGGCCCGGTCATCGAGTAGATAGTTCCCTTGCATGTCTTCTGCGTCTCTTGTGAGTCTCAGAACGCTATCGATTCTTCTAAGGACGCCACTATGCCGCGTGACTATACAAGGTGTCTCATTGAGGCGGGACTCGACTCGGTCTCGAAGGCCAGACCAGAAAGAGCTTGATATGTCTTCCTTGCGTGGTAAGAATGTAGGCCAAGTGTAGCGCAGATTCGGGAGTTGGCAAAATTGAACTACCGCCTTAACGAATGCATCCGCGATCCCGTCCAGTAAACCGTTGTTTCTTCTGGAGGTGGTGGAGATGTCTTGCCTGCTCGCGCTAGTATCGAAATCCGACTGGATGATAAACTAGAGCATTTGACCTATTAGCAGTGCTTGGACGAGGAAGAAGAAGAAAAGAAGAATCCGTCGCATTTCTTTTTTTAAACACTTACCGAAAAGTCTCCCTCCCTGATGGGTAAAAAGGCGAAGATGTGCTGAGATTTTTTTATTGGAACGTCCTCACTTGTCAGAGGGAATGCAAGGATAACTTCTGCGGTATTCCACGGCCCATGCTCTGGATGTGCACCTTCTGGGATTTCTCGATTGTCGCTCTTGGCGAGTCCAGTGACAGTATGCGTCGTGACGTGATAGTACGCCTGCTCCACTGTCTCTTCCTCATCCACGCCTGATACAGTCTGGAGGATTCTTCGATGTTGATCAGCGCTGTCAACGAAAAAGGACTTTGAAGTTTCTAGCTCTCCGGATTCGTCATAAAATGCGACACTTATTCTCTTCAATTTCCTGAGAAACAGTAGACAAGTCTGTTGAAGATCATTCAGTTGTTTGAAAACGGTCTCTCGAAGATGCTTAATTTCATCTGGGCTGCCCTTCTCATGGAGGTGCAAAGTCATTTGAGTGAAGGACCCATCGACCTCCTCCGGGTCCGCGGCTTGCCATATTGGCGTGACCATCCCCAGACCATCATCAGACTTCTCGTGTTGGAAATAAAATGAGTAGTGGCCTGACTGGATGTAAACTTTCCAAGCGGCTATGAAGACGGACTTGAAGCCAATCCCCTTTGCGCCGATGTATCCATAGGATGTCGACTTCGTACTTTTGCCAACGACGCAGATAGCCTTAAGGTCTTCGAAGGAGAAGCCGTCTTCATTGCACTTAACGACGATCCGACTGGGATGAATTGCGAAAGAAACATAAGGCATATCGCCTTTGGCTGTGGCGCGAGTGAAACGATTGTCGTCTGCATTTTGCAGAAGTTCAAAGACGAAACGGGCATCGCTGCCGTAGATATTTTTGGCGAGTCTGTAATAGTCAAACAAAGGAAACATAAGCTTGTGAACTAAGAGAATCGACGAGCATGAGATCCCGGGAATAAAAGTAGGGGATACAAACGTCTTGATGGAATGGCCCGCGAGACTCGCAAGGGCTTTCATGCCCCTCTCAATCTTTCGTCGATCTTCGGGGAGGCGAGCACCAACCCTGTCCATGACCTCCTGGTCGATGTATCCGACCTCTTCAGCGATCTCTCGAACCTGCTCCTCTGCCTCCTCCCTGGTTGCCATTTTCTTCTCTCTTTTGTCTTCTCTCGGGGGGCGTTTTCTAGCTTCGGTATACTCTTCTCTTACTCCTACTTTTTGTTTTCTTGCTGGCAAAGGAACTGCGGGGTTAGGAAATTGCGGCCGCATGGATCAGGGGAAAATCCTGGCGTTTAAGCGCCGACGAGTTTCAGCCACTTCATGAGAACCAACATGGTGTTGTGGCGAGGGAACTACAGTGATCCTTGCTATCTTCCATCATGAGCAGTCAACTGGATTTTTGAGCAGCATATAGACCATGACATTAAGTTTCAATTCTCAATAAGAGTAAATTATTTAATTCTTTTTATCTATTATTTAAAAAAAAAGGAGAGAGAGAGAGAGAGAGAGAGAGACCAGCTTACTCTGACGCTACAAATGGCCGGTTGTCGAGAAGTAGATTGCGGCCAGAATCCACGTGGATTCTGATCACGGCCTACTCAGTTACGGATATTAGCTATCCCTCTCCACTCTGGCAATGGTATTCACGAGGTTTCCAATGCCGTACATGTTAATTTGGCGGTCCGCCCCGTGCCCTCCGGCCCTTGAACCATCGAATCTCGGCCTCCTTCGGCGTAAATCAGTCTAGAACCAATTTTGTCTCTGATACAGGGAAGACGATACAGAAAAGATTTGGTGCTCGTCTAGCGAACCTCCCTGGTGGAAAACGCCTTGACAATGCCGTTGAATGAGAGTATCGGCCAAGCTTGGCTCCGTGTTTGCACGTGCTGTAGCTTCACACGGCATGCGCTATGCAACAGGACGAGTATCTCCTGTAGACCCCTATAATAAGAGCATCGTCACGAGCAGAACTGCGGCCAGGCTCTTAATGGCTACTGGCCGCACAATAATTCCAAACGAGCACTCATCTTCAGACCCCACCTCAGTTCTATCGTCGCAAAAATGGACCCTTCTCCATACCGAAGTTGGTTCCGCGGTGGTAGTAACAACTACATAAATCTTAGTCCTCAATCTGGACAATCCGCCTCTGGTCGCAGATGTCCAGATTGCTGACCCGTTGCCGACTTTGACTGCGCACGTTGCCTTTGCAGGACTGGCCCTACCTCCAATAGTCTGGGTACACGAGTAGGTGGTGTTATTCCTATCACGGAATCAGTAGGGGAAACAACAATCCCGGGCGCACGCATAACACTTACACTTCTAACCTAGCCCAACGATATGTAGTTGTGAGTGTGGCTCCCACAAAGTCTCCACACGGCTCGGATGGAGCTGTCTCTAAAGATGAATCGCAGGCAAGCACGATCTCAGTGGTGCCGTCACTCTCACTGATTTCGGTACCCCATATCTGAGCGCCCGGAGATGTTGGCATGGGGGGCAACGTGAAAGCATTAACTGTGGTTATCGTGTATATAGTAGGTGAAGTGGAGCTTTGGGCTTTAGAAAGGCCAACGGTATAGAGCAGGGTGAGGTACGTCCATATGGGGCTGTACGTAGCTAGGAAATTCATGGCGATGGTTTCACCGAGTATAACGCAGCAAAATTCCAACCTTTCTAAGACGGCGTAAAGCAAGGCGAAGCTTGAAGCATTGTGATGTGGGGAAAGATGTAACGCGGCGTTAAACGTCCAGTGTTTGTGCTTATATACTCGGATATACTATACATACCTCAGTACTTCTACTCCGTATATTTACGGTTGTCAGAATCTGTGCTAAGATGCCAAGTCGGAAAGCAGTTCAGATAGGAACCCCTGGTTGGGTCGCGACATGGGCTGTGGTTTATCAATTTCCCAATCGATACACAGTCCAACGGGCCTCAATTTGTCCCATGTCCAGTCCAAAATCTGGGTCTGACACCACTGCGGTTGGTTCGCTCTTTCAACATGTACATGATTCTGCACCAGTTTATTCTCCAAGCTAATTAGATAAGTTAAACACCCCACTTCCCGCCCCCCTCATTTGGCCCATCCCTCTTTTCTTTTAGACCCCCTGTTACGATCCTACGGTTGGATCAACGGGCTTGGTGTAGGGTCGTGCGGCCTGTTTAATAAGGCAAGCGAGGCAGTCAAGCAAGTTTGTAAGACGTTTGGGTGCAGTTGTGTGTATACAAGTGTAGGGTGTAGTTGTTACTTGAACTGACTACTGGAGAGTCTAGAAAGACAAACTAGATATATGGTGGAACTCGTAGCTTATATAGACATTTCCCTTCTAAGCTCTCTCGGGTGATCAGAGCTCTTTCTTGAACGATCGGAACCGATCGTTTGGTGATCGGTGCGATAATTGGGGTGATTGCCACCAATCATCCCTTTTCTGCCTCTGATCGCTTCTTGATGTCTGTCCAGCGGCTGCTTGCAGCTGTCCTGCCATTCTGTTTCTGCCGCGTCTTACCGCTTTCAGGCCTGCGTAAAGGTCGACCCGTGACATCCTTCTTCTTTGCGTTGTTACATCGTATAGTTATTTTAATTCCTTATCAATTCCGTACTCTGAATATCTAATTCTACCACTTCACCTTGTGAGCGCGCACTCTTAACTCTAGTTCAGTCCAAGAACCGAGAGACTCGATCGAGCTTGAGATGCTTCCTTTATTCCAAGTCTCGTCATCCAGGGCCACTCTGCTCTGACGTTGCGCCCATTGTATCTGATAGGATTCTCGTAGTATCTATAGGGATACCTGCTTGGTAATGTTTGACTCAGACAAGAAAGCAGTGGCTTCTTGCCATGTTCTCTCTAGCTACCTGCTGCGGATATAGTATTTACATTATTTGCTCCATTTCTTCCTAGTGGCCCCTTGCCTTGATGTAATATTCTTTTAGTCCGCTGGAACCTGACGCTCTGTCCGGACCTCCTAAGCCTACCGAGTAATCACTACGCCCTTCAAACGTAGATGGAGCAGCCTGCTCCGTTTATTTATTATCAATTTTTCTTTCAAAAAAAGAAAAAAAACTGCATCGTCGATTTGGAAGTCGCAAAACTTCATGTGAGTTGAGAGTTAACTCCATAACGCTGCCTAGCATGGCCCAGTGCTCAATTAGATTGCCTCTCCCTCACTGACGAGAGTTCTGGAGGGATTTACAGCACGAGAATCCTGCGCCTCTATTGAGGGAGATGGAATTCTATAAGGCTCCTCCTTCCACCTCAAGACTGAACTGCGCACGCAGACACTTTTAGACATTTTGCCATTTGGCTATTGTATGTTGTAGCAGGATGGAAGTTGATCGAGAGCGGCCCATTGGCAAGCGAGAGAGAGAGAGAGGAGACTGTGACGTGTGTGTATGTGTGTGACTGGGGCGGGAGGAAAGAAGAGAAGAGCGGGAAAGAAAGGGGGCAAGAGTGTGTAGGGCCGAAGAGACTCTCGATCCAGAAGGACGGCGCAAATTTGAGCAAGTTCTGTCTGATACGACAGAGATCAATATATGACTCGGTGAGGCGGCTGCGGCAACCGCAATTAGGCGACATTTTGTTATTGATGTGACGTGATATCGGCAGAACTTTTGGCCTGAATAGGCGTCTTCTGGGGTCTGGGCTAATATCTATCCCGCCTGGCTCTCCGAGATGCGCCAATATCTCGCATCCAAATTGCTTTCCAACTCCAACTCACTCGTTTGGAATACCATTGTTTCTGCCTTCAATTTGTGTTATTATGAGAAATGGAAAATTGAAGGGGCCCGTGGTGGTTTGGGTCCTCTTGATCGCAGGAACCCGAATGTCTCTGCAGGTCCAAACTGCCATCGTTTCAATACACGACGATATTGCCTGAGAGTTCAATCCTGCTCTAGGGCTCCCCATTTTACTATTGACGGCCACACTTTCTCAGAGGAGCCTCAGCCGGTTTTGTAACCCCCAGACTCCTGGGTAATCCGGTCTGGATAAATAATTAAGTAGTCGATCCTGCAGGTTATCTAACACTTCTAGTTTGCCATGGGGACCTTCACGGGGTAGGCTAAAAAAAAAGGAAAGGACTAAAAAGAAAGAAACCTACTCGGCCCATTCGATCCGCCAAACCGAGGACGCGACCCTGCCCCGTGAATCATCCTCACCACCATCGACGTCATCTTCATCTACGCCCCTGCTCAGTTTAGGCAACCAGCATCCGCATTCGTACCTGGGAGTGGAACTGTCTCCCAGACCACCAATGCAACCTTCTCCGCGTTCGCCCAGCCAGCTTGAACCTTGGTCCCTTGCAGTGAGTACATCCGGCCCTTGTCTTCGGCACACAATGAGACGGGCCAGGGTCCCAGTCCATGAATCATGGTGGTCCCAATCAAGCCACTCAGCCCAGTTCATCATACAAGAGCCACGTTTGCGTTCACAGGTTCCACCTGGGCGCTGCATGTACCGACGCCACGGTCTTTTCTGTGGCTATGCTGTGAACTACGGGCTCTAATTTTCTTCTGGACTGAAGCGTCGTGTATAATCGTATAATCCAAGGTGACCCGATAACGGACTCGAGCCTCTCGCTACAACAAGATGAGAGCCTGAGATAATTATCCTCACCTTGCAATATAGTTAAATCTCGGCTTGTAATTAAGTCACGCTCAGCCCACATCGATCGGTACCCCCCATATCCAGAATAGCACCATAAAGTAGGCCATTGTGCTGCTCCCTTCATTTCATACGTCGCCCTGCCACGAATCGACGCCCCATCGGCTCTCCAATGTGCGAGATGGGGAAGTAAACGAGCTAAATGGGTACTGGGTAGAATGACATGTCGATTTAGCATACTCCCGTCGCGTCGTCGTTATCATGCCCCGGAGGCCTTGTTGACGCTTTCTGTCCCGTGTAACTAACCACCTCGACATTCGGCCATCGGTATATGATTTAATACCCTACCGCTTTGATTTGAGCAAGTTTTGTCCCACCCGACCACCCTCAAGGTGATGGTGATCGTAAAAGGGGGGATACATGAATTAAGGGACCCGGACAACTTCCAACCGTGACCGAAGCCTTGATATTACTGTTCCTCACTGCTCGGCGTAGAAAAAGAAGACGCCAGTCGACCAGCCCGGCGCTCTCTGATACGTGAACTCTGTCCATTATTCAGCTCTCGTGTCTACATACCAACCTCCAGACAATCATCTCACAGAGATGAAGCCTGTAAGCCTTTCCCTCTCAATCCTCCTCGCTGCCCGTGGGAGCGCCCACTTCATCGTCCAGTATCCGGAATCTATCGGATATAGTGACATCGAGGAGGGCACTCCACCTTGTGGCGGGTTTGACATTACCAAGCGCGATCCGTTGATAGAGTTCTCAGTCAGGGGACTCTCCATAGCGCTTCTCTCTACGCACCCCGAGTCCTTGTGGGAGTTCCGAGCATATCTTTTGAACGACACGAACAACGCGCTTTACTTGGTCCCTCCCATAAGGCAGACTGGTTACGGGAGTTTCTGCCTGCCCCAACTTCTAGGTCCAGCTGATTGGGTGGGAGAAGAAGGAGTGGTACAAATATCTCAGAAAGCAACGGATGGACAACTTTTCCAGGTAAGACGCCTGATGTTTGTTAGCTGACTGGAAGGGGGAATTCCTACTAACATTCGCATGCGCTAAACGTAATGTAGTGCCTTTCTGTTAAGTACGTGGACGGACCAACTGATGCCCGACCTTCTATTTGCAAGAATAGCTCGGTGTCCGATGCACATTTCGAATCTCTGCCTGATGGGGCTACGCTTATCACTCCGGTTGCAGATATAAATTCGACATCTGGCGCCGGCGATAGTGGTAATGCCCCGACGCAGGGCGGGGGTCAAGAAGGACCAGCTAGCGGCCTAGTCGCCCTGAAAATTACGAGCTTTATCGCGATGGTTTTTGGACTTGTGTTTTTCCTTTAGATCGGCGAAGGGGTTTTGAGCTGGATGAGTAACTGAAGATTACCGAACTTCACTTGTTGCTACTGGTATTTACTCACGTCTTGATATTGTGTTAGTTGGCAGAGAAATTAAAAAAAAGTTACATCCGATCATCCATCCATTCATTTGCAATCTCATCATCAGTCTAAGCTCCCCATCGTGTTGACGTCAAGGGGGCCAGCCAAGGAACGATGGCTAACATAGAGAAATAGAAGAAGACCGAAGTACATGGCGAGAATGGTACCAATCATGATGAAGCCTAGAGAGAGAGAGCCAGCCAACTTAGAATCTCTGAGCGGAATGCCATCAAAATCGATCATTTTGATCCCTGAGGCAATATGAGCTTGTTCTTGATCCTTCATCCAACACACAAACCTCCGGATGGGCGGGCTGGTACGATCGTACACACTATTAGGGGCAGCCGATAGGTCACTATGGGTGTATAGGAACCGTCTGGAAGGGTGGTGATTTTGGGGGCATTCAACGCACAATAACGCCGGAAAACTTGCTCAAGTCGGCCCGGCACAGGACCCGGCACAGAAATTAACACCATCTCCAAAGCTGCCAAAAGAGGTAATACCCACTCTCCTCCGCGCCGCGATCCTCCACTTTCTCACCTTTCCGGGTCCTTTGTGTCCTTAAGACGCGTGAGACGGCCAGATAGTGGGATGTTGAGCCTGTCGTAGATATATCTACCACCATTCCCTCTAAACCCCTCCAACCACCCTCGGTTCGCTCTCTCATTGACACTCTCGTGTATTCCCCCATCACTCACCCAACCCTCTCTCAGCCTCCCAAATCTAATCGATCTCTCCTGAAGTTTGCGGTAGTAACATTCTGTCGGTCAACAGCTTGGCCAGCCACTACCTCCACTGAATCGTTAAGATGAGGCCCACCGCTTCTATAGTATTGGGCCTCGGAGCTCTGGCCCACGGTCATTTTGTCCTCCAAGCCCCGACTAGCATCGGCTTTGACGATGCCAAGGAGATCGAAGGGCCCTGCGGTGGCTTCGACGCCAAAGATCGCTCCAAGGGCGTCACTGACTGGCCGGTTGACGGGCAGTGGATATCTGTCTTGTCAACTCACAATGACGTGACCTGGGAGATTAATGCCGGCCTTGTCGGGAATGACGAGGTCGAATTCACTCCTCTTGTTCTGCCGTTTAAGCAGGACGGTGTCGGCTCCGTCTGCTTTGAAGTTGTCCCCGGAAATCCGAATTGGATCGGAGAGGATGCGGTCGTTCAAGTCATTCAACATGCTGTTGATGGTGAACTTCATCAGGTATCGTAACAATTGACAGTAGCCAATACTTCCTACAGCGCTAATCATGGAGCGATCTCACCGCAGTGCGCCGCCGTCCGATTCGTTTCGGGAGGCCCAGCTTCTCCAGATTCAAGCTGCATCAACAGCCCCGGTGTAGTTATCGATCCGATCATTGAGGGGGTGAAGCCTGAAGAGCCCAAGCCTACCGACGACGGATCGGGCACTTCATCCTCCCCAGACACTATTACTGGCCGAGCTTCCGCTTCCGGACCATCTTCAGGTCAGCCTACCCACAGCCATGATCACAGTGACAGTACTCAGACAAGTGGGCACAGCAGCCATACCACGAAGCCGGCGGCGTCGACTTCACAGCCCCCTGTAGTGACAGCTGGTAGTGGTCATGTCATGATCTCAGTCGCCGGGATTCTTCTGGGGTTTGGAGCCACGGTCATGCTCTAGATATCAATAGGTGAATTGATTTGTGTGTAACGGCACTAGAAGCAGGATGCGGTTAGGAAAGGTAGTCCTATAGTTAAATGATCTTTTTGCGTATCAAGAAATTTCTTTTTTGACCGTTCTCATTATTTTCACAGAGACGGTGATGGATATTACAAAGGTAGACTGTTGCAATGGAGGGGATGGGATCACGCCAACTCCTTCACGTGACATGACCTGTCCATGAGACGAGAGAGCACATCAGAACCTTGACCAGAAATATCCAGGTAGAAATGCCCCTTCCTCGACTTCATGTTAACAGCCTCCTTAGGCACCTTTAAAAAATGCAGTGATAATCGCTCAAATTGTATCAGTTCATCGTCATCTCCATCAGACTACTGTGTCGGTGTCAGGATAATACGAAGTACTCTTTCCGCCAATCCTCATGGAGACGCCGCAGGATGCCACCACTGATCCTGTGTCAGCTCTTGCCCAGCATTTCCAGAGCATCCATGACCCGCAGCTTAGACTCTCTAGCCTCACTCGGCTGATTCGTACTTTATCTCCTTGGGAAGCAAGGCATGCGAGGGTCCAGTTACGAGGATGCAGGCTTGAAGACCTCCCTGTCGAGTTGGTAGGAATGGTCGCCGGGCTCCTAACCCTGGAAGACGTATATTCCTGCTTTCTAGTCTCAAGGAGTTGGCACCAGATCTGGACGAGCCCCGTGATAGTCGAGTGCCTCTCTGCGCGCTTCTTCCCTCTGACTTCCAAACCATTTAACCTTGCGGGTTTCCGCCGAGCTAGTCGCATGCACTATCTTCGGCAGCATGGCCACTACAAGCGCAAACTCGAAATTGCCCTCCAGTACGAGACAGAATCATATTTCAAACTTGATCCCGGATTTCACCCGGAGGGGCGTTATCCGACCCTTGTCGGGAATGAACCTAAGGTCTTTTCCGGCTTTTCGAATGGGAGGATCGTCTGGCACGCCGGCCCCCGAATCTTGGTCGTCGACGATCTCAGGACGCGAAAACGGAAAGTTCTGGAAGTCAACAAAGGTCGTAGTGTACTCCAAGGCCAGGGTACCCCTCCCCAGCTGTTAATCAGTCAGCACCTCGTGGTTCTAATCTACGCGAGAGAGTTGAAGATGTATGCCCAACCCCAAACCATGACCTTTTCCTTTCCCTTTTCCCTACCTCTGCTAACATTGGCGTTCTTGCTAGTTCAGCCTTCCATCTCACGACTAATACCTGGTCTACCTTCTCCATGCCTGCTGATATGGAGACATGGCAAGCTGAAGGCGACCGGCTGGCAATTCTGACACGGGCCGGGGAGCTGTATGTTCTGGAGCACGACGGCCGCCGACTGAACGTAGTACGTCACATCGATGTCGGCCAGATGATCGCAGAGAAGATGCCCGCCATGGACCTTCGCCATACAGAGTCCGCGGTGCTACTTAATCCAACGTCTAAGGATACATTTTATGTTACTTTCAAGCAGCCCCGATCGATGTACTTCGACGTCCCAGTTGAAATAGTCGAGTTCCAAGGGGAAGTGCTTGTGACAGTCCACCGTATCCTCCCATCAATCGCCAAGCACGAATTACACCGTCTATCCTATCGTGTAGACCACCTAGGTTCCCTGACCAACAGCAACTTCGTGGAGGCGGGTGAGAACGGACTATGGTACGCTGGACTGTTCGCCCATCACGAACCTGACCGGCAAACCGCGGGAGTCAACATGGCTGACCAGACGATGGATTTCACCGTTTTCTTCAACACCATCACGAGGGAGATTAGCACGCAGGGCTATTCCAAGTGCTTCGATTGTACAGCCCCCTCGATCTTTCCCAGGTTTTTGTGGGAGGGCCAAAGATACTCGCCGCACAGGACGGCAGAAGATGGCGACATCTTCATTCGCAGCTATGTTGCCAATACAGTCAATGGCGAGTGGAAACAGGTGCCCTCACCTGCCACTTATGAGATATCGACTGGCTTCATACCACTTGATCCCGATCCATACTTACAAATTCTCCACGATCATGGATATATGCTTGCGGCGTATACAGACAGATACATTGTTTGGAGCTTTCTGGAGGAGGGTGACTGCATGAGTGGCTCTTGAGGCGAAATTATGGCAAGCCGAAGGCAGTCTCTGTGGGACGCTGCTGTCGTCCATACGTAACATTTTCTTCCCATGAGTAATTGCAACCGAAAGGAAAATGTAATTACGATATAGGAGTCCGGCTCCCATTCCCATTCATGGGGTTCATTCCGGTCTCGTCCCGCTGGCTGGCTAAATAGGTTAGACCATAGATCTTTGGAGATGTTGATGATTCGAAACCGGGAGGGTGTTTATGCCTTTTTTTGGCCCCCTTCCCCTTCTTATTATCGTCTTCCTTGAAGTAAACTTCTACTACAAGGGAGCCTGGCATTTCTCACTCGCCCTCTCGGAGTGTTTTCTCTATTTATTTTCCGCATTTCAAGACTCCTGGTAGGCCGAATGTTTGAGATTATTTTTGGCGTACTGGACTTCGAGTTCACTCATGTCTAAGCCCACTAGCACTCCTACGACCGCCTCTGTGGCTGTCTTTGAAGGCTCTACGCTGGTGACGGTTTGCAGACCACAGAGGCAGCAGTTCTTGGGCCTTTCCCCTCCTCTAGATTCACCTGCTCCATTCGGTCGATGGAGCGAGCCGGGACAATGATGCCGCTCACGGAGTTCGCCGCCGAGCCTCGCTCCCCATCCCCATGTGCCAATCCTCGGAGACGGGCCGTTTCTGCTTTAGCTATGTGTCGATGGAGGACTTTTCGATTAGGCATCGAGACGGCTGGTATATGGACACTGGTGGCCAAGTCATAACGGACTTTGGCCCTCACCCTGTTTAGCTTGAGCGGTGAAGAAATTATAGTCTATGTAACAGCACGGTTTCGTGAGAGTTCGTTAATTATAATTACATCCTTGCGGTTGACTTCCAGTTCTTATCTCTCGCCATTGTAAACCTTAAACTCTACCGTCTTGCTGATGCCAACTCTCTGAGGATCCATCATTTCAAGGTCGATGTCCGCCGACGTTTCTTGCGATGACCCTTCCTCAATAATCCGCTCTTGCGAGCTCGCTCGGTTATCTCGGCGGGTGCCATGTACGCCGCCTTGAACTTCTATGACGTGCTCGCCGTGCTCGTCCTTCCTGGTCATGGTGAACTGTCGAGGCTGGGATCTGGCACCCATTCCGCGGCTTCGGGATGACGATTCATGTTCGTTGCGGACGAGCTTGGAAGCTAAGATATCGATACTAAAACAGACAAGTTAGACCCTAATACCCCCGTCTGATTACGTGGAAAGACAACGTACAACATGATGACAGGAAACATGCACTCCATTGTGTACGCAAATCGGTCGACCTGGCTAGCTACGTTCGTAGCGCTCTGGGCGCTTGCCTGGAAGGAGTAGGTAATGGCTCGCATAATACCTAGAACGGCCAAAAGGGCTAGGCGGACTTCCGTGCTCCTCATTAGGTACTGGAATAAGTTGGTCTTGATGGCTGCCTGGAACGAAGAGCGCCTGGCTTTGGCGAATATGGTGAGCAGGAAGTAGGCGCTGAGACATTCGAGTAGGGCGATGAGAACAAAGTAGCCGATGTGGAGGTGGTTGACGAGACTTTGTAGGGCATCGCCTTCACTAAGAATCAGTCGGACACGGGTGATGGCGATGACGATGCGAATGCCGACGATGCCGACGATCATTGTCCAGAAAAGGATCATGAAGACACGCCATTGGTTATTTCGGAGGACGCGCTGGAGGATCATGAAACTGTAAAAAGATAAACCGGCCTCTTGTATCTGTTGACGAATTGGTCTGTTAGAAATTCATTCCCAGCCATCATTATCAATAATTATTATCCTCCTCATCATCATCATCGCGGTCGAAGAAGCTTACCATCCATGCAATATCCGCGACGGCCGATGCGGCAGCTTTAGCGGGGAGTGAATATCTATTTTCATAATCGTAAAACGCATAATAACAGAGCCCGTTCGCGATTGCGCCGGCGGCTGAAGTGACGAGAGGCACGCTGGACACCTGCGTGAAATTGGTGATACCAACGACGAGCAAGCCGAAGAGAACATTGGCGAGACAGATGGTGCTGAGAATCGACCAGCCTAGCTCAAAGTAGACGGGATTTGCTGCGTCGCTCGACATTGTTCCCCGATTGCTCCGTATCTATCAACTCGCGAGAGTGCGGCGAACAAGGCATAGCAGAGCGGCCCCGTTTGATCGAGACGGCCGGAAGAGGAAACTTAAGGATACTTCCTCGAGAGATGATGTAAACAGAGCTAGCAGCTCACGGAGACGTTCAAGGGTCAAGCTAAAGTCATGTTGAAGGCTAAGAATGGGGTTATCAAGCCTTCCGATTCTGGGGGCCAGAACCCCTTTCCAATCTAGAGTTAACAAGCGGGAGCAGGCCTACTTGTACATGAAGAGATTTTTCGCTTGAGGAAACTTCATCCTTCTGCCGCCCCGCCAATTTCAACGATGTTGGTCCCAGTCCAAGCGGCACGTTTGCCAGCCGAAGTGATCAAGGTGCATCGGGGTAATGCCGCACAGGCACACAGGGGTGGTAATCCGGGGGGCCCATGACGATCGGTCAACGCCACCTTCACATGGTAGGATTTTGGTCGAGTTGGACGTTCCGGGAAACACTGGAGGCGGGTCTCATTGGAATTCATCGGAATTGGCGAATGCAACATGGGAACCAATTTCTCGGGGTGCTGCTAGTGATTTTTTCCATATATGATCAACCAATATATGTAACACTTCAAGAACAAGAGCCAGCCCTCAGAACCAATCCGATGTGATTTCTGAGCCGCTTTCCCCCCCTTAAATGGAATCGAGTCCGCAAACCGTCGCCCACTCCACATATTTATCGCCCGATTCGGAATAGCCAGCATCTTCAGACATGCCTCCTCCACCAGCAGGGAGTCTGGGACTCGCTTGTTAGTTGCCAGTGCTCAGTGTTATCCTATGCAATTGGCTGCATTGTTCATTAAGCAACCAAGGTATGCGGGAGGTATACGGAGAACGGGGCACGATTTCCGCTCCCTCGCCAGGGTCAATGTCAAAGCGTCGGACTCTTGTTCAATATCCGTCAAGATCAGCCGACAGACGTCCGTTTTCGCCAGGGGGAAAACCGGCATCTTCAAATGGACCCACAGATTGTTCCATCTGTGGATGCTATTCGAAAGAACTGACATCAATGGCATTGCCGAGTACGAAGTATATTGGAATATTTCGTACAGAGACGGCAGGTTCAAGTTTCCGGCTTGCTAAGCTCTTTCCGCTGTGGCAGCATTAGCCTATCTCCCAGATGGTGATGTATCCGATGTCACTTCATACTGGGAAGTATGGAAATGGACGCCTCCACACCGCACGTTGGAGAGGTGCGGATACTTCCCGCCTCTGCACAGCAAAGAATTGATGAAGATTCACTGACAGTGTAACATTTTATCTGCGACGTGATCGTTGCATTGCTTCGTACTCCTCTAATGTTTAAACGTGCGGGAGAAGTGATGAATCCTACTTCATTCGTCCAATCCGTCGGGAAGTGCGAATTGTCTTTGGAATGCTTCGTCCTGCCCGATGTCCTGCCCGATGTCCTGCCCGATGTGGATGTACCCTCTCTGGGCCCCTCCCACGCCCCTGGCCTGGGTCGTCTCCGAGAACCAGGAATGACATTATTAGGGGGTTCGAGCGTTCAGCCAAGAGTCTAGCCAGCCGTTTCCCGCGTTCAAATGAATCGGCTCCGATGTCACACCGAGTACCACGCCACTATGGGCTGGTTGATTCGCTGGTCATTAGCCGTGTACACACCGAGATGCATCTCTTTCATGCAGGATGTAGTGCAAATCAAAGAGCTTTTCCCAAGCCTGGCTCATTGCCCAGTTCTCAGAGGGTGGGCTAGAATTCCTAAAGCCCGAGGTCTGACAGACTCATTAGTTGTGCAACAAAGTACAAATATTGTGCTGCGTCAGGCAGGCTCCAACATTGATGCAAGTTGGTTCGTCTTCTTAGCTCAGTCGGTGGAGCGCTGGTCTCATAAACATGACCCGGAAGGGACACTACCGGGAGATCCAGAGGTCGAGGGTTCGATCCCCTCAGAGGGCAATATTTTTTTCTCTCCTTCCTTCTTTTTTTCTTTCTCTCTTTCTTTTCTTTTCTTTTCTTTTCTTTTCTTTTCTTTTTTTTTTTTTTTTTTTTTTTTTTTTTTTTGTTGTTTTTCTTTAGATTCCCCTCTCATCGGCCCAATGAGGTTCGATGAAGTTTCCTAGTCTTCGCCATTGTCTTTGACCTTGCTCTTTCGAGAAGATGGACGATACTAGTAACTTAGGTAAGGACGCCGAACATAATTAATTTCTCCGAGATTGATACTGCTCCTAGTGCTCTGGAATTAAGAGAGGAAAAAAAGTGCCGGCAACCGGCCTGGTGCTAAAAGTGGACTATCTAGAAATCGAGTCTTCTCGGCGCCCTCACTTTGACATGAACCCGGCCCTGCCCCCCAAAACGGTTAATCCTGTTTTCAAATAGTCTCACTTCTCCCTTTTCAGAATCCGAGACAACGACTCGTTGCACCAGTAGCCTGCGTTTCACTGGAATGGCGTGTTCGTCCAAGCCTCTAATGTTCTCGTAGTTTGCAAAGCAAGCAGGGCCGAATTTTTTAAGCCTAATCTACCTAATCTTCGAGAGGATTCGGTCCCACTTTGTGTGCCAGAACATGGAATCCTCCACCTGCTCAGACAGGCTAGTCAGTTCATGCCCAGTGTTCTGCACCACACCTTCGTCGTTGGGTATCGCGCTCTGCCTACGAAGTAGTGCTTCTAATCGGAATCAGGCGATGGTCACTAATCTCACATATTAATTGATGCACACGAGTCTCCTCCCGTAGTAACTAGTTTTGTTAGCTGTATATCTAGCCAAGCCCTGATGCTATTTCCCTGTGTCTACTTTCAAGAAGTAGCAGAGAGCGGGCTCTGGCGCAATTAGTGGGGGCCTTAGTTCCCCGTCGCCAGCAAACCACCTACCAAGTCTAGGCTGGCGGACAGGCCAAGCCAAGACTCAGAAGGAGTAATCGCTCCGACTGACTTCGTCCATGTGTTGAACTCAGCTGGGGACTGGAGCCCCAGGTTACTTGATCACAGGAGCCCTGCCCCACAATAAACACTAACCCCTGAGATCTCTGCGACGCATCATGGATGTTTTTGTCCGAGAACTGGGGTCGCCCTGTGCACTACGGCCGAGAAGAGTTACCACTCGGCCCTTGAGGTCCGTTCAGATTTACGCTGAGAGAAAATCATGCGTGGATATTAGGATCTAAGTTTGATAGTGAGCGTGTTCCGAACGTAATCCCTTCGTAGCCTGTTGCTCTTCTGTAGGAGTGTCGCATAATTTAAAGGCATGCGAGATCTACAGAGTAGCACTTTATCCAGGATGCCTCGGAGGCGTATACTAGTTGTCCCTGTGTTCCAGCACCTGAGGATGGTTGTTCAACCCTTCGCATCACTGATAACTCTCGGAAGAGCATGGGAGACGTAAGCCAGGATATCGTGGTGTTGAAAGTTGGCACCCTAGGAATAGGTTATCACAATGCAGATTGTGGATTCGAAGTATGTGGACATGAAAATTGAATCGAGCTCCAACATTCAGCTGTGGATATCAATCCGATCTTTTCCATCCCCAGATTCCCGCGAAGTAACTCTTCCCCTTACTCAAGGTAGCACTCGCATATGTATAGTATATTTGACCACTGCACGAAGCAGGGTTATTATCTTGATCTTGCGTGCCTAGGCGATAGTTTGACAGCTCCATCAAATGGCCGAGAATGCTTCAGATGGGGTCCACCGGCCGGTGGCGGGCTCATACAATATGGGTTAAGGAAATACCAAGGGCGAGCTATGCCCCAGGGCTTCCGTAATGCATTGTGGATGGGCTTTTGCGTGCCATCGGCGCGCTAGTATCTTCGCGGTGTTGATACCAAAGTCTTCAAATCGTGCCCGGCATCATCCCTGGGCAATTCTTGGCACGCCCCTTGAACGAGAAGGATTGCCGCACCATTCCATATTTAGCCGAGAACTACAATGCCTAGAATCTTTGATGGAGTCCGTCTCCGCTGTTAAACGTTGGGGCGAGATCAAGCGTTTCTTGCATTCTGTCGCTCTTCAAGGCTGGTTGTCTTATGGGCAAGTTTCATGGTCATTGTGTTTACTTTGTAGGGGCAGGTGCAATACCAAGAGCATGTAAATCCCATTATCCAAGGTCAGCTACATACATATCTCGACATATAAAGCAATGCGCCATAGCATAGAGCAGGCGCCCACGTGGCACCTATGCACCCAAACCCCGCTGTCTGGAAGGCCGCACAGGTACACTCTTTATAAGTCAGCGGCGGACGAAGTATGAAGTCTTGAGCAGTGTTCGCGAGGCTCAAAGTCGTAAATTTCGCCGAGATCCTGAGGGGGACAGGTACGGCCTATTGCCTGAATCCCTACTAGCGTCCCCCAAAGTGCTTTCCTAAAAGATGACTTTCCTTGAATGGATAAGTGTCGAAACATGTGGTTTTCTATGGACAGAAATTTTAATAGCTCCTCTAGTGAATCAGTGTGTGCAAGGAGTTTAAAGACATGACTGCAGCTATATCTGCCTTCGTGAAAGTGGGACTGATGGGTTTGATCTCATCAACACCGATAGAGAATATATTCCGCATAGCATTAGTGATATTATATAGTACGAAAAAGAAAGAAGGCAATTTCCGAAGGAGAATAGATAAATATACTGAAACTTGAGGCCGTAAACCGCCGCAAGTTACCGCGGTATCATATGGTCTTCTGGAAGTACCTCGAAACACTTTCCAATACTTACTGTATAGTCTTCTCGCGTTACCATCTAGGACCTCCTGAAAGTAAACCCGGAAACCAATTGGCTTGAAATCGGGGTACAGATCGCTTGTCGTCAGGTAACCTAGGTACTCGGAGTAGACAGGAGTGTTATCTTCTCGGATACGCAAGGAGTAGAAGTACTGAGTAAAATATAGTCCTAGTCTAGTCTTGTAATTGTTACAGGAACTAGGGTGCCACATAAAAGGAATGCCGCCTGCTGCCACCATTTCAAGTAGAACTTAGGAAGAACATCACAATATCATATCTTACTATTTTACAATATCGGCCATTCGCCCATTGCGCCTTCCATCGCGTCACAGTAATCTTGTAACCAGTTCGTCCCTGGTCGATCAGGTCAACTTGGAAATTTGTCAATTCTGCTCCACGGATGAGAAGAGGGTGGGAAAGGTGGGCAAAATGTTTACCACACTACCGTCATGTGCTCCCTCCCCACATGGGCGGTTCATGGTGGATGCAAGTTGCCGCTGTCGCATATGCAAGACGCCAATGTCTCCCAGGTTAGGGAGCTCGTCGATCCCTCTCATCCACGGCACCCCGATATCTATCTCCACTGGCCATTTCCGGTCAACCTGCCAATGAACAGATTGAAATTGGCTCTGAAAGTAGGCTTTGCGTAGGGTAACCAACATCGGATCGGATTCCGGAGGGTGGGAAATTCCCACTCCACAGCATCGTCATGACAGCCGTCCACGTCTTTTCAGGCGACTGGTGCCAATGCAGTTTTTGCCTGATAGTGGGTTCGACATATCATACGGCGGTGATATTATGCTATGGTTAGATGACTGGTATAGTTTATGGACTCGTCCGTGATCATGGACGATACCTCGCGATTGGGCACCAAAAGCGAACCCGATCTGCTCAGCTTGGGCTTCCATTTTGAGTCCCGACCTTCCCGTTAGCCCCATTGCTATCCCAGTGCTATCCCAGTTACCATTACTCGTAAATGGATGGTTAAAACTTATCTATCTCTACTTATTAGTGTATTGATTCATACGGTCGTATGGATAAATGAAGAAAGCATAAGCAAGAGATAAGTCTCATTCACGGGGCCCCGAGAGAGATAATCAATATTAAGGCCATCCAGTTGTGTCTAGACAAGAGTCTTGGGCGCCGTTTCTCGCCCGAGGGTGGGGTGCGAGCGCCTTGAGTCGGCCTACAAGGCATAGATCAAAAGCCGCTGACCTTGGAATGGATCTTGGTGGGGTAAAGTCAGACCAACTTAAACACAACCATCAACGAACCGATTCATCGACTCTCATCGCCATGGCAAAATACACTATCTTGCACAACGCCCGCGTATTCCAGACAGATGGAATCATATCACCCAAGCATAGCTTTGCGAAGTGTCTAGCGATCGACAACGAGACTGGCCGTATCGTGCATGCTGGCTCAGAAAATGATCCGAGGGTCGCCGAGATCGCAGCCGACGCCACCCGACAGGATCTTGAAGGTCGCTTTGTGCTCCCTGGCTTTATCGACGGCCACATGCATCTCCTTGTCCTAGGCCAAGCCCTTAAGAAATTGGCCTTGGATGATTGCCGGAATCTAGAGGACATCCGCGCCAAGATCAAGGAGTATGCCGCCGCAAACCCTAATCTGAGTCGAATCCTGTGTCGCGGGTGGATGCCATTCATGACTGGGGACCAGGCGACGTATAAGATGCTAGATGGATTGGATCCTAGGCCCATTATTGTTGATTCCAAGGATCTTCACTCTGCCTGGTGCAACTCGGCGGCCCTGGAGGAGCTAGGTATCAACAACGACTCTACTCCGCCTCAAGGTGGCATCATTCACCGCGACCAGGATGGAAACATCACCGGAGTTGTGTCAGAGGCTTGCGTTTTCCTCTACATTTGGCCGCATCTCGCCAAGGTCTCGAGCCAAGAGGAGAGCATCAACGCTATCAAGGCAGCAATGAACTCTTACCTGTCTCACGGATACACTGGTCTTGTCGAAATGGCCATGGAAGACAACACATGGGAGGCACTACTAGCATTCAAGGAAAAAGAGGGCCTTCCGCTACATGTGGTTGCGTATTGGCTTATCCGGCCTTCGAAAACCGAAGAGGAAGCAGTGGCTCAAGTCGAGAGAGTCATTGAACTGCACAAGAAATACAACGCCGAGACTAGCCCCGACTGTCGTATCGCTGGTATCAAGATCATCTGCGACGGTACCGTCGATGCCTGCACGGCTGCTCTCACTGTTCCTTACTCTACCGGAGCCACGTATGACATGCTTTGGCCGCCTGAGGCCTTGAAGCCCGTGGTAGAGCGAGCTGCAAAGGCCGGCTTGCAATGTGCTCTTCACGCCATTGGTGACTTGGCGATCACAACCGCCCTTGACGCCCTTGAGCCTTACGCCACTCCCGCGGCCCGCCACCGAATGGAACATATAGAGTTGGCGTCGCCGCGGGACGCTCGTCGATTAGGCCAGCTGGGAATCACTGCATCGGTCCAAGCCGTGCACGCTGATCCCGCGATTATCAGGGCCTGGCCATCTCTGATCGGTTCTGCCCGCTGCTCTCGTGCCTTTGCGTACTCCGAATTTGCTCGGGAGGGAGCTGTTCTGGCTTTGGGTTCTGATGCTCCCACCTCGCCTTACGACCCGTTCCCTAACCTCTACACCGCGACTACGCGAAGGTCTGCCAGAGAGCCGGACTCCGAGGAGATTGTGAACCCGCACTTTGCACTGAGTCTTGCCGCTGCACTAACAGCTCTCACTGAAGGTTCGGCATACAGTACCTTCTCGGATGAATGGACCGGAAAGCTTGAGGTTGGAAAGACGGCAAATCTGGCGGTCATTGATATGGAATGGGATGTGGAGAAGCTGTTGAGTGCCAAGGTTGTACAGACGTGGTATAGAGGGAAGCTGGTTTTCAATGGAGAGAAGTGACCACACCTAGAATGGACGGCGATGCGGCATATCCAGAACAACACGCATGTTGATATTTACCATGATAACTATTCATGTATGAGACGGTTGGATCGATACTGAATCACCATCTAGCCTCTTATGCTTAGATTGTTCCCTCGAACGTCAAGCATCTATCTGTGGTGAGGCTCCAGGAAAGGTGTGGTTTGAATATCACCACTGGATCAGTACATTAATGTCATTTTATTCCCAAATCTGGTTTCTTCATGCCAAGTCAGTGTGAAGTGCGCCACGCCTTGGCATGAGTTTGAAGCTGGTTCGACCGATGTCGGAGCAGACCACCCCTGGGGAAAGTGATGACAGTGCTAAAATCACTGACTGTGATTGGACCCATCTCACTCTTCATCGAGCCTCTAGTAATGGGTAAGCCTGCCTCGTTGGTCATCCTCAAGCAAGCGAAGGACCCTCCATCTCCATGCAAGGCACCCGCGGCCCCCGAATGTCGTTCATGACCCCCGGGATGGTCCCCGAATGTCGTTTATGACCCCCGGGATAGTCCCCGACGTGAATTAAAAATCCGGGTTGTGACTGATTTTTAATACGCTCTTTGATTTATAAGCGGGGATGCTTCTAATAGTCTATAAAATCTAGCGTGCCAGTCTCAGGCACTCAGGTCATTAGGTTCTCGCCGGGCGAACCAACGTTTAAAATTGATCTCAATATTCACTCCTGTATTTACACCAGTCCTCCTCCGTTTTATCAAGTTTAGGCATATAAAATACTGTTACAATGGCCGCCCCATCGTTCCGTCAGATTGTTGGCGTCCCTCCCTCGACAGCATCGACGAAGGACAGCACCCTCGTCATCATTGACGCCCAGAACGAATACGCCGAGGGCAAACTCGCGGTAGCGAACGTGCAGACCTCACGGAAAGTCATCGAATCGCTTCTCCAGAAATACCGAGCCGCGAATGGAAACGTAGTCCATGTCGTCCACGATACGCCTGCCGGAGCACCAGTGTTCACGCCCGGAACGAGGCTGGCCGAGGAGTTTGATGAGTTGAAGCCTGCAGACGGCGAAAAAGTCATTCACAAGCTGTATCCCAGCTCCTTTGCGGACACGGACCTGCAGCAACATCTTGAATCGATTGGTAGCAAGAAGTTGGTGCTCGCCGGCTACATGGTGAGTCGCATTTCCCTCCCCATTGCTAGATCCGAGGATCTAGCAGCATAACGCACTTGCATCACCCCGCAACCCCGCAGACCCCCGCCATCCCCGCTTCATATCGCCCAGAATTGGGGCACTAGGGCGAGATTCTATGGTCAGCCGGGCCGAGGGGTCGCTAAACCAATAGCTAACCCGCCATTTCCCCGAAGGCTCACGTCTGTGTTTCAACGACTGCTCGTGACGGTGCGCGTCTGGGTTATGACATTTTGGTTGCGGAGGATGCAGTCGGCGACAGGAACATCCCTGGAGTGGACGCAGAGCAGCTTGTCAAGGTTGCGCTTGCCGAAATTGGAGATGGCTTTGGAACTATTGTTCGAGCCGGTGATATTAACTAGGAGCGGTATCTTCTCACCTCCAGGTTCTACCTTGACTTGTGCATGAAATGAAGCGCAATGGAATACCAACGAATGATGCTTGATACACAGCTATTAATGGCAAGCTGTTACAAACACATTCTTACTTCGCCAGGCATCCTGGAACTGTACGTACATGGACGAGTACAAATCTCGAAAATAAATAGTCGTTTTGCTTTGTGAAATTGTCCCCTTTTCGCCCAGATTCGGGTGTCTTTTAGCTTAGGTTGCCGAGTAGCCCCCGTCAATAAAGATTGTCTGTCCAGTAATGGCTTCACCTGCCTTCCCAGCCAGACATACTACCATGCCAGCAAAGTCCTCCGCCTCTCCGTTCCGCCCGATCATCGTCCTATCGGCATGCCTCTGAGCCAATTCAGGCGACGCAAAGACACTCGCGGTCATTTGCGTACTCACGACACCCGGGGCAATGGCATTGCAGAGGACGCCACGACTGGACCAAGCTTCAGCCTGCGAGCGAGTCAGGCCCACCACTCCAGCCTTTGAAGCTCCATACGCCCCGCTGTTGCCATAAGCTCGGAAGGCCTGCTGGCTCGCAATGTTGATTATTCTACCGGAACCGCGTTCTGCCATGCGCGGACCGAATGCTTGGCCGAGAATGAACGGTGCTGTGAGATTAACTGCAAGCGTGGTGTCCCAGTCCGCTTGGGTCAGCGCATCCATGGCCGGCCGGATGTTGATTCCCGCTGCGTTGACCAAAATATCGGGGACTCCATACGTTGAGAGAATTGTGGAGACTGCCTTGTCGATAGATGCCCGGTCACCCAAGTCGGTAGGTAACGAGTGGGCTTGGACTCCGAGGGCTGAAAGAGACGTGACGGTGTCGTCGAGCGGTTGGGGATTCCGTGCAATAAGGATGACGCGGGCTCCGGCTTGTCCCAGGCTTGAGGCTATCTCCCGCCCGATGCCGGCACTACCGCCCGTCACGACGGCGGTCTGGCCAGCGAGACCGAAGAGCCGCTGAAGGTAGGTCGCGTTTCGGGAAATATTTCTCGCCATTTTATTATCAAGTAAGATTTAGTGGACCAAGAAGGATGTCGCTTCAGCGCCATTCCAGTTCCAGCCTTTTATTGTAGCACTGAGTCATACCGAGGAAGCTGCCTGCACACCATGAATTTCCCATGTACCCTCGGGTAATCAACGGATAACGACAATGGAAGCAACCACCGTCAACACCTATTATACCTAAGGCTCAGCCATTTTGAGTTCAATATGAATAGTTGGCGGTGGGGGGAAATCTTGGAAAATTGGAAAGACTTTGAGCTCATACGATGCAGTTCGAGAGGATCTTTTACGGACCTGGAGACATCTTCCATCTCCGTTACTAGTGCCTGCAGAGATGCACGGAGAACATGGCCAGCATTCCATCTCGCCCCCATTAGCATAATACAGTGACCAGATGGAGTAGAGCTGCCGCCGGGATACCAATAACTTCCAGGCAAATTAGCGACAGTCTTGCAGTGAGATTAGCCATTAGCTAGATGCGAAAATCTGAGTCATCGAAGTCTCTTACCCCCCCCTTTGCTTGCTGGTTGCGAGAAGCGACGGCAAAAGGATTTTTTTTTTTTTTTTTTATCTGCCTTACCACGAGTGTGAGTCCGTGGACCGAGGCTCGTCCAGCAACTGAAGGGGCATGCTCTACTCACGGAGGTGTGGTGATAATCTTTCACTTCTAAAGGAGGTACAAGGCGCTAACGCTTATAAGCGGGATCGAGAGTGTGGTAGTATTAATACAATTTCTCCCCTTCGTATAGGGTAGAAATGACCGAAATCAAATCTCTTAAGTCTTGGCTATCATAAGATTTAGGACGAAATTTATGAGAATATTAAATAAGATTGTATTCTGAATCTTTACAGGTCAACGTAGGATTTTGACAATGCCACTATTCAAGTCTCAAATGCCGTCAACGAATTTGACCAGATCGTCGATTACTTGTTGGGCGTGAGTTAAGTATAAACCTGCAAGGAGTCGTTAGCATGAAGAGTCTGGAGGAATTGCGAAAGGGAGAAGGCTTGATTTGGACATACCGTGGCCCGCATTTTTGTACACTCTCAAGTCCGCCCAAGGAAGCATTTCCTTGACAATAGTGGCGCCGGCTTCAAGGGGCATGCCTTGGTCCGAGTCGCCGTGTAGCGCTAGGATAGGGATCATCTCGGCAGATTCTGCGAGCTTAGTTAACTGCTTGTCGGAGGCTTGTGTGAAGATTGCAACCGTCTTTTCGATGGCAACACCATGGGCCTCTGATACAATCTGCTCATAGTACTCGAGTGTCTTAGGGTGCACCTGGTTCCCTGCGTGCATGGCGAAAACCCCGGGCAATGATTCGGTGACAAATGCCGGACGATTATCTCTCAAGCCCTGTAGAATCGAGTCCCACAACTCCTGAGTTGGAGACAAAGGGTGTTCGGGGGTTTGAAGAGGAAACGGCATGGCGAGGCCGATCCAGACGAAACCCTATAAATGTTGGTTAATTTCCGGCCAAGTTATCGATCCAGTTATGACATGTGCGCCCAAGAGGCTAACCTTGCAGTGCTGGGAGATGTATTGACTGGAGTGGTATGCTAGGACACTCTCTGTGCAACCCATACTAGCCGCGACAAAGACGAAATCGCCGACCGCGAGTGTCTCGAGGAGTTGCGCCACATCTCCAGCAAATGTGCTCCAGTCCGTCGTTTTACCCTTCGAGGCGTCTGTCCAATCGCTGGAACCGAAACCTCGACGATCAGGTGCAATGCATCGAAACTGGTAGGTTTCGCAAAGGGGTACAATCAGGTGCTCAAACATTTTTGACGACATGGGCCAGCCATGGAGGAAAACAAGGGTCAATTTGGAAGCCCTGCCGGCCTGCATTTTGAAACCCTTTCCATCGGGGACATAGTCCCGATAGAAGAGACGAGTGGAATCGATCGAGCTGTTGAAGAAGGGCATGGTGGTTGGATTTGCGTTGAGAGTTGATTGGTGGATTGCGATTGGGAATGTGAGATTAGGTTTTGGTGATTGGCAGTGGATCTGAATGTAAAGTGCCAAGGTAGAAGTGTTTTCTTTCCTTTATATAATAGACTTGGGATCTTCCTTCTGAACAGATTTCTGTCCGTAAGACTTGATCGTGTTCTCTGCCATTGCCATAACGGATAGGCATGTTAGGTGTAAAGCTGGCAGGGAGCCAGGTCGTTCGATAAAACTTCTGATTGGGCCGAGCTGTGGGATGACCCGACTGTCACAACATTACCGGGGATTGTATGTTGCACGCAGTATGTAACTAAATGCTTGGATGCTTGGATGTCAATAACGTTTCTTTTTAACTCAAAATTTCAAATTTCTACTCAGTGTAACCGATAGTGATGTTCCTTTACCAGATGTTAGAAGTTAGGTCAATATTATGTACAAGTTTCCCATACCATGGAGAATATTTATATTGCTCGAGGATAATGATGGATATTGACCACAGCGAACTTGAAGAACGAGTAATCGTCGGCATAATTTGCGGCGTAAGCACCAGCAAAGCGAGAGTTAGCATCACCACTAAGGCTTTTGCAAATCTTGCAGAGACTCGTGTCGCAAGAGTTCAATAGATCGTAATAGAGCCCCGCAATTTGTCCATCTTATGCTGTATCTTCAGGAGAGTCGAGAATTTGGGTCGCATCGTTGTGCCTGTGTGTAAGGAGATCGCTGTGCTGGACAGAAAAGGCCAGGCCCATAGCCAGAAAACAGAGGAACGCAACACCAAGATATGGCAAGCCCACCCAAGCGTCACCCAAGTCTAGTCCCGTCTTAAAGAGCCAAGCCAGTACTGGGCCGGCGGCAAGTCTGCTTCCCGAATCGAGAACGCTTATTAGCGTATAGAGCCTGCCCGTTTGACGAGGTTCGATCATGGATGTTATGACGACTCGGCAGAGGGTTGAGAACCCCAGCCCACAAGTGAAGACCACGAGACCTAGAATAACGGTCTTAGAGGATGGCCAGGCAAGTAGGATCGAGCCGATGAAGAGAAAGACAAATGACATCCGGGCAAGGAAAAAGTCCCTCGTAACGGGCTCAAGCTTAAACGGCATGCTGGGGGACTGAAGGAGCCTGGAACACCCTGGCAAAATGGCAACATAAAGGGCAATGTTCATGACCACCTGCAAGGACATGAGCATGCCGGCGTCCGCTAGAGACCAGCCAAGACTCTTGCTCAAGTACTGGGCCCCGAATGATAAAGCCCTCGCGACGAACCCCGTTAACAGAAACGTTATAAGCAGTGCCACGACTGGATAACAGTGGAGGACTGCAGCGCTCTCGGCAAGTTCGCGGGTGGACTGAGACAGTCGGGACTTGAGGAAAGATGTAATGGAGATGTCCCCATCCGACTTAGAAATGGCACTCTCCGGGCCTGTTGCCTGTTTGAGGGTTTCGGGAAGGAACGTGACACAAATGCCGCCAGCGATGAACAAGCCCAGACCCATCACACATGGAATCCATGGTGAGGTCCTCATGAGCCTCGATGCCACAGCGATGGAAAGCAACTCGGCGATAAGGCTCGCAACTATACTCATAAAGAAACTACCGGCGCTGCAATCGTAAATTAGGTTAGGAAGCTGGGTTTAGAGTAGGCTCTCCAGAGAGGATAGACCTACAGTTTTTCTGAGGCCTCAGTATCAGCTATCATCGAGTATATCATAGCCATCAGGACATTGAGGCCACCTCCGATGGCGTGGAATGCTGTGGAAGTCCATATGAGCCGAACATCCGGAAACAGCTGAGGGGAGCGAAGGATCAGCAACATCCAGGCTAAGGCAAGAGACATTCCAAAAACTGATAGGCCAAGAACTGGTCGGCGCCCTATTCTATGAGGCGTGAGTAAGCCTGAAGATTCGGAGGATGTAGGGAAGAGTGTAGCCGAGTTTGGACTTACCGATCGGCAAGGATACCGTATGGCAAGGCTAAAAATAGACCTAAAAACAAATGTCATTATGGATTCTCTATCCCATCGATGCTTTCAGAATCCACCGCACCTGGAAGAGCCTCAAGCATCGACTGAATCGCCATCACGTAAGACAGCTTCGACTGGATGTCCGACCCTTTGCATTGCTGCTCGTCGATCGCGCCGTCCGAGATACCCAAGTACTTGCGACAAATCAGGTCCTCCAAAATGCGTAAGATCGGCAGCGCCGGAAGCGCGATGCCTGCTGTCAGGACAAAGACGAGACCCGTGACTAGGATTGTGACTGAAGGCCTCGGAGGAATCGGGTGGCGATGGTCCGCATTAGCGGTGCTATCTGACTGTCTCTCCCCGAGTAGGGGCCGAGACTGGTCGGCGGGGGAGGAGTCAAGAGTCATCAATGATGCCTAAACAAGCGCAGAACCACTGCAACCTCAAGATCTTATTAGATCGATCAAATACGAGGTGGTGGCATGCCCCAGACTGTGGTGGTGTTGCGTCGGATGCGGAAACTCGAAAATAATGGGGAGAAAGATGGAAAATTTGGAAGCAACGTGATAAAATCCAGCAAATTCCTTATTCACTCCGTCTTCATTCAGCGAGCCACAAATTAAGACAGACAGATTGGCACCCCACGCTGATTTGTCTTGTTTGGATGGGTCTGGTCTGTTACAATTGTAGAGTGGAGTATGTCAGCGCCACCCCCACGCATTTCGGGCGCGCAGATCTTTAGCCAGGTCCTCCCGTTCTTCACAATCTTATCAATCACATTGGAGTTTGATGTAAACTAACATCTGACACCAATTGATTGGTTTAGAAATCGAGCAGCGTGAGACGGGACGATGAACATCAACGAGGCTACGTCGATGAATATCTTATATAGATAGAAGCATTAATATTATTCTGTTCGGTTCTAATTACAATAATTGTAATGCCTACCTCGGATTGGTGTTGTGCACTGATCAAATTCACCTCGTTCACATGGAACTCTCGAGCTCCTTGTGTGCCAAGCTGTGTGGAAGCCTGCCCTTTATAGAGAGGACACAGACGCAATGCCGGTACATACGACCATAGCTCGTAGAGAACTGAGGGTCCCGTCCGCTCCCCTATACATAAGCTACGAAGCGCCAGATCAGTAGTTGGGTCGGTGACGACCAGCGAATCCCTGGTGTTGTATGTTCTTTTTTGCTAGTCATATCTTTTTATCTCTCGTATTTCTTTCTCTTTTTAGTTCAAGTCTACTCGCCCACAAGGTAGCTGTCGGAGTTGATGTTGATTGAAGGGCGAATGGGGCTCAGGGAGGTGACTATATTAACTAGGTTTCGCCCAGTTTAACTAGAACTAGTAATTTATATCTAATATAAGGCGATGATGCATGATAATTTTACGTGAAAGGCATCTAATTTTCTAGTAAGCTACTCTATTCTACCGCCGTGACTTTAGATTACAAGATTTGAAATGGTAACTATGGGGTAGAGTGGCACATCCTCCACTATTGTAACAAATCCAACACTACTAATGATCAGTTGAATCCTTTCGAAGACGGGAGTTGGTCTTCCTTCAGCCGTTACCCGGGAGCCTGCCGTGAGAGCTATATAAAATTCAGGGCTTTCCCTGTTGACCACAACCTTGGGCTTTTATGTATAGGTTATTATGAGATGGAGTTAGGTGCTGTGCAGCTATGTCAGTGGTACCTTGGAGTTAAACTTTACCTCGGCTCTTTGACGGACGTGGTGACCCTCGAGCTCCAATATGACGTGACAAATCGCCCGAGTGGTGTATAGGTTTAGAATACCATTTCTCCTAATGTCCTTGGGGATTGTGACCATCCCTACCAAACAGGTTGTCGAAGGCTGGACTGGACCTTTTAGTGAAGTATTGGACTTGAGGCCCTAGAAAGCGCGCGGCGCAATTGGTTGGCCATATGGGTTCCAGGACCCAGCGCCCGACGCGGAATCCATTCAACTTTTGAACCCCAGGGTGATCGATATCGCGTGAAATTTTGATATTTCCAGGCGTCTTCGGTGAACACAAGACTGGTTAGCCTATTTTCGTCTTGGAAATGGAGTATGGAGGAAATTCCGGAGGTGGAGGGCTACAGGCTAGAAAGATACGGATTGAGCACAACAATACTCCATCATCACAGAGCGTTGTGTTAATCTACGCGGATTCTCTCTTCATATTATTCTGGTGAGAGCCCGGGAAGCAATGAAGCCTTCCGTGAGGCATCATGAGCTTGAATGCTGCGTTCGAATGCCGGTTTGGCCTCGCCTCGTCGCCGGCATTGCATGGCGGCAACTGAAGTACTGTTGGATTCCTGAATCCGGCGGGGTTTATAATTAGATTTAAGGGTAAAATGCGTGAGTATATTATTCCCATACCGTTGTCCCGAGAACTCGTTTCGGGTAATGTGTCTACAAGTCACCAATTCCTGCATTGAGTTGCGTCGACACTCTGGTGATAGCGAATGAAACCCGGGTGATCAAATAAATGTGACACTAGTTTAACATGCATTAGCTAGCAAAGAAGCTTTGGAAGCTTGATGGTGTTCCGGGGTGCAAATGAGCCTACTCACATTTGAATGGTAATGGAGATGAGTTCGGTTCGTGGATTTTGCCAAGATAAAATATCCTCTTTCCGGTTATGGCTGCGGCTCATTTGGGGAATACTCCGAAATTCCAACTACAAAGAGGCCCGGTTCTCTCGTTATCGGTAATCCTCCAAAACCCGACGTAGCGTTCTGTCGACGATTTCAACTCAGAGAGTGATCCAGTGATCGGTGTATGCGTTGAAAAACATGGGGCTACATTTCCTTCTCACGGCCCTCTGCGCCGCATCTCTTACATCGGGCGCAGAGCTGCGACAAGTAACACAATTTGGCGAGAACCCAACAAAAATCCAAATGTACGAATATGTCCCCGAAAAGGTTTCCAGTTCGCCGCCTGTTATTGTCAATGTAAGGCCTATGCAAGTCGTTGGTTCAATGCGTGCTCAGCCCTTCGGTGACGTGACTTGTGATCGCAAGTTAAGGGTGCAGAGCAGAGTGAAACAGCTAGCACTTTCATTAATGATAGCTTCACCCATGTGGCGGGAGTGCAACTTCGTGGTATCGGCCCACTAAAATGCCATCCTACGCGGATCAGCTTGGATTCATCCTGATCTACCCGGGAACTCCGAACATGAACAACTGCTGGGATGTACAGAGTGCTGGTAGTCTCACCCATGGACAAGGCGGGGATGCCCTCGCCATCGCTAACATGGTCAATCATGTGCTGGAGACATATGGCGGCGACTCGGAGAGAGTTTACGTTATGGGCTCATCCTCCGGTGCCATGATGACAAACGTCCTGGTAGGGTCCTATCCAGATGTCTTCGAGGCCGGGTCGTCTTATTCGGGGACTGCGCATGCCTGTTTCGCAGGGGCTCCCTCGGCTACACCAATGTCACCTAACCAAATATGTGCCCAAGGCCTCACCCACAGTCTGGAGGAGTGGGCCTCGTTTGTTCACAATTCCTACCCTGGCTATGATGGGCGTCGGCCCCGAATGCAGATATGGCATGGAAATGCAGATACCCTCGTCCGCCCTCAGTGCGCGATCGAGGCCCTCAAACAATGGTCTGCAGTCCTCGGCGAGACCAACACTCAGAACGTGACCGGGGTGCCATCGCCTCAGTATAGGCAAGTAATCTACGGGGACGGCTCCAATCTTATGGGATTCTTCGGGCAGGGCGTTGGGCACACTGCACCGGTCAACGAAGAGTTGACACTCCAGTTCTTCGGACTAATTTGACGAATAAAAAAGGAGGGCAGGCGATGGACGGGATGGACGGGACACGTGCTGATATTGTGTGTCACGGCCCGCACGGACAGTAGCCCAGCATGATTTACTGTTTGCGTGAGTCAAGGTGTTCCTCTAAGCTTTTGTAGATCGTACAAGTTGACGTGCTGGCGACTCAACTCTCCGGACGAGGCCAATCTTGTAAATGGAATCATGGAAAGAACGGTCAGCGCAAGAGTCCAGATGTTTGCGATCCTTGATGGATTGCCATTTGTTGAAGTTATCAATGCTAACTAGTCAACAGATCTGCCAGGGCCTGGAGGGGGAGGATTGTTGTCTGGTTAGATAAAGTTAATAAGGCTGGGAAGGATCAAAATTACCACTTCTGCCTCGGTACGAACATCAGCGCCTAACCATGATCAAATCCGAACGAGTCCTCACACATTATGTAATAATTGACACCCTGTGTCAAAGATGGGAGCAAACGTTGTTGAACAGGAAGGGAATTTCCTGGGGAAGAAAACGAATGGTGCGAACTGGTTCGAGGTTCGGCAACAGCTCCAGGGCAGGTGGCAGGCAGGCACGCAGCTGGGACTGCCAGCCCTGCGGAGTCGGTGCAACTGTCCGGTACGAAATACTTCATACTCATTAGTAACTCTCCGATGCTCCAAGTTCCCTAACTCCTCAACCCCACTCCATCCAGCACCAACCCTTAATGGCGCCGCGATGTCATCACTACCGCCTCTTCTCGCCTGTCCGGCAGATATATTTCCCCTGTTTTTGCAGCAACTGTCATCCCCCGATCTCTATTCTCTCTGCCTCGTCTGTAAGACTCTGCGCACTCTCGCAGAGCCCAACCTCTATTCGCACATTCGCCTCATCTGGCTAGACCCAGAGGATGCGTCCACCCCGCAAATCTCACCAATCATCCCTCTCCTACGAAGTATACTGTCAAGACCTGAACTTGCCGCCCATGTCCAGTACCTTGACTTAGGCGGGCAGCCCGTTGTTCGCTGGACAGGTCGTCGCTCTGCTATTCCCGTCGCTGGTGCCGACCTTGCTGAGCTAATCACCTTTATCGAGGGGTTCCAAGATAAGATTGACTACGCGAGTCTTTGGATAACTGAGCTTTGCAATGGGTCAATCGATCCGTTTGTCGCGCTCCTACTGTCGGTGCTTTCGAATTTGAAACAGCTACATATCACCACCCATTTCGCAGAAGAGACCCGTATTATTGGCAAAGTATTGAGATCAGCGCTCTGTGATACGGCAACTGGTGATCGATGGCTCCCAACCTTTGGAGACATCCAAGAAGTGTCTTTTCGGATGGATATGAACCTGAGCCGACCTATGGAGATGAGAAATACAGAAGATCTATTGCCGTTATTCTATCTACCCTCAGTTCGGAAGATGTCGGTGTGCATTGAGAACCCGACTGTGTTCGTGTGGCCCCTCAACCAGCGCCCTACAGCATCGCTACTCGCGTCATTGGAGCTAAAAGGTACGTCTATTCGAGAAGATCATCTTGGCGAACTCCTTTCGGCAACCCCCAATCTCAGGAGACTCCACTGGGATTGGTTCTATCATCCCGAGCGCCCAGAAAAATTTGGTGGTCGTGTTATCGATCTTCATAAGATCGCCGCTGCAATTGGCCATGTCCGAGATACCCTCGAGGAGTTCGCTATCTTCGCCTCTGTCAGCTATCATGGCCTCGACTTTCCGATTCTTTCAACGAGAGGATCATTGAGTCCCATCGCCGAGTACGAGGCTCTAAGGACGTTTGAAGCGCCTGTGCCTTTCCTCATTGGGTTCACAAAGGCTGGGGCATGGCCGCTGGAACGCTCCCTACCAAAAAACCTCGAGGTCTTAACCATCTCTGATGATTTGTACTTGGTCGAGGAGTATGAATGGTCTGACACCGGCGCGATTATGCTTTTAGAAGCAATAATATCGTGGCTAAGAAATTATACAGCCTACACGCCACAGTTCCAAACCCTTCGACTCGAGCTGAGGGTCATAGATGAGGAATGGGGTCCAAAGATGCGAAGGCAACTTGCAGATGTATGTGCCGTCGCTGGACTCGGGCTTGTCATTAACAAGATAGAGAAGGATTTGTATTCTCTCAGCAACCCTGCTTCATACTGATCTCACACTCTTCCCGGCTTCTTCTCGACCCTAAGTACACCCCGAGAGTTCGGCTTGTGCTTCCTGCTCCTTTTACAATGTCCCGCACAATTCGGTCTGGCCAATCGATGGCCCTCCTGCAAGCGAGTCCAAGTCATAGGATTCCGCAGCAATAGCCCCATCAAGGGTGACCATCCCCATCTTTTCTACGAACAAACCGCATCCCCAATTCGGTCCCTTAAAAAGGTCAGCGTGAACGACAGTGGCTTCACCGGGGGTATTGATTCATACTCACCCCTCTCCCGCCCTCCTCCTCTCCACAGGGCCCTATATAGCCGACTTTGAAGAGACCATCTTGCTTGTCCACTCTAGGCCCCACCGTCACCACTCTCGCCCTCTGCTCTGATAAAGGGACCTCAATATCGCGGCTATGGTAATAGAGATGAGCGGCCATGGGCTCGCCACACTGCCCATTATTTCGGTGTGGCTTCGATTCGTCGTCAGCTATCCCCCGGTCTTCTTTCCAGGTGGCCTCACAAAGTTGGAGTGTCTCAAGAACGGGCGAGGGGTGCGAAGATTCGTAGGTAAAGGATTGCCCCTTTTGCGATGAAACCAGGATTATCTCCTTGTCGAAAGCCAAGGCTGTCATAGTACCTGGTATCTGCCTCTTTCCGACGCTATACCGGTTTGCCTCAACGACCATCTCGTCATATGCATCAAGCGTAATCTTGAAGAGCTGCCCGTCTGTGATGGTCAAGACCAAATCGGAGAATTTCAAATGACTGCTGAATAGGAGGTTACGTTTAATAGGTGCGTTCGCCGGTATTCGCTCTGGCCAGGAGATTGCAAAAGAATAGTCGAGCGTCACACCGAGCTTCCCGTTTGGCTTGAGCTTTTCCTTGAGATTAACCGAGTCGACTAAGATGATGAACGCACTAAGTAGTAGAAGGAGTCGCCATGGGGCGACTATGAAATGCAAGATAGTCATCCTGATTTTGGGAATATCCGAGTGAACTCTATCAACTTAGATGGTTAGCAGTTTATTGCGAGTTTCAGTCGCCTGGGGGAGAGGAAAAAAAAAAAGGGGGGGGGGGGGGGGGGGGGGGCTTCATGCTTACTAGGATTTTTCTCTGGAATAAGTTGACAGAGCAGTCGGGAAACTGACCAAGAAGTGCAGAGTGGAAAGAAATGTCGGCTTGGAGAGACAGTAGTGGTCTGGGACAACACTCGGTCGACTGGGAAATGGCTTCGTTAAATGGAAGAACCATGGCTTCCCCGATATACCGTCTACATTCTAAAGTCTCCAATATCCAGAGTCTATGGAAGTTTCCCAGATAACATAACACCGCAGCAATGCCCTCCTTCGGTCTTCATTTTTAGCCCGAGGCGCCCCCAGAGAGGCGAAGCTGCAGACGCCCGACACGAGCGGCACTTTTGGAAACGCGAGATTCCGGATCCTTCTGGTCGATAAACACGCAAATATTCTAAAATTATAATTTTCTCTGCGCTTAGAACCAACTCTTCTATCACTTCGTGGGAGGGTTAGAGTGGTTGTGTGTCTAAGACTCCCCAGCCGCCTTAGGGGCTTCTGCAATAATGGGACGAGTTCTGAGCAACCGCTTCTAAAATACGAATGGTCGCATTTGGGGGCGCCGGCGGTTGTTAGTGGTTGAGGTTACATTTAAGTGCCTGGAGCAATAGTTGGGGGCCCAACAGCCAAATCTGAAACTGAGCCTGCAGTTAGCTATTAATGGACCTCTTTTTGATCCTAATTTAAACGGAATGTAGTATCAGAGAGTCTGTTGGTCCCAAAGGCGTTCAGCCAAAGGATTTCTGTGGGTGCGATGGTGGTGGCTTCGAGATCAGTCCGATGTGTGATGAGGGTGTTGGTTCACGCCGGCACGTTTTCCTTCCTCCTACCGAGTTCTATTTTTTTCTTTCTTCCAACCGTCTATGTATTGAAAGGAAGGAAGGATTCTCGTGGCTTTGGGTAAATTCAGCGGGGCCTTGTTGCACGAGTGCCCTTAATGGTTCACGCTATATAACCACGGCCTTCACCTCTGTCCGTGGAGGAGAATGTAGTGACGTCTCATCACCAATTGCCATCTATTAAATCAGCAAACCTTTCCTGATTCATTGACATAACTTTATACAACCTACTTTGAATATATAACATGTGGAATTTACTTATTCGTTACGTGGCTCTCTGTTCCGTCTTCTGGCCAGCGGTTTGCATTCCCTCCCTGCCTTCTTCGCTTGCTGGCGGCATTTTCCCGAGACAGGAAACTGAGGACAATGAATTCGACCCTGGAGACCTTTCGTTCATTCGGAAGCTGGGGGCAATTGGGGACTCATACTCCGCTGGTATTGGCGCGGGAAACAGACTTGGAAGCACAATTGGCGGCATTTTCGATCCTCAAAGTGGTTAGTTACTGACGGCAACCTATGTTTCGGAGATAATTCTAGACTAATGTTGGCTCTTGCGCATATAGATTGGTCTTGCAGCCGGTACGATCACGCCTATCCGTACTTGATCAACAATGATCCAAGTCTCGGCAACCCAGCCAGCAGAGACTTTCAGTTTCTGTCTTGTTCCGGCGCCTTAGCCGATGACGTCCTCCAGAAACAAATTCCTCAACTCAAGCAAAATCAGGACGTGATTTTGCTGTCAATAGGCACGAATTCCAAATACCAAGCGAACATTATACAATGGAGGTGGTGCTGACATTTCTATGCTAGGCGGCAATGATGTCCAACTTACCAACATCTTGAATCAGTGTATCTATCAATGGGCTGTCGCCAACCAGGCACAAGCCTCTACCGCCAAGTTAGCAGCCCTCGACAAAGATTGGGCGTGGGCCTCCAAGTGGGATTGGGACGCCATGGGGCGTGGCTGCGAGAAACAACTTGAGCATACGCAGTCCATCATTGATAGCCCCGAGTTTAGCAGCAAGATAGACCGTGTCTTGGAAGAGGCAAAGAAGAAGCTCTCTTCAGAGTAAGTGCCACCTGCCCCGCTTCATAGTTTTATTTCACTGCACTTTAGGATCGCTCGAGAGACTAACATGGCAACTCTCTAGTGGGATCATCTACCACACCGGGTAAGCACATCACCTGCTCCCCCGCTCAATAGGAGTATTGGGTGCTAACAGCAGGCCGAAAACAAGCTATGCCAAATTTTGGTCGGAGGATATGTCCCCGGAGTGCGATCAGGTCACCTGGAGTACTTGGATATTTGTGAGTGCCAGTCTTTATATATGAGCATATATGTATATAATGCTAATGGTACATTTTCCACGCCTCAGAAATTGACCGATATGCTCCGGCCTGTGGAGAAATTGACCCAGGCCCGCCGCAAGAGGATGAATGAGCTTGTAGACGCCGTCAACTCCAAACTTGTTCGAGCTTCCCAGTCCTTCATAGTATCGGGGAACCCCGCAAACTAACCCTCCTTCAGTCTGATGCTGCGAAAAGAGCTGGCCCAAGAGTAAAGTTCGTGGACTATGACTCTTACGTAGGTAGGTTCCACGGCCGATACTGCGAAACGGGTGTGGACGAGTCCACCAAGACGAGCAACACAAGGTGAGTGTGAGATTGTGGATCTCATTTCAAACTACCCAGAACAGGAGAATAGGCCTGACACCAAAAAAAAAAACATTACAGACCTGGTCTCATGTTTTACGAGCTAAATACCTTCGATCCATTTGGCACCACACCTTGGAAGCGGAGTCCCGGCAGCGAGCTACAGGGAACATTTGGTGGCGACTTAGACATCATGGCGCAAATTACTCTTCTTCTTGATCCAGATGCGACATTCGTCCATGAGGGCGCTATTCAGCCGGATGATACGCCCGCTGTCGCGCAGGCTGGGGTCGTGAACAACGCCCAGCTGTCGGATATCGAAATTCCAAACATTCTCCCCGATGGGTAAGACGGAATAAATAAGTTTTCCTTGAGCGAGCAAAGCTGACCAAGACTGCTGTTCACAGATACGGCCGTGTTTTCCATCCACAAGTCCTCCTTCACCAGATAATCGCTAACCTCATCATCACTGAAATGACGAGTGTGAATGCGGTCAAGAATGGGTTCCCGGAGATCCCCCTCCACTACAAGTTCACCTCATGTGCCAATCCGGACCCCCAAGGTCCATTGGAGAAGAGCTCGCCTCCAGAATGTGACATGAACGGTGTCGTGAGCGGCTTTCCTGAAAATATCTTTCGAAACAGTGTCTACAATTCGTTCTGCGCCGAGGTCAGCAAGGATACCCGCAAATCAGTAGACTGGACTGTGGACAAGGAAGGGACCAGGGTCAATTCGGGGCAGAAACGGAGTCTTCGGATTTCCGCGCGGACTCCACCGCCATCAGCGGTAGGGCCGAATGCGTACAAAGACTATACCATCCAGCTCAAGTGGACTCCCAAGGAGGGTGCTGGGAGGTGTCCTGAGTCGTGCACCGATGCGCTCATGGGAATTGCGAACAGTGGATGTAAGTTTTCTGCCACCGGGCCACGCCCAGATGGAAATGTTTTTGTTACTGACTTGATTCGCAGGTGGCCACATTGGAGGCCAGTCGAACATCATGGTTGACAGGTCTAAGCATGACATTGGCTGTGGAACTTATGAAGTCGTCATTAACATCCCAGGGAGCCATCCAACCGTTTGGCCCCGGAAATGTTACGAAACTGACGAATTTGGCCGGCATGAGGACGTACATGAGAAGGACGTTGAGAGGGTGGCAGGGGTCTTCTGCGACGTCATTGACCACCAAGCCACGATGGGCCCAGGGGACAAGCCGATTACAAAAGTCGCCTACTCCAGCGGCGGCGGGGGCACTCCCTTCGATTGGCCTAACGAAGATGTTGGAAATGTTCAATCGAATCTGCTTTTCGAGGTGAGTTGGGACAACGACTGCCCGAATCCCGCGCCTGGAGAGAAGACAAATATCAGAGATCCAACTGGAGGCGCGCAATTGTGCAAAGATTTACTCTTCAACAACTACAAACGCTGTAAGTCCCTTCCCATTTGCCAGGAGAGGGTGATTGCCCAGAGTAGAAAGAGAGAATGGTGCTAATGTAGTTGTTATACAGGTGTGAATGGAGGAACTGGAGGGTATATCACAGCCAACTGTCTAAGGTACAGTTTTAGACCGTATGTAAAGTAACGGTATAGTAGGAGAGATTACTATGGAGAGAAGAGACGTGAGACAACTTCGATTAATAGCTTTGTAAACTCGGCTTCGTACATGTCATAGAAAGTCCATTGTTAAGTCTTCGTGTGTTTGGACTGACGTGAACATGGCAAGAGATACTGCTGTTAACCTGTGCTAATTTGATGAGCGAGCATCTCCATTACAAGGCCAACCCAAGAATTTCTACTTCGCCATACTCCCAGGTAGTGGCGAAGTGTCGACATGGACAGAGGTAAAATGATCGTATCGTTTGGCTGCCCTCCTAGGCTCCCATCCCTCAGCAGTCTCGCTCGTATACCGGGCCACCACGATGCCGTTCTCGCTCGGTCCAAGTAAGGCGGTGAGACATAGGTAGCGCATGGCCGGTGATATTAGCTTTAGTAGTAGACGGTAATTAGGGAGTCGACGGTGACCTGGGAGTGGGTGCGATGCCACTTCCTCAGCTCCCATAACGACCGTCCATAGTCCTCAAACGTCGACAATGCTGGAACTACAAGAGGATTCAGAAAGGTTCTCAGCATACTATTCACGTCGCAGGAAGGCCTCCACCATAGCCTCTGAAAGCCTGGGATCCAAATATCTAGAATCGCCGTCAAGGTCAACGTTTGGAAAAAGTTGGGCCATCAGGACGTGACTCCCAGGTTAGTTGTCCCACCCGAGCCCAGGCTGAAGATACATACTCGGAAGATGAAGATACTGTTTACGAAACCAAAGCGTTTTAGCGTCTTAATAGATGAGGATTGGCATGAGACCAAGGTGGTGCTTTCCACAGCAACGATCGCCCAACGAGGGTGCATTGGGAGAACAAAGCGTCCCGGCATCAGTCAGAATCTGGTAAGACAATATGTCTTTATTTTCTAATCGCCGGCTAAATATTCTGGGGAAGAGTCTTGCACCCCGCTTTTTATACAAGAACCCCCGACACAGTCTGTAATATTAATATCATGTTCGCTCAAAGTCACCAACCTCGGGTGAAAACATAGATTGGATCCTGCGACGGGTAATTGATAAATGGTATGGGGATGCTCGCCGGCTCGGGGGAAGAGGAAATCGACCAATCACCCAGTCTCAGCCACTAGGATTACCCACTCACGGATGCTGTTAGATTTCGGTACAAAGGAGATCTTTCCACTAATGATATCATCTTGTGAGTATCAGAGGAAGTCATTAACTCGGGAATTTTTGTTTGGGGATAATAAATGGAAGGCGGCCCACGCTGTAATTTTCGAACGCCGAGACAGAATAGTGGACTCCTTACCCCCTTTCTCCTTGGCATATCCAATCCTTTATCACTGTTTGATGAGAGACATCGTCATGAGACTCCTAGGAAAGTTTCCACTCTTCGGGCTCCTCTGGGGAGCCGCATTGGCTGACATGGTCAAGGACGGTAACACGTGTACCGTCACGCCGAAATCTGCCTTAAAGAAACGGCAATGGTCGCAAGATACGCACTCAGGACGCTCTCTTCCTGAAGTTGTCGATATTCATTTTGAGCCACAGGGTCGGTACCCTCGTTCTGACCCAGCGCTTGGCATTCCCGAGAAGCGTGCGCCCCAGTTCCCCGGCTTCGGCGGCGGCGGCGGCGGCGGCGCACAACAACCAAGCGCTGACGATGACACGCCCGCCATACTCCAGGCTTTCAAAGAATGTGGACAGGATGGCCACATTATCCTTGAGGAAGGGGACTACATGATCCGTCAAATCATGGATACAAGCAATCTCCGCAACGTTTGGATCGACATCTACGGACGTCTGGAATGGAGCGGTGACAACATCCAGTACTGGTTGTCAAATTCGATCTCTGTAACCTATGCTGGTCGGTCAACGGCGTGGAGAATGGGAGGCACTAACATAACCATGTTGGGCCATGGAAAGGCGTTGTTTTTTGGTAACGGGCAGATTTGGTACGACCAAAATCGGAACCAGGGCAACCAGAACGGACGTCCAATCAGTTTGACGCTCTGGAACGCCAATGATGTGTGGATTGATGGGATAACCTGGCGGCAGAGCCAATTCTGGAATACATTCATTGCTCACTCGAGCAATGTCACCATGACCAATATTGACATGAACTCCACGTCAGCAACTCAGTGGTCGACGGTTAACACTGATGGTACGAATACTTGGAATTCCAAAGATGTGTTTTTGCGGAACTGGGTGGTTACAGCGGGAGATGTACGTATACGTGGGCAATGTCCTTTTGTCGCTTATTGATCGCTGACTATCTATTGAAGGATTGTATATCCGTGAAGGGCAACTCGAGCAACATCCATGCTGACAACATGACCTGTTACGAGTCTGGATGCATGGTTGTCGGTAGCATGGGCAATCCGCCTTCTACGCCGGAATACGTCGAGAATGTCGTCTTCGAGAATGTGTACTGCCATCACTCCTCGAACGCGGCATGGATCAAGACTTATCCGGGAACTGGCTACGTCCGAAATGTGACCTTCCGGAACATCGCCTTTGACGACATTAACCAACCCATCTACGTCTCACCTTGTATTTACACCGGTCAAAACTGTGATAACAGCAGAATTCCCATTACTGATGTAACCTGGCAGAATATCACCGGCACAGCGCGGTACAATATTGGCGCAGGAATGTACTGCAGCAGGTCTTCCCCCTGCGACAACTTCCATTTCGAGGATATCAACATTCGTCCTTTGAGTGGAACTGGTGACCTTAAATATCTTTGTGCTAATATTAAGAACCAAGACACAATGGGATTGAAATGCACAGGGACATTGCCTTCAAATTGGCCCCAACAACTCGACGGAAACCGATGAAGGTAAAGGGTTGCAATGGCAGATGTCAGTTACGTCAAGTTTTCCATTCACGGCTCTTTTTAAGGTCCGGGTGTTAGAATATGTATCAGTAGTTCTCAATAGACAGAGAGAACTCTTGCACTTAGGATACCACTAGTGAGAGCACCAATATCCATATGCATGTTGACATCTCGATGCATAATCACAATGATTGAAAAACGCAGAACCATCGCGCAGTCGTAGGAGGCGGGGTGAGCACGATGACGGACGCATCCGCCTCATCGTCTCCACCAAGCGCGATGCTTCTTTTCCTCGATCCTAAAAACCTTGAAGTTCTCATCGGTTACTTCAAGATGCTGCGCCATATGCTCAACACCGTCTGGAGTAATACTCTCAATACCAAGCCCCCCCCCCCAAAAGGCCCTACCCGGAGTAACCAAAGCTTGCGTAACCGTGAGCGATGTGAGCGTTGCGACATCTCCTCGCTGCATACAGTATCTAGCAGTCAGCGACGTCTGGTATGTATCGAAGGGCGAAGGCCCGGCATCTTTCCCATAGCTTGCCATCTTGGCTTTCGTCAAAAAAGACGCGGGCATAAAGTGGTGATGAAACAGCGACGGTTGTTGAACCCCGCACACAGTCTATTAAGACTACAGATAATGCACTCAACAAAAGCCTACCATTGTTGTCACCTGATCCCGTTTGGTGAGGAAACGAGGAAATGTGGTGATTGTGCGCTTCATTTGTTCAATGTTGTTTTCTCGTCGGAATTATTCCACTATGACGACCTCGGTAAAGCTGACAGGAAATGTCAGGCCTACCAGTACCGGAGTTCTACTCGCAGCTCCTGAGGCGATTAGGTAGCATTCTCTAGCTATATTTTAAACGAGACATATGACGAGAGATTCTTCATCTGACAAACCTGGGGTGGCAGTTCTTTGGCATCCCGCGCCGATCCTAACATCCTAAAGTTCCTCGGGTTGCGACTCTGTCAGCCAGTCACCTTCCGTTTCCGTTAGGTGGGGAGGAGACTCGAAACAATGCCAACTTGACTCTCTTTGCTGCCCTGGAACTTTTTTTCCTTCCTTTATCTTTTTCCTTTCCTTTGTTTCGCATGAGTCCTTTTGCTGGCGGACTGGTCACCCGATGGGTTGACGCTATGGCGTAAGGTGTCATTACAATCCCACCTACTACAATTAGTGACCTCCGCCGCAAGTGACGAGCTGTGATGGTTCCCTGCAAGGCGACCTGAGATGTGAAGTGGTCAGACCTTCCTGGTTTTGCCTGGGCCGCCTCTCTCTGTATGCATCATAGGTTTGGAATACGGCTTTGGTCTACGCGTACGATACTTCAGGTCTCTAGATATTTAATGAGCGTGAAATCACTTTTAATCGAGGACATTTCTTAGGGTCATCCTTCTCTCAAGGTCTCCCAGAATCGTGTACTTTGTTTTGCGTGAATATCCCGAATAATGAAGTCACTTGCCTGGTCGGCGGTATTTCTCCCCTTCGCCCTTGCTTCGGCAGTTCCAAGAGCAGATGCAGGCGCGAAGGTCGATTACACTGGCTTCAAGGGCCTCCGTGTCAAGATTCCACACGGCCATAGCCATTTCGATGTCGAGAAGGACCTTGCCGGGCTCCTAACCCATGTCGTCAACTTTGGGCACGGAGACTACCTTGATATTGTAGTGTCTCCGGAGAAAGTTGCATCTGTGGAGCAGCGTGTTGACGCCGAGGTTGTCGTTCACGACGTCGGAGCTGCTCTTGCAGAAGAGGGAGAACCTATTCGAACATATGCCGGTTCGTGCTATCTCTTTCTTTCTCTCTTTACTTTTGGCCCTTTTCTCCCTTTTGGGTGCGATACTTTGACCTTGGACAACCAGTGAGTGCTAATGCTGTTCTTCAGTCCCATCGGAGTCCTGGTTCACCGGTTATCACACCTACGCGGACCACTTGCAGTTTCTTAAGGACTTGCAGGGAGGATTTCCCCAGCAGTCTGAGCTTATAAACATCGGAAACTCAGTGCAAAATCGCGCAATCTCGGGAATTCATATATGGGGAAGCGGTGGAAAAGGCAGCAAGCCTGCGGTGCTTTTCCACGGCACCGTACATGCACGAGAATGGATTAGCACGATGGTATGTGTTAGCTGTCTTGAATTCCACAGAGCCACATAACGTTAATACGCAAGCAGACGGCCGAGTACATGGCATGGCAGCTCTTGACTCTGTATAGCAATACGCCGGCCGTCCGAGCTTTGGTTGACAATTACGACTTCTACATTCTGCCCATCGTCAACCCAGATGGTAAGTTGACCCATGGTTTCCTGGAGAGCGTACCAATTTGAGGTCTTGAGAATTCCTGTTCGCTCACTCGGGGTGATTGCAGGTTTCGTATACACACAGACCAATGACCGGTACTGGCGCAAGAATCGCCAAACAGTGAGTTCCAGCTCTTGTGTTGGGCGCGATATCAACCGCAACTGGTCGTACAAGTGGGAGATTCCGGGTGGCGCTTCGACGAGCCCCTGCTCAGAGACCTACAAGGGTCAGGCTCCAGGAGATTCTCCTGAAGCACGCGCTCTCATGCGGCATGTCGACAGCTTGCGCGATGGGAAAGGAATTAAGTTTTATATTGATTTCCATTCCTACGGGCAGTACATTCTCTGGCGTAAGCCATCCCTGCATTTCTGTTTCCCAGGCCTTTTACGCCCTTCAAACTTTGCCCTGCCCAGTCATACGCACATCTCTGTCCTATTTATGGGGTGTATGGCGTCTTGGGATCAGTCCTTTCCAATCTTGCATGTGTGTTACTTGAGAGACCAGGCTAACCAAACATCCAGCCTTCGGATATGACTGCTCCTTTGTCGCACCTGATGACGCCGCCCACAATTCTCTTGCCTCAAAAGGTCGCACGGCTATTAGCAATGTATATGGCACGTCATATACCATCGGAAACTCATGCCGGGCCTTGTATGCTACTACGGGTGACAGCGTCGACTATGTGCATGGCGTCGGTAACTCGACCTACAGCTACACAATCGAGCTTCGAGACACGGGACGATCTGGATTTGCTCTACCGGCATCCCAGATCCAGCCCACGGTGAAGGAAACTTGGGCAGGTGTTATTGCAATGCTAGCAAATATTTAGTAAGCGTCCCAATATTGACACCAGGGCATCGCTTGCCTTAGTGTAGAATAGATTGATCACTCTTAGGCGGTGGGTTCCGAAGGACGAATGAGGGCAATTACTGTGCCAAACATGAGAAGCTTCGTGGCAGCAAAGTAGACATTAACAGATTGATATTATAAGTTTTTTTTTTTTTTTTTTTTTTTTTTTTTTTTTGATATTCTCATGAGTAAATCGTTCACGGCATTGTTGGGATGAGTGCATCCGAAATCTGTGAAGTTAGAGAGTTCCAGCTTGCATTCGCTCAGATGGGGTTCTCTGGAGCTCATTTATTTGACAGCCAACCCCCTACCTTGCTGGCAGGAGAATGCGGCTGCGTATCATGATTGCGAAAGTCCTATAATCCTTGTTGCTGCATGGGAACAGCAGCAATGCCACTCAACAACCCTATAACAAGCAATGGGTCCCTTGTCCAGGACGAAGCGTACGTAAAGTCCGGAAAAGCTGAGTAAGATATTACATGAGAAAATCAATGAGAATCAAAGGAAACAAAATTTACTGAGGAGTTATTCATCATGGTTAAGAAGAACAGGTTTAACTTCCTCGTCGTTTAGCGACAGGACTGTTCAGCTCTTTGCAGTCGAGGTTCTAGTTCTATCAAAGACAGTGAGGAGCCTGCGAGTGAGGTGGAAGAAGTTTTTCACAACATATTCCCGTAGCTTTTGACAAAGGGACCATGACGTTCACTTGAAATATTACATCAGTTTTCATGACTCCGATTTAAGACGCTATTCTGCTGTGAGGGCGTCTGTGGGAGAGTAGACCTCAGAGGCTGCTTTTAGTCGATGGGGACTCGGCAACCTCGTACCGTGTGGCCTGAAAGCAAGGTAAAAACAAAGGTAACATGAGCTAATAGTACTGAAGCTTAGTCACAAGGTCGAGCCAGGCAGGCCGTAGGCTTCCTGGCGCATTTATTGACCCTTGAAACATGAGCCCCAAGGATGTCTGATTACGGCCAGCCACCGAGACTACTCTGTGCTTTTTATCCTGACACTGCTGGCAAGGCCCGATCATGGGCGATGCCTAGACCGTGCGTTGCTTGGCAATAATCCTTCAACTCCTGCAGCGCCTCACCAAAGCGGAGGATCTCGAGCGTTTATTCCAATGGACAATGCGCTTCATGTAAACATTGCAATTTTTCTCCGAGTCGGGGCGAAGACACCGTTGGTGAGTCTGGCAACCACCATAATCGTTCCTCAGTCCGTCGACCGAACGAGGCATACGTAAACAGCATCTTTTGGCAAGATGATTTTCCGGCTATGCCTTACCCTCTTTTCTCACATTGTCGTTGTCTTAGCCATCTGCGAATGCGGATTTACCACTGAGTCCCGGGGCCGAGGAGACTCCCCGATCTTCACTGACGTGGTTGAAACTGACTTTCTTCGTCTCCTGTCCTTGGACGGCACTGATGACTGGGCAGTCCAGGTGTTCAACAAGACTCGAGAAAGAGCCCGTGGAGAATTTGGGGAGATGTTTTCGAGAGACAATGTCTTGATTAACCCGCCTTCACATAATAGTCCCCCAGGTGAGAGTGATGACGGCGATAGCTCGGGCCATGGATTGCAGCTTGTTGTCAAAGCCAATACTGTCGATGGCATGGTTCCTGTCGGTGAAATCGCTACGAAAAGAGGCGACATCTACCATGGCACGTTTCGAGCCAGTATCAAGTTGACACGCTCTTTGGGTACCTGCACCGCTTTTTATTGGGTATGACTGAAAAGACTAAATCGGCCCCTCCGCAGGCCGTCCATATGGAAATGCTAAGACGAGCAATAGTACTTCAACGACTCTCAAGAAATCGACATGGAATTCCTCTCGAAGGAGTTCAACTTCGAAACCAATACATTTCCGGTTAACCTTGTGCTACACTCGAAAGAAAGCGTAGCCGCAGGGTTTGACGCCGTCAAAGCTGGGACGTGGGCTCGCGTAAACCTTCCATTTGATCCTACCGAAGACTACCATGAGTACCGTTTCGATTTCATTCCTGGTTCAGTAAACTTCTACGCCGAAGGAGTCAACATAGCAACCATGGACGGTCCCGCTGTACCAACATCCTCGGGGCATATTTTGCTTTCCCATTGGAGCAGCGGGAATCCAAAATGGTCAGGAGGGCCCCCTGAACAGGATGCCACCGTCGCCATCCGATACTTCAAAGCCTACTTTAACTCCTCCGATGCCGATCGCCAGACCGAGTGGGAGCGGCGGTGCCGGGATGCCAATGACCCTGATACTTTATGTCATGTACCTTCGGTTTTGGACGACCCGGACGCCGCGGCGCATTTCTTCACCGCAACTACACCCACAGACGAGAAAACCGGGGATGGCAATGCAGGATCCACGATTTCGAGGCCGCTTGGGTTCTTATCATGGATGGCGGTTGTATGGGCGGGGTATTGGCATTCTTCCTGGATGGACTTGTACATCTAAATCGAGATTCTAACTCGGACCTATTAGTTGCAGAAGAAGCTGATGATTCCCATCCAATATAATATAAATTTAAGCCAAGGTCATTATCTTAATGAAAAGTCAGTCGTGTCGCACAAACAGTCGATCGCTGCCCCTCATCGCCAACACTCCTACTATCCTCCCCTCTAGGCCTAGGTCCTTAGCAAATTGGCTTGCACCAGTTCTGGACATGGGGGTGCCGCAATTGCGATAGAAGATCTAAACCTGGTTGTCGAGTCGCCACGACAATTCAATCAAAGGCATCCAGGACATGGAAGGTCCAATAACGCTCGTCGAGGCGTGGAATTCCCGGCACGGCAGCCTGACCCACAAGCGGATCTACAAACATAACATCGACCTTGCCAGACTCGGCCAGCACCGAGGCTAGGCTTAGCCCAGGAGAGTTTGTGACGTGTGATTGTCCTGGCTTGAAACCCCTGCCCACGATGAGCACTCGACGTCGAAAGTTGTATGGCTCCGTGAAGACAACCCTTTCCTCCCTGAGCGATTGCATAAGTCTGTGAGCTACTTACGCAGGTCCTTGAGACATCATGTCCGTGGCAGCTTTGAGCAATGGGAAATCGCAGTTTGATAAGAGGTAGAGAGGATTAATGGGAATTCATGCGCTGGCAGTTCTCGTATAGCTTTGTCATTTCTGCAACCTCGGGTTTCGTAACCTTGATGACAGTTTCAAAGACACGGCTGTAGAGTCGCGCCATTTGCTCGAGAGAACCGGGCATTAGGTCGTCAAGACCTGATACAATCTTTGAGATCAATCGGGGAGGCGGACTGACTCGGCCAGGATCAGCTCTCTTTCAAACAAGTGATACAAGTTAGTAGCTTCGTTTCAAGCGCGATGGATATTGTTTAGTGAGAGTTCATCATACCTCTGGTGACATGCCCACGAAATGCTCATGTGACAAGGCCAACGGTCTGAGCAGTTCTCGCGTCATGCCAACGGCTATCAAACTCTCGATTACGATACTGGACCTGGGGCGAGCATGACGGATAACCGTGTCTAGTGCACTGCGCACATGAGACAAGTTGATACTTCGGTCAGGAAGTAGGAGGGGTGGGGACGGATATTAGAAAGTGGGTGGCCTCTTTTAAGTCGGCCTCCCGGCAGGTGAAAGTAACGCTGCCTTGTTTCGTCGATTGCCGTTTCTTGAGGTCCTCTATCCTTGCTTCCGAGACGTCATAGCCAATAACTCGGTAACGTGATGAAAAGACCGTTATTAGAGGCTCGCCCACGTATTAGCCAACACCGATGATAGCCACAACACTAAGACTTTCATCTATTTGGAGTGAGTTGGCCGAAGAGACTTCTGCATCCATACTGAATATGCTGGTCTTATCTGAACTTGGGGAGTTGGTCCTGATCTACATATCCAACATGGCGGGATCCTTTGCCGTGCCTGAAGTTGAGCAGGTAACAACCATGACCACGAATGAAGGATGGCAAGTGATGGAGATAAATAAAGTATTCTTGGCCTTCCGATGAGGTAGTGTAATGGGATGCACAAAGACAGTGACCGGGAAGAACACAAGAACGAAAGAACAACAGAAGGCAGGTGTCAAGAGGAAAAGAACACTAGATTCATATATCCACCGGGTCAGTTTGCTTCCCAAAGCCCTCTAATATCCAGACTCGGCCCTTCCAGCCATACATATTTTGACACTTTTAAGGTGCCGTACGTCGCTTCCCACACATTGCATCGTCCCACGAAGAAAGGTATACCCGACTCACTGTACCGAATGACGACATGAGCCAGAGCCGGAAGCGGCCAGGACCCAACTATGGAGGTTAAGGATACTCGACGAATTCGATGTACCCATCGGCGAATTCAGCTGGAGTCGGTCATCCCCAGCCTGCCTGCGCAAACCGGCCAATAATGGCAACATCATGACATCGTGGACGTTGATTTATCTCCTAGGTCTTGGGGGATTCACAAAGCTCGCGGGATACTCTAGGAACTTAAAAAGAAGGGGGCAATTTCTATTCCGATCTGTCATAGGAGCACCGGCACACTAGATGGACAAGCGGCAAGGTTGGGTTGGATCTCGGGAATTCCCCTATATGCGGTAGTGTCTTTCCGATTCCCCATGTACTAAAGATCTCAGCTGCCGTGGCCTGAAACAAATAGAACCTTTCAATATTGGCCTTAATCCCGGTAATGCATCCAGAAAGCACTAGGGGTGGAAGAATGTGGAAAAAGAAAAGAAAACCGGAACATATCTGGCCTTGACCAACTCCGAGACATGGCGTCACAGACCAAGGAACAAACTTGATTGCATAGAGCTGGTTAGCCACAACGAAATAGAAATACAGCTATCTAGACTTTGGAAAAGGAAAAAAGGATTGCATCCCCATCCCATTTGGCGCGGGCCTTATATTATCTCGGTTACTAGCCCCTGCGTATCGGAACATGAGGTCGCCATATAGATTCGTATGTGGGATATCGGTCCGAGGCGAGTTGCCTTTGTGGTGATCAGCTGCAAGAGTCCCTGGCAGGTATTGAATGCTGCTGAATTGAGCCCACATATGCATTGTCGACATTGCATTGTATCGTATACGAATCCAACGTGGGCCCTAGGCTACTAAGGCGTGCTGAAGCTTTCGATACTCGAGGATCTTACAACCCATTGTAGAAGGATAGAACACGCCTCTCCGCGGGCCGCCAACCCCCAAAGACAACCTCACGCAACAACTTGGAGAGAGCACAATATATCGCTGGATATCTTATCCATGTCGTTGCGGGGCCATCCATTTACCTTGCTATTTTTGTATATTCTCTGTATTATTCCGACCTGCCACCCGCGAAAGACCTCGAAGAGGGAGGCAGGCCGAACCACTGACCCGAGCTCGTCATGGTGGGAGATGAAGGGCGTTGTGCCGTCTCTCAGGGGAATCTTGGAGCGCCCGAGTAGGGTCTATTAATGGGCACTATAGAGCTGAAATATAAACTAAGATCTATTGATAATGGTGTAATTCATATGCCACAACTGGTCGGTTCATAAATGCGTAGATCGATGGCTTCCCGTGCATATGTAATCTCTATGAGAATCCATCCAGAGGAAGATTTGAGATCGAAGCGCCAGTCATAGTCTCAAAGGAGTAGTGTAGTTGCCATCGTCCTGGTAGAGGGTATACCATGTATCGATACCCGGAATATCAACTCTCGCTATGATAGTAGCCTGAGACAGGTTTCCAACGCCAATCTTCCCGTCAGGGTGACCTAGGTGTCTTGGTGTCTATATTCACTTGACTCAGCCATTGCTTTCTTGCATTCCACGATTGACAGCTACATTCAAGTTGCTAAGACAGGAAGACAAATTTTTGCCACGTGGTCCAGTAGGTAACGGCTCTGTGGCATAAAACGGAGTAGGTAGTCAAATGGAAGAGTCTAATGCTGAATTGACTGGTCATATTGCAGTTTAAGGGCGATATGGGTAATATTGGATCAGGCAATCCACGCTTTCCAGATAGTATCCTCACCCCCCAGGGCCATCACAATTCCGAAGGCAATGGCCGAGAAGGGAGAAAGATGAGTGGGAAGGAGAGAATGTGGGAAGGAGAAAATATAGTATTTGATGTAGTGACACTCGCACACTCGACTGATCTCGTATTTGCTGTTCTCGATAGCTTGACGAGATCACGAAAAGATGAAGCTCATCTGAAATCCTCTCTCCGACACGGAGAATCCCTAGAGTGAAAAATGTCTCTAAGATTACGGGTGTCTCCAATAGATCCCAATGTTTATCCAGGCTGTGTGAATCATTTCTAACTCAGCAAACCGCAGTCAGTGCCGGAAATATGCCGATGTCATTTCAAGCCGCTTAGCATGCTCGGATTCCACTTAACCGCTGTCACGACTGGCCTATTGGTGATAACACAGTGTTGAACCTTATTAGAGTGCATGCAGGGCCATTAGGATTTATTCAGTGGTAGATGTGCTTGTGCCCCAACTATGTATATACATGGATTCTGACAATGGTTCATACAGCTTGCTTCTGGCATAATAACACCCGAGTCTTCTCACATATCAGGGCTAACCAGCGGAACCCTCTCTTAAGTCAAGTGCCCGGCACCGTCCGCTAACCTGTGCACAACCGGTTTTGCTGCACCCATGTGCACATCTGCTCTCCGACACAGCTGCAGCACTTGCAAGCCTGTACCGGCTGTTAGTTGGCGGGTTTCAAGACGTATACCTTGAAGGACGTCTCCATACCTTTCGGGCCCTATCCGCATTGTCTGTGCCTTCAATACACTGCAACGTCTGGGCGTTTCTGAATCGGAACTGATTGTAGCAAGCCGTCGGATTAATAACATCGGCACAGTCGACGTCGGACACAAGCTCTTTAGTGCACTCGACAATTTGCTGGCTGAAAGCCGTGGCAAGCCACAAGGTGATGAGACCGAATGAGAGCTTCATCGTGGGGGTGCCTTGGTTCGAATTGGTCGATAAGAGCGCAAAGTGGCAGAAGTTTGCAGTGTGGTGATTCCGTCGTCAGAATTTATGGTTTCCTGGGACGAGGTTCGATGAAGAGATTGGCGGACCATCTCCAGAGCAAAATGCCTAAACCGGACGCATGGAGGAAGGTGGGATATTAGGCGAAAGCACTGGAATTCTTGGGACCATGCTTTCAAATTAAACACCCAGGTGAACACTGTTTCGGCTCCCACTCGCTCGACCAGTCCCGTATATATTGAGCATAGAGAAGAACTGATATACACCTTGAGGTGCGTGGGAAAACCATCACCAATCATCTCATCCTTCGGAAGGACGACCGAGGACGTCACAAATTATCTGCACGATATCTGCAAGCGAACCTGTCAAACATATTGTTCCGACCCGTCTGGTCCGGGATATATTAGATAAAAGCGGGGTCTAGTTAAAATAAATGTCGAGAAGTACTTCGTACATCAATCAAATTTGTTGGCACAGGTCCTGCAAATCAAGGATTCGACTCCGACTCACACAATCGAATGTGCCACCGAGGAGGCAAATGTTGATGCTCGCGACATGTTTACGGCAGGGAGCGGATCTCACTCAGCTGGCTCTGAGAATTTAGATTTTTTTTTCTTCGTTGATTTCCCGGCTGACCTCTGAAAAACCACACTGGATGTCTGGGCACATCAGAGGGCATGAACGTGTGCTTTGTTTCATTGATGCCCGAACCGTTGCTCGAGGAGGAATACCAGCCGCGCCTTAGTCTAGCGGCCGCACCAGTCGGGTCGGGTGAGATTGGGGCAAGATCTAGATATCTGGTGTGTGTGCTTATGTTTGTGTGAGTCTACTTTATTTTCACCCGTTGACGCGTCACGAGTATATGCGGACAGCAGAATTCAGAGCATTTGTATTATATTACTCGCTATTATTATCGTATTGAAGCGTCGTCTACAACTGCCGTGCTGTTAAAAGGTGGTATTAACCGTAATCAAAATCTAGGCTCGACAAGCTCTCGGAAGATATATCTGTATATTAATCGTGTATTGGCATCAGGGATGGCACTTGCGGGCTCCCGACATCTTCCCAGACCCGGTATCACCCTCTGGCGGAGGCATGGTTTTGAATCAAAACTGCTACGCTCCCCTTTGAATTACATTCAGTTCCATCATCGCCAGAAAGACCCGATTCCAGTCACCCAACCGACAAAATTACCTCGCATCGAGGGTTAAGAGGAAGAAACAATGAAGCTCAACGTCTTCGTCCCTGTCCTGGGCCTTTCGGCGCCAGCTAGCGCACTGCTTCGATTCGGGTGCTCGCAACTTACCGTCCAGCGTGTGGATCCTTTGGTCAATCCTGGCCAGGCCCCGTCACCTCATCTCCACCAGATTATCGGCGGCGTAAGGCCCTCAACGATTTCCAGTTTCACTCCCTCGCTTGAGACTAACAGTTCCTAGAATTCTTTCAATATCTCCATGGACCCTGAGACCCACGATCTTGCCGCGCTCTCCACCTGCACAACTTGCCAATTCACCGAAGATTTCTCCAACTACTGGACCGCTGTGCTCTTTTTCCGGGCAAAGAATGGTACTTTTAAGAGAGTTCCGCAGATTGCCCAGGCCGGCATGGAGGGCACACAGGGCGGCATGGTAAGGTTCTGACCCACGTTAACATTAGTCCTGGCACAGGAGCCTTCTGACAAGAGCATTCCAAGGTCGTGTACTACATGTCGGATGCGCTCTTTGACACTGCCCAGAGGTCAAAGGTCACCGCCTTCAAGCCTGGTTTCCGTATGCTTGTGGGCGACGCCAACTTCCGTGATCGTGAGCAGGCTAAAGCTTACCGGCAGCTGACCTACATCTGCATGGATAACCAGGGCAGCCGCACCCCGGAGACTGTCGAGTTTCCCAAGAGGGCTTGTCGTCTCGGGATTATGGCTAACCACCGCTTCCCAACCTGCTGGGATGGTGTAAATTTGGACACTCCTAACCATCAGGATCACGTTTCCTATCCTGAAACCGGTACTTTCGAGTCAGGAGGCAAATGCCCCGATTCTCACCCTGTTCGATTGCCGCAATTGATGTTGGAGACAGTTTGGGATACTAGCTCGTTCAACAATCAAGCGGAGTGGCCTGAAGATGGTAGTCAACCGTTCGTGTGGTCGACTGGTGATCCAACCGGCTTTTCCACCCACGCCGACTACGTTTTCGGATGGAAGGATGACTCCCTCCAGCGAGCCATGGACGGCCATACCTATGTTTCTGCCCCTATGCTCAAGTCTCAGAGCATTGCTGAGCAGAATAAGTGCAAGGTTGAGAGTATGGTGAACGAAGATATCGATGGCTGTGAGTGGCATACCCTCTCCGTTCCGCCTGGAAATTCAATGACTAATTCGTCTTGTCACAGGGTTGACGGAGCTTCCTGGAGGCATGGCTGTCATGTAATTCTGGATGGATCCTCGCTTACACAGGCTCGGAATGAATGTATGCAGATTGGATCCTGGTCTACGTAGGAACCGATATGGTACCGTTCTTAATCTTCTCTTCTTTGCCTCAGATTTTTAGGGAAATTTAAATGTTCGATATTGTCTTTCTCTCACTATATATCCCTGATTTCGCGTCTGTCGGGAAGTCCAAGAAATTTCGATTGGGTGTTCCTGAGGCTCGGATCGGCTTTCGAAACCCAGAAGGCTCGGCCCAATTTAAGCAGCACCCGAGTCCCATGCCAGGCGGGGTGTGGGGTAGGAGTGCCTACTCTTCAAGATACAATGTACGAAGTAGTTGAGGCATTACTGCCTGGCTTGTCCCGCTTGGTGCTTGGGTTCAGAGCCCGTAAACGTGAATAAGTGTGTCTGAAGGGGGGCGTGTACTGTGTCTAAAGGCCTGTAATTTATCGCGGAAGATGCTCAAGCTTTGTGGGTGGAATATCGCTGTCGAAAATGGGACTATCTCGGGAACTAGTGCCAGACTTGGTCTGCACATGGCGAAGACTGTAGTGGCCGATGACCCACTGGCCCATTGGGATAAGGTTCAAGATTATGCGGCCATTACTAGTGTCAATCGGCAACAATTGCTGGTGTTGAAGTATATTGCAAAGCTGCACTTGGTAAGTTCGCAAGGTCTGCTAAGAATCCGGCGTTCTGGGACTGGTGCGCCTCCCCCCTTTTTGTGAAATCCTCGTGGGAGGAAGTAGATATGTGTCTGCAACAATGTGGGAACTTCCTGTGTGGTCAGACCCAATAGAAGGCTCGGGATTAGCCATCAAATATCATATGGTGGGTGAGGTGGGAGCAGACTGAGAAGAGATCAGTAGTTGGGCTGTGCGCCACAGAATGAAGTACGAAGTCGCCCGAAGACTGCACGAACCCCGCCAAAGACGGATCGAAGTCCATCCGGTCCAGACTGGCAAACAGAACCACCACAGTTCAGATGGATAGCAAGACCAGGGAGCGTTCAGTAAGGAAGGGTGGCGATCGAAGCAACAGGGGCCACCCGACACAAATAATCGCGAAGTCCTACCTCCTGTACTTTGTATTGCCAGAACTCAGTGTTCGCCGATGCCTCTGTGCCTTCCGGACTGATGCGACATGCAATTTTGGTGCGAAGTTGGCACGAATTGGGTCCGGGGAGATGGCGTCGGTCCGCAGCGGTCCAGCCATTTCCTCTTTCGGTAAATTTGTTCGGTATCCTTGTGCCCCCCACATGTCCACACCAAGAGTATGGGGTAAATCTGGAGAAACCTGGGGTAACTATCCCTGCTCCCATTTCACCTTCTCCGAGAGAGAGTATCATCTCATCCATGAGAGAGGGTGATGGAGAGAGCGATTATCATTCGGATAGAATAAATACCACTTGATTCTTTCCAACCTCAATCAAACATTCTGCCAACTCATGCACGCATCTACGCAGCAAGCTTCGCCATTATGTTGTCCGCACCAGTGATCGCAGTCCCGGTTGTTGTCTTGGCCCTGTACCTACTCTGCACCAAGGGCCGAAGAGAAAAGAACCTCCCGCCCGGTACGCTCACTGATCATAAATTACCCTCCCGACTTCGTCTAACAATTTCTCGTATCGTAGGGCCTCCAACCCTTCCAATCATCGGGAACCTCCATCAGATTCCCACCAAAGGTTCATATTTAAAGTGTGTATTCCCATCGCAGAGAATTAATATTTGCCCTCTTCCAAAAGCAAAATGGCATTTGAAGTTGTCTACTGATACGTGTTGCATCTAGATTCACAGAATGGGCTGAAAAATATGGTGGCCTCTACTCCCTCAAAATAGGTACTGGCACTGCCGTTGTCATCACCGATCGGCGCATCATCAAGGAACTTCTCGATAAGAGGAGCTCCAAGTATAGCAACCGGCCAGAGTCATACCTTGCGCACAACCTCATTACCGGCGGCGATCACCTACTGGTTATGCAGTATGGCCAGCTCTGGCGGTCCCTCCGGAAAGTCGTCCACCAGTACTTTATGGAGTCCATGGTGGAAAAGTCGCACATCAATGTTCAAAATGCCGAGGCAGTACAGATGCTTCGCGATTTCTGTGTCCGACCCGATCAGCACATGCTCCACCCAAAGCGCTACAGCAACAGTATTACCATGAGTTTAGGTGCGTATCCGAACAGAGATGGTCAAGTTCTAGGTATCGGACCGACCTTTCATCGAAACTAACTACGAGAAAGTATTTGGTGTCCGAACGCCATCGGTCGACACGCCTCACATGACGCACTTGTACGAGATGATGGTAAGTCTCGCACACAGACTACCCGCCTGATGCTTAGCTGTCCATACTTACCGTCGATACAGGAAGGCTGGTCCAAGGTAATGGAACCCGGAAACACTCCGCCTGTGGACATCTATCCGTTCTTGCATCTCGTCCCCCAAAGATTCTTCGGAAACTGGGTATCCAGGGCTAAGGACGTGAGCTCCGAAATGAACAAGCTCTATGGTCGAATGACTGTTCACGTCCAAGAACGGAGAAGGAAGTCCGGCTCGAAGGGGTCGTTTATGGATATCGTCCTTGACCAAAATGAAAAGCTTCAGCTAAACCAACACCAACTTTCTTTCCTCGGTGGTGTGCTGATGGAGGGCGGTTCCGACACTTCGAGCGCCATTATCATCGGTTTTATACACGCGATGACGAAGTGGGGTGACGTTCTCAAGAAGGCACAGGCCGAAGTGGATTCCGTCGTCGGAGAGGATAGGACTCCAATTTGGTCTGACTACAAGAACCTGCCTTACATCGCCGCAACTGTGAAGGAAGCTATGCGTTGGAGACCTGCTACCCCGACCGCATTTCCCCACCAGGCCGCCGAAGGTATACTCCATCCTTCTTTTACCGCTTCCTCTCGTTTCATTCCTTGACCCACTGATAGATGCCCCTGAAAGACCCCGGCTGACACACAAAAACAGATGACTGGATTGACGGCATGTTCATCCCCAAGGGAACTAGCATCATAATCAATGGATGGGGCATGCACCACGACAAAAACCGCTTCAAGAACCCCGAAGTCTTCGATCCCGACCACTTCAAGGGCCAGACGGCCTTAGCGGCGGAGCTTGCGGCGGCATCAGACTACAATTCCCGAGATCACTACGGCTACGGCGCTGGGCGCAGGATCTGCCCCGGAATCCACCTCGCCGAGCGGAACTTGTTCCTAGGTATTGCCAAACTGATCTGGGCATTCGACATCCTACCGGGGCTGGATGCCCAAGGAAACCCCATCGAGCCGGATCTAGACCCGAGAACTGGCTACTGTGAGGGCTTCCTTGTGTGCGCCAACGACTTCCCGTGCAGGATCAAACTGCGATCGCCAGCTCGTCGGGATACTATAATGAAAGAGTATGAAAAGGCACAGGTGGAGGTATTCTCCCAGTTCGAGGGAGACATATAATCGGCAAATACAAGGGGCGAGAACTGCACTTACGAGAAGGTGGTCGAGGTGGCAAAGGGACGATTGGTACGGGATTGGGCCCAATGGCATAGATCAAGGAGGTGGGGATCGTGTCAAGGAGACATGTGTACCTGCTACTCGAGTTATATCCAATTCTGATTTAGTCTTGGGGTAATGTAGGTTCGGACATTCTATATTTTTGGGGGCTGCTATCTCTTCTTGCTCTTCTTGCTCTTCGAAGGAGGGCGGCCGTCCAGTTACTCCTCTTCTTCTCGACTGCCCAATTGACCGAAGGTCGCAGCTAATCACTCCAAAGTTAAGCATAGCCTGTCGTATGTCTTAGGATGTCATCATATTTCTCCGGTCTCGAGTTCTTGCCCTAACCACCTCTGGCCTATGCTGGACGTTTTCGTTCTAATTATGGATCTCTCCGAATAATCGGAACAGTATTCAATTTACAAAACACACCTTAAAGGCAGACTATCTTTGAATCTGTTTTGAAGGGGGAAGTAGGAAGCAGCCGTCTACTTCCGGCATCATCCCTTTGATGTGCGGCACTTAAGTCTAGTTATTGAATAAAACCACCTATTTAGTGAAAACACAGCACACCTTAAGCCGCAACTCACCCACACGCCCTGCCCCCGGCAACCCCATCATCCCAAAACAAGTCACTTGGTATCGTCTCGATCATCTCGGTCGGCTTGAAATGCACCGCTTCACTAGAATAACGAGCATCATTCTTCACTTCCTTCCCAGATAAACTTTTGCTCAACGCCGGGGATCAAGGGACGCAAAGCCATGCCATAATCACCGCCATTCGGCGTACGTAGCAAGGTGTGGATATGAAACTTTGCGGGTTCCTTGTTGGTTAAAAACACCCCAGAGTGATGGTCAAACTCAATGATAATGACGGGACTCTGGATTCGATAATAAAACGGGTCATCATTGCCATAACTCCCGATCCAGCAGAAGTATGTTTCTTTGTACCATTCAACGGCGTTGGCAATCCTGATCGCCCGCGCACGTGCCGGAAGGTAGAGGAAATATTGGTGAAGGATGGCCGTTACCAGGTCTTGATTCTCTGGAGACATGTCTGCGACAAGGACTCCCTCGTATGGAACGACACGGTTATCTCGATATGCGCCGCAAAGGTGGCGCTGGTCGTCATGGTTCCACCGACCCTTTGGCATTTTCGGGTCGTTGAGAAGCTCGTACACCTGGGCCGCAGATTGCTGTGGGGGTGGGAGGGTTTGCATCAGCTCCAGGCCAAGCTTCTCTTCCTCCAGCAAGATCCTCGTCCCCTTGTAAGGCCCGGCGTCTATCAGATTCGGTTCCGCTCCAGTGAACCATGGTGAAATGACAATTTGGCGCTGATACAAGAACACGTTTAAACACAGGTGGTGGCCATAAAAAGAGAACCCCCACGGACGATTGGTGGACGGGGAACCGAAGAGGACGAAGTTGTAGGAGAATTCGTTGCATACACTGGGTGCTTTAACGAGCTCGCCAAGATAGCCATTGATTCGCATCGCACCAATAGCCTTCTCGTAACCCTCAGGGGAGAGGGTGACTCGAAGGATAGCCATGACAGACTCGCGAAGCTCGTGGTTGAGTTCGTCAAGACGGATACCTTTATGGCTCAAGAGGAACTCGGGGTTGGACCAGGTACGCCATTCTGGACTGTCAATGTGATATGGCTTGAGGGAGAGGCCGCTGGATTGAAGTTGTTTTATGAGATTGTTCGCCGCATCGACAATATTCTCAATTGGAATTCCCTCATCTTGGAACTGGAATAACCCAGGTCGAACGGTACCTATAGAGTTGGGACGTCAATACGGAGGTAATGGGTGTTAATTGAGCCATTGGGCGATAGATAGGCACTGGGATCTGACGGCCTCGATCCCCTTATAAAATCAACTTAGGTTGTTATAAAGAAGAAGATGACACTGCCGCATCTGGGGCTGCAGGAAGGCGGGTGCTCGTCGCTGGAAGAGTCTCTCGGGAAACCTACCATCCGTCGTGATGCCCCGGAACGGTTCCTGCAGCAGTTTCCTCCAGTGAAGATACAGAGCATGGAGCCATGGCGGATTCCCGGATTCTTTGAACGCCGCGGCGTATTCATGAGCATTTTGGGCCTGCATAGTCGTGAAGCGAGGGCTGCTTAGGTCGGGGAGGAACTGCCGATAAGCCCCCTCGGCCGGATTGTCCAAAACGGCTTCGGCCGAATGCGCCATTGTCCGTGTTTGACGACGATCTTGAATTGTTTTTGGAACGCGGATTCTTGATCAGGGTCTCGGTCGAGCTCTCCGTCGAGTGTCTTCTGTATCACCGTTGAGAAGACGAATGAGTAGTGAGATCTCGAGTTTTAGACCTGGACTAGTTCCATTCCACAGGAAGGCAAATCTTCTGTGATGTGCATTCTTTAAGACTCAATCCCATGTCGGCATTTCCGGGCCCCCATCGCCCCACATTTCACAGATTTAACTAACACCAAGAACAATGGACCGTGAAAAGAACAAGATTTGTTACCCCGCTTTCCTGAAAACCATTGATTTCGTTCCATGGGTCGACTTTGCCCCGCATCATCATGCCGGATGGCGCATCGGGAATCGGCTGATGCGTCCAGCATATGGGGATCGCAAGCTCGAACTTCGGAGTCTTTACAGGCCAGCTTCATGTCCAATCCGAGACTGGAGAAAAGGATCAATTCACACGCGTGTCCTGACTCCTGACTCTGCTGCTGAACAAACAAGTACTAACCCGCATATTACCTTACTCTGAATTTAGCAATACAATTACCGGTAGCAGGTCCATCTGACATCCCCGGAATGACTCGACTCTTTCATAGCAAGCGAGGATATTGTGAGTATTTACAAATACGCGCCTAAATATATATTGATAGTGATGTACAAAGATACGGATGGGTTGTCGTAATTCAGAAGGTTCTTAACTAGCCACGAAAATGTTTATGACTCCTGCTCCAGCAGTTCATTGCCGTCTCTGTTCCCCTTCCCTCCTGCATCAGCACATGAACTACGTCTATCGCGTCCGAGACTTGCCCCGCGCTTTCCAAGGGCATGTCCTTGGTGGCGTCATGCGATAGCGCAACGAGCCTCCCGAATGAGCATACGGGCGAGGCGGCCGGCAGGTTTTGGCGTTGCTGTACTCCGAGGTCGTAGTGGGTGCCTCCACGTTCAACAAAATTACCTAAGACTGATTCCGGATTGCAGCGGATGAACTGCCATCTAAAGGAAGACGCGAGTTGTACCAAGATTGGACGGCTCATCTCCGCTCGAACCCCTCAGCAAACTCTGGCCATCACAGCACACTTGTCGTCCAGTTCTCGCTGTGGCAGCTGAACATAGAATTCGTGGGCATACGCAACGTGCCCGAAAGCTAAGAAATCACAATCAACTGTTGGCCCTTTAGATGGAAGATTCTCTCCCCGGTGACCTCGCGCTTACCCTCGGCGCAGATATTGAGGATGGACTGTCCAGAAGCGAGAGAAAGACCTCGCCATCCTCGCTCTTCGTGTTCGACTGCCAGTGTGAGCTGTATGGAGCCTCCGCCGAAGCCGTGCGCGCGTTCAACGCGAGCCGCCGGCGGATACACGGAATCCGGGGCGCCTTCAAGTAAAGGGGCACTGCTCGGCTGGTCCGTAACTTGTTATTCGAGCAAAGGCGGGGAGAGGCGGTCTCACTCGTTCTCCGCGTCATCGGCATTGTGCCTTCAGTGTGCAAAGGCAAGCCAATCCCTATCATTGACGAAAAACCAAAATATCAAATTGGGGGATGGAACCCTCTCCCTCCCTTCATTCTTCCTTCACGTCACGGCCATTTAAGGCAAAGGCGCTCTGTGTCGTGCGATTAAATAAGCCTTTCTCTTATGCACCCTTGTCCGACGAGTTCAAAGACCGCCGCATCTTTCACATCATGTCATACCATTGATCAAAGACCGGACGCGAGTTCGCCAGAATCACTCATTCCCTGGTCTTCTCGGGGTTAGAGCGCTAGTTTGGATACTACCACAAAGAGCCGACCTCAACGAAGGGTTCGAGAAATGCTATCCATTATTCGATAAAGCGCTTGATCTCACCTTTAATCTCATCCAGCTTCATGGCAATCGGGACAAAGCTTTGTCCAACCGCGGTTCTAGGCGATTCCCTTTCTTTAACCACGGCGACGCATTCAAGAAATGGGGCTAAGCTCTGTGCAAAGGGGGCTCGAACAAAACCAGTTGCCTGCAATGCGTATTGAATGACACGAACAAATCTGCCTCCATTGGCCACCACCTGGAAGACAAGGACAACCAAGTCGTTTTCTAATATCCAGTCATGGCAGATTATAAAAGTGGCATATCTGGCCGGGTTCCTCCAAGTTCTCTCAAGCCGCCATCATAAATAAACCCTCTCTCACAGAGAAATCAAAACCTCCATCGATCTATTTAGAGCTTCTATTCAACTATATCTTGGAAGAAAAGCACCTCCTTTCCGAAAATATGGCAACTCGGCACTCACTCCCTTACTACGCCCCGGTGGAGAGCCTGCCTGCACCACTGCCCACCATGGACGAGATCCTGGATTGTGAACACTTCATCGGAACGTCCTTTCCGCAATACAAGCAGGTTCGGATCCGTAAGCATTTCTACGTTAAATATGGGACAAACTTTCTCAGCCTTCAGGAGGGAGAGAATATGCTATTTATCAGGGAGTCCACTAGCATCCCCGTCCCGACGGTTTACGCTCTCTTCGAGGAGCGCGGGTTCAAAGTGCTTATTTTAGAATATATCGAAGGCCGTGACTTACGGGAATGCTGGGGCTCCCTTCCGATCGTCGGAAAGGAGACCTTTACAAGGCAAATCCGGAGATATCTCCAGGAGATGCGTGCCATTCCCTCGCCAGGCTATTATGGAGGCATCTGGAAACAGGATATCCGTGATCCTCTTCTGATGCAAGAGATGGACATTGGTAGAGTTATCCCGCCTGGCCTAGGAAAATCCTACCAGACAGAGAAGGAATGGTGCGAGATGATGCTTAGAGTGGCAGAGGACTACAGTCCTATAGAGAACCCATATAACCTAGAATGGGCTAGGTATAAGTTCCGCGCCACACTCCAAGAAGGCCATCCACCCGTATTTTCTAACAACTGTCTCGCTATCCGACACATGTATCGGATCCGCAACGATGGCGTCGTCGTCATTACAGACTGGAATTATGCAGGCTGGTACCCTAGCTACTGGGAATACTACTATGCTTCGCAGTATGTTGTTTTCAGAGATGACTGGACTGAGTGGCTAAGGGACATCTTCAAGGGCATGGAGTACGTCGCTGAAGAATGTGTTATGGAGAGCTTCTACTCATGGATGCAATACTGCGGCCTCACTGTGTTTGACGATCGCGATCGTTATGAGCCAAAGTAGTACCCCAACTCACTCAATAGAATCAAACCCTGAACCTAGAAAATGGAGTGCAGATCGGCCTCGGTTCTGTCGTCGGTAGTAGCAGGACTACCTTAGGCGGGACTCAGGGCGGCGAACATGATTTCTTGTGCCTGAAGGGAACGAACAATTTCCCTCCCCCACGCTCGAGTATCCTCGATCTCTCTTCTCCAGCGCGAATCTCTGATATACCGCCACCACTCAGAGTAGGACAAGCCCTTCAGGAGGTCAAAGTTCTCTGGTGTCGTCGAAGCCACCATCTCCATCTCAAGACCTGGTGCAATCGGACCCCAGGATTCTTTAACACGGATGGTGGCGTATCCATGTTTGACATTACCAATTGGGATAAGATAGCACCCGCTGCACTTGTTGTACTTAACGTAGATTTCGGATCGATTCGGGCTTCCACCTGCCGCTTCAACAATGTATACCGGCAGTCGGTCGGTCATTGTGGCTCTCGTCGTCGGGTTTTCGGAGAATGGAGAGGTTCACAAGGGCTGAAAGGCGAATGAGGAAGGGATGGCGGATAACTATGTTCAGCAGCGGTGCAGACGTATCCGGGTGATTTCGTGGGCCATGCATGTGGCGGTGTTAAAATGGACAAGTGCAGAATGGCAGGCGACTTGGCAGCAGTGTAGGGGGGTTGTGTGTATTGTAGGTGCAAAGGAGAGCAAACAAGAGAGAGAATGTGTGTGTGCGTATCGGCTCGCCCTCTCAGCCATGTTCGTAGCAGGACGAGGGACTGATATATAAGTCCGCAACCGCTTGAGCTTTGAAAACACGATGCAAGGTAGAATGCAATGGAGCACGGCCTCGCCACCCTCATTTAGATCTTCTTGGACCATGCAATGTCTATTTTTTTGTAACTAGCCAGCACCTCTGTGATGGGTCATTTGAAGATTCAAAGGAGCGGGCCATGCGAATCCAGTGCCAGACAGGGCGTTCATTCATGGCAGTTTAGGAACCACCTGCAAATAAAGCGCGAACACCCTGAAATGAGGGCGGTGGGAAGGAAATATTTGTCGTTTTAGACACACACGCCACTTCATTACCAAAGCTGCCAGTGGTCTGTAAGGTGGACGATGCATCTCAAAGAAAGAAGAGAAATTTTGGGGCAAGCCACTATCGTCACACCGCCCAGGGAGCGCCGCTAGGACCGCTATCTGGCCGCAGCCATCGTCTTTTATTTTGCACCCAATAAAACAGGGCAGTTGTTTCCTACACGGCAATGTGCAGAGCACATGTGGGTTGTCTCTCAAGGATGTCTTTCGAGATGTGAATTACGGTCGATACCAAGGATAGCCTGGTCGTATATTTGATGCGATCTGTGAGGAGGGTCAGCCATAGTACATATCGGACTCCGGCTTGTTGAGAGAATTTGGATCGCTTGCTGGGGGGGCCGATGGTCTTCCTCAGAGTTGGGGACTATGTGTGAGAACTAAACAGGGCGGCGAGATCTCGCGGTTGTTTTTCGTTTGGAAGTTGGGAGTAAGAACCCTTCCTCTCGGATTTGAAATTGCGTACCTCCCCAGGGGAACGAGCACAAAGATGGCGAGTGTTACCACGGATATATTTTATTACTTGCGTTCAATTATACCCTTTGGATATGAAGAGGCAATCCCATGCAAAAGGAGTTCCCCCAACCACAGCCAATACCACAGATAGTGGTAGCCGTTGAACTCAAACGGTCCAGTAATTATGCTGCATGGTGATCAGAGAGAGGATATTCTAGCTCATATCGGCCTACCATGCTATCCGTAGACGGTCTATTTAAAGCACAGCCGAAAGGAGGGCGGAA